AAACCCTGGGACGGCCGCTGATAACTCTGAGGAGATTGCTGATCCCCAGGAGTCATTGTCGTCGCCCCAGGTCGTGGCATCCCAGGACCCGTCCATATTGGTCCAGTACTCGGTGGTAAACCTCAGGTCGACTTGGTCCTCTCCGTCGTCTGGAGGGATTCCGAGTCGTCCGAGCTCTTCTTCCCGAAGGGATTCTTCACCTTCACCGTCTCGGTGATCCTCTCTCTGAAGCTCGAGCGGGGGGGGTTGCTCTTCTCCGTTGGGTAAGGGGTGTCGAAGCACGTTTCGCTCCCCCCTTGGCCGTGGTGTGAGGGACCGGAGTCGGACGGTGCTTGTTGTTCGTGAGGTTCCTGTTGATGAGCCATTGAGCCCGTGTACTCTCCCTCTTCCGGGGGTCGGTGCTCTGTGGCGGTGGGTTGGTCGGAGGATATGAAGAACTGCAACTGCAGTTACTAGTGTTAAGATACTGAAGGTACTTCCGAAGATAATGGCGGTGCGGTCTGAGGGGGTGAGTGGCATAAAGTTCATTGTACCACAACGAATGTTTATGATCTCGGGGGACGGTGGGTGCCATTTTAAATAACGGGCTGAAGGATTTCCTTTCTTTGGAAGTATAACAGTGACTGCCTTGAAATGGTACAGTTACCGTTAACAACGGTAAGGGTAGTAAGGGCAAGCTTCGGCTAATTGTTAAGCACTAACTCGAACCTTCACCAAGGCTAATCTCTATCCTGTCACTCGCGTTCGGTGATTCAGTGTTAGAGAGGCATTGGTAGATTGCGAGAAGTTAGGCGTCACTTATAGCGAAAGCAAGGAGCTTGTAAGAGTTAGGAGTGTATAACCTTAGCCGAAGCTGGGGTCTAAGGCCACAGCATAGGCTAGCTTAAATACATGTTAGACTCGTACTAAGAATAGTATCTACAAGGGCGCGTGCAGCGAGAAGTGCGTTGTTCAACGAATGAGGAGCGAGGTCACTAAAAGAAGTGTACTCCCGACGAATGAGAGTAAAGAGCACATATCACCTGCATCTGCGCGGGACTCCATCTGAATAGGCTGCATCCCATAGACCGCCCTCGACTGGCGGTCGACTCTCGTCCAACCACTAAGAAGCATGATGCCATCAAGGGAAGCGTGATGGCGCATGCGGGTCACTGGTCATCTGGGAGGCGGCAGCATGAACTGGGGTGATGGCAGCCGGGTAATTGGATGGAGAGTGTGCCAGCGGAATATCATGGGTCTGGGAGATAAGATAGGTAGGTCCGGGGTTCCGAGAGATAAGGATAAGATAAGATAAGGGAAATAGGGGTAAAACCGTAATATTAATGGGGCCTTGAAGGTCTACTTCCATTTCAAATCGTCCTGCCAGAGGTGGCAGTGATAGGATCATTGCTATACATGGCACAAGGGACATGACCCGATTTAGCACACCCAGTCCAGGAGTTAGGACAATATGCGTCGAATCCAGGTCCAGAGCATTGGACAGCACTGAAACGTGTCCTCAGATACCTTGCCAGAACCTGAAATTTGAAACTTGTGTTCTGCAGAAATGAGGAAACCGAAGTAATCAGTGTCAGATACTCTGATGCAAGCTATGCATCAAATCGAGATGATTTGAAATCAGTCTCAGGGTACACATACCTTATTGGAGGTGCAGCATTTGCATGGAGCTCGAAAAAACAAAGCACTGTTGCACTGTCTTCAACAGAAGCAGAGTATACAGCACTTGCACATGCAACAAGGGAAGCCATATGGAACAGGAACCTGTTGGCTGAGCTAGGATGTCCACAAGAAGATCCTACCTTGATTTTTGAGGACAATCAATCAGCCATCGCCATCGCTCATGACCCTCAGTACCATGCGAGATCAAAGCACTTTGATGTTCAAAATCATTTTGTGCAGGAAAAAATCGAAAATGACATAATAGAATTATTCTATTGCCCAATGGACAAGATGGTGGCAGACATTATGACAAAAGCACTGCCCCGCCAGAAGCACGAGAAGTTCGTACAGGAACTAGGGCTGTTGCCGTCTTGAGGGGGAGTGTTGTGACCGACCTACAGGTTGTGATATAGTGATGGGCATGCCGTGTCTCGGCAATCTGGCAACATCCGGAATATTCGAGCATCATTGCTCTTGCTAAATGTTTCTCCCCTCATACTCTTACTTACTGGAACCTTTGAGTAGATATAAATATAAGTAAAGTAGTAGAACTTTCTAGATACATTGTGTAGTATATAAGGCTGAAGTTTTGGCCTAGTAGAATTAATTATTCCTTCATACTCAACCACTACTAAGGTAGTAGACTGAGAGACAGGTTTACCACTGCATATTTCACTCATCCTCACAATAAAGTCTTGAGTTACAGCCTTGTAGCGCTTATTCTGTGGAGGTCGATGATTGCTGCTGTACATGGAAATCTATTTTTAAACATTTTTCATTGAACCGATCATCGGTTGTCGACATCACATAGATACCTTTTCTTTGGTTCAGTCTAGCATCGTGCTCTGCAAGGACTGACGTGGTTTATATACGGAGAAAGGAAACCTTAAAAGGTTTTGCATTCGGACCGGACTTTTGACCCTGATTTTAACTGCTGTAAAATGAGATGTAATGTTAATCCCATTTCAAAGGGGGAATGTTTTACCTATCATTTTATTGATGGGGAAAGAGCGTACTAAAACGAAACTTTCATTAGTGTCTTGTTTTTCCCTTGTTATATTGTACCCACGGTTGCAATGTTGATCCCTTTGATGGGGGACTCACTGCATGACACAATTCTTCCCCTCATTTAGTTTGTGGCCATCTTCTCACTTCTGCTCGTAGATTTTCGGGGTCTCTTCATTCATCACCAGATCATGCTTCATCATCCATTTTTATTACGACTCAATTGGTCCATCCCCGTCAGACGCTTCAAGTTTCATATGTTTCATCCGCCCATTTGGTCACTGATTCCTTTCGAGAAATCATGAGTGGTTCTCTGCTTGGTACAAGGCTGCGTTTTGGAATCGTGGGTTGAATTAAGGATAGCACTCTTTTAGCATTTCCAGTTCTGTCAGCCAGAAGGTGTGGTGTCAAGACAGCTGCTTGCGCCATCTCTAGGTTCCTCCTGTACAATATTTTGTAAATCCCGCGGAATCCTGGTGGCACATAACCATGCCTGGAAACGCTGAACAATACCTTTCGTGCGGCTTTCTGCAAAACTCGCATAGCTTCACTAATGGCGTCCTGATTCCTGGCCCAGGAGCTGGCCGTAGGGCATCGCAGGGTCACCAGGTGGATAGTAGATAGTATTGTATGTGTGTAGTGATTGATGAATTAGCTTGTCTATGAGTCTTGACAGATCTCTTTCCTGGAACGATTGCCGGAGAATACGGGTAGCGACCCTCAAGTCTACTACAAATCAATTATTCCCGAGCAATACGTGTCGCTCTGAAGGGGCACAAATCAGTTGTGTCGCACGTGGCATCGGCAAATTGACGGACCTGTGGTGGTGGTACTCCGGAGTTAAAATGCTATACATTGCAACGTGCTCACAGCAAAAATGTCCTTTGAATGTCATATCGCTCCTTCATTAAGTCACCATGGCAATGGCATACAGCGCTTACTTTCTTCACTAGTAGATTATCCTCGCGTTTCCATCTTCTGTCAGCTTTACTTCCCACTTTCCGCCGCCTTCTTGAGGGCATCAAGCCTGCTTCCCAAATTCTTGGCATCGTTCGAAGCACATGGTGTGTGCACACAACCAGAGCGAGGTATCATTATAGGCTGGTTTCGCGGGTATGGCAGACATCATCAGTACATACTTTAGCTACCGAGTGAAATCAGAGTCCGGCCACATTTTCAGTATCTCGTTGGACCGCCTGCACACCCTTCGATACACCACCGACGGAATTAATAATGATTCTGCCATTTCGGGCGTGCGACGGCTTCGAAATTGGCGGTACATCGTTGACGCCACTGTTCCTGTGTAATCTCAAATCAACGCTGAACTAATGTCATATCGTCGAGCAGATGTACGCAATCGGGGGGCTTGGTATACATCAGCTTATCCGTCGCGCGCTCAATACTGACGCAGATGTCCACACACCTTTGCCCGATCCAGTCTAATTTCCTGTCGCTCAAGATTTGCCCGTCCAGTCAGATGTTGTGCTCGGGTGCACTTCTGCATCTCTTATCACCGTGCGCCCTTTTATCGCCGACGATGTCCCAAGGATAAAAGATGTTTGTTGAAGCACCCCTGATGCACCTGAAACTCAGTGCCAAGGTAATGACCAATGACGTCTTTCTTTGGCTAGGAGGGACCAGAGATTTGGTCCCTCAGCGCTCAGCTATGCAGTATAAACTCGCATCCACATCGATGTTTGGGTTAGGGTACGTGAGCAATATCATTGAATGGTCGCAATGTCGGGTAGCAAAACCTTGGGGCAGTCGTTTTGGACAGGCTCTACTGATTTGAAAACGATAGTTACGCAAGATGAAAGAGGCTCTGCCAGGAGGGCTGGAATGCTCGGTATAGTAGATGAGAGGCGTCGGAGAGATTTATTTTCCGTTCTATGACACGATGATTTTGAGATCGAAATCATACTAAGTCCCAACACGGACCAGTCGGATGGAACAAATGTACTGTTGATCGGTTGTCAGTTTATACAAGTTTCCGTTTCTTTTCCCTTCACATCCTGACGATGTAGCCATCAGACAGGTAAGGTCTTAATGCGCGTATCGCAGGCTAGGTTGCGGGATAAGGACTAATAAGGACTGACTGCCCTGATGAAATTGGCAGTAGGATGGCCCCGTTGCCCCGTAAATGATACAATAGCGCAATGAAGGTCCTACGTTCACGAGGCGGGCATGACTGGGAGGGAGAGGGGAAGGAATAGGTTGGAAAAGAGCGCCTCGTATGAGGGAAAAGAGTGGCCTGTTACGACGACGAAGGATACTGTTCTAGTCGCATCGTTGTACGCTTTAGTACCAGCTCCATGACTGTGAAGTAGAGCACGGAATTAGTAGCATTCGAAGTGAATCATTCTAAATGTCGAAGTGCTGGGGATTGGTGATGTAATCATTTGTACATCTCTCGCGCCGCCATTAGACAAAACCACATTAGCCACCTGAGTGCTGTAGAGTGTAAAAGTTCCCCCTGCACCGATACTACGGAAATATCAGCATCACGCCCCAATTAAAAGAAATAACAGCACGTACATAGCCATCGATGAATCAGCTGGTATCAGCCCGTCTGTATGGCATGATAAGCCCAAGTTTGACGAGCCGACAAATATTGCAGCCTCCAGCTACGGTTTTCGTTATGAAACTTCCCCCTCTTTACCTACCACGGCGAACGGAGATGACTTTCCTTCATAGGAGCACTGAAAACAATCCATGAGCATGCCCCGTAGCTGTTGTGCAGCGTGAATCCAGGTACCGATCCAGTCTGAATCCTCAGTATCGGAAGTTTGTACCCGCAGGCCCACAGTATAGGTAGTGTCATGTCGAATTGCTCCAACCGTGATCGTTTCGGTTGACGAACCCCAGTATCCGATAATGAGGATGACTTTTTTTACGAGGTGGGGATCTTGCACTATGGATTACGATATATGAGAAAGTCGTTGTACGAGAATCGTCCTCGTCAATGATACGAAGGGATTCAATCTCGATGAGACACCAGAGCGAAGGGAGCGCCAACGGAGATACGGCGGGCCACGATTTAACGCCATATGATACTGTCCGCTTTATGACAAACGAGGTTCGCCGGCCAAGCAGACCATCCACCTTCCACATCGGCGTGGTGTGGTTGAGGAAATTCGAGGAAAATACTAGGGGTAGTAAGGATGATGATTTTGTGGCTGGACGCAGTTAATGACGGCATCACATATGTAGACAACAGTCACCTCAAGGATAACACCCCTCGGCGTTGATCAGCTCTCTGCGCATTGGCAGGTTCCGGAATGACCTCGTCGGTTCTGCTCGTTACCACCCTAACGCGGTATCAACAAGCAGGGCTTAAGGCCGTATTGGTCATTGCACATCGGGCAGTAATAACTAGGTTTCCATCAGTCCGCTTTGTCTCATCAGGATAACTTCACCATACCTTGATGCCCTCAAAGTCTCCGCGCTACACCACTTCAATCAATATCTCCTTGCCCAAGATACTCGGGATCTCGACTGGTATTCGACGATGCTTGCCGTTGCCCTGGCGCCCATTTCTTTTCACTAATCCTGCTCCGGTGAAGCTCATATCCAATCTCGTCGCTCCCACCGGCGTCTCGTATACGATCCATGAATGTGGTAACTGCGCGTATCGAAGAGCATCACGGCTTAGTCCAAAGTCACAAGACGGACGGTCCACTGTCCAGATTCCTGCTTGCTGCTGATAGCTATGAGCACGACACCACTGATGCCGGAACCAAAACATCCCGTACCTTTGATCAGCTCAATGTCCATTACTGCCTATGCCGACGCCAGTTAACTTGATGATGCACATGGTGGACTTAAGGGAAAGAATCGAAGGAGGGATGAAAGATATCATGAGGTAAGGAAGCCATCAAGAGAAATCTAGAAACAGATGGTAAATTTCTGGGCGAAACTTGAGACAAGACAGCACGGAATACCTCGTCACCGCCTCATTATATAGTCATTGTTACAAGGTGACCTCAGCACAGTCCTCATTCGCTTTTTCCTTGGCTGTAAGCAGCATATACGCAATACCACGCGATGGCTAATCATCTTGAGTTCATCAAAGATTTCCGACTTGATGGCCTGGCTGTTCCTTTCAAGGAATACACGTGGCTGCTATCATGAGCACGGTCATGTTCAAGATACGAGCAAAACAAACTGCTCACATCCGTAACGCAGATCATGGATATCCCAGGCTACCAATAACATCGTCTCGTTGCGGATGGTCAGTCGGTTCTTTTGACTGGTAGAATCGCAAGATTATAATGCGTCGTTCGATATCTTGGTGGATCCAATGGTAGCATTACGGGTGCATTTGGGGCTGGTTGAGGAGATGAAGTCATTGTGGATAGAAGAAAAGAAGGATTTGCGAACGTCTGACGTCTTTCAGCTGAGTGACCGGCGTGACAGCGTTGGTTGCCGGAGTGACCGTAATGTCCCACGGTCCATTTCTGGCAAACGCTCAAGTTTGTGGGCTCTTCTGTTCACGGAGTCACAGCGCGAAACACGCACACTCGAATTGCCGATCAAAATTTTGGCACTGGCACCCAGTCCGAATTTCTTTCCTCTTCATCAACTGCAAATGTTCTTCCCACAACTTGACCGCAGACGATAACTTCGCGACATCCAAATCTCATGATTGTGATATCTTGTATGACTGAAGCAGATACTGGTGCGTTTCGATGTCCCAACATGGAACCTTGTAGGCTTTTGTTCTCAATTTCAAGTTCTACGCCTTGAGAGCTCTCAGCTGTAAAACCAAAAAGTGGCTTAATTTTTTTGCTCTGTAGGGATGAAATTGTTCATGCTATTTTACTGAGAAGAGGATTTGGAAAAACAGATCCTCCCGAGCTTTCGTTTTTACGAGCTAAAGCGCACTGGCTTGTGGCGTGATACGCCTCGACATCTCTTACTGATGTGACCCCAGCAGCCGTATTAATATCTAGCCTATAGGGATACTCGATGATGGCCAAAACATGCATCTATTGCGAGAACTTCCGGCGCGCCAGTGCTATGACGACATCCTATTTCTGGACCTTCGGCGTTTGAACTAAGGTTGGTCCTGCCTCGTGTCTGATTCGGATTCCTTGAGAAAAGTGACGAAAATTGCCAGTTGGAAATCGAAACGAGCGTCCGCCCACAGCGACGACTATGGACCTCAGCTCCAGATGCTTCTATCCCATCTTACTTCCTCAGAATATGACTGTATCATTTGGTGACTCCGAACAACATAGCTTACCCATCTCCGCGTTTGAGCTCATGAAATCAAGGAGTTTCTCTATCTGATCTTCTCAAGCAAGCCCCCGGTGCTGCGCGCCACATCTAGCAATATATATACAAGTGGCTACTATCATATCAGGATCCCCGTCTACTCTACCCATGTCTTTGGATCCCCTAGCACCCATTACTGCCACACCTTCGCTGGATATGACCATGGGTGCTACTTTCATCGGTCTAATCATTACTGCTATGTGAGTACATGTTCTCGTATTTTAATTTCATCTCTGACCGTCAGCATTCGTAGGTTGTATGGGATAAGTGTTCCCCAGCTCGTCATCTACTACAGACGATATTCCAAAGACCCGCGGCTTTTCCAATATTCAGTACGTACTTCCATCCACCACTAGCCATTTCGCTCACCCTTTTCTGTACTCAGATCGGCTTACTCTGGTACGCTGTAGCATATCCGAGGCCTTCTTGACGATGTTCCAAATTTTCAGGATCTTCGATACTATTCAACTCGGTCTGGCTATTCTCGCGCTCTACTTCTACCTTGTCACCTCCCATGGAAATTATCAGGCCCTGCTTCAGCTCAATTGGTCAGTCACAATTCGAAGCTATATAACATAATGTACTTACCTGGTCCTCTCTCCCAGGAGTATCCGGGTGAGCGTCATAATTTTGCCTTTAATCCATCCACTTAATCATGATTTTTGCGCTAGTCACAATATCCTTTCAGTGTGCGCAACAGCCACGGTCTGAAATTCCTGATCCTAACTCCCATGAACTAGATGGCGACCGTTGTTGGTGTCCAACCGTGAGTTCATGACTTATCATTGGACCTGAAAGACTCATCTACGCTTCCGACTACCTCAGGTTATACGCTGTTAGAATATGGAAATGTACGCGTCCATTTTTTACGTCGAGACCATCTTGACAACCGGCACAAATATCCCAGTTGGCCGACATTACCATTCAGTCAGACTCCTGCCATGGTGTGGCGTACGTTCTCTTTCCCTTTCGTCGCAACATAGGAATCTGACTTGACACTTAAGGCGTTCACCCAGTTTGTCTCTTTCGCAGCTACGTTGGGTAAGCTCCCATTCTTCGAACTTCAATCAAGAATTACCGCCAAACTGAAGCCTTCGTGATTTAAGCTGGGGGAATCTGTAAGCCTTAGTTATACAAACCTGATACAATGTCGAGCCTTAATAATCATCACCAGACTCGACCTATATCAAGTAAAGATTCAAGTTCCTCTGTGTCCCCGTCCAGATCTCCTAAGTACACTTCGCTTTAACAGCTACGGTCCACACGATCTTCTAACCTTGCCGAGTATCAGAGTGGGTGTTGGAAGTTCGACGTGCACGGCTCTGATGCAATACCATTTAGGTACCGCTCTACATAGCTTTTGTTGCGACAGCAATTACAGATCTTGTTGTCGCCGGCATAATGTGCTTTTACTTGCACAAGGGAAAAGGAACGACCCGCCTATCCAGGTCAGTTATACTCACCTACAGTTTATCGCATATCTAACATGAACATAGGACGATAAAGATCATTATAGGATTGACGTGGCTCGTGGTAATGTCCGGGTTGGTGACATGGTGAATAGATGATTGCAAATCTTCATTGTTCTCACTCGATTTCACAGTTAATGGTCCTTTTGGTGATAGCGTATGTTCATTGCTTGTTCTCATCACGGTAATGTCTTCAACTATGCACGTCGATCGTTCCTAAATGCTAACCCCCTACAGTACATCATCTGGCCAAACGCTCTTCTTTTCGTGGCGTTCGAGATGGTTCTACCAAAAAGTCGGTGGCCCACTTTATTAATTTATATTCCATTGACATTAACCCGTGCGCTCACCGACAGTTTACATGAACTCCTTACTAGCAATGTAAGATCGGGGTTCGTTTAGGAACCATTTGTCTGCGAAGCTAATGTTCCACGCAGGCTCAATTCTCGCAAGATTCCAAGAACCGCCGCCACGGACTGGGAACACTCTGCCTCTCCTCCCGGTACGGTACTGGAATTTTCTCCTCTTGAGTCCAACGACATCCCCACATGAAACACAAATTATGACTGTTATGGTATGTACCTCTTGCCGTTGCGACGTCGAATCGGTCACTGCCCTCCTTTTCAGAACAGCAGGAAACTTACTTCCTTCCGCAACGAAATAGAGCCATTCTTAAAAAGTGCAGCAACCCGGTCCTTTCAACTGAAGGAGATTACGGTACTCTAATGTTTTTCTCTGCAGATGCGCACTGCTCGTATGATCAAATGTATTATTTCGTAGACCTCGAAGGCGTACCCTTGCAAGTCTGGTGTTCGATCTGGCAGTAGGGAGGTATCGCGGGACGAGTGATAATCTGATGTTTCCTCCATTAGTCGCAAGTCTCTGTTACTTTCACAGTGCTTTAAGTTGAAACGATGATCGAAGAAGCTTATGAGTAACATAATTACAGGGAGATGTAAGTGGACGAGCAAAAGGCGGATACCAAGACGACGGCGAATGGTGATGGCGACGACGACATGAAGATGACTCATCAAGGATCCTTTTCGACGTCATCTCAAGCCTGGCATCTTCCACTTGCGATTTAAGACCAGTTTCGAGTCAGAGATGTGCTTCAGAGTCACTGCTCGTATATGCTCCTCCAACAGCGATTCAAGCGTATTTCAATTCTGTGACATGCGTTGCCTGCTTTTTTGAAAAAAATATATAAGGCTAATAATAAGTACTTTGAATTACAAGATTTATTGCGACAGATAATCACAGAGCAGCGACAATAGGAAAGCGAGAAAATACAAAGACGATTTGAAGATGATGTCACTTGCAAGGGTATATTTTTGGAGGAAAGTTGGACTCTAACCATCAAGAATGTGAGTCTTATGGTACTGCAGGAACCCGATATGGCATATCAAACACGGCGACAATTTCCGTATTTTGTGCAATCTCTGCCTCTGCACGCGACCTCTCCTCTTCCTTGGCGAAAATAACATCCTGATTGTACCACCATGAGGGCAATGGAAGAGAGAATTGCATCAAGTTGAAATCATACCCGCATACGTTTCCCCAACGCGTCGAGTGCACGCTGATGGTCCCGCGTATTATTCCAAATCTTTTTCAGCCTGAAGATATATCTCAACCATGTGTCCTTGTCGATCCACGAGAACGCATCGTCGGCCTGACGCAACTCTCGAGACAGGGCGAGTGATTTGTACCTGAGTCTATGCGATCATGAGTCGACATGCAGTTGCAACTCAAAGGCGAAAGAATTTGGAAAGAATACATACGATCGAAGCTTGCCATTAAATGTTCCCAACTCCCCCGCGTGTGTATCGAAGAAGGTAATTTCTTTGTCGATGCTAGCTGCAAGGTGCCGGACGGCAGTACTTGGCGATAACGGGGGAATGCTAATGCGTAGAAAAGCACCGCCAGAGAGGAAGACGACGACCAGCAGTGTAGAGAGCCAAGCTGGTGATATCATAGTGGAAAGAAAAGTGACCACAGTTTCGGCTTTGCAGGAAGACATTGTGAAGGGAGAAAAAGTATTGTTGTCCGGTAGTATACTACTCGCTATACTTATAAAGCGATGAATGTACAGGAACTTCTCATGCGGATCTTGGAACCGAGTTCTGCAGTCCTCAAGCATTATGAATACTATGTGGAAATCCTTGAGTAACAATGCTGTATCCAGTAGCGGTTATTCGTGAAGTCGATGACTGGCAACTGCTGCCGAAGAGCCGGATCTAGGATATATATTATTGGATATATATGGGGATCTATTAAAAGGTTGTCCACATAGCGTGAACTATTCACCTTTTCTTCGGATCTTCCTCCGTATGTTCAATTCTGAGCCTACGATAATCTACCGTATCGATCCCCTTGATGGGGAATGCGCATTGCATAACACGTTCCTTCCTTCATAGTTCGCAGTCATATTCTGTTTCCGCTCATGGTTTTGGGTCGCTTCATTCATTACTAGATCAGGCACCGTCATTCATCTGTTCTCTTCATGAATCATTTTGATCTATCCTCGTCGGAGCTGTAATCATCTAAAGCATTTGGTGTATTGATTTCCTCCTTGATGAAATCGTGAGTGGCTCTTTTTTTGGAGATCCAGGGTTGCCTCCTGAATCAAGGATAACTCTCTTTTAGTGCTTATAGTTCCGTCAACTTGAAAGGTGTGGTGGAATCAAAAAAGTTGCTGTGCCATGTCCGCATGTCGGGGTTTCCTTGGAATTTTGGGACGATGCATCAGATCAAGTTTCCGGAACTCTGGCGACGGCTTCTCACCCTCTCTTGTGTTCTTCAATTATTTATCAAAGATATCAGATCCATCCTGCTTCGAGGTTCTACACGTTCACACCCCACCAATGACGGACTCCATCGGGACCTGAACTTTGTACTGGTAGCCCTACATTCTCGTCAGTGCTCGTTTTCGGCCGGTGCTTGGGCATGCTCAACCGCCTTTCATTGGTGCACGTAGCCGCACTTGGAAACACCGGACAATACCTGCCGCTTTCTGCAAATCTTGTACAGCCTCCTTGGTGACATCCCGACCGACCAGGTCCAGAGTCGCAAGCGTGTGATTATTGATACATCAAGTTGGCCCCGGGTTTTCAGGTCTCGTTGCTGTAGCAATTGCGGGAGAATAAATACAGCAGCTCGAATTTCCTTCTCACCACCAGTTCCGGAGGCCAGTTAGCCCGTGTCGCAAACTTCTCAGGGCTGTTAGAATCGCATGGCTCGTGGTAAACTAGAGTGAGGTACATTTTTCAATGATACTTCCGGGATTTGTCACAATATCTCGTTTGACTGACCTTTCTACACCGCCAACTAGACGAATAACTGTTCTGTCATTTAGAATGCCAAAAGCGAGGACGAAGCTGAGGATGCTGGTCTGCGGTCACATCGTTGGACATACTGACCCACGGCACAGTTTTTTATAGCTTCAATTGACTTGACAGCAGCGACTATGAAGTATATCGTACAATGAGTAACGTTTGAAGTGAACCATTCAAACGTCGAAGCTCTCGGCATCGATGACGTAATTAATTGTGCAGGAAAGTACTATTATCTGTCGCGCGGCCATTAGACAGGACCACATTATCCACCTGGGTGGGAGCTGTGAAGTTCTCCCCGCACTGATACTACAGTAATATCAGCCGCTACGTCCTAATCAAAGGAAAAGACGGTACGTACAAGGCCATTGATGGTTCAGGGTGCACCATCCGTATGGCAACTGAAAGCATGATAAGCTCAGGCCCGACACACCGAAAGGGAGCACCAACGGAGATACAGCGGGCTGCCATTTAGCGCCATATGATATTGACCGTTTCATGGCGAATGAGGAGTATTGCCGGCCCAACAGACCATCCCCATCCCGCATGTTCTACATCGGCATGCTGTGGTCGAGAGCATCCATGGAAGAACCGAGAGTAGTAGGCATGATAGCTTTGTAGCTGGTCGGAGCTGAGGACGACATCGCATATGTAGGCGCCCACCGCCTCAGAAACACTCCCCGGCGATGATCAGCTTTTCTACGCATTAGCAGGTCCTGAGATAACTTCATCGATTCTTCTCGATCGCCAGCCCAACGACCAGGCCAACATCCACTACCGCCGATGCCGACCCCAGTTAACTTGATCGATACGCATGCTGTGCTTGAAGGAAAGAATCGAAGGAGCGATGAAAGATATCAAGGGGTAAGGAAGCCATTAAGAGAGATCTAGATACAGACGGTGAATTTCCGGGCAAATTTTGAGATGAGACAGCACGGAATACCTCGTCGTTGCCTCATCACGTAGATATTGTTACAGGGCAACTGGAGCCACTGGAAGTACAATCCTTGTTCGCTTTCTTGCCTGTCTGTAAACAGAATATACGCAATACCACGCAATGGCGATCGTCTTCAGTTCATCAAAGATTTCCGACTTGATGGCCTAGCTGTTCCCTTCTGGTGATACATGTGGCTGCTATCGTGAGCATGGTCATGTCCAAGATACGAACAAAACGAACTGCTCACATCCGTAATGTAGATCATGGATATCCCCCACCATCCCTACAAGAGACGCACCCCAATATCATCGCCCTGTTGTAACTTGTGGCTTTCTTTGACTCGTTGGATCGCAAGATTATAGTGTGTCGCTCAATATCCTGGTGGATCTGATAGTGCCAATACGCGTGCATTTGAGGCTGACTGAGGAGATGAAGACAATGTGGTAGAAGAAAAAGAAGGATTTGCGAACCTCCAGGTGCGTGACACATGCGTGACAAGGTTGGTTACCGGACCGCAATGTCCCACGGTCCATTTCTACCAAACGCTCATCCCATAAAACATATTCTCCGAACAAGTCAATGGGCGTCAGTGATTCTTCTATTCACGCGTGTGCTTAAATTCCTTTGCTCTCGATCAACTACAAATGTTCTTCACAAAAGACCGCAGATGATGACTTTGCGACATCTAAATTTCATGATTGTAGTATCTTGTATACACTGCAGCAGCGGCTGGTGCGTTTTTGGTAGCCCGAAATGGAACCTTATAGGTTTTCGTTCTCAATTTGAAGTTCTACGCCCTGAGAGCTGTAAAACGAAAAAAAGCTCAATGTCATTGCTTCGTAGGGATGAATACTGTTCATACCGTTTTACTGAGCGCCTTTTCTAGAACATTGAATTTGTCCTAACGACCGGTATCGACATCCCAGTCGGCTGACATTACCATTCAGTCAGACTCCTACCATGGTGCGGTGTACGTCCTTCGTTGTGACATGGATATCCGACTTAACGCTTAACGCGTTCACCTTGTTTGTCTCTGTCGCAGCTACGTTGGGTGAGCTTCTATTCTCCAACCCTCATTCATGAATTGCCGCCAAGCTGAATGCTGCATAATTCAAGTCGGGGGAATCTGTAAGCCTCAGTTATACAAACCTGTACAATGTCGAGCCTGAATAATCGTCACCAGACTCGACCTATATTAAGTAGAATTCAAGTTCCTGCATATTCCCCATCTCCAGATTTCCTGAGTGTATTCGCTTTACCAGCTACGGTCCATGCGATCTTCTAACCTTGCCAAGTATCAGAGTAGGTGTTGGCAGTTCGACATGCACGGCTCTGATCCAATACCATTTAGGCACCCCTCTACGTAGCTTTCGTTGCGACTGCAACAACAGATCTCGTCGTGGCCGGCATAATGTGCTTTTACTTGCACAAGGGAAAAGGACCGACCAGCCGAACCAGGTTAGTTATACTCACCTACAGTTTATCATATATCCAACATGAACATAGTACGATCAAGATCATTGTAGGATTGATGCGGCTCGTGGTAATGTCTGGGCTGGTGACATGGTAAATAAATAATCACAAATCCTATTTTCTCACTTGATTTTATGGCTAACGCTCCTTTTCGTGATAGCGCATGTTCGTTACTTGCTCTCATCTCGATAATATCTTCAACTACGAACGTCGATAACTCCTAACATTATCGCCCTGCAGTATGCCATCTGGCCAAACGCTCTTCTTTTCGTCGCGTTCGAGATGGTTTTTCCTAAAAGTCGGTGACCCACTTTATTTATTAATTTAGATTACATCGTCACTAATCTGGGCACTCCCCAACAGTTTATATGAACTCCTTACTAGCAATGTAAGCCCGCGGTTTATATAGGAACCGCCCCTTTGCTAGGTTAATGTTCCACGCAGGCTCAATTCTCGGAATGTTCCAAGCACCACTGCCGCCGACTGGGAACACTCTGCCTCTCCTCACGGTACAGTCCTCGAGTTTTCTCCTCTTGAGTCCAACAACATCTCGTCATGAAACACAAATTATGAATATTATGACATGTACCTCTTGCCGCTGTCAGTGTCGAACCGGTCCACTGCTCTCCTTTTTAGAATGTCAGGATACTTATTTCTGCTGCAATGGAACGAATTTATGTCTAATACAGTGCGGTAACCCAGTCCTTTCAGCTGAGGGAGATTACAGTGTTCTGCACACCGCTTGAACAACTAAATGCATTATTTTTCAGACTTCGAAGTTGTACTCTCACAGATCTAGCGCTTGATTGGGCGGTAGGGAGGTATTGTGCAACGAGGGATAACACACTGTTTCCTTCCCACAACCGCAAGGTCTTCTGAAATGCGACTGGTCAAGATCACGAACACCACCCTCTTACAACAGTGTTTGTGGGTACTTTTCATCGCATAACCATGCAAGTGCACTTGTAGAAGAAGAACATGTAATTCGCAAAGCAGTCGATAGCAAGAAACCAACAAAAACTAGAAAAAAGATCGTCCGAACACTGGCAGTCGTTTACAGGCACTCATTCTTGTCCACATCAATGAACCAGCTCCCGACAATACCTTCTTTCCCCTGCGATAAAATTCAATATGGAATCCCCCGCACGATAGAGAACGACGACATACCTTTTCCTCACAAGTATCTGGGTGAGCGAATGACTGCGAGGCGAATTGAAAGGGGGTAGAGAAGCACATCTCAGCCCAGTTGTCCCAGGGCTCTTGATGATTGAACATGTGTGCCTCAACGCGCTACAAAAGCGGAGTCAGTCTGATATGAAACAAGCAATACCGGGATGCGGCGTACACGCTTGTGAGAGCCATAGCAGTCCTATTGAACAGTAATAAGCGCGTGCATGGATTAACAGTCTAGATACGTACCTTCTTCTTCTGATTGCCCCACCAAGTCTTGCACGTCGGCTCATTAGACTTGACGGTCCAATGTCCAATAGTCTTTACAGCCCCGTCCTGCGTAGAAAAATATTCAGCACACGCAATAAGAGAACGCAGAAGAAAACCCACCACCAGCTCCTGGGTACAGAGTTCCGGATGATCATACGTAATACCATGGATATCAATGCTCGTCTTCATGCACCAGTTCTGTGCATCTTCCCCTGCTGGTACATTCAGCAGCTCTGCATGATACATCCTTTTCTCATATTCCAAGCATCGCTTCTCCGCCGTCAAATCCCACCACATGATGCCTGCATGCTTCCTACGCTCCTCGTCGGCCAGTATCGCATCCTCTTTAGCTCGGACGGTTTCCTCTCTATGAGTCACAGCAACCAACCTGGCATGAATCATTCTTTCTTCGCTCTCCCTTTCCACCTTCCACTGGCGATCCTCTTCCTCATGCGCCAGTCGCCTCTCCTGATCTTCTTGCTGATGCGCTGACTCCCTCTGCCTATCTTCATCCTCGATTCTCTTCAATCGCTCCGCTTCCTCTCGACGACGCATCCTGTCTTGGACATCGGTACGGTGGGTGTTGGTGTAGTCGCTTCCTAGATGCCAGGCAAGAAGCGCCGCAACGGTGACAAGCGCCAAGATAATACGTAAACGTTTGGTAAGAGTCGCTTGCACATGTACCTTCAGCACCTTCAGCGGGGTACGTTCGTTTATAGGAGCTGCTAAAAGTCAAACAAAAGCGTACAACAATAAGCGCCAGGATACAGACAACAGAATGTTTAGTACCTGCTTCATCATTTGGAGCAGAATGGTAGCTTGGCGGTGGGGAAGACCATGTCCTGTGATAGCACAACGTCAAAAGGTGGTAGAAATGGCAAGGTAAGAAAACTGAGAACTTACCTCGGGGGATTGTACATGCTCATGATGGTGGAGAGAAGGAAGGTGTCGGCGTTGAACCTGAGCAACTTCATGCCCTACACGCGTCTTCGCCCATTACGTGGCGTGTTGCGGGTTACCAATTCAGATCATCATCATCATGCCCTACACGTGCAGCGCTTAGCCGGCTCATTATGGAAATCAGGCGCCTATCCCAGTCTGCGCATGGAAATTGGATCAGAAGCAGTGTTGCTCCCTGCTCCTCGGTCCTCGGTCGGCGGAAAAACTGGTACACGTCAAAACTGTTCCCTGTTCAAGGATAACTAGCACCAACGCAATTCCAGACTATCAGGGAAGTGCGTTTAGTGTCTGCAGTTTGGATGTAGCAACTACACCGGGCCGGAATCGATGACACGTTCTGACCATCATGCGCAGATCTCCCTGCCTTCGTGCACGGGTCTCTCGACTGAAAGGGCGCCCTCTTTCATTCTATCCCTTCATCGATTCTTTGTAGCTCCCCAACCACAAGCGTACCCGCAGCGGCCCGTGTTGTCGTGTCGGGAAGGTGTTGCATATAAATATGGAGGACGTCCATCCCGTCGAGGTACATAACAGCTCTTCGTGTCGTCACGGTGTTCCCGAGCCATAAAACGTCGATGTATGTGCATAGTGTAGAAACTTATTGGCAATAGACTCGGCAGTGCCATCGCGAAAAAGAGGTAAAGATATAACGCTGGAGACGTAGCCGCGTAGGACGAGCAGTATGCTACCCATAAATGTTCAGTAACTGAAGTATTGAACCATCCCGGCAAGTATAGCTCGTCGAGTTCATGGAATGGTGCGCTACTCACAGTTTCGTCAGCGTCGTCTGTCCTTAGCCGTGTTCCAACGTACTGTGCACACGAAGACTACATTCGGTCGAACTTTGGATAAAAAGAAACCTCTCCCACACATTTCATCCATCATACTGAATATCCAGGCTGTCCTGGCCAAGCCTCCGAGTCTCCCACCTCGTGGAAAGATCATCGTCCTCAAAACAAAAGGGCTTGTCCGAAATAAGCGTTCGCAAGGCTACGCAACCTTCAGCTGGCTCAGTTCGCGAGGTGACCATCCCAATGACGATATTGCTCGCATCCTCGAACTCGAAGGTCGACCCTGTCAAGTCTATGCTGCATAGCTGAGGGACCAACCGCAAAATGTCTCTCTTTCTCCCTAGCTGAAGAAAGACATCATCGGTCGTCACCTTCGCACTGATTTTCAGGTCCGTCAGCAGCGGGGTGTACTTCAACAGACATGTCAGCGCTTCACTGTCCATAATATTTGAATCGTCGATCTGTATACATAGATCCTCCAACATCGGCGCAGTCTCCGAAGTAAATTCTGGAAAAATGATTTCCTCTTCCGTGTAGCTGAACGCAATCCGTAACTCGAGGAGTCCCAGTAAATCGAGCCTTGAAAATAGGTCAACTACGAATTCAGGTGAAGAACCAGGGCTGTTGGTTACGCTCAACACCCTGGAGATGCCAGATGGACCCAGTTGACTACGTAGATATACACCAAGCTATGTCAGGGCGCCCAGTAAACCAGAGATCTTGTTTAAAATGCGGAATGAGGAGAGGGGAAGTCGACGAAGAGTTTTTTCTGATGAGGAGAGGCGGAGAGAATTACGGGAACAATGCGATGGTCAGACATATCCTCCTTACTCTCGATAGCAACGGTAAGCCGTTGTGTACTGGACGGTCCAGACCTCTCCAGATATGTCCCGGAGGCTTCGGACGGAATAATGAAGTGGTGTGGCCTTGTATCTGTGAAGTTGGAGCTAGATGGGTGACCAAGGGAATCCAGTAATGAAGCATCTCTGTCCCCATTGCTTGACCGTAACAACTCGCTATCCCGAAGGATACATGAACGAACGATGTGGTTTAAAAACTCGGGGAGTAAACGGCGAATGGGATTCAAGACCAGTTTCGAGTCAGAGATGTGCTCCAATACTCGTTTCTGCTCATCCAAGAGTGATTCAAGCATATTTTGAGTCTGTGATATGCATTGTTGGAGGAGGGCCAAACATCGCTCTCCTTTACGGCAATAGCTTCCAGTTTTGGATGCAGACACGTTTCAATCGGACACCAACACCGTGCTTGCCACGACGATCAATGACGCATCCGGAATTCAAATCCATCAATGAATTTGATTATCGCAAAGCATAAATATAGCCAAATGATTGGATTTTAGTTATAAACAAGCAATCATGGCAGTACGAATACCGTTACACACCAGCCCTATACTCAATGCCCCCCTCCAAGCTCGAAACTGTATTCACTTATCTTGATTCTATGATTTCACCAGCTTGGTTGTCTACACTGCTTTTGGTCGTCTTCCTCTCTCAAAGCGCTTTTCCACGCATCAGCATCCCACCATTAAAGCCAAGTACTGCCGTCCAGCATCTCGCAACTAGCATCAATGAAGCAACGTCTTTCTTCAACGCCCACACCAGGGAGCTGGGAACATTTAACATCAAACTTCTATTGTATGTATTCTTCGATTTTAAGCTTACACGTCGACTCATGATGAAATAGACTGGGGCGGAAGTCACAAGCCCTGTCTCGAGAGTTGTGTGAGGCAAATAAGGCGTTGTTGTGGTTCGACAGGAGCACCTGGTTGAGATATATCTTCAGAATGAAAAAGATCTGGAATGATACACGCGACCATCAACGTAAAGTTGACGCGTTGCGGAAGTGTATGCAGGTGCGGCTTAAATTTCCTGAAAATTTCTATGCTATTGCGCTCATGCAGTATTTCTAGAACACAATTTTTACCATAGAAGAGGAGAGGTTGCGTGTGGAGGCTGAGATTGCCCAAATCAGGGAAAGCGCAGCCGGGGTATAATATATCTGCGCAGAGTCGCATAAGAGGTTGCTCAAGAATGACAATGACCTTTGTCTTCCCGCTACATAGATATACCCTTGCAATAGTCATCGTCTTGCTCTCCTGTTGTTGTCCTGTATTATTCATCGCTATCAATTTTAGTGACATTTGAATCTCCTGGAAGATACGAACGCACCAACATGCATAACGTCTCAGGCCCAGGGTTTAAGACGCATACGGTTTGCCATAGTACTGCGTTAAATGACATCAGTGCCTTACTGTCAGCGCAAGGGCAACGTAAAACGGGAAAACCGGGACCTACTAACTTGTACTCTCTATCGTTCTGACCTCGAGTTGGTAGAGTCGCTCACGAGCTCATCACCTTTCAAGAATGTCAAACTTGCCATATGTTCGCAGCGGCTCTTGGCGTATGTCCTTACAGAGTAGTACCTCGTCGATAGACAGTGATATGGGGAGGAAAGAACGATCGTTAAGTTGAAATGGCGTGGTGATAAATGACGCTGCAGAGTTACGCCTGTTGCTCCACCGTCGCGATAGGTACGTCTAAAAATTTGTGTGAATATATCAGCCTCTTGGAAGCATAAGGGCCCGTTCGTGTGCATCTGTTTAGACGTAGCCAGAGGGTTCTGGTAAGGTTAAGAGAACCGATCACAAGATCGGGATAATTCGGATGTATGCGGATGATGTCCGAATGATGTCAAGCGATCGTCAATGCTGCCACCGATAATTAGTGAAGCAGATTGAGGTACGGGACATCTGTCAAGCGCCGGACTGGACGGATCGAGGAATACAAGGTAAAACCCGGCCCGGGAAACAGTTTTGCCAGAATGCCGGCTTCGTTCTTACCACCATGGACTGCAACGAAGTACGCGTCATTACCGCAGCTACGATCGCCTCACCGCCGGTCGTGATCATGAACACGAATTCGCTGCATCTCTTGACAGTGGCGGGCGCTGTTGCTCGAGCCAATGCCATTCTCTTCAATGCTGTCGGCGAAATCCCTACCAAGGCTGACTTCATTATCGCACGCTGATCAAGTGAAAAACTTCTTGGAAAGATGGTCGTTACGAGCGGAATTGCAGAGACCATGGCATCTATATTACTTGGAGGACTGGAAGTGAAATCTCATCTCTTGTCTTTCTTAGGTCTACAACCTCCGACGACATCCGCTATACATGTTCGGACGGCCAACAACCCGGAGATCGGAAACGAAAAATCTTCAGTGGCAGAGGAATATTGTGTGGAACCATTGTGGAAACAGGTTCGTTATCAACATTGGTCAATGGTTTGTGAAACTTACGCGATGCCAAAGTGGTATATGAAAAGCCACCCACTACCATGACGGTGTCGCTTCTGGCCATCTCAGATTACAGTTGGAAAGAGGGCTCTTTACCGTATGACACCCGTTCATTAAGGGCGAGATAATCCGTCGGATCTAAGCGGCGGTACACTGGGGAGCAACAAGGCGGTTCTATGGCCGGAGATCAGTTTTCGGGTACGGTACACCTCGACAAGTAGTGATGGACTTATTCACAGGTGAGGTTATCCTGACATCGTCTCTATTTTTGCCTGACAACAATTCCAGATCAATGATTATACGCGTCAATCATATACACGTGTTTCGATGTCGATATCAAGTGCTGTTTGGTTCATGTAACCGGCTGATTGCGACATCACAAGTCAGTATTGAGCACTTCACCATCATATCGGTTAGTTGACGCTGACATGAATTGTCGATCTAGCTTTGTTTGCTTTCATTCATAGCGCAGGTCATGTCTACGCTGCCTATATAAGCATGCATGAGCATGGCCTGGTTGTGGTGATTCGATACCTGTGCTGTACAATCGAAGCCCTTTTCCTTAAGGGGCAGCAGAGGCTGGGGTTAAGGTCGTTACGACGCCATTCTGCCCTTCTCCCAAATTGTATCTGTACTATGGTAAGTTTTCCCTGCTTTCTTTCCATTTAGTGACAGCACCCCAGGGTTGTCACGCAGAATGGATGGTCTAGTCTGGACCCGATCTCATCATCAACAAAGGATAGCGCTATCGAAGGATGTGGACGATTGTTTTTCGTGTCAGACTTAGGTTCCGCGTCATCCTAGAAGATCAAGACTTTGAAAATGAGAGCGTCTCGTGTTCGAGGTGGATGCCTCTCCTCCAAAATCATCACCTCAACTGAGTGTTATGAGTCATTCATATCCGTATGTCAGATATCACTTTTCTACTATTGGCTAACGTAGTACTGCCACAGGCAATCGTATCTTCCACCTCCTAGCGACCGAACTATCCAAAGTGACGAAGCAGGTACCCGTTACGCTGCTATTCGTGTCCTGAAACTTACGCTTTTTGCACAGATGCAAGCACTGAGTTCATGCCGCTAAAACCATAAGCAACCTCTGGCCTACGTTCGCGTACATTTCGAAGCCTGTCATTCCTCTTCATCGGAGCACTCCTTGTCTCAACGACGACCATATCGCCGTAAACGTACGGATGTCCAAGACCGGTTTCATTGGAACGAAGGTGCTCGAGGGAACACAAAGGCCACTCGCAGAGGATAAAGGGAGCTGACTAGAGGAAGGGCGATCAGGGTCCAGAAGATGACTACGCGGGAAGGGAAGAATGTAGGGAGCATGGTTGGTATAACAATATGACGGCGGAGAAGCGGTGATTGGGAAGGTCTCGGATAATCAGAATGCAAACAGCTGGTGCAGGTGACTGTCGAGGTAGTGGCCTTTCGTCTTCAGTTTCTTATTGATGACGCTCACGAAAGATGGATCTCAGGCTTCGGAAGCGCCATTGATGGGCCAGAACGCGAGCATTGAGATTTAATTATTTATTTGCGTGCCTGCTCACTGTCTTTAATCGGGTAGGACCGCTATAATTCTCACATCATAATGCTTCATATTTTGCAGTGGCAGAGCGAACTTCGTGGCGCAATGAAGCCCGTATCAAGAGCTCTCAGCCAATTGGGTGACACGGAAAAGACTCACGAAGAATGCATTTGGTAGACTCACGTATCATCTCAACGCCTGGTCGGTCAGTGTGTTCTACCCTGCAAAGAATGTTAATACTGATTGATTCGTAGGTAAAGGATGATATCTCCGGCACCTGTTTCATCGATGTCCATGGAACCGAATAAAGTTTCCCGTGCGGATCGCTGATTCTTGCGGGGGCGACCATCTTGTACTCGTCGCGTCGTAATGAATAACCATTTTATCCGGATGCAGTGGGGTAAACTCGTGACCTTCATGCAATACAAAGATTTCTCTTTGTTAAGCGCGGACCGGAATATCATTAGATCCTCCGCGCATGATTGGGAGCTCGGCAATCAAAATCTCACTGCAAGTCAGGGAGGATTTGAGCCCGAGTATCCGAGACTTTCGGTCGCGTTGTTGCCTGCCGGTACAAGACAAGGTCCGATCCCCCATCCATCCAAACCCCATGATCAGGACCGAGACGTGCACGCTCAGTACCTGGCATCCTACGCCTCAAGTAAGTCCGTTTTTTCTCTCTACGAAAGATTGGATGCTCATTTGTTCCTTGGTCAGGCTCAAACCTGGCTGATTATGCAACATAAGCGTCGGATGTATGAGCTAAATAGACAACACATCGTTTCCTTTGCGGTTATGTGACATTCGTAACCATACCTCGGCTAAAAGGTGGTCACCAGGACTACATCTCTGTCATGCACCCATGAAAGTACCGCAACGCACACTGATTGTTATCAACCCGGTCGCGGATGCCGTCCTCGAGCTCATCAGCGCCAGCGATCATCTGCTTTTACTATCTCAGCTGCTCCCGCACCCTCGAGTTTCCATTCCGTGCGTGGATCACATTTTCCTGCGACGCCGACGCCGATCCCGCTGCTACTTGCACAGCTTGCTTTGAACTGCCCGGTGGCGGTGGCATTTTCCCTGTTTGACGACAGTAGCTGTAATAGCCATCAAAAAGAGCCTTCTTTAAAGGTGATCCCACAATATTGCATGCCACGGGATGGATATATATGACGCGCTACCCCTTCAAGGTTGGTATAGCAAATGCCACCAATACCTATAGCTGATATCGCCCCACTGGGAATGACACTCGGTGCAGTTTATATCGGGGCTACCATAGGCACCGTGTACGCATACTTTCTCTTGAGGTTTCCTCACGACGCCCATTGTACACTCTAGTTTCTATGGGATAACCATTCTTCAGACCGTCATCTACTACAAGCAATATCCTAATGATCCATGGCTCTTTCGATATTCTGTACGTGGAAAGTATACGCCCTCATAGAATATTTCTGACATCTCAGCAGGTCGGCTTATTGGGGTGCGCTTACAGGACGCTGTATAAATATACGCCATTTTTTCTTGACATTGGCTATAATCTCTAGGATTCTCGATACGCTTCATGTTGCAATAAGCACCCATGCTTTGTACCATTATCTGGTCGAATTGTTTGGAAACTTTCCTGCTCTCTTCAGGATCGTTTGGTATGTCTTGGCCTCTGCTATGACCCGAGATTCAACTGAGTCCGTACCTCGCTGGCAGGAGCTTTCGGGTACGCCTATTTCCCCGCTTCATCCATTACGTGAATGTCCTGAGCTCCTCTGCCCTCAGTTGCACCTCATAGTCAATGTACGTATACCTGGGTATCACTGATCTCGCATCCTTTTCTAATTACTAACTAGACGTTAATCGTCGTTAGCGTCCAAGCGTGTGTTTTCCGACTGACTCTCGAATGATTGGAGATTCATTCTCTGGTATTACAGCTTGTATGCTGTCAGAATATGGAAATGTCAGTCTCTCTACCAGCGTTAAATAAAACAAATCCTCATTGTGGGTCTCTCATAGTCGGTCGTCACTTCCATGCGGTACTGCCATGGTTCATTGTGAGTGTTTATCTTGCCTTCTTTATAATGCTCGTACAGACGCAAGTCATTCGGAATGCACCCAGTTTCTTCTTGTCGCAGGTTCCAGCGGTGAGTGTTTCTTTCTCTTTATAATAATCGAATAACTGAATGAGATTTCCAAGCTGTCGGAATTTGTGAGTGTCCTTTCGTATGCACAGTGCTGACTTACGGAGACATTGACTAGACATCACTTATGATGTGTATGTATTACCCCTCTTTAGGATGACGTCTTCCACAGTGCTAATTTGTCGCCAGGTACACCGTGTCCAGCATTTTGGAGTTGCCGACCTTTAGCGTAGGGTTTTATAGCTCTGTATCGAACATATGGCTATTCTGATTCACAGCTGTGCTTTACAGACAACCATTTATGCAGTGTTCTCTACAGCGGCAGGAGCAGACTTCGTCATCGCCGCTTCAATGTGCTATTACTTGCACCGAGGCAGATTAATGGCTCCCGGCATCTCCAGGCGCGTCTTCTCCAATCCATCACGAATATTATCAGTGACCACTGCAAAAAATAATCTGTAGTACGATGAAGATCATTGTAGGATTAATGCGACTTGTTGTACTGTCTGGTCTGGCGACGAGGTATGATTCTGGCGTTGCTGATATGATGGGAACTAATCACAGATACTCACTGGCACTCTAGCGCCTGCTCACTATTTACTCTCATCACGGTAATCAGTCACTATTATTTGATCCCCTTAAATCTGATATCATTGTTAACACAGTACATCTTATGGCCTAATAGTCTCATTTTCATCGCAGTCGATTTCATTCTACCGAAGCGTGCTCGACCGGTTTTCTATTCCTCTCTGATCATTCATCGACAGTCTATATAAATTCGTTGCTCGTGATGCAAGCTTTCCTCCCTCTCTCATTGGAATGATTTTAACATTGAATAGGCTCAATGAACGCAAAGGGCAAATGAGGGATGAGATCAATGAAAGCTCCGCTGATGATAAGACAATCAGGTTTGCTCATACCTCCAGTAGCGGGGCCAGTAATCCGGCAGAGATGGTGCGTAGATTTCATATTGTGAATGCGTTGACGATGCTACTCTTCCTTCTCTAGGGCGTTAATACAGATCATTCAGAACTGGAAAGAAATCATTCAATTGATGGTACGGAATGACATTTGCTTGAAGAACAAAGACACTTTTATACCGAAATAGTACGGGATGACTTCCGATACATGCATTACTACCGTTAATCTACTCCTATCAGCAGTCCTGCTCGTGTGAATCTCAGCCGGCTCTCCTGAATTGATAACCATCTGAGTGAGAGATGTCCTCGGTCCTTTCTGACTCGAAGGTAGAATAGCAAGAAAACGTAAATATTTGATTAGAAAGAAAGGGAGGATAGTCTAGACAGCGAACTACTGGAGAGGCTTTTCGCGAAGACAGGAATGTTCAAGCCGGAAGAACACAATGACTTGAAGCGCCGATTTTCATTGTGACAAGCGAAGCAGCACGTATGTGCCAAAAATAGTAGACCAGCAGGTAATGAAGCAGATAGAGGTGTAAAGCACTTCTACGGGAGATTAAGCTCGGCACTTCTCGGCAGCGGAGTTGACCGGGACCTCGCAGCGGAAGTGGGTGGAAGTCCAGGACATTGCCGAGATGCCATCCTCACTCCGCAATGAACTTAGGAGCTCGTCATCGCCGGTCAAAACTGTGAGCACGATTTCTCCGCTTCTCTCTGGTTGCACTTTGAGCGAAAGGCATTCTCTTCAGTGCCACGGCACACAAAATACTCAAGCCAGACTTCATTACTGTATAAATTCAATAATTCAACGCCAACATTGTAATCGTAGCATGTCAAAGACCGGGTTCCTTATCGTGTTCTGCAAGTTTCAAAGAGACAGCATAGAAAACGGATTAGCTCTGACATGTTATCAACGAGAAACTCGTAGTACGTTTCGCCTTTGGTTCCTTGTTGATAACATCGATTCATTTTACTCATCAACTTCAGGCGTACCCCGATCAAGCCGACAGGAAGACTTCAAAAGCAGAACGTGAGAATTCGCACCAGACCATTAACCCGCCCAACATCCCTGATGGCATAGGAGTGTTAGTACTCGAATCAGAACACCCCCTATCCCTCCACAGTGAAGTAATTAGGTGGCAAGTCGGAGCCCGTATCAAGGTCCCCGAGACAATTGGGCGATGTGCTTCTTCGACCCAGGAGAACGCGCATGGGATGATCATGATCATCTTGATGTATCGTCACTTAGACTTCTTTTACCATGTGAAGGATTCAAATGCTGATTGTTTCTTAAGGAAGGGATGGTACTACCTGTTGACACTTGTTTCATGAATGTACATGAAACCTAGGGAGGTCACCAGCTTAGTTTTCATTTTCATTGTCACTTATTTCTGTAGCGACCGCGTGGTATTCACTGTATCATAATCGACCGCTGTTTTATCCTGACGGGGTGAAGTGAACACGCCAGTTTCATGCAACACGTTGATACCTCTCTTAAGCGCGCGCCAAATTATCCCCAATGAACACTCGCACGGGCCTTCAGCAAGGAACGACCGCATGGACCATAAGATACTGGGTATGCTCGCTATTCCTTTCTGTGTATATTTCTTTTGGATACCTCCTGTAGGATTCGCAGCGCTAGTTACCAATATCTTAACTAAATCAAGGACCACCTGAACTCAGGCATCAGAGATTATCAGCTGCGCTGTCGGCGAAAAGAGGGCCAAAACTTCCTTCGGGCAAGACCCTACCGTGAGTGCTAAGACGTAGGCCCATCTCTTCTATGTCTGCGAAAGACAGATACTCACTTGATCCTTGATCAGCTCTTGATATCGCAGTGTGAACGTCAGATGAATGGATTTAGTCTACCCATTCGGGGATGCGCACCGTTCCCAACCGCAACGGTGGTTCCCAGCGATGAATCTCCCTCACGTTCTCGTGGAAGTAAGTATCACAAGGCGACATTGATTATCAACTCGGACCATAGATATCGTCTTCGAGTTCATCAACGTCAACGACCACTTGCAGCTGCAGCCTACTCTCACGGTCTCAGTTGCTTCCATTCTCTTCTGGTAAACACCGCAGTAGCCTGCGACGCCGACTCGGATCCTGGTGCCACTTGCACGTCTCGCGTTTGAAGTGCTCGGAGGCGGAGGTTTTCCCTATTTGATGGAATCAACGGTAACTGTCATCGGAGAAAGGCTTCTTCGAAGGTGATCCCGGAGTGATACATGCCACAGGATGTATATATAGCGCCCTCTTCCGTTAAAATTAGCGTAATGAATGTCGTCGATTCTCCCTATACCGATAGCTGATATCCCCCCGTTGGGAACAACTCTTGGGGCGATTTATGTCGGAGCTACCATAGGAGCCGTGTACGTATGCTTGCTCGAGATTTCCTCTCCGTGCTCATCGTGTGCTATAGCTTCTATGGGATAACCATTCTGCAGACCGTCATCTACTACAAGCAATATCCTAATGATCCATGGCTCTTTCGATATTCTGTACGCAAAAAATATACTTTCATAAGATTCTTCTGACAACAGAGCAGATCGCCTTATTGTGGTACGCTTACAGAAAGCCATATTAATGTCTACGGCTTTGCCTACTCACTATAATGTTTAGGATCCTCGATACGCTTCACGTTGCGATAAGCACTCATGCCTTGTACTTCTATCTTATTGATTCATTCGGAAATTATTTTCCTCTGTTTGGGATCATTTGGTACGTCCATCTCACATCTGCCATAACTGTTCGTTCAACTGAGCTCACGCCTCCCCTGCAGGAGTTTTCCAGTGCGCTTTTTTCTCCTCTTCATCCAGTAGGTAAACGTCCTGAGCTCTCTCTTCCCTTAGTTGCAACTCTTAGTAAATGTGCGTGGATTTCGTTCGATCTTGCATACCTCTCTAATTTTCAACCAGATGTTAATTGTGGTTGGCGTGCAAGCGTATGTCTCTTTTGATTGATTCCTCAGTGATTCGGAAAGACTCATTCTCCGGTGCTAAAGCTTATACGCCGTCAGAATATGGAAATGTTGGTTTCTATCGATATTAAAGTAACCAAAATTTACTATCTATTCCATAACAGTTGGTCGTAATTACCATGTTGTCCTACCATGGTTCATTGTACGTGCTTTTCTTCCCCTTTATACTACCCATGCAGATGTTTTTGGAATTCTACCCGCAGTTTCTTGCTGTCGCGGCTTCCCTTGGTGAGACCTCCTATACTGTTACAATGAGTGAAATCTGAATGCGATTTCGAAGCTACCGGAATCTGTAGGCGCCCGTTTTATATACTTATACTGCACTGACTTGTAGAGAATGTTTTTAGATGTTATTTATGATACGTATGGATTACGTCTCTTTTACTATGATCCATGCTAACAGCCTAACCTTGCCACAAGATACACCTTATCAAGCTTTTTCCAAATCTCGACCATTAGCGTAGGCTTCGGTCTCTCTATGCTGAATAAACGGACACTCTAATGTACAGCTATGCTTTGCAGACATCCATTTACGTAGTCTTCTCTACACTCGCAGGAGCAGATTTCATCATCGCTACCACAATGTGCTATTACTTGCGCAGGGGCGCGTCAAGAACCAACTTCTTCGAGTATGTGGCTTATTCCAAATCACCAAGATGCTCAATGCTCACGGCGAGGATCTGTTTGCCAATAGTACGACAAAGATCATTGTGGGATTGATGCGGCTTGTCGTGATATCTGGTCTGGCGACGAGGTATAACTCCGATTCGTGTCTGATATGATGGAAGTTAATCACGAATACTAACTCTAGTGCATGTTCGCTTTTTGTTCTCATCGCGGTAATCATTCACCAATCCTTGATTCTCTCGATTCTGATATTGTCATTCATGCAGTACATAGCCTGGCCAAACAGTCTCATTTTCATCGCCGTTGATTTTATTCTACCGAAGCGTGCGTGTTAAAAATTTGCTCCAACCGGTTTCCTGTCCGTCCCTAACCATTCACGGATAGTCTATATAAACTCCTTGCTCGCAATGTAAGTTCTTCTCCTCGTATTCGATTAATGGTCTAACTTCGAGTAGGCTCAATGCACGCAATGCGCAAATGAAGCCAGGAACCCAGGGACGCCCTATTGATGGTTCGAAGATCCTCAGGTTTGCTCCTCAGATCTCCAGCAGCGCGCCAAGCGATTCATTAGAGACAGTACGTAGTAACATCCTTGCAGCAGGCACATTGAAGATGCTACTCCTTTTTCTCTCCAGAACATCGATATAGCGCTTTCCGTAATGGAAAGAAGTCGTTCGAATGATGGCACCGAGAATATGATGTTCGCTTGAGAAGTTACCAATTGACGAAGTGGGCGTAGGCTTTTCACAGTTGTAGTATGTAGCTAACTTTTCCTTATCGAGCCGCCATTCTATCTCGAGTCTGCGAGGGGTTATAATGTGAGAGCTGAGTCACTGAACCGCCGAAAGCGGAGATATGAAGACGAAGGGGAGAGAAAGGCTCTCGGACCGGAATTGGGTATGAATCACACCATCGTGCAGCGTCAACAGATACAAGCAACACGTCTTGTCTTAGCACCTTCCAATGCAGTAAACCCTATCTCAATATTCGTCAACGAGAAAGTCCAGTGATTCCGTTCTCTCACGGCAGCTTGCTCATGCATTCGTATAAGTGGTTCTGATGTTTACTTTGAAGTCGTTGTCCTACGAAAACGACTGACATATCGACTCGGAAGAAACCGCTCGAAAGGGTCCTCTTCATCCTCGGTATTCTCAGCCTTTAATCCTGAACATCTTTTATCATTATAAGAAATCAGCAAAGAGGTTAGCTGGTGCGGTTTTTCCTCTATCGATGATCTTTTTGTTCTGAAATGTAGCCCCTCTTTTCTTAGAGAACTGTCCTACGTGCGGCCTGCCTGGGCGCTTGGAACTGAAGCACGCAAAACAAAAAATCCTTGATATCCTACGACTGGAGCAGCCACTTTTTGACTATGACCACGACTGGGTCCATCAGAATATCGCTACAATAGATAACGACCTGCAGTCACTGTGTCTAAGCCTTTCAATTAGAGTCCCACGTGGCTCTAATTCATTCCCAGATCGACGTTACGCTCGAAGCTAGACGACGATTTAAATCCATCTCTGCCCCAATTCGACGTCTCCCGCGAGACATCCTCCTCGAGATCTCTCTCTGCCGTGGAAAAACTGTGTACTGCAGTCTTGATTCCTAAAAGCTATCCTTGGTTTCTAGGTCACGTATGTCATTGGTGGAGAGAAATTGTTCACTCCTCGCCAATGTTGTGGTCAACTATCATCCTACAGCCAATGAAATATTACCCCTCTTCGGTCGAGATTGTGGACGCGCATCTCAAACGCTCGGGAAATGTCCCATTGAACATATGCCTATGGATGCATCGTGACCCTAATAACTATGAAGAGAACATCCTGGACCGTGTTATGGGCCTTGCTGATAGGTGGTCAAAGCTCGAGATTCATGGCCGACAGTACGAGGAATTTCCGTCGTCCTTCCCTGCGCTTCGCACACTGAATGTTTCACATATCCATTGAGGAGATGCTTATGACTTCGAGGCACCTTTGCTAAGGATCGTACGGTTGGGCCAAGTAGCATCTTTACATTCGCTCAAGCTTCCGTCTCATATCACACATCTCGCACTTTCCCTGTTATCTGTGACGGACTTTCCAGCGTTGGAATTATATCCGAACCTCGTCGAGCTCCATTTCAGATCTGAACGATGACATCTCTTCATGGCCTTTCGGTAACACTTGATTCATATCATTCGAACTTGAATGTAGTATATCGGAAATTGGTCTGTCTGGGTTTCCTATCACATCTGGAAAGGATTGAAATCACTCATGTCGATGAAGTGTTGCACCGCGGGTTGGTGCAGATGATTGAAGCGAGGTGGTACGCGCCTGTAAGACGTCTTCGGAAATTCATTGTGTTCGCAAACTTGGAGATAAGGAGAGAGATAGCAGAGTGCATGAAAGTGATGATTAGTGAGGGGCTCGAGATAGAGGCTTTGGACATTGCATGCGACGAAGATGTGAAAGAGGTTTGGTTGGATCCAGAGATGACGGAGAGTGAGGATATTTTAGATTGACCCAGCCATTAGAGAAGAGAGAGGGCGAGAGCGAATCCAGAAAGACAATAAGCATACAATGAATTTCCAACTCATCATCTCAAAAGCCTACTTTGTATTGAATAGCTTTGCAAAAATATCCTTTTTCAACGCATTTTCGCCTCATTTACCCAACCGTATGAGCCAAATTAGAATAACCTTCACATTCGATGCTTAAATACCGGACTAGCAAAAAAGAAATCAGCCTACTCTGCATCTTTCTAGACAACTTGAAACGCGGCCTCGGCAGTGGTCACCTCTTCGCACACCCGCAAGACTGTTCATCGTCAAAGTGTTCGCCGACCCAATATGAAACTTCGAATGCAAAACAAGAGTTTCAGCTCCGTCAGCGGTGTTCAGAATTGCACGCTTTTTGTTCATTCTTAACTCGGCAGTATTTAGTTACAACATCTAATGGTACATTGACGAACAAATAACGAACGGAAATTCTTCTATCATGATCATGCCTTCATGCTCTGAAATTCTTTCGTAAAGTCATCCATGGCATCCAACGTGCTCAAGAAATGCTTGAACGCAAGCTTCTCTCCACGGCCCACGGCCAATGACTGTGCGGTCCTTGCTGCATTCTTGATCTGCCTGCCATTCACGTCCCGCTTCGCCAGTTCCTGAATTTGCTGCGGAGTAATATCCGCCGACGCTCCGGCCTTGGCGATGAAAGCGGCCCAGACCTGCATCTTGGACTCGAGAGGCAGCTCGTGGAAATGTAGTGCGACGTGGATACGCGACAGGAAGGCCTCGTCGAATGCCTTGACACGATTGGTAGTCAGGAAGAGGATACCCCGATAGTACTCGACATGACGTAAGCTAGAAAGACTGTCAAATTGCGGTAAAAGAACGAAGGACAATGGAGCTCACAAGACAGCGACCATGGCATTCCGTACAAGATCATGGAGGGAACGTTGTTCAAGGTAAACGTCGGCCTCATCGATCAGGACAATGGCTTTCCACGTTGTAGCGACCTCAAACACGCGCTCGAGAGCCATATCAAGGCTGTTTGCATCCGTGCCCAGATCACCAGCACCGACTAGGTACAAGGGTCTCTTGACGTGCTCGCTAGTCGCTTCGGCAGAGAAGGTTTTACCTACAAGGGCACAACATGAGGTCGGATTCAATGATTATTGGCATAACTAGACTGACCAACTCCCGGAGGACCGAACAGGTTGATAACGAGACCATGACCTTTACCCTTGATGAAGTCATCGAACCCGAGCTCACGATGGTGTGCCTCAACGAGAGACTGTAAGAGGTCCTTGCGATCTGTCGGAAGAACAAGATTGGCAAAGGCATCCTTGTTCCATTCTACATCGGAAATCTTCTCGACATCGAACTCCACTGCAGGATGAATGAGCCTCAGCGCAAAGTCTAAAGAGGCGGCTTACACCAAAGTTTGTCGGAAAGACTGAATCCGAAAACCACAGTGGGTGTCAGCATAAGTTCTTCATCTGTCAGCTCGACATCGTCTGTGCTTTCCTCGTCGCGGAGATGGGAGTCCACAAGAACGCCTTCAAAAGTGTCGTTAAGGACTGACGAGAAGTACAAGATGCACGGCCGCTTACCATTAGCATATTGTCCGAGCACTGGCACTGGTTCCGCATCCACAATGTTTCCGTAAGGATCTAGATGCGGAGTTCCCTCTGCCTTAGATACAGCAGTAGGATACTTGTAGTTAGGATTGAAGCGCCGGAAGGAAGCTGAAGGACATTGATTAGCAATCAAATGGAGTCGTGAGCAGGATATCGACCTACCACGATCGACCATGATCCTTCCCTTGACCTATAGATAGCTTAACGTCAGAATGCATTCGGCTAGAACCAGAGAGGAGATGGAAGAACCTACATTGTGCCTCAAGAGCCTACTATCCCCGCACTTCAGCGCCGCGATGCCATTGAACTGCATATGGTGGATCCCCCGCAGAACAGACCATTTCTTGCCTCGCTGCAAAACCGTCTCCTTCAACTTGGCCGCATCAGGGTGGAACCTAATGGGATAGGCATCCAACGAGTCGATCTTAACCGTCCCTTTGAACCTCTTGATAAGGATCTGCGTAGTGACGTTCGATACCCCAACAGTCTGGGTGAGGGGCCGATCTACGAGGTCCACGCTCACGCAGCTCAGCTGATAGCACCTCATGCCTTCCACGTTCGTGCTTACAGCAGACTTCAGCTTGAACAAACGCGGTGCGCCGGTGACAGCGCAGCGCGTGACGAGCATAGAGCGCGGCACGAGGATGGAGTAGAGGAGATCCCAGGTGATCTCACCATGAGATTTCAGCTTGTTGATAGTACGAATGGTGTTCCGATAGTCAGAGTTGAGAGAGGAGAGAAGAAGGTCAACGGAGGAAAGGACGTATGTGTCCAGCTGGCTCTGAGGCTTCTTGGAGGCAAGGTGATCGCGGTATTCCTTGAACTCGTCGAGGTACGTCAAGAAGACCTCGGGGTCAAGCTATAGACAGGGATTCATGTCTGAGGATCGTATAGGACCAGCGAGAACGCATACCTCCAAAGGATCAGAGTTCCAAGAAATTCCGGGCCACGATTGAATGACGTCCTTGCAAGCTTTCAGGATGTACTCGCTTTTGATGACAACCTTGAAGGTCGGCTCCATCAAAGCAACAAGATCGTCGCGGAGCGGAAGCTTGCGCACGATGCTTAAAGAACATTCCGTTAGTCAAGGACACAATTAAAACCACAACGAATATACACAAAGCTGAAGTCCTTCCAAGGGTCATTGTCTCCTGATCGCAACAGAGGAACGCTTTCGACAGCGACGTTTGAGCTCGTGTTCTGCACAGCCAAAAGCAAACATATTAACGCGCCGACCACAGCGTCATGATAAAACATTACATACCCGATACTTCCAGCTCTTCGACCACCTGCTATAATAATGATCAACGCGCTTAATCTTCAACGTCGGCGGCGTCAAAGGCTCGTCATCCTCCTTGATAGTCGAAACCTTGGACTCGGTCTCCATATCCCTCGACGACCCTTCGGACGCCTTCATCAGAGAGGAAAATCGACGATGCATGATCACGAAGGAGGAGGGGGAGTGGGGGAGATAAAGTTTCAGCGCTTGTTAACAGCTCCATTTATATTCGAATGCCCGCGGGAGCGTACAATGCTCATCATGACTCCTAGGTGATAGAAAAGGGGTTCAATGCGGTGCATCATCATGATTGGGAGAAATCGAAGGTGCCTCCTGAATGCCATAAAGCGGGTGGTGAACCGGTGATGCTCAACACGTCAGCCAATGGCAAGTACTGCGCAGGTCAAAAAGAGCGCTTAGCTCTCGCCATGTGATGATCAGATAACAGCATCTCGGGGATTGCTGGTATATCGGGCTGTACCATGACAATGAGTATTGAATCGCATAGCTACTGGGCTAAAAGATCTCACAAAAAGGGATGATAATGATAAGCCACGAGCCAAAAATATTCATTCTTCCACGCTTAGATAAAGGATATGTGGATTTCGAAGCCCAAGTGCCCAGACTCTGTCGAATCAGTAGAGAAAAGCCCCGATCTTCATTGATAGCCTATAACAATGCCGAACCAACAGTCAATCTTGTTGGCCGCCTTTCCTTCAGAAGAGATGAAGATGCGCATATGTCTGCCAGCTTCAGAAATCACTTACATACACAATTTCTGAAGCAAAGTTTCTTTGGGTCGTGCAATGGGAGAAAGGATAACCGCAAGAGATTAGAACATAACCAGTGATCACAAGGCAGATGCATATCACGAAACTGGGTAAGTGGCGGCTGATACTGATAAAATGACAACGTCTCGCTGAGCTTCTGGAACGATGTCGTCGAATTGACCTTCGGTCCGAAATGCCATCCAAAGCTGTGAAGTTTTACACTGCCGTTGCAGGGGCCTTCTCGCAAGAACATAAAGCGCCTCATTGCATGAATCACTGAGATACAACCATGACCGTCAGCTGCTCTTTCCGGTACGCTAGGCCTCCTGTATGCACGGGGTCAAGAAGTGAAATTCTAAGAACTCCATCGAGGTCAGCCTAAGCAAACTCAAAGATGGCAAAGAATTTATCTCTGACCTGCATCATCGTTAACATACATGTACATAGCCGCGTAACATGGCGCTGCCAAAATAGGATGATGCGCTTCTACGCTTCACCCGGACTGCGTTTGAGAATGTGGTTAAAGGCAGTATTCGTTGACGTAGAAGGTGCATTTCGAAGTTATTGTCGACAGCCGACGAAGTATTGCCTCATTCGCGTCGCTGGTGTATACCACCACTCCGACTGGTACCCAACCATTTAAGTTCGGACCGGTCAAACTGTTGTCGTCGTAGCCGTAACCAAAGAAAACAGTTTTAGCTGTCCCGACTTATCCGCGTTTGACATATCTATGTGAGGAATACTGAGCTTTGTAAACCACGATTGATGAGTGTTGTTAACTAACCTGCCGCCAAATTTGTTTTACACAGTTCTGTCTCGCCGCCACACAATCCTCGTTCTCAACTGCAGACCTGTTCCGCCTGGCTAGAGCAATTGACTAACAAAAACTTCAGATAAGAGGAAGTGATCCGTTTGCAAGGCATACATACATATGCTGGGCTCTGCTAACTCCCTCGAAATGACCGTCCTTCAGAGGAGCTTTTCGTGTCAGTGAACGAGATTGAATCGCTGGTAGAAAGCCACAGGAATTTCGCCCTTGGCGAGAATGTTGGTCGTCAGGTTGGCGTCTCCTTCACTCAGGGATTCCTGCACGCGCAATTTCCTCTACGCTTGGACCGGATGAATAGAGGCCGAGGTCAGCAGTAATGGCGCGTCGTTGATGGCTATAACGTTCGTTGTGGTGGTACAGAAAAAGAAAGAAACTGTCACTTCGGCAGTCCCCGGTATTGCGAATGCGATCGGCATATCAGCCCGATCGGACCTTTCCGAGGTTCCACTCCGCCCATCTTCAACAGCCTTCAACAGAAATGCCGTCGAATCTTTGTTGACACCTAAGGGTATATTCTTGATGATTTTTTGCGCCTGCTACTTTTATCATCTTGCCAGCCACTTCTTTGGCCGACAAGGTAGCCGACTCTGCCCTCCTGACTCAAATATTCAGCGCTCAGCATCTGTGAGACCCAGGAACCAGGACACAATAACTCCACAGTTCTCTACAACCTTTTGAATATTCCTGAACAAATAAAACTATGTAACTTATGACCGTGCAATTGGTCTAGTTGGAGAATATGAGTAACAGAACCTGGGTGCCTTTTCAATAAGTATGTTATGCTGGCCCTTCTCACAGCGGGTTCCGAATGCCGATTCACGCCTTTCTCCTATGGACCTAACTCCTCTTTCCAAGCTCGAAGTTATCTGCAGGAAGCTGCAGATGCCATGGTATGTACACTCATTTTCCATTGAAGCCCCAGCTAACTCTCTTCAAGGACTTGGACATTGTATACGACGGCTAGAACGAACTTGAATGGAGAAGATAAATCCACGCACGTCTCCTTTGACGTTGTTATGGGAGCTCCACACGGCACTGTTGAGGACCGGTACGCACAGCCGATTGGATCAGGATCGCCGCGCTGATGTCTCCCTTCCTCTCTAGAGAAGTAGATGCCTGAATTAATTCGGCAATCACGTTTGTCCCTTCTTCGGTTCAATATAGCCTACAATCGGGCCTAGACATCATAGTTTAGCATGGTCAAAGACAGTGAGAATCAGCCGTAAGGTGAATCTCGATATACATAAAGAACCTTTCCTCAGACGGGCCCTGCACTTAATTTTGGCAGCTTTCGTGGAATATACACATGAAGATGGGTGTATGTATGCACCTTGTTTTTCGCAGTGCGTGTCAAGCCTACGCGTGCATAAACTCTTGTCTGACACTTCTATTGATCGCTGAAACCTTTTCGCTGAGCCACGAATCGGAGTTATTCAACGCAGGAATTTGGATCTTTCACAAAGTTACAGTTGGACTTTTCCCGCCACTCGCAAGAAGTCTGGAGCGTATCCGAGTCCGAGCCCGAATCCGAATCAGAGAACGACTCGGCAGATGTAGTCGTGCACTATAACCTTTAAAAAGCTGGCTCCTGATCCTGTTAATCAGCATTCGTTCCCATGAATTACATCTTCTATGTATCACTGTTTTTCTTTCTCTCTGTTTCTGTCCAAGCTGGCATGCCCGACAAAGTCTACGGTGTCAGCCTAGGATCCTGGTGTGTTCTATCACTAGTAATCTAAGCGCCATCCCATGACGTCCTTTCGCAGGCTAATTCTCGAGTCTTGGATGTTACCAGAAGGAATTTTTGGTTTATTCATCAGTTGTATCCACGTTGATTTCAGTACACAGAGTGGATCCGTATGGGTGGCGAACTATGCGACGACCGCACCCAATGTATCTCCGCAGAATTGTACTAATTCTTCTCCTTTTTTCTTTCTGCGTTAATAAGTCTGACATATAACTACACCAGCGAACTTGCTCGTGCATACCCTGACACAGTGGACGAAGTATTTGACACACATTGGTAAGAGCCACATTTCGCTTGTCCTCATGTAGCTTTAACATTTCATCGAAATAGGTCTTCGCGGTTCAACCAAGACGATGTCCGTGACCTAGTAGAAGTAGGCATAAATACTGTTCGCATTCCGGTGAGATGGCTCTTTTTTCCGTGTAATCGTATTCAGACCGACTCTTTCGAGATCAGCTGGGCTATTGGATCATCGAGGCTCTTGTAGATCGCAAGACCGAGTTCTATCCGCGAGGAGGGATACACCATCTTGTATGTTACCAGGTTTCCTTCTGAGGTTACCCTCGCTAAGTACGCATAGAAACGTGGATTAAGGCAGCTCAAAGACGCTGGTATCATGTCTATTCTTGATCATCACGGACTTCCAGGCGTTCAGAGTCCAAATCATACATTCACCGGAAGGTCGTCACCTGAATGAACTTCTCCATATGATCCTAATCATTACTCAGGTGTACATCGGACGCCGAGTTCTTCGTAAGTCACCTTGTTTCCCCAGATATATGCTACAATCTCAGCGGTCTTAACGAGACTGAGTATAACTACCATCGTGCCCTTGTTTGGACTGCGGTCATAACTACTCTTTCCCACCTTGATCCAGACTTCAGCAATGTCGTTTCCATCGAGGCAGTGAACGAACCCACCAGGGATGCCACTCAGACTCCGGGATATGGCGGTTGTATGTTTTCGCATATCTTGTATTTTCACTGCTAAAAGTAATTATGATCAGTCCAGAAGAATTTCGTTCAGGTAGTGCGCGCAGTTGAACTCACATTGGGCATCAATGTCCCTTGGTCTGAGCCGAATATAACCACCACAGATACATCTAACTTTACGGTAGCCTTGGAGAACACCGCTTCTTCATCATCCTTGGACTCTGAAGTTCGGTCTGTCCTCTCAGATGCAGTACCGATCCTCGTCGAACTTAGTTCGGAACTCGCGTTGGACGATATGACGCATGCCTTTAGTCCTTGCTACAGCTGTGAGCCCTTGTACACAAGGTCTGTCTCTTTTTCAGTAAACGCAGACGGTTCTCGAGCAGTGCATTGGTTTCATGGACATTAGCTGACAGTACAATAACCCCTCCAACCCGAGGGATGCACAGATAGGACCTCAGTTTTATGACGATCATTTATACTATCTGTAAGTCGACCGTTCCAAAAATTACCGCCGTCTGTATTGATCTTTTAGATACGGGGTGGGCGATCCTTGTTCTCGTTGCGACCGTTGTATATCTGAAAGCATAAATTATAGGGTACTGACGTACAGGCATCTATGGAGAGTATTTGCAGTAAGTGACGCAATTGGAATGTCCATGGATACTTATTTAACCATAAAGTAGACCTTCCTTTTCTCGAAGATGATGCTGCGCTGGGCAACAATCCGGTTGTGTTCGGAGGTTCGCCATAGGTCCAACTAATATTTATTCTTATCAATCTTTCTTCCAGAATGGTCCTTGTCAACCCAATTCACAGCTACGGACGAATTCCTCTACAAATTTGCGGATGCTCAGAAACTAGCCTTTACTAAGGGTGCCGGTTGGATTGTGGGTTCCAGTCCCCCGCTACCACCCCCTTTGTCTAACTTATTTCGCGTCTCGTTCAGTTCTGGAGCTTCAAGGTAGAGATATCGACTCTGGCTGGTGACCTCGCCAGACAATGGTCAGTGCGAATGTCTTCCATCACGAATGTGCATGGCTGACATCATTTGCTTACTTTAGGTCATACTTGGAAGGCGTTAAACGAGGCTACTTCACCCGTGATCCATCGAAAGTGAATGATACACACGTCTGTGATAGTTACGTTTAGTTATTCTTCCGACATTAGTACAGTGTAGGCAATGTTCATAAGAACGAAATGATAGCAATTTTTCCAGATTACGAGCCGGCCAGTGAGCAGAAAAATTGTAAAGAACAAATCTAGTGTTTCATGCCTTGGGTTTTTAATTCCGAAGCGTGGAGGAGATCGTTATTGTGACAATATCTGCGCGACGTTGATAGTCAAGAGTGACGATACAGAAAGGAAATTTTCGGCAGTTTCGGACGGTATCGTCGGGTATTGCGGTCCGATTCGATCCGCAGTTTTACACCCTTCACTTGCTCTTCACCGTCACGCCATTTTATCTCTTGGTTTGACGTCTAAGTATACCATACTCTTAGACTTTCTCGCGCGTGCAACTCTTCTAATTCTCCTTGATACCTCTTCAGTCAAAATTGCTGCGGCACTTACCACTCAAGCATTGGCTACTATAGCTTATTAACGGTACAAGGTCCTCCTCTTAATTTTGGCATCCAAGGACGCGGTAATTCGATATGGGAGTTGTCCTGGGCTATTCTATAGTTTCAGGTTATTGCTCTGCACTGCTATTGAGTGGTTATGCTGTTCTCTCTTTTTTTCACGATGAATTCTCGTACCTGTCCCTGGGAATAGATTTTGGTATGTGGTCCGAAGGAAGACAAAAGATTCGCTCAGTTCATCTGAGGGGGGTATTAGTAACGAGCTCCGGATGCCTGTTCAACATATAATGCGCTGATGCTTCCCACAGCGGCTGTCACTTCCCGGTGATCTGAGCTTGCACCTCCAAGTTCTTACTCCTGACCTCGGCACCGCCCGTTCCTGACCAGAAACTCACGGAATCAAGATGGGTATTTTTCTATATCAACTGCGATGTTCGCTAATTTATCATGTCAGAATTTGAATATGGAAAATAACGCTCACTCAATATCTCGGTAGCTAACGCCTGGCACAGAGATGAGGTGTGCATAGATATTCCAAAACCATCTGTGTGCCCTACTAGGAGAATGTGTTGGACGACGTCTCTTAAACCTCGCCTGCCGCAGCTTGTTGGGATTTGGCAATCCGGCATCATGCCGAAGATGCTTATTAAGGAAGAAGTCTGAGGAAAAGCATGGAAAGTAGTACATTTAGTATAAAAGTAGGTACTGTAGCGTAGATCCTCATGCGTTTGCAGAGCTCAGCCAAGCGCAATACTATTGGCTTGCTACCGCGCATGTGACACTGGGAACGAACCGATACCCCGTTTTCCAACACAGCTCATTAAACGTAACCAATTCTGAGAATAGTATTCGCTAGACCCGCCGGCGTCGTGGCCTGGAGACTGACATGCGCTTCTATAACTTCTAAAGCCTCCGCGAATTCTTATGTGCTTCTTTCCAGACATCATCTTTGGCGAATACTCACAATAGCCGACAAAACCGCCAGAATACTTAAGTCAGGGCCGAAGATTCTCGCCGTTGTCTTTGGGACACGAAAACCAGAGTTGCGTTTAAAGCTGGAAATCTTAGCACGGAGCCGGACTACGGAATCGTCGTTATGTATTGTAAAGCTGATAATCGTTCCCAAATAACAGTGCGAACTGATTAAAGGTGTCAGGGTAATCAACCAAAGATCGCCATCAACCATCATGAACCCTTCACGCCCGGGTGTGTGCCCATAAGGGGCTCACTGGTACGTGATTTCCTTCGGGTTTAATTACGATAACGATAAGTAAGCATATGCGTTTCTTGACATAGAAGTCTCCCAGGCATGTGCTCGCTGCCATTAGGTCAGATGCTGTGAAGCCGGGCATCTCGTCGAACATTTACTCTGTGCTACAATGGAAGCCGTCCGGAAGTTCAGGTTCTAAGGAGAGGCAACATAAATTTTCAGTCGATAGCCATCCGTAAGGTCTTCTTCTTCCACTTCGATTGTGCTTCGTGGAAGTCTAAATCGGCGTAACTACTCTTGGGGTAAGTGGTGGTCCTTGTAATTTGAGCAGTGAGGAGACTGAACAGACAAGTTTTGTTGTATTGCGACTAATTGTGTGATCCTGGGACGATGCTAGCCTTTCACGTATTCTAAGGATGTAGTGCCATTGCAAAGGTATCTAGTAATGCATATCGTGCACTTTGCTACGCGCTGGAGATTGTACCAGTACACGTTCTCTGTCTGTCTACTGCCCATCTTTTTCTCGCGGCCATACCGGTCAGTATTTCCAAGACTGAAGGCAAATGAAACCTTTTCCGTTCATCATCCGATGGCTACAGGAACGAATATCTGGAAACACCCGTTAAAATTTCCTCTTTGCTTCTCTTAAATCGTTGGAGTAGGGGGAGCAATTAAAAGAAGGTTGATGATGATAGCCGAGACTATGGTCGGCTTTAGGCGAGACGCAAGGGGTAACCTTTGTGGACCCTGGTCGGAACTAACACTAGTAAGTGGTATTTCCAGATAAGTTTAAAGCGAGGAATCTGCCAGGCTTCTAGGATTGTCGCTGAAAGGGATAAATACATCAAATGTCTCTTGCGGCTATCTTCTAACCTGGAGATCGTGGTGTAGTCTACCCTGTATGTTTAAGAGCTAAGAAGGCAAAGCCGAGAGCTTTGACGCCTGTGGTCAAACGGATTTAAGAGAAGGCATAATTAAAGGCTCCACCCGGAACAATCAATAGAAGCTCAAACGGAGCTTGATCATGTCCTCAAGTTCAAGTTCGATCCTCTCGTAAAGTGAATCCACATAGACGACTCGTAGCACTGGAATTTGAAGGCGCTAGCAATCCTGGCAACCGCGAAGCCACAACTGACCAGTGACCGCTGAACGAGCGAATGATATGATGGCTACCATGGTACCGTTTGTGAGCTCGTCCCAATGCTTTAAAGAAACGATATAAGTAGATCCAGTATTCTTGTAACTTCAGAATTTTCATCGACTCCGAAGAAACACCTCTTTCATGGCGTCCTGCAGAACTGAACTTGTTCTAACGCTTGCCTCTATGGCTTTGCCTCCCTCTATCGCAACTTTCCTTCCAATCTTTGTCGTCTTCGCTTCTGTGATATATCCTTTGATACTCGCAGCGAGGCCTAGCTCTTTAGTCCAACATTTCGTGAACGTTGTCGAAGAAATGGTTGTTATTCTGGACAGTCGCAGCCACCTACCTGATAATCTCCAGTACAGCCGGTAATTGAAGTCGTACGCTTGTGGTTTCTTCTCGGTCAGAAAACTGCGTTCTGACTATCTTCGATATAGGCTCAGGCATCAGTCATGTATCCTAGCCCGGTCTTTGTGTTTTGCGAACCATACCTTCTCCTGGTCGGACCATCACTCGTGGGGTCTATATCTTTCTAGGGTGGTTAAAGTCATTCGAGATCTGCTAAACAGTCAACGAAGATTTCTCGTTTTGCAAAAAGATATAGAGGTAAGTTTTGTTAATGTTTTCCACCTTCAAGTTACTGATGATGATTGCTGCAGGAAGCCATTCTTGCTATTGAAGAGGAAAGATTACGCGCTGAAGCCGAAATAGCACGACAGTGTAATGGCACCGCGACTCTGTAACTGTTGTGCCGTACGGATGAGGAGGGCTTGGACTGCAGAATACTAGCAAATTCATGATTTACTTTCCCTGAGATAATCAAAGGAGCATAATATACCTGTAACGTCAAGCAGAAATCGTTTAGCAGTGGTAGGTTGACGACAGGCTACGGCGAGCCACGACAACTTGAGTCCTGACTTTCCTTTCCGGCATAAGTCCAAGAGGTAAGATCTGGAAATTATTTTTCAGTGAATTAAAAGCAGAAGAACTAGTCAAAATGCTACAAACCTGACGTGTACTCGTTCTGTGATGGGTGAACACAGAACAAAAGCAAGCTTAATTAGGGCGCGTCTTGCCCACGTGAGCTTTAGGGTAGGTAGACCTAAATTTGAAAAGGAACCGATTACTCCTATGTTTCTTCTCTTCCTGCTTCCACGACGCCCTCTGCCCTGGTAGTAAAGCAAGATTTTTCTCAAGTAAGTAATTGCAGTATTATTGATACTGAAAATTCTTAGAATGCTATTTCTAGAGTGTACCATGCCGGATGGGACTCCGATTCGTCGCCTTCCGCCAGAGCTGCTCGCCGAGGTCTTTGAGCGGACAGTCCCAACGAGTAGCTCAAGTTGGCTCACCAATATCAGAGAAGTCCCTTGGATACTCGGACATGTCTCCAGCTCCTGGAGAAAACTTGCGCTTTCCCTTCCTTCCCTCTGGTCCTCCATTTACATTGACGAATATCGCAAACGCACCGTTCCTATGTTGAAATTAGCATTGGCTCGTTCCGGAACGGCACCCCTCACTCTTCATCTCTATCTTTCTTTCATGGGTGCTGATCAGATGATGGAGTTGTATTCAATTCTCTCCAATGAGTGTTATCGCTGGAAGAGTATCAGCATCACTCTCGAAAGCTATTCCAACGAAGCAGCTCAACAATTCTTTTCACTAATTGTTCCAGCTGACTATCCTATACTCGAGTCGTTTAGCTTCATAATGGATGCTCCTTTCTCTCATCTGGGAGTCTTCCCCGCCGGATTCTTCGATAGGGCACCCATGTTACACGACATCCATATGTTTCCATCACTAACGAACGACATTCCTTGGTCTCAAATCACTACATTCATCTCCTCCACTATTACTGTTGAACAACAGTTTGTCCTCCTTCGTGAAGCCCCACAGCTCCAAACTCTTGAAGTCGAGGATTACCGAGGAACACACGTGCTCTCCGTGGAGAATTCTTATCCCCTTGTTCATGCTTCCTTGACCACATTCAGGGCCCCGGATATATCAACCTTTTCATCTTTGACTCTCCCGGCTCTCACCAATCTCTATATCAACAATATCGTGGACAAGAATGACGCAGACAAATTCTCAGCATTTGTCAGCCGGTCAGGCTGCCCTCTCGAATCACTGCGTTTCCCATTTGCAGCATTCTCCTTATCCCTCGTCGACACATTTTCGAGTCTGCCGACCCTACGCGAGCTCAACACCGCGTTCTTCGACGGAGATGTGACACCGCTCTTATCGGCCCTGAGCGCCCCACCGCTGATCCTTCCCATACTGGAGGACCTTGAGCTTAACCAGGCGTTCGGTACCCTTAATTTGAGGATGGTTGTTGCTTTGGCCTCATATAGGCACGAGCATACACCTCTGCGGTATCTCACGATGGAGAGTAAGAAGATCTTGCCGAAGCGCCTGCAAGCGCAACTTCCTCATCTGACTGCTTTGCGAGAGCTGCAAGGGAGAGACTTTGTTCTGAACATTTTAGAGTAAGATTAATGTCCTTGGTTGTTCTGCTAGTGACTGACGTCGCGTTTTCTTTCTGTAGGAGTGGCAAAGATGTTTTGAATCGACGTTGATTCTTGTACGAAACGGCGTCCTGAAAATGGACTAATCCATATTCTTGTGATGGGTTTGAAGAAACAGTTCTAGTCAGCGTGGCGAAGGCAGTATACCCTTTTCTTTCTCCCTTATTGCAGCTTTTGGTGCTCACGCAAGCGCGAGCTATAAAAAAATAGTGGTACTCGAGTGTTTACTAGATACGGAATGTCTCATTTGCAAGTTAGTGAACAAAAGAACAAGTGTATACATGATCCTCGCTGCCAAGGCTCTAACGAAGCCAAATGTAGTGTGGTGTTATATATTCTGATGTCTGGGAGGCTTCGTATATGCCACATGGTTATCATCAGTTCGATTACGGTGGTCCGCTACTATATGACACAACTGTGGTATTCCAATGTATCCTACAGAATGTATACTTAGACTCTATTAGAAGGCACCGTCGTTGGACGACAAGGCACGTCCCATGGTCACAAATCGTCAATGCGATCAGCCGATTTCAAGGGGTGCCCCTCGGGGAAAATACCCATGAGCTCAGTCGTTCGTGCAGCCCGCTCCGCAAACGGTCTCTCCAACATTGGCTTGAAGATATCAACAAAGGCCTCGACGTGTTGCACATCATGGCTAAACGGAGAAATCCTAGTAAGAAACGCAGGGAGAAACAGATAGTAAAGGCTTACTGGAACATCAAATGCTCAACCATCTCGTGAAGCGTCCGATAGTCGCTCTCACAAGGAAGGTCCACGCAGTGCGGGCTAACGGAATCGCTAGTACCGTCGTCCGCAGATTCATCCACCATTTCCCAGTCCTCTGACCATGATTCGATAAGCTGGATATACGACTCCAGCGATTCCGTCTCGCGATAATGCTGCGTGAAGAGATGCTGCACCTATGGGTCTCATGTATCAGTAGAGTGAAAAAGTATTCAAATAGAGAACCACGAACAAGTGTCCTCCACCCGTACAGCTCGAAATGCAAGAGCCTATGCGTAGGAGGCAACACATCCTCGCTGAGCATAGGCGGGCACTTGTCACATTTGAACTGTATATCTTCTAGTGCCAAATCCATATCCTGGGCTGTCGTCTCCCCGGGATCTTTCCCCACCAACAAGATCACGTCTCTGATCACCTTGCGGAAATCCTCATCGACAACCAGCTCGTCCGTACTCCACGCCCGCCGAACGCGATAACCATCTGTCACTAGCACAGGGTCCTTGGGCTTGTAACTGCTATGGAACTCGAGATGGAGACAGCGATGCAACATATTGTCAGGGTAGAATAGAGGTGTTACCCATTCGGGGTAGTTCTTCTTCTTTCGCTTGTTGAGCTGTCGGGCCCAAATGGTGCAGCGTTGACAATAGAAGGCGTTGCAGGCGAGCCTGGACTGTGTCACTTTCTCCTCGTCAGATAAGGAAGAATCTGCGCCAAAGCTGTGCTCGATAACCCGTTGCTCAACCGACCCTTGGAACGTCGCGAAAATTTCCGGGAGCTGCTTTACGATGGGATCGAAGGACGCTTCATCGACACTAATCTTCGACGGCTGGTTGGTGACTTGACGGACGCAGTCCAGCTCGAGGAAATCAACAACCGAAGGAGCGACGGTGAGAAGAGGAAGTGAGTTTTTATACTTCCTCAAGATGGCGATGGCGGTTTCCTTCCGAGATTGGACTACTTTTTGCCGTTTGCGAGCCATCCGGTGAGCTTTCATTCTGTCGAGATACTGTATCAGCTGGGGTTTTATGTTATTCCAAACTGCAGGATAATCGTTAGTTTGGTTCGGGCGTTAACGTGAACCGCACCTTTCTCCGTCAAAGGACGTGGTTGTCTCACTAGAAAGTGCTTCTCTAAAGGAGTATCAGGCGACTGGATGTTTCGTATCTCCTTTCCATATCCAAGTTCAGTTAATCTTTGAATGATGCTAAAGGGCCATGAGGACACTCGTGATGAAAACAGATAAACACCGACGCTTGAGAACGTTCTTCCTTCAGGTTTTCCAGCTCCCTGGACCGCTTCAAAGTCTGAATGTCGTACCAATCAGAACTTAGCCTGGCATGCTGCAAAACTGTCAACCACAGCTTATCAAATAGCATCGACTCTGGAAAGACTCACGTCGCTAAGGATCGCCACCAATGCCTTGCGTTCCTGTATATAGATATCTCGCTCTTCCTTGCGCTGAAATGATGTCAGCTTCTGTATGACATAGTCGAAATCGCTGCGTAGGCATGTCTTTTGAAGACCATCGTTGCCAAGCTCTGAATGTGGGTTCTTAAGGCAGGTCCTCTTCGACCAAAACAGATAGACGTACTCATCCAGGTGGTGGGAATTAACTGCAGGATAGAATGAATGTTCATGTCTCCGGGTCCACGCTGCATGCTAGACTCGAGCTCTGTTTCCCCGACAGTACTGGAGAGTTGTTAGTGGCGTGTGGTCCAACAGCAATCAGTGCTTACTGGGTCTTCAAACATGCGGAGCAGATACGAGTCATCAGAAGAATGTTTGGAGACCGAACAGTAGATGTCCAACAGAACTGTAGCTGGTGTCAAATGGCTGCAAGGAAGGAAAACAAAAGGAACATACTTGGCAAGTGCTGACAAAGAGGATACCGACCCACGCCGGTTCGGACATGCCAATAGGGGCGGCGGGGAAGCCATCAACATTTTTTATAGCGCTGCGCCAGACAGTTATAGACGTTTTGCTCATCAGGACGCGTCGGAATGCCTTGGAGAGACGCGCCAAATGCAGAAGGTCCAAGGGATCCAGTAGCGCGAATATCTATTCCTACGCGTTAGATGAGTGAAGACAGGAAGCGAAAGAAAAAGCGCACCAGAAAAAGAATGTCCAGCGGCATGTCCAGCAGTGCCGCCAATGAGCCTTTCAACCGTCGCTTCGACCCGCGCCGCTCTTTAACCTCCTTTACATCATCGTGTCCTTCAGGAGGTACATTTTCCTTCGGCCGTGGAGAGATCTTGCGTCGCTTCTTGTGCGAAGTGGAATCCATGTAGTATTCTGTATATCGGCGGTCGATGCAGATGATGGGAGGAAGTGGGAGAATTTGATTTGATTTGAAATAACTGGACGCGTCATCCACGTGATATTTAGGGCAGGCTCAATCGCGATCGAACCTTCTTGTTGCCTAATGCCAAGTGCTGCGATCCGGTGCTTATTTTCGAGATCGAACAGCAGAGGGCATGGGTAAGGCGCGTAATGACTACAATGTCGTCTGAGTACGCAGACCATGCTAAGCTGATATCTGATTTCGCTTTGATTTCCCTCACACAGTTGTATCGTGTCTCTTACAGGGGCCAAGATTGGCGTACACGGAGATGATAAGGGTGAATAGAATGAACGCATAGTCATACAGCATACTAACCTAGTGAGTGCGACATTCTAGAGAAAAAACGTCAAAAGTAAAGCAACACGAAGTCCATCTAATCCTTCAGTCAAGCAAATTTCCTCGCATCATCTGGATAGCAAGGTCTCTCTCGCTTTTCAGTCTCTTCAGGACGTCATCAACAACTGTAACGAAATAGATGAGACCAAATCCAGAGGCAAAAATTGCAAAAACACTTACCATCCAGGAAATAACGACGTTGTGCTCCCGCAATAGACCATGTCGCCTTTTCCTCCTCTGAGAATTGTTCGCCAAATCTCTCAAATGCCTCCTCCACAGGCATCCACTCCTTCCCAATAGGATCAATGAGATGTTCGGGGAACTGCCAGTCCGGAGCACAGGTTTTGTTCGCATCTTGCCACTGCTCAACTACCCATCGAGGTAAGCACATTTGTCTCTGCGCAGTAACTGGGGAACATTCTCACCAAGATGTACCAAGCGACAGACTTTCGCGAAGTACTGCTGTGGAGCCTCTTTCGGCGCTCCTGGAAGCGCGACGATGGTGACAGAGGACCGCGAACTGGACGTCGAGGGACTCGGTGAAGGGGCCGGTGGCGGTGGCATCTGTGGTGGCATCTGAGGCGGGCCGACAGCGTACACGATGGGGTTTCCGTAGTAGTCATAGCCGTAAGGGAGAGGGTAGGCGGGATGATAGTAGACTTGGCCGTAAGGGTTCATTTTGCTGCTATCTTTTGCTGGAACAGGAGGAGGGAGATGATGTCGAGTAGTCGCATATCCCACCTTTTATAGGGAGGCAATAAAGTCATTGCTTAACAATGAAGCCTCTCTTGATTGTTACTTGAAACGGTGTCCCGAAAATATCTGCCATTCAAGACCTTTGTATGGTAATTTCATTTCTTGCCCTTGGACACAAACCCACACAGATGCCACCTTCTACGGCTATTCATGTCGTCAGGACTTTGGTGGCATTGAACGCTAAGAGTCAGGCGACATTAAAAAGATATTATTGTCGATGTACCAAAGACAATACTGATCATTCAATTCTTGATACTTTACGCGATATTCAATGCTGCTTCTCCAGAGCAATCACTTTCTCCAAAGCCGCATAATGCTTGCTCCCCAAAAAAGTATCCTCACCGACCGCCTTCAACGGTGATCGTACAACATTCCTCCCATACCCAAAATTCTTTGCCACAACCGTCTTAATCGCAGAAAGTGACCCGAGCTTCGTTTTTGCCCAATCTGCATGTGCGATATCCGTCTGCAGCTTCAGCGCCTCATCAATCTTACCCTCCCTGAACAATTTATACAACTTGACATGTAGCTTCGGGGTGATATTCGGCGACGCTGCCATCGTTCCAGCGCACCCCGATATCAGTCCATGGAGCATGCAGTCTGTCGTCGATGTGTATATCCCGAACTCTGCGGGAGAGAAGACCGACGCGAGCCTGTGAAGCTTACCCATATCACCGCAAGCAACTTTGACGCCTACGATATTGGGGTGCTCCGCCAGTACTTCGATCGCGTCAGAGTCGAGGTTCAAGCCATTTGTAACCGCTGGGAAATTGTAGATAATGATGGGAATAGGAGAATTATCCGCAATCTGTAGATAACACGGATTTAGCGGGCACTCGTACAGTAGTGATTAGATCCGTAACGCTCACCTCTCGATACGAAGCGATAGCAGATTCAGGTGTGATCTTCAAAGGCCAGGGAACAGGGGCCAGGACTAGCGCGTACGACGCGCCAGAATCAGCTGCTTCCTTGCATAACTGGATCGTCACTTTGGTAGACGCTGCGCTGGCACCAGCGATCACAGGAAGATTACTGAACCCATTCTGGTCCAACGTCTCGCGGGTAATCTTGATGACCTCGCGACGCTCAGCCTCCGAGAGCAGCTGAGCCTCTCCGTTGTCACCCTGTACGAGTATACCAGCGACGCCTCCCTAGAAGAGGGTAACTCAACAGCATGTTCACCACACGCTGAGTTATTTGGGTACCTGGGCTAACCTCAATGTATGAGATTTTATGGCATCACGATCGAGATCTTCATTCTCAGTCATGAAAAGTACGGCGGCGACATGACATCCAGGAGGTGGTGGGTGGGCCATAGTGGTCTGAGTCATGAATACTCGAAGCGCCATTGCGGATTGATTGCGGAAGTCCGAAAGCGGCACGTGCAGCGGAGGAACCGCGTCCCGAGGAGGAACTTCACGAAATCCTGCCGGAGCCTTCTCGTCATATACACTGAAGGTAACTTGTCGTCATATTTAAAATCTGTGCACAAATGAAGGTGTTTTCGGACAAAGTCAGGAATGGTGCGCGTGATGCGAACGATTCAGGGATTCCCGCCGCTCCGGAGTCGGCTTTGCCTTTCATGGAAGTCGACAGTCTGGTTGGACTAAACACGTTTTCCTACTCACTAGGAGCATAGGAGGGAGGCGTTAGGACCATAGAAGATAGCAGGTGAAATCGGAAAGACTCCGGGCCTCTCTGGATTGTGTATAGAATCACATTCCTCTTTGTCATTTGCAGCGACCCCGAAATCGGATTCGAGACCAGTTGCTACATAATGAATTCCCAAAGACCACGCGAATATAAGACGGCATCAAAGGATATTCCTTACGCGTCGAATTTCGGACTTCGAAGTCTGTAGAAACTTGAATGACCTCAAATTGAAATACGGATCACCTGCATATACGAAAGTCAGCTGTTATTCTGCCTTCTTCGAAGTCGTTTACTCTACCTCGAAAAAGCGTATCCAGAACGAACATGACTGATCGACGAAGACCGAGGTAAGGTCCGACCGCTGTCATAGCCGCATATATCTCGCGGCTCGGAACACATATCCTCGCGGGCCGGTGTTCAAAGGTAGTGCCTTGATAACCTGCGAGAGAAAGCATACTGCCAGTCCGACACGGAGAGTATTAAAGCCTTCGTGTATAGATGAAATTCGTTAATCTACTGCCCCAGCCAGGCAACGGGAAAGTACACACCTTGCAACAAATTACCTTGGACCGCTATGCGCTGGCACCTATTCCTATTAATGTCAATAATCGCATCGTTGATGCTTGTTGGTGCTTTCCCAAGTTTCGTCAGTATCAGGCAGCAGTCTTGTTGGACAGGTAGCCTGACAGAAAGACGCAGGGGCTTGGAAGACGCACTAGAACGGGTGCACGAGATATAGAGGTGAGAAAGTCAGAAAGGATAGTTGCTTCTATCTAAAGCCAGAGCCTTCAAAACGCAGCAAAACAATAGCAGCACTAGTGCAACAGCACGCCTCAGAGCGAGTCCAGTAGTATGGCTTAGAGCTGGGATATTGCGCCGTGGCTCTGAAGTTAACCTAAAGGTGAAAAGTACTGAAAACCCTCTGTTCGTGAGCTGTCTTACCAATATTTATGCAGATCACGGGAGATCTGAAGAACCGCCTCTGGCGTCGTGAGGTGAATGATTGTTCTACCTCATGGTCAGCTCATACCAAACCAACAATAGGCAATAAACGAGACGAGCGGTATTCCTGGGTGGCGCGTTGTCGAATAATTTCTGAGGCATAATACCCAGTATATGGAGTGATAGACACGGCGATGCTTTTCCGTGTAGGATCTTGGCATCGTTTCATGAAGCATAGAGAAGTGGATGATATGTAATACCATTCTTTTGGCTTCGGGACTTCGGCGACTACCTGTGTAGATTGTGCAAATAGTACGAGTCGTCCCAGAGGATAGCAATTAATATGGACCTTTCTATTGACAGTTCGAATATAATGTCAGAATTTTGGGCCATGGAAGAGCATATCGAAGCAGCAGCCTTACAAAGTTTCCCTCTTGCTAAGTTGCACGCTAGGTAAGTACTAAGTACCACTCTTTGTCGTTGAAACGTGGCAAACGTCGGATACCGGGCCGACAAGTTACGTGTTTCCGATTTGTTGACGGAGCATTCTTGCTTTTGACATCCGGAATATAAATCCTCAGTGACGACTCTTGGCGATCTTACCCTCTTGCAGTGCACAGTGGCTGTGCTTGGGCAGCGCAATGAAAAGTTCGGATTCTTTCTGCTCAACGTTTATTGTTTGCGAGCTTGATTCTTGAAGAATCGGTAATGTCCTCACCTACCTCACACGGGAGTCTTTCTGACATGCACTGGGAAACAAAAGTCTGAATGTGTTGGCGTCATACAACGGGCGGCTTGGCAATACCTAGTACGAGCTTGCGATGATCGCTTGTGGAAGGGTCAGTGGCGTCTTATTCCCTCGACCGACATTCTGCCGTCTTCCTTTTGCTCCTCCACATGCCAGATGCAGTCTGGAACATCGCTCTCATGTCTCCGTCCATGGGAATGTAGGTGACGTTAGCCCGCCTGCTGTATCATATAAAACCAGCTCGGATTCTACACTTTTCCTCAGTCTAAATATGAAGCTTACATTCTCCGCTGCATTCCTCACTGCCCTTTTCGCCGCCACTGCTTCAGCATCCGTGGCTCCTACCCGCCGAGATATCTTCGCCCCGCCCATCACTTCCCCCAGCACGGGAACGGTTTGGCCCGTGAAGACTATCCAAACGGTCACTTGGGATACCTCCAACCCGCCTGACCCTATTACCGACCGTAACAGGAGCAGTATCAGGCTTACCAAAGGTGGTAGGCAGCTCCCTGGTAAGTCAACTCCTTTCCACGTATTATATAACCGCGTATTGAATATTCTGCAGTCGTTTTGGCCGACCAGTTTGATATTCTTCTGGGAAAAATCGATGTGGAAGTTCCTTGGGCGACCGAAGGCGACGATTACGCCCTTATTCGTAAGTTACCTTCCTTACTGATAAATAATGCTGATTGATGATTTGTTTGTGTAGTTTTTGGCGACTCGGGTAACTGGGGCGAAACATTCACCATTACCGGAGGCCCGAACTAAATAGTGCCCTCATATTCTGATAAAAACTTTAGTCTACTATTGTTAGCAGTTATCACATAGCAGTCTTTCGGACTTGGTTTTGTACACGACAGAATATCACTCCCTTAAACGTTAATATCAGTGGAACATTACCGTACACTGGCAAGGGCTTATGGAAGAGCCTTCAGGAAGACGGTGGCGTGAAACTAGCTTGTTATGTGCTCATATTTTGCATTATTATTACCAAGACATCGGCATGGAAAGGCCTTTTTTATTGGGTTGTCAGGAAGACAATGACGGGTAACCCACTCACTATGTTGGTTTTTCTGCTCACATTTGGCATCCTGATTCCAAGTGAATCAAGAGAAATGAACCTCTTTTTTTAATGCAAAACTACAGCTAACGTCTTCAGTTTAATTTCATTCAGCACAATAAAGTCAGCCGGGATTCTTATGAGGATCACACCAGGAAAGAACAGAAGAATATACACATAAATTTATTAGTCTTTCACATCCGGTTCTACTGAGCTAGACGCCTGTGTGGGTTACTTGCTACCAGACATTGAAATTCAAAGACACGTGATGGCGCCGCGTACATATCCGATTTGGCGGGCAATCGGGAAATGCCGATGCTCCTTGTACCCTTCCGCCATCTTCCGCTGGTTACAGCGACCAGCTAACGTAGTTCTCCCTTTTCTCCAATGACGCTTTCGTGTGCTTATTAAACACAAGGCCTTTATTAAGGACATCCGTTTCTGTCAGATTTCTTCGTCGGCCTGCGTCCTCGTCCAATCGGCCGAAACGATTTTGTCAACGCTCGTTCCGAACTTAATGCGCCATTATCGTCATATTGGAGCAACTATCTGGCCATATCAATGATCGTTCACGGTACCGGGTCCCGTGCACAGCAAATACGAATTGCCGGCGGAATAGTTGGATAACACGAATTCCGAATTGCACAAGTCTAGCACGATATCTCCCTTATCTTACTATTGCCGTCTGTCATATAATGGAGGTGTCATGCTGCTCTGTCCTGTAGTGAAACCATGGACGCCATTGATTTGAGCCATCATTTGAGCCCTACTGCGGCAGCTAGGACGCCAAATCCCCTGAAAAGTGAGTATTCTATACGTTGCCCTATTGCTTATCCTGATTCCACGTCAGGTCTTATGAAGTACATGTCCGTCGATGGCATGGTCAGTTTAGCTGGAGGCCTCCCACATCCGTCTCTCTTTCCTTTCGTCAATATCGAAGCCGAGGTGTATTCTCCCGGAATCTATACATCCGAGTCAGACTCGGAGCTTTTACGTTTCAATGTTCACAAGAATGGCAGGGCCAATGGGCAGGTCGTGGATTTGGCCACTGGCTTGCAATACGGTGCGATGAAATGTGTCATTATGAAGTCTTCTTAAATAATGGTCGACGTTAGCACCCACTGCTGGTTTCCCATGGCTGCTCCAATATGTCCAGGACTTTGTAAGCGTTGTCTACCAACCGGCGTATAAAAACTACGATGTCTTAATGAACGATGGGAGCACGGATGGTTGGAGCAAAGTCGTCAACCTTCTCTGGTAAGTGCACCTATGTCTGGTTTGTGATCACGACTAAGTACTGTGGACGTAGTGAGCCTGGCAACCACATCTTCCTCGAAAAGTATACGTTTCCTTCTACTCAGGCAATGTGGGTACCGATGGGATGCAAGGGTGTTCCACGTGCGCATAGATTGTCCTCCACCGTCACCACTGAACAATGATGACAGTCGAGATGGATGCCAATGGAATACGTGCTGATGTGCTGGAAAATACTCTCCGGGAATGGGATAACACCCATCCCGGTGTGAAACGACCACACGTTCTATAGTGAGTCATTATCCGCTGACCTTGATCCAATTCTGATAATTAATAGCGTGATTCCCACGGGGCAGAACCCTACCGGGTGCACTATGCCCATCGCTCGTAAACAGGAAATCTACGATATCTGTGTAAAATACGGTGTGTTCTTCCTCCGCGAACGTCTTCCATTCCTTACCGGTATTTGAATAGACGTCATCATCGTGGAAGACGATCCTTACTACACCCTCCAATTCGATACCTACAAGCTTCCAAGTACCGCCAATGGTCATGCGGCACCTCCCCTTCCCTACGACGAAGCGGTATTCCTGGATTCGTTCGTCAAAACCTTTCTGAGCATCGACGTCCAGGGACGCGTTATCCGTCTCGACACCTTCAGTAAAACGATGGCTCCGGGGAACCGTCTCGGATGGTTTACCTGTAACCCTCTCTTCGCTGAACGGATCATTCGCGCAACCGAAGTAACAACTCAAACACCCTCGGGCTGGTCGCAGTCCATCATCTCTGAACTCTTACACGCGTGGGGTCCCGGCCTCAGCGGGTATCTTCGTTGGTTGTCGGGATTGCAGAGCCAGTACGAGATTCGGCGAAATTGGATGTGCGATGCTCTTGCAAAGGAATTCGACGCGGAACAGAAGGGCGACGAGGTGATCATGTATGCCAAAGGGACAAAGGTGAAGATACTCAGTGTTGTTCCACCGCGGGCTGGGATGTTTTTGTGGTGCAAGGTTCATTTGAGTGAGAACAAGGAATATGCGGATCTCAAGGGCGCGTCTGAGGATCTTGAGACGTTCTTCGAGCAGAAGCTCTGGCAAGATTTTGTAGACGCGAAGGTGGTCTTGTTTTTTTGCTGCTTTTTACCGCCCGTATCTGAAATTCCTTAGGTTTTGATTTCTCCAGGAAGGTTTTACGCGTATGCCTTTTCTACAAAAATTTCTGTTTATTCGATTTCTTATGCAGTTGCCTTTACAGAGCTTGGGAGGGTGAAAAGAAGCCGAGAAATCCAGCTGAGCGCGACATTGTCCATTTCAGATTAGCATTTTCGATGACGACTGTGAGTCTTGTTGCTGGTTCTTTGATTCTCTGTTTGCTAATCCGCGACCCTTTTCAGAAAGAGAATGTGGATCTCGCCATTCGCAGACTTGCAAACGTCCTCCATCGTGCATGGGGCCTTGTATAACAGTGGCGGTAGATTCTCCGGGCCTTCATTCCCTATTATGGGGCGGTACTGTAATAAAATGTAATGATCTCATGCACGCTCCTTCGAAACATCGCATCTAGCGATGGGAAATGATTGAGTACATCAGTAGAGTAGGAAATACTGTGCTCACCCATAGCTGCCGCCAACGTTGCCTTCGGAAAAGTAATTCTTAAATATTAATATCAACGATAATTGGAAAATTCGGACAAGTAGTCCATCCATTTACTGTTCACATGAAGGATTGAACACTGAACCATCGGAGCTATTGTGAGCCAAAGATGCCGAACTTACGGTATTGAACTGGAGTCATGTACCACTAAGCCACAATACTCCATGACTTTAGTGGGCCCAAGAATAGTAGATTTGCTTCTATATACAATTATCAGCAATTTCGACTCAGCCAGGACTCAGCTAAGTCCCACAGCTGGGCGGCGACTATTTTGGGCGAGTCAAAATAGAATCAAAGTGCAAAATGTCGGATTTTGCCTAGTGTTGCCGCGGCTCAGCTTATCTCGGCTTAACGCCGAAGTCGGTTTTGAGCCGCCGAGGATAGAAGGGTAGGGGGAACAAAAACACAGCTTTTGATAATACCAATAAGTCTTCTGAGTGAATAAAAATATCAAAACGCCTGTCATTTTGCACGTTGGTGCAGCGAGAGCAAACGGCTCAAAACCGACTTCGGCGTTAAGCCGAGATAAGCTGAGCCGCGGCAACACTAATTTTGCCTCAGTCAAAATTCGGGGAATTCCCTAATAAGGAAATATCGAACGATTTTGCCTCGCCCAAAATCGGGATCTCGGATTTTGATTCTATTTTGACCACCCCAAAATAGTCGCCACCCAGCTGTGTCCATTCTGCATTGTGAATTTGTTGTGAATCACGGAGACCTCGAATGCCGCGTTGGTTGTTATCGTATCGCACCTTCTTTGTCATCACACGGGCTAACAATTAACTCAGTAGAAGAACAATACATTTGCCAACTTCGCCTTTGCATTATGCAAGAGACATATAAACTGAATGACGGGACGAGTAGCTCCACACTGAACTCCTAAGCTTCATATCATTCAATGCTTGCAACTGTTGCACTTGCACTCGGTCCCCTGGCAAGAGCACCTGCATACAAGAGTAACAAGACAAGCGAAAACACGTCAGTCGATGTCGAGCCCAGTCTTAAAGGTTACTCACGAGGAGCAGCTGCAGGCAGCGGTACCGCAGGTCTGGGATACGGGGGTTTGAGCAGTCTATGCGATAATGGTGAGTACGACAAGACCAACTGGAGACGGAGGGATACGCACGAATTGCATGTTGGTTTGGTTTGGGTGATATCGACTTGGACTTTTCGATAGCGTTTGCAGAAATTCTGGCGCCCTTTTATACTAGAAAACGGGTCATTCTTACACGCTTTCGGTGCCGGAAGAAGGCGGAACTCAAGCCGCTGTCCCTTGCAGCCATATGATGTCTCGCCACTGAGGCGGTACTCTTCAGAGGCTTTCGGACCCGCGAAAGTAACGTTACCTGCCTTCTCGACAGTCCTTTCCCTTGCTTCTGGTTGATGTCGCCTTGTCTTTTTCATCTGCTCGAAAACCCCTGGTCTCAGAGGAAGATTTTGGTCCTACAGCACTTCAGGCGAAGCCTGCGTCTACTCAAGGATATCTGCATCCGCTAACGCCACCGCATCGATACGGCTGATGGTCTTGATTATTCCATCTGGACGTGCGAGAGATGGAGCCTAGCGTCCGTAGTGGAGCCGCTTGTCTGTCTAGTTTTGCCCATCTGGAATCGGGACTCCGCTACTGGGCTGAGAAATGTCCTAGAGGCCTTGGATCTGCTCCCGCAGTACTCCTTACCACTCGCCGGGGCCATAGCAGCGCTCCTCAGGTCCCCGTTTTTGTTTCACTGAATTCTCATTGGTGAACACAGAGCGGCGCATACTTGGCTCGCCTCTTCCGTAGCCTTGAGGCGGTATCCACAGCCTCGTGAACACAAACGTTTTCCCCTTCGCAGTACCTCCGAGTGTCGTGCCTTTCCCTGCCTGACCCGAGTCAGCTTAGGACCTTCCATGTTTAGCTTCGATATGCATCAGATGAATCCCTCAGAAAAACACGATATCACACGTGTACTACTGCTTGGGCGACGCCCAATATTTGACGCCAGCCTTTGCCAAGGTCAGGAGCTATCCAACCGATGGATCTGGCTAATGGTACGCTTCTGCATCGAAAACTACCCCCCAATTGACTTCCTTGTTTCTCAATAATAAGGTGTCCAACGTGCGAATTACCAAGTTATTTCCCTCGGCACACTTCTCGAGACGGCGACGTACTGCAACTCCTGGCAGCTGCACCAGAACCGTCCCTCTCGTGACATATAGATTCACTCATCGTTCACTGATGACATCTCTTATCTTCATGGTAGCCTGAGTCGCCTGCAACATCTCACTACAAGTATCCGCAATCAACTAGAGGAAGTCATCGCCGCAAAGGAAAGCAAGGAAAAGTATGGATTAATATTCATCCCCGACTCTCTACCATCTCCTTTGGAACATTTTTTCGGCGTCCTCTCGCTCTGCCATATGCCAGCACGCAGCAAGGTACGCCTGAGGTCACCGCATGCATCTATGATCACTTTGATATCAGGAAAGGCTGGTGAATATGGAGTCGGCCTTTGACGAATGATTTCAGAAACCGATCATCGATATTACTAAGGACGTGTTCACAATTCCCATAAGTTTTACATGGAACATTCGGTGACTAAGAGGAGCGAAGCCTTACCCGTATTTCACCTGTAAACACTCGTCTCATTGAAAAAAAAAAACCATAGTGATGTTCAGCCTGTTGTCTAATACAGTTTCAACGCTTCCTTCGCCCTTGACCATATGCCAGTTCTTCGCCCACCAAGCTAGCGTAGTTAAAAAATCGTCATCCCAGTGTCGGATATCTTGTATGAAGAGGTCAAATCCCACGATTCGCCGCAGCTCGCCCTCCAGTTCAGACTCAGGTCCGGGTCGTTCACTACCCCAATAAGGCACAACGCGTGCACCGGCCCACCCCAGGATACCGACAATCCTAGTCGGATCATTAGGCGCGACCAGAATGTTCTCATCACTGAAGTTGACGTTCTCAAGGACAAGAGCTGGAGGAGGGCGCCTGCCGAGGATGTCTGCCGCTTCGCAGAACTGACTTATTACCTTGCTCTGCAGACGGACCGCAGTTTGAGTAGGCTCAGCTCGCCTGCTACTCCCAAAATACTCCAAATGCCGACAGGCTACTGCCAGTAACCATTCCTCCCCCGTCCGGAATGGGCCGGAGTCTGAAAGGCGAGGCGGAGCAGTAACACCGGCTTCGTTCGATGGGGGTAACGCCATAGGTCCGATACAGAACTCCTCTACGTCTGCACAGCACACAAAATGACAACACGAAGAATCACTGTTCCCATAGGCGTGGATGCTCCCTATCTCGCTAAATTTGGTGAAGACGGATTTCAAGATCTTGGTGTAAATTTCCTTGACAGACTGTCGAATAAGGGACTGTGTCACAAATTCTTCGAGCAACGGGAGCTGTTTGGAAAGGAGGTTTCCTTCGATCTTGGATATGGATTAGGATGTATAGCACTCGACGAAAAGGATCAGACTGACAAACACAGTGGCAATCCATGCTCCCCCAACACGACCGTCCTGGTCATCGTCATAACAAATCGGTCGAGGAGCATGTATCGTAGGGTCTTCCTTCTGGAGAAAGCGGAGGGTCGAAAACTATAGTGGGAACCTGTTAGCCTAACACGTCGCACACGTACAAGGCACTCACCTCAGAAAATAGTGCATTAGCACATGATACACCGCCAACGCCGTCCATCATCAATGGCCGGTATACACGGACTAAAATCTTGCCGTGGATATCTATGACTACAGTGTAGAGCTAGTAATAGAACATGTAAATCTGAATTCCCGAGATAGGAGAGGCTATACCCTGTAGTTGCGCGCTATGAGGGAAGTGTTAGCTAATAACATGATTGTGAGGTATGGTGTTGAGACCCACATTGACCAGCAACCTCTAGCTGACTGCAGTGATGACCAGACTTCTTCTTCAAGCGTGCCTCGAGAACCGTCAAGTCGATCGATGGCGGCAGATTTTGTGAAGCTGTCGCGGTCATGATTGCAAAGATTCCAAAAATGAAAGTAAGATGTCGCCACCAGGACGAAGGGGAAAGGGAAGGAAAGAGATGCGCAAGAGGAGGGGTCATTCCAAATAAATACACCCCAGTCCTGCATAGCCATAGAGGCAGCACAAAGGCGAAGGTAGCAGACAAAGCAGTAGCAAAGACAGAAAAGGAAGAAAGGCTGCCTCGTGCTTGATGCTTGACGTCGTCGACATTCGGATCAAGCGTCCTCGACACATTTCAGGGCCGGACAAGAAAATGTTGTCTACTAGTCCATCTCTTACTAGCGCAAACAGATATACACCGCGACAATGAGGGCCACAGCCCTAGCACACCTCTGGCAGGGGGATTTGAAATAAAAGTAGACCACTAAGCCCTAATTATATAGCCATCAAATGGGCCTAACGGGCCTGCCTCACCATGATGTTCCCGCTGTGCGATCCGTATCGGGCCACCAGATCTGAGGGCGTGCGTAGATGGTCCCTACCGACAGTTCCATGACATTCGCATTTGGACTGTCGCCTGACGTTCTGATGCTCTTCTCTGAAAGTATCCTGGTTCTGCTATTACTGTTGGGCACTGGTTTATCAGTCAAATCCATCGATGAAGCCATATCCAAAACGAAATTGCTACGGGGGTGTTCGACCTTGTAATATCTAATCACGGTGTAGGCATGGGGCCTCTCCACGGCATTCTAACGATGCTCGTATTTTGAGTGGGGGGTAGATATATTATTATTCTTTGTACTGCTACGTAGTAATCCATGCGAAGATACTGTTGAACTATCTTTTGGATGTAGATAATCATCAGGTATGATGGTCCCACTGTCGACTGAAGATGTTATCCGAGGCTAAAATACCAGAGTATCGTCCAATATTAGCATACTCCGCATTGCCCCATGCCACATGATTCAATACAGGTCCTGTTTGAGTCAAGTGCTCGTCATCTGAATTGACCTCTAAGTATCCGCCGCCTGGGAGATCTTGAAACTCGTATGGACTGCCGTAGAAGGGGTCCATCTCACCGTCTTGAAGTGCAGGTGGGCCTGGTACTTGAAGCGTGGATGGGCCTGGTACAGCACTGATTTGTCCAGTTGTCACGGTCTGTCCAGTTGTCGTAGTCTGCTTGTAAGCTGGACGCGGCCTTGGACGCTCCCTGACGTTCTTGAATGGTCCTGTCGATACATGGTGAGATGTTCTACTGCAACAGAAGAGCGCAGCCATACCTTGATTTGCCTTGTCTGGCTGGGGCTGAGCTGTCTGTATGTTGACAATGTCGCCTTGGGCCGTTCGAGGTGCATTACCACTGTTAGTAGAAGTCTCGGTGACCTTCTGCATACTTGACACCGCCACTGTGACCTTCTGCTTCTTGGCTCCGCGGCTCTTCCTCTTCTTATGTCCTTCGGGCTCGACGTCAGTATCATTCGCCGGTTCTTCGAATGCGACCCTCTTCTCGCCAAGCTTTGGATCAGGACCATCTTTCTGCTTGTTTGTGTTCTAGGAATGAACCAATCTGAGCATCCATTGGACCTTTGCACATATACAGTACATTACCTTAGTATTCTGTCTTGTGCGCATTCATTTGGAATCTGTTGGAGCGGGTTTTGGTACCGCTGCTTGCACAGTCCGAGAGCGCGATGTCTCTGTCTCTGCACAATACACGCCTTCATGATATGTATTTGTAGCGATATCTATAGCCGTGCGTACAAAGACATATGCATTAGCATCTTGATGGCCAGTAGGAGCTTCTGTAAATGAGACTCAGTATGAAATAAGAGTAATAGTCTACTAAGTGGGATCATACGAGCTATTTGGATTTCCGAATCTTCAAGAGCCTTTGCGAAACGTATTCTCTGACTGTTGGTCAAAGACGATGCACTTTTGCTTAGGTACGTGGGATCCAATTTGTCATTGATAGGAAGCGGTACCATTGGCGGCCAGCCAGTGAGAATCATGTTGCGTTCCTGCAGCGATTTACCCAAACGCCTCCAGGGGCATGATCTGTAATCAGGATAGCCATCCTGCGTTATAGGCGGAGCAAGTGTATTATGAATTGGGACATCATGGTACACTGTCAAGCCATTAAACAACACTTTTCCTTGGTGGAAATTCAGACTACTTACCCAGTAATGCACTAAAGTTGATGGTGTAGGAAAGATGTGCCGATTTTGCGTTATCTGGCCTGTATAGCTTGTAGGTTGAGAACGCCTCTCTTGCTTTGCCTGCATCCTTCATGACGGTGGTTGTAGCAGTGGGAGATTCTTCATATGGTAGGAGAGCTTCACCGTCGACAGAAGCGGGAATGTCAGAACCACTAGGACTCGTGATCTCCTGCTCATGCTGCAGCTCTCTCTGTCGGTGCAAACTGACTACGCTGTCTGATTTCCGGTTTCTTTTGGATAATAATAATTATATTGTAATAGCATAATAGTATCTTGACTCACTGAACATATGCCCAAAGGTGTGTAGCGGCCCAATCATTTTTCAGACGTAGTTTCTGATCTGCAAACTAGTAGAGCCAATATTAGCTGTAGATACCCATGAAAAAAACAACACAATACATACCCCTTTTGCAAGGCCGGTCTCATGGAATGCTACCATGGAAGGTCCGTCGTCCTTTGGATTAGCGCCGACAATAGCCATGATGGCCTCGAACCCATCCCGTCAGGCATGATATTCCAGCTGACGACCTATCATTAATAAGGACAAAGACAGACGCCTCAAGACTTACCTGCTTTGCAAGCTCTTGAAACGTATTCTTGAAGACTGACTGACGCTTTCCACGTGTTCTCTGCCCCGCATCGAGGTCCATAACTTTGGCATATTCTATGAGAATACCCTTCCACTCATCATTTGGGAAAGACTCCTTGAAATTGCTATAAGCCAGAGATGCTTGGTCTTGATCCCAAGACTCGTTGGGATGTTCCGCTTTGTACTTCGCAAGGAAGACATTCCAGTACGACATTTTGTGGGCGACAACAGTCGGGAATGCGCAGTTGATAATGTGTGATGGTTGAATGGCAGCGTCGATCTTCGTTGTCTCCTTGATAACTTGCCAGATCTGATTCGCAGCTTCCTCAATGCGAGAGACAGTCTCCGCCTGCAAATGACCAGTGCGACGGGGTTCAGACGACTCGGCTTCAACCTCTGAACATGGTGAAGGCTTGTCTTCCACCTCAGATGCATTGTCAGGTATGCCTGACTGTGTCGGAACATCCATTGGAACATCGTTCAGTGCTTCAAACCCATCACCAGTCTCTATGGAGGATGCCTCATCATGAGCAGTGGAAGGATGAAGATAGGTATTAGCTGGTGTACTTGGGACGCCGGTGTCGAATGAGAACTGATCGAGGTTCCTAGTAGCTACTGGAGTTATAGGTGAAGGGGTCGTCACCTGAAGCATAGGCACAGCAGGCTGACTTGGACTTTTAGAACGCCCAGCTATGCCCTTCAACAATGGTTCGACGTTTCCACCAGCTATAGGTTGACCGGCAAGACTTGGGTAGGATGTCGCAAATGTTGCGGTAGAGCCCAAATCTGTAGGCCTTTCCATTTGCAGATGTTCCTGGGAGGTTCTGCGAGTAGTAGAATGACTGATGGAGGCAGCTGAAGATGGACGGGAGTGAGCATGGTAGTAGGGTGACTTGGACCGTGGATATCCCAACTTTGTCGGCCTCACAGATGGCAGTTGTTGAACTGGTGGACCTGCAGACGAAGGTCGAGTGGATGGTAATGGGAGACCCTGCCTACTAGTCTGTTCAAACACCGACTGCGAATGTTCAACTCTTTTTCTTCCAGAGAAATCGATTGGAAGGATTTTATATCCTTGCGGCAGTTGTTGGGGGAGTGGAGATGGAGAATCAGGGTCTCTGCATGCATCCATCTGCAATACCGACAGTGTACTGTCACTCGGCTGCAGAAACCTGATGGGACGCAGCGAAGCCATCGCTTCATTGAAGATTGACTCATCCTGCTGATCTGAGCGGCATTGGAGAGCACTGGCACCTTGCATGTTGGGAGGGTTTTGTGCAGAACTGGCCAGGGCTATACAACAATGAGCATCACATTGTCTCACAAGAGCAAAAAATCGCACCGTGGTTTCCATTCAGATTCTGTCTCTCGTTCAGATTTTCAAGCGGTCTTGGTGCTACGGGTGAAGAGAAGAGTTCATCCTCCTCTTCAGCAAAGTGCTGTATCGCAATGGGTGGGTGCGAGAGGGTAGGTGGATGGTCATTCTCCAGGTCGCTGCTTGCCTCGGGATCGTCGTCTTCCTCCTCTTGCTCAGCCTGAGCATAGTATTCTTCCCTCGACATGTATTCTTGACCACTATCAGCAATTTCCTCCTCTTCTTCTTCATCCTCTGAAGGTGTCGGGATACCCTCATGGACCTTCGCACTTTTACGAGGCCTGGACGTCTGAGATGCAAGCTGTCTCAAACCTCCGATAAAACCAGAAGATGAACGAGTGTCCCGCACAGCCTGCAATTGAGTCTGAGACTTTAATGTTAGGAGTCCATTGATTCATATTTCGGAGAAAAAAGACCCACGGAACGATTCATTTGAGCTTGGCTCTTTGGACGCACTGGAGGCACTTGGCCAAATTGAATAATTCCTGGATCGTAGCGCCTGAAAGATGCCAGAGGAGGAGAGTGCGACATAATAGCTTTTAGCACACCAATCCTACTGTCTGCACAACAGAAAATGAGCCCCTCTTTTGTCCGATAGCTCAAATTAATTAGTAGCACACTTACGACGCTGTTTTCCATCTAAACGAGAGCGTTTTGCTGTCCTTTGAATACTTGGGAAGGTTGGAGAATGGAGTACAGACGAACGTCGAGGCGAACCTCCTTTTCTGACGTTCGCTAACTGCCGCTTGGGACCATCAGTGGAAATTGCGAACGTCTGGGAGCATCCGGGTTGGCAATATCCAGGTGAGTATTTCTATACCCCTTCATTAGTTTTCACCGTATTTCCTTGACCAGGTCTTGGGTGCACCTAATAAGTAGATCAATCGATTCATAGACTTCTGCCCGTTCACAGATACCATTCTTTTCCAGCCTGTTCAGTCAATCTGTTAGTGTCTCATACAACTCAATTTTGAACTAATCAGACTTACGATCCATATAGATTTCTCGTTCAAGTCTAGGGTCTTCTGTAGCAACATAGCAAGACACTTGTAGGAGCTTCATAGAGTGCTATACATGGGCCGGAAACCAAAATACACCACCGAGGAGGACAGAATCAAGGCTCGTTGCCTATCTAAAGCCAAGTATAGAGCTAGTGAACGGTATGTCCACACCTGTGGTGAGACTCTTGCAGCGACTGATGCTGAGCAGAGGAAAAGAGAGCCGAAGAATGGAGAACCATAAGACAAATAAACGCCGCTGTGGTCGGCAAGGAAGTTCGCTTTGTCGTAATCCCCGAGAGAGTTTGCCATGCACACAACTTCTAGATTTGCTTGTACGTCAATGCTGTTTGATAGATGGCTGTATCGTTGATGTAGATCCTTTCTGCAACAGACATTTAAGGATGCCCGTGCATACTCAACAAGTCTCCAACGTCAAGAAGAACAAGCAAAAGGCGAGAGCCATTATAGTCACTTAGCTTTTGGAGATTGGAACGAAGGCATAGTCAAGCTCACTAGGTCAATTGCAGAGATAGAGGCCTGCATATCAGAAGGTACAAGACAAGATACTACGTGGAATAAGCTCCGTTTGCACTGTCTCCAGGTGGAGATGCAAATATGCAATAGCGGTCGATTGTTTCTAGATGAAGCGTACAAAGAAAAGCATCTACCATGGCAAAATCTATGATATATGTATAAAGCCTACTTATTCTGACATTGAATTCCATGTTGCGAGTGCTAAGACCATAGAGAGGCAGTGGGTTCTGAACTTTGAGATGTCAGACTCCGTGATTGCTGTCTGTCGATACCCACGAAGTACTGCACGGATCTGCGACAGCACCCAAACCCCGCAATCATAACCATTATGCTGTATGGGCATGGCCTGTATATGTACGCAAGTTAGGGCAGCAATGGTAAATGAAAGAAGGCTCACAATCAATCTCGTCACGGTCCACGATGCCGGACTCGAAGGTGGAAGTTCATATCCTTGCTTCCTCACACATGCAGTAATCATTTCGACGAAGCGAAGAACATCCTATGATGCATTAGAACTTATCATGGGAACATCAGCAGTAGATATCCAGAACATACCTGAATGTCTCGCTCGGACTCAAGAGCATCAGCGAGGCTGTCAAACAGCTCAAGAGTTTTCGTTGTAAGATTCACCGTGGCCACTGTCCAATGAACCTGATGTTTGCGATGTATCGGAATGACCCACTGTGTGTACATCCAGAACTTGAGTTTACGTGTATACCTCCATATCGTCTCGGATTCTGACTCGTCCCTCAGGGCAGCAAGATCATACGTTGAGAAGAGAACAGTTGAGGATTCTGGGAAGGCATCAGATAGCAATGCTGCACATCCATTCATCACGTCGTCATTCAAAAGTGCCGTAGAGGTATACAGACGCCGTAAAGCGTCCGCATCAAACACAAGTTTGGCCCAGTTCTTCTCCTTGCATCGTGGCCGATAACGAGCAACGTCTTTGGTCATGAGACACTCAGGAGAAGGAACATTGAATATAATATCGATATCCAAGTTGCCGTTTAAGCCAGACTTCCGAGGCTAGGGAATATTCCACATTCCGTCAACAGATGAAGACAGGTAAGTGGGAGAGAACTTACAGCGCCCATGTCGCTTGCTTTGAAAGACTCAGAATCATCAGCGCTAGATGTCACTGAGATGGTATCATTTTCTGAGTATGACGGAACTTCCCACGTAACATCAGATGGACTCGGACTTGGGTCGAGATCATCAAGAATGTCCGCAAGGCAGTCTGATTCATCGTTTGAGATAGTGTCCCCGTTGTCTTCATCGTCGTAGTCGCTCTCAAACTCTCTGAGTATTGAGGTGAAGGTCTGGCCAGGTATATCTGGGAACATCCCAGGGACAGCAATGATGGTAGGCGGGACGAAGTGGATGGCCGAAGATGAGATTCCATGGCATATAGAATGTGCAGTCCGCAGTGCAGATTGAACAATAGCATGCCAGCGCATATCAGAAACGAGTGGGTTCTTCCATCGGTGCTGAAGTGCACATGTTTGTTCGTATCTACGTTTCAGTGGAAAGAGGAAAGGTGAATCTAGAGAGCGTAAATGGGCGATTTGATCTTTCAGACAGAATCTGCTTACCTGCTTCAATGTTCTGGAGAGATATTTGCAGAGCAACAAGTTCCCGTTCAAACCATGTAAGCAGGTTGTCTGCTTCCCGCCCTAGTCGACGACGTTCCTCCAAACAGCGGTCGAGTTGGAGTACCGCCCGAATTCCCTGCTGGACGTTCGCATCCACGAGCCATGCAGGTGGTTCGGTGGGTACCATCTGCATCCAGACGTCTTGCATGAGGTCATCGTCATTTCTGAGATGTGCCAAATCCGTTGACAGGTGGCGAGGCAAAGGGAACTGAATATTCTTCTCCGTCGCAAGTTGCTCCAGCTCTCCAACATACCCATTGAACTTCCGAATAGCTGCAAGGAGAGCTGGCTTCCGGCGACTGATTGATTTTCGTGTTTGTTGGTGAAGCTTTGTTCCTGTGGAACATCAGAAGAGCTTCTAAGGCATAGATGATACTTACCAAGTGCCTGTTCACGTCCGCCAGTCGCCTGGTCCAGCCGGTCCCATTCAAAGAAGGTTCCGATTGCCCTTTTGCGGATATTCATCTTGAGGTCGCGCGCGAGAAGTAACGTTTGTACAAATGTGACGTCGAGGGATGCTAACTCGGGGAAGGACTGGCCGACATTCAGAGACGCATAGAGCTGGTCGATCTGATTGCAAAGCTGTTGATGGACGTAGGAGAGTTGCGATAAATCGAAATTCGGCTGAGATACAGTCATTGGTGAAGACTTCAGGGCAGTCCGAGTGGCCTGGATGGCAGACTCAACAGTGTCAGCATGCGCCTGTAACGTTAGAACAGCGTCAAGCTCTTTCTTCAGTCGAGCAGGGGCATCTTTAAATACCAAGTGTTATATCAAGCACCCCCAATAAACAAGTTGACTTACGCGAGCATATGGATGTCTGTGTCTGGCGTTGGTCCGCCCATTGTTGCCGCAGGAAGGGGACTGACTTCCCACAGGATTCCAGGTCAGCGCGTGCCTTTGCACCCTTTTTCTCTACACCTTCTTGGACCTTCCGACGTATCCATCCTCCGAGATCCTCACGAATAGACTTTGCCGTAAAAGCCGCCTGACGATCAAGGAGATAGATTCGTTGTCGACGCTATATATTCTTGATTGTCAGCGATCTTCACTTGACCTTATTGCTTGGAGATTCATACCGCAGAACTTCGAGTAATACCAATGAGCTTCCGAAGGCATGACCAGAAGCGCTCTACACCTTCACCATCTGTCAACCCAAGACCATCCATCAACCTAGGATTGTATACTAGCTGACAAGCCCATTGGTGCCCATACGAGTGCATCGCTGAGGTTGCAAAGACAAGTCGTTCAGTTAACATTGGTGGAAAGATGTCATACTAGAGTGTATATCAGGAGCTGAGACTTGGAGAAGATTAGAGAATAGACATCATACCAGATTGATGCTTCGATCCATTACACATCCAATATCGTACAATACGGCAATAGAAGCGGCTGCGGGCAGATGAGAGGCGAGTTTGTCGATGAGGGCAACAGCATACTTCTGCTGCTCTCCAGGAGTATCCACATTGGCAAGGAATAGAGGAACATCATGACGACACACCAGCGCAGCTAAGCCTGTGTCATCATAACGTCCTCCATGGGTTTTCTCCTTCTTCTCATCAGCAGCGTCAAATGACTTCTCGTCTTCATCAACAGCAATGTCTGGAATCTTGGGTGAATAGTTCTTTTTGGCGCCAGCGTTGCGTGCAATTTCAATACGAACTCCGGCTTCGTCAACCTCATGCTTGGAGAGGATATACCTGGGGTCATAGAAGTGCGGGCAGTCTCCCGCCGATGTTCGGTGACGCTGATTGAAGTTGCAGTCAACAGCAACATGGACATCACCACCTCTATTTAAATGTGAGAGTCCGAATACCACATACTAGTTCACAGTACTCACTCGGAAAAGCCCCGTCCAAAGCGAGTTCCAGAAAAACAAGCAGGAACATCGCTGTTGCAAAAGGTCCGAACATCGACCACGAGTCAGCGTAATATTGACACGTTTCCCATGGGCTGGAGAGCTGTACACCGAACCATTGTCAACATTTACAGTTGGTGTCGATGGCTGTATGTTATTCGGAGTCGCAAATGAATCGGGGATCTTGGCACGGGAGTTTGAGAGCATGGAATCAATCTCGTCTTCCAAAGCGAGTCTGACACATCCATACCACTTGGTTGCATATCCGAACCCACGACGAAAGGGCTCTTGCATTGGGACACCCTGGAATATGGATTTTAAGTGGTCTGAACAAGTAACGGAAGTTACCCTACCTTCGCATCAAGCATCCAGAACCCACGGCTCACATAAAAGTCTTGCAATGCCGAGCAAAATGCAGAGTTCGATGTTCCGGAATGTTCTAATAAGGACTGGTAGAGGCTGAGCAAGTCGATGGACACTGCGACGCGTGGCTCCCGAGGTGAGGTAGGGAATAGGCTATTCTCGACGAGAATTACAGGCAGGGATTCTGTATGCAATCGGCAGTATTCAAACGTTCTGGTCTCGAAATCTGCAATGAGCTATTCAGCATGGAATCCGTGAGTTCATGCTGTCAATACCTACAGTTCCAATACAGGCATAAAATGCTGCGTTGTTCATGGAAGTTCGCGCAAGTTCCAGCGCTGCAAAGCAAGGGAGGGGGGCCAATGTCTAAAGCGGATCTTTTCTGAAATGAGGCCAACGGTCTGACCAGGTGCGGCAGAAGCGCCCTCCAATCACGATACAAATTCTGGGTGTACCCACTGGGCTGCGTGCGGCGGGGTTTCGTGGGTGTGGGTGCATCAATATCTGGCCACTCGTCCTCGCCGTCCTCAAGGTCGTGAGTCTGTGGAAGCTCAACTTCAACGTCGAGCCTTGAGCTTGAAGCTTCATTGTCTGACTCCCAACCATCTCCTTCGTCATCATCAGCATCCACACTCCCACTGGCCACCTGCTGACGTGCACGCTCCTCGGCTTCCCTGACCCGTTTCAGCAGCGATAGTATGGCGTAGTCGTACGCGGCGTCACCGACACGTTTGGTAGGGTCCTTGCGATCACGCTTGCGTTTGACTGGAGAGAGCTTGAGCGTCCAAGACATTGCGGTAATGCAGATGCGTCACTGGAGTAAATATGAAGAAAACCGATTGTATTTGGAAAATATAATTATGAACGTCCCGCCACGATCGCGCTGAAGGTCGAGGATCGTCAGGTTGGAAATGGGGAGGGAACGTCATGTTGGAAAGAGGGGAACGTCGTTGACGAGTCGGTGCCTGACACTCGGCGAGATTTCACGGCCCGATATGGGGCAAAGGGCACGAACGTCATGGCGAGGCAGGCCCGTTAGGCCCATTTGATGGCTATATAATTAGGGCTTAGTGGTCTACTTTTATTTCAAATCCCCCTGCCAGAGGTGCCCTAGCAAGACAGCTTTGACGGTTTCATTTTATAATTGCAAGGGATCACCCTATACAACCACTTCATACTTCTCAAAACTCCTAACCAACCTCCCCCACCGTCCGTCATGCCACGTTGACAAATCCCTCCATTCTGGACTATCCTCGCCGAAAATGATGCGAAAAGACAGCATCCAACCACAAACGGTGATGTCCGCGAATGTAGGCACGTTCCCTGTAACAAAGGCATCCCCCTTCGCTATCCACTTATCAACCTCGCCGAGATCACGCTCAACGAGTGCCCATTGCTTCTCTCTACACTCCCCACGAGGATCCATATCCTCAAGCGTCATCCCGAATGCCTTTTCCCTTGTCTTCCTGAAGAACACCTCGCTTCGAGGATTTAGTACTGCGTTGGCTGCAGGGACTAGGAGTGGCGTTATCGCCTTCAGTAGTTGTGCATGGAAGGCAACTGTGAATGCCGCGTGAAGGGCTTGTGTACCGGGAGGGAAAAGACGTGGGGTATCAGGGTAGGTCACGTCGAGATACTCGGCGATAGCGGCTGAATCGGATACGATAGCACCGGTGGACAAGTCATGGATGAGTGGGAGGGAGTAGTATGGCGTGACACCGTCTGACCAGTGCGTAGCGCTAGCTGATACGCCAAGCCTTTTGTATAATGCCTCGATATCAGGGAATTCAATCCATTCCGTGCGGTATGGGAGACCCTTGAAGTTCAGCGCGTACCTAGGTAAGAATAAGGAACAACGATAAATGAATCTACGAAACCAGCTGACCTAGCCTTCCATGTATTCGGAGAGCATGCATTGATGGGCAATTTTGAGGGGATATCGTAGAAGACTATAGTCTTCGACATGATTGTTGATCGATAAGGCACGGATTCGTCGGTCCGGTTGACTCACCCAGTAAGACCCTTGGGAAAAACTGGCACGTGATCGGCAAATACGGTAATCGCAGACCCGGTTGCTCGTCGTTCGTTTTTCGCTAAAGTCTGGCGTGCCAAGAAAAAATTCGAAGTACGTAGTCGCCTGCGTGTTCCTGTCGTTGAGTTTTGCAACAAAGCTAATCTAAACACTTGAAACGCTGCAAGAGATGCATTGCATAGTTTAGAGACTCAATATTTTGGCTCATGAATGCAGCAGAAATACATGAATTTAAAGACAACCTACACACTCCTGTCAGGCCTGAGTTTCTGCCCGACGGAAATGCAAAGTGGCACTGAAAAAGTTTCCTTATACAGTTTCCATCTACTGTCAGAAACTAGATTCTCCCCGCCAAAATCTGGTTTTCGACAGACGGAAATGCATCTAAGGAAACCTTTTCAGCTCTGCAATCCATTTTCGTCAAATTTCCTTGGGGCTGAAATTGTTGGGGGCCAGGAGTGTACAAGATGTCATGGCTAATCAAAATCAATAATTATATTAAATACTTCCAGAATACAATCGTATTGAATTCTCAAACGCACATCATGTTTTTGACATGTGTTCCACGTTCTGCTCCCGTCACCACTATTTCAGGGTTACTTATTGAACAGACTTAGTCAGACTACGCACAAAAAACATTCAGACAGAGAAAATACTATTATATTATCTCAACATATTACCACTTCACAATGTACGAACATGAATGAGTCCAGCGACCTGTACATATTCCACTGAGTACTACGGACTTAACGAAGAACGAGTTACATGTACGACGGGCAACCGGGTCTGTGATTACCGTATTTGCCGATCACGTGCCAGTTTTTCCCAAGGGTCTTACAGGACCCCTGATTATTCCCCAAATGGTTGGGGCGAAAATCCGGACAAATTTTACCGTTTCGAGCTGTAATGTTAGGGTGGTATCCGGACAAAATGACCTACAGTGGTCAACAAGTCGAGACAATCATCCGGACAATGGGTGGCTGCGTAGCAAGGTCAGGTCTAAATCCGGACAATTCACAGTTCGGCTTGTCGGCAGGACCCTATCGTGCGCACGTTAATTGTCTTCTGTAAGGTTCTTTAAAGACTTCGTCATTGTTTTCATTTGCAAATATATGAAAGTAAATTAGATGTACTTCGCCTGCTTTTTGCTACAACGTTAGGCAGAATTTTTGTAAAGTGGGGACAAAAATCCGGACAAATTTGGTACGAAGGGTAGGTTATGCGCAAAATCCGGACCAAATTTGGGGTCTGGACATCAACGAAAGTCCGGACAAATTTTCAAAAATGACCGAATTTCTGCCCTAACCTCTTGGGGGATAATCAGGGGTCCTGGTCTTACTGGGTGAGTCCGGTGCGGTCTGCTTCCTCCGTTTACGAACCGAGGGAAAAATTTGATCTGCTTATGGGTAAGCGACCGTGTTGGACCTTTCCGCGTACAAAGCCGACGTTGGCATGCCCTGCGCAGCTACACAAGGGGGGAGACACCTTTCCACATCAAGCACAAAAGTAGCCTGATGCGAAACGGTAAGGTTGCTGTCCCTCAGCATAAGAAAATAGTAACAAACCAACCACGATGTGAACCCTTCAACGAGGGCCTCATATGTCACTGGGATTATGAGATTAGGATGAAAGAAAAAGTAAAAACGAAGAGACGCGTACCGTCTGTCCCCAGATTCCAAGATTCAAATATGAATACCTTTTGTAGCATCCTCGACCCAACGAGTAAAAGACTGTCAGAGTTCTCTCTAATCTGAGGAGTGTGAGTCGGACTCTGGAATTTGCTGTCAATAGAGACCTACGAGAGGATAGTGTGTGACGAAAAAGTCTGCCTGCCGTTTTACGATCCAGAAATCGGCAATTAGATCAGCCGAGGAATGATATTCGACCGATAATTCGTTAACGAAGTAACTACATTTTAAAACGATGAGTCTGGGTGACGTAGACTGAAGACAGGCCTACAGAGAGACTACTATGAGGAAACATGCATAAAGGAAGTGTGAAAATATTGCACATCGTCACGCCGTTCTTCTGCATTAGAAGGAAAGCCCAACACCATCCGGATAGTCGTGGCCAAAGCCGGCGACGGAATTGTCCAAGATAATGGGTCATATACACATCGCCAGTCACTGTAATGTGTAAGAAACGCAGCGAGGAGCACTGTGGCGACCTATGCTGAACGTTGAGGTCGTCTGTGCCCCTTATTTGATGCCGATTACTTTGCCCCCTGCACTAGGACATGTGTTAAGAACCAGGGTATTTCGAGCTAATACACAAAATAATGAGTACTCAAGTAAAACCCACGTCGTGAGCGAGGATGTCCGTAAGCCGAGTTCCAACCACCAAGAGGGATCCGTAAAGGTGCTAACAAGCGCTAGGCGTAGTTAACGGGGCGTCAGCAAGCGCTAGGCGTAACTAACAGGATTTCCGAAAAGCGCTAGGCGTAGTCGGGAAGCAATTGATTGGCAAGCGCTTGGCGTAACCGATCAGAGATGCTTAGTTCACACAGTTAAGTGGACTTCGAAGATGAGTAAAAGTAGCTTAAGATTCTAATACAACGGTAAAGATAATATTTATATGCTACTAGTAAGGAATTGAGTCATTATAATTCTACAATGTTCCATAGTATTCTAGTATCAGCAAGAAGAATAGAGAAAATACCGGTAGGCCGAGGTCAAGGCCGAGAGCAGGCATATGTTGACTCATGCTCAGTTCGGAAAAGACCCCGATATCCATAACAACATGCGACACAGCTCGTGCGAAACATCCTCGAGCTGCATCCTCGAGCTGGGCAACCAGAGCTAAGCCAGCTGCAACAAAATAGATGCCACAGACGCACCGGAAGTAAGAATCCTCAGAGTTCTTTCGAGAAATCCAGAAGAAATCCGGATTCCGTTACTGGATAGTATTCCTTCAATATTCCTGTCCACAAATTGTTGCACCACCTAGGGAAGTGGCATCGAGGCCGGTCTTAGGACAGAGATAGAGCTAGAAAGGCGGCATTAAATTCGACGTAAAATGCTGAAGCGATGCCATCGCTGCTAAGAAAAAGTGTCGTTGCGGAGGAAAGGAAAGGAAGAAAAGTTTTGGCAGCGCCAAACATTCTTGCCGGCTTCGGCACCTGTTGGAACGGTCCGCCGGACCGTCTTAGCCGGCCATTGTTGGTACCCCAAGCCAGCTTGCTCCCAGGCGCTTATGGAGGTCCCCTCGATTTATCTCTGCTTCCCTCGGAGCCTTTCTCCTTCTCGGTGCAGGATCTACAGCCGCTGCTTCTCTTTACCCTGGGAAAGGCCAGGTGATAGGCATGAAACGGGAATCTTCAAATTCGTATTGAAATAGGAAGGAAGGATGCTGCTTTTAAGGGGCTCCGATTCCTATCGGGTCTCGCCATTTGCGAACTTGCAGTCATCTATCATCTGCAGTGGCTCTTCTCACGACCGCAGAACCGTGCTCTAAATCTGAAGCGCTGATACTGATCCTTGACCTGGTGCACGAGCCCGCTGTGGGATTCTCAGCGAAAAATAATCCTGGGGTCGCCATGACAGCTCAGGGTGAATAGTGCAAGCATTTGACTGACTTCCTCGCCACAGAAGCTTCCGCTTCATAGGCCTTTGTTCTCTGACGTACTTATGCAAGTCACTCGTTTTCCCATTGTCTCTCCTGCCCCTGCAGGCAAGGCCTACGTGTGATCCCCAGTCGCTTCTGCCAAGGATTCAAACAAGGTGCGTTTCTTAAAATCAGAATTTGGGGCGTAATGATTGTTCTATTTTTTTCAAGGATAGAAAAGTAAGTACGGCTAATGCAAAAATCCGATACAAGATGAGCGTCGTTTCCTCCGGACCTCAATTACTGCGCAACCGAATGTGCCTTTGTGGCTCCGGGATATGATTGTTCCATGAATCATCGTTAGCGAATCGTACATGAGCGCTACTCGAGTCTAGACTGGCTATGAAGAATTGACCAATCACTGCGAATCTAAGTCTGAACCTGGGACGCCACCAAAATGTTTTGCGACAGCCCTCAAGCCTCCGAACCTGCAAGGGGTAAGTGCGAACTTTCCCTTCTGTCTGTGATTCTGTGGTAAAAGCATCTGTAATGCCCCCGAGGCTCGATTTTCTCTTACGTCTCAATTCCGCCACCCCATCTTGGACGAATGATCTTCTCGATTCGTCCGTGTGATCGGGCCTTCCACCCCCATTTCTCGACGACATTTATAACGACTTCAACTCTTCGTCCTGTTCCCATTCTTCTTCCCCGGCTGGAAGTCCTTAACTCGCATTTCTCTCTACTATCTACTATCGCCCTCCCTTCGTTAACATGTGCCTTCATCTAACCTCTCAATACACTTACACCTGTGGCAAAGTCACCACCACCGACAGCCGTGTCCAATGTCCCCAGCGCCAAAAATACCTCTCCGATAAGCGCGCATGGTTGGATGGGGCAGCGGCTCCAAAGTGCTTATGCGACGGGATCCCTAAAAAGGAGAAGAGGCGCGTGGAGGTGGGGAAGCCATGCAAACCGAATTGCCCGTATATCGCGTACCCAGAGTTCCAGTGAGTTGTTCGCATGTGTTTAAGGGACGATGATCATCTGACTGGGGCAGTGAGTAGTCGGCCGTATACTTCCCGCTGTGAAGCGAGATTTCAGGCGTGGACTTCATCGTGATAGCGTCACCCGATGCTTCAAACAATCAAAATCCAGCTGGTCATGGAATATTCACTTTGTTGTGTACAGTCTTTTTGTTCATCGTTTGACCTCTATTTCGTCTTTATTGAACAGCCATTAATCATGTTGTACAACATCCCATTCTTATCCCTCGGAGCGATACTACAAAAGTACGATAACAAATACTTACATCTTGTATTAATCGAAACATTCCCTTCTACTGACATACAAAAATGCATGTACAGTAATGTACAACTAGTTCTTGATTCTCACAACTTGAGCATAACCTCAAGTTGTCCTAGCATATTTCTCCCTGACTGTAAGCCGCAAGTCGATTACAGTCAGTTCTTAGCACCCGAAGACTGGGGCACTGAACCCAAAGCTTCAAACAATTATTATCTGCTGTAAAGTCAGAAAGGGATTTTCCGGGCTGGTCTTTTACCTGCTCGTATTCACAGGCTAGGCATATGCTAGGTTCGAATCTGGGTTGGGTCGTTGCGACTCTCGGCATAATTATATTTCGGCACACTTTGGCTCGATGCCACAGCGTCTAAATTTCGACCGTATTTAATCTCCGACGCTGCTGTTGTAAATAAGCAGGTCAAAAGAGATAGACGATAGCGTGGGATGCCATCAATAGTATCGATATTAGAAGCTCCGTGCTCACTGGTACAGTTCGAGTTGCCGATAAGCCGAGATACGGAGCCCTAGCCGTCGGCAAATAAATCGGCTTCTCAATTAGGCTATTTTTGATCGACCGATCAGTTCCTCTGTCCCCCTTCTACAAATTGCTTTCGCCCTCATTTCCGAGTCATTTGCAATGAAGCTGGTGTAGTTCGGAAGCTGTGGAAGGCGAGATGGCCGAGCGGTTAAGGCGCCAGACTAGAGCAGATCTGGTTTTTAGGTAGTATTTTTGGGTCGTCCTCTCGTAATTCGCTCGTCAATTATGATACAGTTATTGTTCCTTAATCATGTGTGAAGCTTGGGGGAGTCAAGTGGAGCGCTGGACTGAAGAGATCTGGTTTGTGCGGCAACCGAGCAGATCCGAGTTTTAGCGCCTTTGGAGCTTCGTCCTCTCTTTGGAATGTTGTTGCTGCAGCTCGTCTCAACGGCTGCATACTCTCGTCGACTGCACGCAATGTTCTATTTGGCTCGCGTTCCGAGAGGGAGCAGTGGCCAAATATAATTCGCTCGTCTTGATATGATACAGTTATTGTTCCTTAATCATGTGATGGATACGCTCGGAGAAACGCCGTGACACAAGTGACAACCTGTTCTGTTGCCAACACCTTGAGTGCCTGCTCGAGTGAAACTGCGCTCTCCGCGCTCTTCGCCGCTGCATCCGACTTTTTCTCTCCACAAACGCGCTCAACGAGATCAGCATAATCTCCACTGTGTCGCTGGTCCCTCGGATCCCAAACTCGATCCATGAATACGCCCGCACCAAACTACAACCACTGTCAGCAACAGAAAAATACAAAAAGCAATCGCTTACTCGGTCATACATCATCACCAGTGGGTCTCGCATCTTCATCACATGTTGGTGGTGCCGTTTGAACTGCTTGTACTTGTCGTCAACTCTCTTCTTCACTTCTGCCTTGTGCGCCCCCACCGCGTTCTCTAGTTGCTCGTACAGCCTTGGGTTCTCGTCCCGACATGCAGCCTCCAGGTATTGCTTTTTCCATTGACGACTCCCTGTCCCATGGTCATGCTTCTTCCAGATCTTGCTGAACTTTATAATCTCGACCAGCTGCATCACCGTCGCAACCCAGACCCTGCCGTAGCTATCCTTTTCCTGCGACACCAGCAACTTGCACATACATGTATCAGTCACAAAACGAACATGTACACGCAATACTCACCCGGTGAATGGCAATAAGCTGGTTGCCCACGTCCTCGATACCCTCGCTGGTCATTCCACGCTCGCAAAACACGTCCCAGTTCGCTCGCTCTTTAACAAGAGGCTGTAGCATCGCGGTCTAAACTCGGTAAGCCAGTATATTTCTTCAAAAACAAACACTCACCCAAGCTACCTCTTCATCCTTCCAGCCTCGTATAATCCGTCGAAACGCCCGATCCTCAATTTCTGCATTGGTACCACTCCCAGGGTGCTCTAAAAGCGTCGTCTTGAACTTGCGCGCACTAAAAGGTGCCTCGTCAAATGCCTCGATGATCTCCGAACAGCGCTTATCCAGTCCATTCTCATCCCCTGTCTCCTTTCCTTGACGACGCTCCTTGCGACTCGGCTCATCTTGTTCTGTCTGAGGACATCCTTGCTCGATTTTCTTTGTCAGAGCCTCAATGCTATCATCGAGGTAGTTGCACAGGTCCCGTCGCTTTGCAATTGTTCGAGGTGTGGATTCGGGATCGAGTGCTGTGAGGGCACCAATCTCAGCATTCAGTTCCTCGATTTTGTTACGGATGCGCTGGTGGGGAGAGTCCATGATGTGAGTGTGACAAGAGTGTCACAGTCACCTACCCGTACTTGCTGCCTACTCTCATTGCGTCATGCCCGACGCGTTCAGCCCACGTATAAAAGCCCGACACGCGCTTTATGCCTTCCTCCCGCCTCCTTTTCTTCCCTACCACCACTATCACCCCTCCGACTCGACTTGCAATTGGCTTGAAGCCCGCTCCTATGTATTGCCGTAAATGCCCTGGGCATGCAACCCGTGCCGCCCGAAACTGCACAGACTGGAAATATTTGTGTGGGGTGCGTTCTCTTTCAGTTTTCGCAGTTCCTCTTCTTGATGACGTCTACTAGGCACCTCAGAGTCAGGTTCCAGGTATGTTCTCCTTCCAGGGTTTCTATAATCATGTTCATGCATCGCATTGCCAGAATGATAGCTAGACCATTATACACCCGTTCCCTATTGCGGCTGCTTTCATACCACTTTGTATTCCCATGACGCCCTGTCTCAGAACATGAACCAAATAGAGTCATATTTACGCATCACCAACTCCCAGAATGTCGATTTCTGAATCAAGTTATCCCACGATCAACTTGAATGTCAAGTATTGAATTATCTGGGAGAAAAATAACCAAGAGATGATTGTTAAAAGCAAGGTGAGGTGAAGCTCGACGCTGGATGTGGTTCTATTTGGCTCGCGTTCTGGGATGGAGCGGACCGTGTACTATTCCGGCATCGGTTCATCCTTCTCTCATGGCCGACTCTCCGGGTGTGCGAATCCATACGCGGTGACCACCTCTTCATATTTCATGCCAGAATCAGGCATGAAATATTCAACATTGGCCCGAGTCAAAAAAACTTAAAAGTGTATTCAGATTGGGAATCGAACTTGATCCACGCCTTTCACTACTCGGACACCCTTGCCACGGTGAAAAAGCACCTCCTCTCATGTACTTTGCGGACATTATTCTTCGAATGCTACCTCAATATCAACTCGATTGTCGAGTATTGGATTATCTGGTCTCTTTGAGGCGTGGGTTCGAGTCCCACTCTCGTCATGCTTTTTGGTCGAATCGTGCCGGAATGTTGTGCCTTTACCTCCACTTCAAAGTAGGGTAACGCACGAAACCTCCAGGGAGGTTTAATTGCGGTTTCTTACCGACTTCGATACGGTAGTTTACCGTCACTCACCGCTCACGTAGATACAATTGGTGATTTGACAGAACACTGTAATGTCTAAAAGCTCACAATGCTTAAAGCACATCAATTTCCTCGGTTCTAGTTCTCTATTCAAGACGGGGGAAACTTGATCTTTATTCGAGTTCAAGTAATCACGGTTCCCAATATCTCAGAAGAGAATTAACCTTCACCACTTGCTCGAGCTAAAATGTTATGTTTGTTTCCCGTCAGAATAGAGGTGTCCTAACAAGGAAGAACTAGCGTCAGCAATTGAGTTAAGTCGTATATCACCCTCATGAATTCATGATGATGAACAGGTTACAAGTAATCGCTATCTACCCAATCAGCATAATCACTACCCAAAACATCTGATATCGTGTAGCCGCTGGTCGAAGTCAGCGTCGTAGCAAACGATGCGCGTGTACCAGAAGCTCCGTCCCCTGAAGTAAATAAATAAATAGTGTCAGTAGAGTATCATCAAGAGTTAATAGCGTCACCGTACCTGAACTATTATATTCAGCAAATGTAACATCATCAGTATTGGGTTCGCTGCTTGACCATTCCTCCCATCCAGCACTGTTGATCAAATCTCCGAGTGAGCAAGAAGTGTAGACGACCCTATTTTTCCTTGGTCAGTACCGTATAGGTAAAGCAAAACACCGGGCGATGTACCGAGCATATGCTCCCCATGGGCGTCCAAGATATACTAGCCCTTCGAGAGATGCCGTCGCAGAGCTGCTAGTAGTGATAGTCGATTCATTGATGACATCTTAGACAAACGGTAAAACTGGGATGCACGTTGGATAGATTCTAAGTGACTTACACAAGCTTACTCCGTCAGACGATGAACGACCGTTAGCCGTAATCGCACCAGCACCTACGGAAGCAATTGTGTTCTGGTGGAAATACGCTCGTGCATATTGGCCGAAAATGTAGTCGACCGCTCCTTCAATGTAACAGGAACCATAGAATTGATTACCAGTTTGTGCAAGCACTGTATCCTGATAGCTGTTCAATGTGGTCAGACCTTAGGCGTAGGAAACGCCACCGAAATATATATTACCTGTAGAATCCTACACCGTAGTAACCATGATTTGTTCCGTAAGCGCTCAATGCCAGTGCTTGACCGTCGGTACTAGCTTTACCGAACTAGAATATATACGATCAACGACGTTCTCGTGCATAAGCGATAGGCTCACCGTGTTTTTCACATTGACGTTGTATAGTGCAAAGTCGTCCTTATGGACGCGCAGGGTCCCAGTCGAATCATCGTCATCCGCATCCGCAAGAGATAGCGAATAAGTAATGGTAACCGTGTTGCTTGCATAGCTACTGGTATCAGAGGTCTGGCCCATGATCTAAGCACCGAATGTCAGCATAGCTCCTATTTGAAAAAGAGAAGCATGTACCGTCGTCTGGCCGTCACGATCTATGTAGACTTGCTCAGTGTATGTACCTAACGACAGTCCGTTAGCCTCCTAATAGATGTTCTCAAGAAGGTTGAATCACCTTCGTAAATGAAGATAACCTGGTCTGTCCCATCATCAGCAAGCGAGTCCACAGCGGCCTGCACCGTGCTGTATTCTCCGGACGCCGCTCCACTGGCTCTCACAACAACAGCACCCGAGGGCGCTGAAGTACGGCTTTCGCGTTTCAAGACGGGGCTTGCATCCACCAGGTTGAAGAAAAGAGCGAGGAGAGAAAAGAGTGTCAAAGATCGAACGGAAAGGAAAGCCATTTCTGCGGTCTATAACACAGCACCCGCCATCCTTTATATACTGGCAACGGCGAATTCATTTTGGATCATTGCTGTTGCTTGAACAACCGGGCGCAGCAGTGGGCCTGAAACACCACGGAATTCGCAGTTTCAGAAGATTCCATCCGATGTTGAAGCGGAGAGAGGCAATATTTGAGGGATATGGGTAGTCAGCTTCGGCGCTTGGCCAAGCGGGTTACGATGCGGATGCAAATCTATTCTTGGTTCATTGTGAATCGCCGTCGCAAAGAACACAAACATTAGTCAAATGACCTCGAGCATGACTATAAGATTCCGGCTTTTTAGAGAGCTTTCTCCCTCGGGAACGCGGGGCTCGTCGAGATCACTACCAGAACATCTTGGTGTTTTGGTCATATATGCAGCCAAACCCACGGAAGGAGGTATGAAGAAAAAATTGCCGCAGAAAATTCGTCGTAAGGCCTACTCTCTCTTAAACATGCTACCCTCACCCAGAATCCTGTCATTCTGATGGCGTACACGACAAACATCATATCGAGGTCCACTGCTGTATGGCATTCTCATACTCGTTCATTAATGATACACACTCGGAGCAACCCGGCCAAGTTGCAATTTATCCCCAGATCGAGGGAACAGGGCACCTCGCAGCTTCTCGTCCCAGTCCAAACCGGAATCGCCTCGGCTAGGACCAATGATCCGCAAGTCTGTCACCATTCTTTGCGCGACTCTAGAAGCTATAACGCCATCCAAGCCGTCGAACGACGACAGAAGATCCAACACTTGTCTGTATTTGTCCTGGTTCATGTTGTTCCTTCTCTTCACTAAGCCGGCAAGATCTAGTGCGTTCAGATCTTCGGCGTTGTGTCGTCGGAGCTCATCCTGCCAGCCCCACCTCAACACTGGAGACACGAAACCAACCTCGATGGATGGGGCCATAGGCTCCTTCGCCAACTGTTTAGTAGCCCAATGCAAGAGCTCCGTGCCATGTTCGGTCTTCTTTCTGACGTAGAACCCCAGCATACGAAGCCGAGGTAGAGCAACCACTGAAATTAGGGATTAGCTACGTAGGATCGGCGGACAACGGATAATCGGACTCACAGTCATTCCTCAGGGGAAAACATAGCCGAATCTCCTCGAGACATTTGCGAACCCTTATGAGGATCTGTTCTAGGAACGCGCAAAGCCCGGGGGAGGGTTTTTCGTAGTCTGTAAGGCAGAGGATTGAAAGACAGCGTAACCGTTCAATATGGAACGGGGAGTTGGCAGCGGACATGAAAGCCAGTACATCCTCCGTACGCTGGCAGTCCACGCCTTCGAAGCTGATCGTCTCGATACCGCGCTCTTTCACGACGGCATAGGGTTTGTCGCGTGAAAGAGAGAGCCAGTGTTTCCACATTTCACAGGTAGTCAAACCACCGCTATTGCTATAAGAGACCCCGCACCCGCGAAAGTGGACACACTTGAGGTGGCAGCAGTGCGCAAGGAGCGTAATAAGCACGGGAGTGGAGAATTCTACTGCGGGCCCGTTGAAGAGCTGGACTGTGAGCTCTTTGATCCTCCCAAGGCGCGGATCTCGAAACGCGTTTGTCAAGCCAGCCATTGACGGGTGGGTGTCGAAATACAGCTGCTCGAGACTAAGCCTTTCTACGTGTTGGAATCCAGGGAGGCTTCCGAGAATGCTTATGAGTTCCTCGACATCTTTAAAGCGGAAGCCCAGCAAGTGGACGCAATCTCCTGGCCGAACAATACACTGAACGCCTCCAAAATCGGCGAAGAAGTCGAGGAAATAGGGTGGCGTTTCCGACGAGTAATCCCATTCCCAGATTCTGGTCGTGGAAGCTGGAAGAAAGCCGTTGTAAACGAAATAATATTCGGTAGGGGATCTGGATGATGAGATGTGAAGCCCGGGCTGGCAAAGTTTGTGATGCGTCAACATAGTAGAAGGGGAAGAATTGAAGAGAAGACGGCTCGGCTGCCCGTCAATCTTTTATTTGAGTTGTTGTCTATCTTTGTCTTTGTCTGAAATGGCGCAGCAAAAAACATTGTTATAAGAGGTGGCAGACAGAACCTAGTGGTGGCGATTCTTCCAAAAAGGGACGGACCCAAGGACGAGGCGCCTCCATTGTGCGAAAATGAGACTCGAACGGAAGAGAGAATATAAAGGGTCACCCTGTCGAAACGAATCCCAGTTGTCAGTTAAGACAATTAACAGTGACTGAGAAAAGGACCAACCTGGCGTAAGGGGAAAGGTAGACTTGGGACAAGGATAAGGTTAGAACTATCGAGGAAGTGAGTATGAAATTTTGAAGATAGCACCGAATGACATACAGAGCTTACGTTTACGGAGCTTCTGAAGAGGTTCTGCGTGCTCATCAAAGGAAGCAATACCTATACTTATATCGGTGAATTTCCGGTCGGAGCTGCGCCCAGGTCAAGGCGTCGACACCGTTTAAATGAAGGGCATTATCACCACATTCCGGGAGAAGAACCTAATGGAGGTTGAAATTGCACGCTGGAGGCATGTCAACTGGACCTCGCCGCTATGCTCAACAGTTCTGCACAAACACAAGTCTCGTGCTTCTCGAAACTCTTGATCGGCCGGTTCCACCGCCCACCATGCCAACTCGACATATCTCTTCACTCTGGGCTATCCTCGCTGAGAACGATACGGAGAGAGATTATCCCTGCAAACATTGTCACGTCGGCATACGTAGGTGTTTCTCCCAGAACAAGGGTGTCCCCTTCCGTCATCCATCCAATCACCTTTCCAAGCGTGCACTTGAACACCGTCCATCGTTTCTGGCTACGCTCGCCAAGAAGATTCCTCTCTCCCATCAGCTTCCCAGATGACTTGTCCTGTTTGTAGAACGCTTGGCCCCTTGGGTTCAAAATCGTGAAAACAGCAGGAATGAACGATGACGCTGTTGCAGCCTTGACATGGGCGTCAAAGAATGCCATGAGTGCTGCGTGTAGGACCCAAGTGCTAGGAGGGAAAAGGCGTCAGGTATCCGGGTAGGTCACGTCGAGACACTAGGCAATGGTGGCCGACTCAGATATGATAGCGTCAGTGAACAAGTCATGGATAAGTAGGAGGGAGTAGTATGGCGTAACATCGTCCCGCTGAGTAGCGCTAGCCGATACGCCAGGCCTTTTGTATGACGCATCGATATCAAGGATATTCAATCCATTTCGTGCGATAGAGATCCTTGAAGTTCAACGCGTACCTAGGCAAACATAAGGGACGATGTTAAATTGATCTACAACATTAACTGACCTGGTCCTCCATGCATTCGGAGAATGTGTATTGACGGATAATTTTGAGGGGATGGTGTAGAGGATAATGGTCATCGACAGGACTGTTGATTGATAAGACGCGGCTTCATCAGTCCGGGTCTTTGCTCGTCATCTTGCAAACAAAATGACTTGCTGATAGAGACGTCAGTCGTTAGTATATCAGTCAGGAATGATTGCTCACCATTGTCCGCTCGCTTAAACCGATTCGTTGATCACGGCTCCAAGGATGTACAGTTCCTCCCCAGCAATAGACAAAATCGAGTTCATCGAAGAAAATTGTCGATATATGCGCCACCAGCCGGGTTGTATACATCCAGGAAGCAGGGTAGGGTTCCAGGTTGAAGCGCTTGACGAACTGTTCTAGAGCTAGAGCCAACATCCCTTCGACGAGATACTTCGTAGAACCTGGTGTGTTATGTAGTCTTCTGAGTGCGAATATTAACGACATTATCCAGAATATAAATTCAAGCTAGACCATTAGAGGTAAGTGAAAATGCAGCATGATACAGACAGCAGCCGCACCGTCAACAACCGTCATTCCTTCAGGAAAGTTGCACGTGTGCATACCTCAATCGCCTTTCGGCGATTCGTTCATTTGGCCAGAAGTCTCGGTCCACTGCGACCTCGTTCTGAGTGAACACCTGCTGGTACATCGAGGCAGACGTCCACAGAGGACACGACGCTGAGCAGGGGAGATAAAATAAGAGCACAGGGATGATAAAACGAGGAAATAACGACCGTCGTCACGACTGAGAGAAAGTGTCGTGGAAGGAAGGAAAGTTGCAACAAAATTGAAATTGATCATATTGCCGTTCGCGGCACGGTAGGGGCGACCCGTCGGGCCGCCCCATCGCCGCTTAATAGAACACTGTTAGATCAATTAGAAAGAAATGGTGATGTCTTCCCTAAGGCTCAGAGTCTCATCCATTTTTCGGGATATTTGCAGCGTGATGTCCATTTTATTCCCTAGAGCGTATGCGTCTACGGATAACTATCATTGCTTGATCATGTCCAGTAAGTAACTGTCAGTTGAACAGTGGAATCAAGAGTGGGACAACAGGTTGCGATAGGATATACTAGATATGATCGTTGATGACCTGGAGAGAATTATGAATAACCACCTGTACGTAGGAACATTTATTCCAGGACACGTGGTTGCAAATTCTCAAACTAGAAGTAGGACCAAGATATGTAGCACGGTGTATCTAATGTGCGCCATAGAAGTAACGCTGAAACCCTGATCTTGACACTCAAGATCAGTGCTCTATAACGAACTGGGGCTCTTTAATAAGTAATGAAACGCGCACTCGTAACCAGTCTGTTGCTTCTCCATCATCTATAATAAAGACTGTAGGTACATTAACAAATGCACGTAGAAATTAGCAAACTAGAGGTGATAATAGAGACGACGGGACAATTGACGATGGTCTTGTGACTGGGCGTTTGATTTATATTTATCTTGAGATCAGTGGTAACATGTGCGTTCGCATCGACAGGTGCAGATACTCCACTTTTCTAGGTTCCTTGGGCCCCCCTTGAGAACAACAAATTCCGAAAATTAATTGAGTCAAGCAGAAAAGAGATCGGGGTATCCACTAGCAAATGCAGGGCCATTAATTGATCCACAACGTTTACGCCACGAATCACCCCAGCCGAAACACTAGAAGAAATAGATCATTGTTCGTAATGTGTATATTGAGTAGATTCCTTGATACCACGTCGCGGAAAGCTTTCTATCAGTGGGCGAAGGGAATTTTGAGACCCGGGGAAGATAGCTTTCTAGTCTCGAAGACCGGGTCGTTTGGAACACTTGTGTAGGCAAACGCGGAGATAATTACGGCGCCGGTATCCACGTGGTAGGTTTAGTCGCGTTTGAGGCGCGAGTTACTTCTTGACACTAGCCACGTTAAGGATGATGGATCAATATAGCCCTCCACCATCAGTTCCCATTCCAAGCGCGCAGCGCCGATGATCAGCACTGGAGCTTGGCGGCTTGCTGGTTCCCTGAGGGACGATGAATTATAATACAAAAGGAGCTTGACATATGTACTAGAAGAATCAGCTCCCGAAAAGGTTCGCTCCCGATGAAATAGATAAGTATACCGGCGATAATTAAACAAAATCTGACACTGTTCCAATTCGGAGGTTTCGTCTCAGGATGATAATATAAAATAATTCTGAAGACGAGTGGTGAGAGTAGTAATGCGTCGTCAGGTCTCCCGTGCTAGTGTTGTGTTGGCGGTTGAAGATCAACAGAGGACTTATTGCCGGCAATCAGCGCTGACATCCATATAAGGGTATGAACGCTTGAACGTTTATCAAGGTTTCCAGCAGCCGATATTAAGAACGAGAGACGGTTCACATATGAGATGTGCGGAGAAAACGGCCATTATTGAGGGGCTAGGATCGTTGAAAAATCTTCCACATTCTCCGAGCCAGTGCAGTTTTGACACATGTTGACGAGAAAAGAAAATCTATTCTACAAGGAAGGCGAATGATACTATGGGATACAACAATGGTAACTAATAGAGTCGTAAAATGGATAGGAGCGTTTAGTGAGAGAGTAAATATAGATGATCTAGGCTACATATGTGTGCGATGTGTGGAAATTGATGTAATGGGTGGGTCCCTTTCAATGGGGTAAAAAATACGAAGAGAGGTGGAAGTGATAGTTGAACAGGAATAACTAGTAGTTATTTAAGAATAGTTTCATGAGTATGTGAAATGAGTAACGCACCAAAAATTGTGTTTAGGGGACCACATCGAGTTTATCGTAGCGGCGGCGCGCAAGGCGTCCAGAATTGGCCTTGCAACGGCTAGAAAGATCCTCTCTCAGTACATTCAAGCTAATAAGTGAGATGGAATATTTACACTATTGTCGGGGCTGCTATAATCTATAGGAATATTAGTTCCTCGATACCTACAACAAGGATAGAAAAAAGACGTACGGTTCACTGTGCACATATAGAATACCATTACATATCCCCTGGGACCTGACTGGAGAATAGTACAGATATCCCCTGCTGTCCATGGACATCCAGGAGCCCAGTCGCGGTGAAAAGCTGAGAAACGCGGAATCATGATAGGACAGGGAAATTTGAATGGCTGTAATCAAAGGTCGTTGTGGATTTTATACTCTCAGAGTCGCCTAAAAAAGCACTCACCGCATTAAACAGCACAAGCTATAAAGTGCTGTTAGTTGGAGTCAGTCGCTTGTTGTTCTAAATTGAGGTGTCGGAGGGCAGTGGAGATGTGTACCGAGTCAATACGACTTGCTGTTTTTTCCATATCCCAAGTGAGGAACAAGGTTGACCCTTTAAGGAATTTTACTGACTCAAAGCGCCTCATCTAAGGAGAGGCTATGCGGTGAACTGATCGAACACAGCCATCACCTGCATGAGCGCTTGATGCGGCGCTAGTGGTATGATATGGTAGGCGTCGGGCAGTAGCACAGCCTCTATGATGCGAAAGCAGAGAGGGTGAATCTGAGCGCAGAGTTCACTGAGGGTATAGGTCAAAGAAACTCTAGATCATTACTGAAAATCGAACAGATTTGACCTGTCAAATTACGCCAGGCGCCTTCGAAAGGCAGTGAACACGACAACAAGCTCAAGCTGTCGCGCACAGCCCACTTGTTATCGCAGACAGATGTGTTAATTTCAATCCACAGGTTGATTTGGTCCCGGGGTGTGGGTCTAGTAGTTGACTCTTCCTGCCCCTACTGAGCCGCCATCTCAAATGATATGTATTCGAAGACAAGAAGAGTAAAGTGCGCCCGGAAGCGGAAGAAAATCATCATGACTCGGAGAGGCTGTCCTCGGGGATGTTATGCGTGGCCTGTTCTGGCGTCTGGGGCGCGCCCGGATAAGATTTCTGATCGGGCATGCACGAAATGATGCTAGATTTCACGATTACTAAGTGCCGCATATATCTCAAACACGAGAATCATCAGCAAATTCTTCTGATGATCTATTTTGAAATTCCTAGCGACGAACACGTTTTAGAAGTCGTCTGTGTTTTGGAATATCAAACGGTCAGCGGAAAGGCACAACTCCCCATTCTCATTAGATGGGCAGGACATTATCGGGAGGTTCCAAAAGTATGGGGCCCACGTAAACCTAGTCACATTTTTCCCTCTGTTGCATTTCTTGGCTTTGTTCATAGTCCCTTGCCCGTCGTCGTTCTTCTTCCTTCTTTCGGTTCGTACTGCGGGACGAGGCAAAGTTGGCAAAGTGTGATTTGAGCGTGGACTGGGTCGCCGAAGTGCATCAAAAGCCTGTTGGATGGAAATATTTTGAGAGGTCAAGAGCTACAAAGGAGAGACACACCGTAAATTCAGCGACACTGAGGCTTTTTATACCGCTTCTGAAGAGCCGGATTGTAGTATACATTTCCATTTCTCCTCCGTGCGTCATCTTCTGGCATATACAACCCCCCAAGATCTGCCGCAACGTCCCAAGCCGAAATTTTCTGGAGTCCACGATGATATCAACTAGTCGTTCGCGTATCGTGACTACAGAGTTGTTGGACGTAGTCACGATAGAATATATAGGAAGATTTGAGGGTTCAAGCTGGAAACTAGTGCTCTGAGTATATCCAGGTAGAAAGTGTATTGAGCGACCACTGCAGCCGTGGAGAAGTCATGGCAACAGGATGTCCTTAATCACCCGTCTTGAAGAGGAACTATTGCTAGCCCGTGAAGCACTGTGGTGAAAGTTTGGAAGACGAGTCTGACGAGGGCGACGCGTGCGAAATTTGATCTGTCGAAGTCATGTGACCGAATGTCCTTTTTTCCGGTCCGCGGCTGAGGAGGCATCAGCTACCACTGTACCAGTACCACCCACTACTGACAAGCTGCTCGCCGTAAGGGATGCTTGATGTCGATTTCCATGACCGGCTCTGAACGACACGCGTTCCAGAGAGTGTCAGTGGCAGCATACTAATTTGCTCCCGCCTGCTGGTCAGACAACCGGCTGTTTCAGTGGTAGTAGTTCAATGGCTTGGGTCCCACCACCTGGAATTTGGATGGGATCATAATTCCGTACTATATTCTTCGTACCCAGTTCTCTGAATTTGCACACCACTGACGGACATGATTAACAACAACGTTCGCGGGCTCCGACTTATCTATCTTTAGTGAGTTCATTCTGGTCACTACACCCATCTCCCGGTCATCTGTGCAACATTAACTGGGTCGTTAGCGTCATGTTTCATGTTTCCGCCAGTCATTAATCAGCATCGTCCTCTCACTTAAAGGCGTCGATAGATGTAAGACCCTCTGCAACCATCATGTCTCGTAAACTCATTGTCGTCTTTGGAGCTACGGGAAATCAAGGAGGCTCTGTCGTTGCCTCGTTTCTCGAGAACAAAGCTTATGTCGTTCGAGCCGTCACTCGGAACCCAGATAGTGATAAGGCGAAGGCTCTCGCTGCAAATGGTGCTGAAGTCGTCGCTGCGGATCTTAATGACCAAAAGAGCCTCGTCAAGGCACTCGAGGTTAGTCAAATACGATATGTTATATGTTAATGGATGCTAATAGTCAATGTTGTTCAGGGTGCGCATGCAGCGTTTGGCGTTACAGACTTCTGGGCTACGCTATCTACCCTCGAACCCAACGGAGCTTTCGATGGGGAGATCCAGCAGGGCAAGAACCTCGCCAATGCCGCCGCCGCCACTCCGACGCTCGAGCACTACGTCTGGAGCACCCTTCCGATGACGAAAAACACCACCAACGGCGCTGTTACCGTTCCGCACTTCGACAGCAAAGCCCACGTCGACGAATATATCATCTCTTCCCTTCCAGATCGAGCGAAGAAAACCACTTTCTTCTGGTCAGGATACTATGCCACGAACATGGCGTCCTCGAATTCTCTAGCGAAGAATGAGTCGGGGAAGTACGCTTGGGTTCTTCCTTGCTCACCGAATGCGGCGACGCCCGTGGTCGGATTGACGACCGCGAATGTGGGCGTCTTCGTTAGTGCTATCATGGCGAAACCGGATATCTGCCTGCCTTCGAAGTACGTCCTGGGGTCAGTTGAAATCTTGACTATGGGCAAGACCCTTGAGTTATGGGGAGAGGTAACGGGCGTCGAGACTGTGTTTGTGCAGAAGGATATGGATGACTATGTGTCGTCATTTCCTGCCGGTCCGGTATTTGGAAAGGAGTTGGGGTTGAACATGAAGTTCTGCGAATTTGGGTTGAGCGGATGGTCGAAAAGAGGCGAAAAGATTGTGACAAAAGAAGACCTTGGGATTAAGGACGCGCAATTGGTCAACACCAAACAAGCCTTTGAGATGATGGATTGGACCCACATTGTAAAGGCATAGTCGTATAGGATTCGTTATCACACACTTAAGGTATTTCTACTCGAATTTTCTCTGCCCGACGCTGTAAACATGTAATTATAGTACTTGAATTCGAAAAAAATAGTCCACGTTGGGCAATACAACCCCTCAAGTGCGACATTCCGGGACTGAAATTCGTCGGGAGCACAGCGGTCACGATAATGCATCCACTGAGCGGGTACGACGAGTTTACAAGGCTAACGCGTATCATAGTTTTGTGAAGTATCTATCCATCGGGAGATGGAGCATCTACAGGCTTGTCTAAGATTGTAGCAACAATTGGTTCACCTCTTCTATTTCAATTCAGACGGGAAACATTCCAGAGATGCCAACAGGCACACGAATGGCGCTTCTGTAAAAGATATCTGTTTTTTTCTGGCGCTCTGAGAAAAGGAAAAGGTTCGCTGCGTATCTCGAAGACTTCATATTTGTACTGCCCGAGTTGAACCGGCGTTGCTAGAACAATGCTCGAAGCATCTATAGCTGAGCAAGCGAGCGGATGGGAAAAGCTTTGCGTTTTCTCTATGAACAGCAGTCACATTCTCAGTGCAGCGAATCAGTTGAATGTGAGGCCTTTATCGGGACCCGCGGAAATTATGCCTGCCATTAGGCTGAAAGTTGGGGTCTCGGGACTGAGAGTCTGACCAGCAGGGAGATCTTCCAGGAAACATCACTGCTGCAATGCGTATATCTTCGATATCGTTCCATTTATTAGCAGACGGCCGTAGGATATGTGAAGGAAGAGTTGATATTCCTTGATGCATTGATGTATTGATTTCCGAATGGCGTCGGTTCTGGGATCATATAGATTATAACAAGAGTATTACAGTCGCAGTCCCTTATTGTCTTGAACAAGAATTGTTTGATTACACTACTGAATTTACAACAAGGTTTCATACAAATGGGAGTGCGAACAAGCATCCCAAATTTCGAATCCATAGTCCTAATGGGCAGTTTACATGTCTGCCCCGGTGATCGTGAAATTCTGGCTATAATTTCCCGAGTCGCCCCAGACTGTTTGATGTAGTCAATGATAACCCGTAGGCAATAAAAAGAATGGGATGCGCACGGATCAGAGAATAGTCGTCTCCTTGAATGACCCAAGGTACCGTTACCTCGACCCGACCGAGTAGAATATCGAACCCCTCCGCAAGAATTAAAACTGTACATTTCGTTCGGTGCTTGTAGTATCATTAGCAGGGTGAGGGCTCACTGGGGACATCGTGGGTGCCCTTTCGAAGCACGATACGGCCGTACCGGTTGGTGATGTTCACCGGAGCATTGGAGAGGTCTCTGTACTTTAATTAGAGAGGTCGGGAGCTATCAGCGAGAGAGATACTGACCAGGCAACGTTGTGGTGTTGCCTGATCGTCCATACTGTGCCGGCATGCGGATACAGAACAGGAGGAACGAATACATCTCATTTCTCGAGGTCGACGGGCATTGCGAGTGCCATAGCGAAGAGGGAGAGGAAAGAAAACAAGAGAGTCGTGAGTTTCATGATGAGCGTGAAGAACGTGAATGTGGATGTTCTGAGTATCCTTCGTGCAAAGACTGGGTATATATACTAGACCGGACGTAGTAGGGCATAGCGAGCCATGTGTGAAGGAGAAATGCTCATACCACCTGGCTTCACTTAGTCCTAGTACCCTTGTGATTTCGGAATTAATAGCTGCGTACAGGGAGAAAGCGCCTTCCTGAAAGGTCGCCGCAAATGGTAGACGGCGAGCTAAGACGGGAATTATAGCCCAAAGACTGAAGTAAAAATAATCAAAGGGCCTATGCGATATCGCGGAAAGGAACTATATGAAGACCAGGACGAAAATCCCAATGATTTTGTGTAAGTCCTCGGAGGATTTTCGGGCGCCAGGATCGGAAGGTACTTGATGTAGAATGCCTCGAAGAGGCCGAGTACGGTCGATGGTGCACGGATGATGCAAAATAGTTTCCTAGACGGCAGAAAGAAGAGCTTAGACAGAGGAAAAAGCAGCTAGTGCTTGGGCGGAGCAGTAGCCAGATTCCAAGGTAAAAACTGAAAGGAAAGGAAACAGAACTTCAGGGTTTTCCCAATACCTTTACAACCTGCCAGTGGGTGTCGGATCCATCGGATTGGAATCGGATAGCGAGCCGGTCGCGACTCATGATGAGATGCCGAACGGCACAAGGAAACCATCTCGGGCCGAACATCAAGATTCTCCTTTGGGCTTCGTTGTGACTGTGACTGTAACAGTTTCTCTTTTCTTTCTCTGACCATCACTATCTTTATCTTCACTGCGCGTCATTCTTGTCCTTGTACTTCTCTATCCTCGACAAAGTGCTACATTCTCAACTCAGTGCTGTCCCAATCATTGCCCGATTCGCGTTGGCTCACGCTCCATATCGATAAATATTTTGCAGAAACAGTCATGCTCTCGCACCCTGGACAAACTTCGTCTCGCACTTGGCGTAATGCACTCACCATTCATACTTCTGCTCCCTAGCGGCATCTTGTGTACATATCGAAAACTACAGACGAACGATTCCTTCTGCATCTCGAATTTGGTAGCATATATCTTAGACGGCGAAGGGTTTTCACGTACGTGATGTGCTCGCCTTCAATTTTTATTTATGAATGCCCTTTCATACAGCAAAATCTCCCGGTTATCGCTTCAGCACATGGCAGCGACCGTCGCATATACCCCATGATTTTCTGACATCCGCCGCTCAGCAACACGTCATCAAGTTTCGCCGAATGATTCACAAATCACAATGTTCAAATCGATGAATGGCGGCCAGGAATGTAGGGCTCGACCGGATACAGCGGAAATTTTACCTAGTATCGTTTCAATGGTGAGGTTGAGAATAGGGTGATATCTTGGGTCGGCACCAACGAAATGCACGGTATGTAGCTTACCTTTGCTTCCAATAGTGCCTGACTGCAGCGTAGAACCTTTCAGCAAGTGTACCGTTTCCGATTCAATCGAAGTCTTGGCTATGGTGCGTACCATATCTACTGTGATAACGTCTGCTCAACATGTAGTATCCGTAGTTTTCATCTCAAAGCGGCTTGCTGGTGTTTTACTGGTCACGGTCAGGAGAAGATTGAAAGTTCCCACTCCCTCGTGATCCAGCTACAGTATCATCATTCTTCTAGGCGTACCGACATCAGACAGTCCAGTAGGGGCATGATTGATTTTCCAGCGATGGGAGACGGTGCCGTGATCCGTTCTATTTTCGCTTGCATCCCGGCTCAACCAGGGCCTCCTTCTGAGCTTCATATTTCCACGCATGACAGAATCAGAGATATGGTGGTCTCGCCTTTGTCTGCTGATGGACGCCCTGCGTCACCTGTATAGTATCCCTCATCACGTTCAATGATTAGCAACCTTCCGAAAGCCTCCATGGTTAATCATTACGCCTCTTCCCTAGTCGGTCTGACCCCCTTGCTACCCGAGGAGCATTCCGCCGAAAAGTGTACAAGTCTCTTTTAATGATGTTGCCTTTTACTCTGCTCAGGTATATGAGTCTTGGTCAGACCGGTGGACGCGAGGGTGGAGGACGAGGACGCTGTTGATATGTGGCGACATTATTATATGCGGTGGCGTGTGAAGTTCGGTTACTTCGGCTTTGGAGATGGTAGGTGTCCTTTTCTTTTCCATCATCACCTGCTGAAAGAATACATTTACGCAGGTGAACCTTGTGTTTTGTGGTCCTGGAATGATAAGGCCGAATAAAACACTGTTTGTCCTTGAAAGAGCAACCCACATACCGCTTTGAATATCGGCGCGACTCACGCGTGCTTTGATTTCTAATAGATATTCCTCCTTCAACACCACCACCGCCACCATGCTACCAGCATTCTCTCTCTACAGCATCCCAATATGACGGAGCATGCCCGTGATTCATTTCGAAGCTTAGAAAGCCGATATAACCGTAAGGAGGCGTAAACTCACTTTCTCCGTTGTCGGGTGGCGTCGAAAGCAAAAATTTGCCTTTCAGCGGTCCATATATGCGCCCGCTGCCTTCAGCTTCCCACTTCGCAGCGGACCGCTACCGAAGGTTGTCCGCAAAGCCACTCAGATGAAGCTTATTTTCATATTGACGCGGGACCAGGGAAGACCAGGGTTCCTCGCCGACCAGCCTGCTTCTGGTATTAAACCGACACTGTTACTTTCTCTGTCTGTTGAAGCCATCACCATGAAAGTCGACACCTTCACCATCGACACGCACTCATCTGGCAAACCGCTGAAATGTGCGGCGAAACGGTATCGGCCGCATGGGGCTTCGTCCGAGGGACGACCCGCACCCGGGCATATCCTCATATTCACTCACGGCACTGGGTTCCGTACGTCGATCCTTCTATATATTGGTCCCACCGACCCTGATGATCCCATTCAATAGATAAGGAACACTGGGAAGTCCCAATCCTACGACTCTTCACTCATAGCAAGTCGGGCGGAACGAAGGTTTCGGAAGCATGGTCGATTGATTGGCAGACTCATGGTGATTCGGCGGCGTTGAACGAAACAGTGATCGAGGCACCGGATTTCGAGTTTTGTAAGGCTTCCGTTTTTTATATTGAAGCCGGCCCTGACGGGGTTTCATAGCTGAATTTGACTACGCTGAAGCGTGTGCGAATCTGTATAGGACATTTCTTCTCGAGAATATCGAGAAAGGTTTGAACAAGGTGGTGCTCTTGGGACATTCAGCTGGTGCTGCGTCTGCGTAAGACTTTCCCTGTTTACATTTCTCCCTTCTGACCCTTTCACAGGTCCCTAGCGACAATGTTCTGTGACCACCCGCTCTTCGAAGCTTTCATTTTCGTGGAGCCGACAATATGGCCGGCAGAAATGGCCGGTGTAGACGCGCCCGTGTACAAGTACGTCAAGCGGGGCATCCTCACTCGTCGGGATCATTGGCCCACCAAGGCGGAGGCGAAGCGTTACTTTGAAGGTCGTGCGCCATGGAGCTATTGGGATTCGAGGATCCGGGAGATATACGTCGTGCGTATTGTTCCGCCCCGCCGGTACTTGATACTGATACATCTTTGTTATCATAGGAGTACGGCTTGAAACCTGATCCAGTCCGAGGTGGTTGGACACTCAAGTGCACGCCGAAACATGAACTAGCGCCGTTCGCCAATGATCAAAAGGCTGTGGATGTCCTTCCCGAGCTGAACAAGACGATCAAAGTTGTACCTATACATCTCATTTATGGAGGGAGGAATGATATGTTGTATGTTGTGCGCTACCTTCCTATCTTTTTGTGCTTAACTTTCTCTTCAGCTCGCGGAAAAAACAAGACTCCCTACTTGGCGGCGGCCGCAAGTTTGCGTCTGTGACGAGAATCCCGGATGCCGGCCATTTGGTAAGTCTTGCCGCTGTTGATTTGCGGGTGATGATTGATCTGCGGTGACAGGTTGTGCAAGAAGCGCCGGATGAGGTGGCGGATGTACTATTCGGGATATTGAGAAAGCTGGATAGGGCGGCTGGTCATTTTGAGGTTCAAGCTAAGCTGTAGGGTGGGCGATGACGTATTTTATGGAAATAGATTTTTGTATTTATTTTATTGTAGTATTCGAATACACCGGATGCTGTAGCAGCGGACACCTGTATACCTTTCGAGACGGAAAGAACTGATTTTCGAGTTTTGCCCGGCCATTCGAACTTGTCGCTCAGTATGCTACAGTTTATACCAATGCCAGACTTATCATCTTATATTTCGACGCAATAGATCAGCCATTCCGCTTCTTCCTGACCTAAAAAAGGTCATAATTATCACAATTCCCGCAGTTCACTGTTACATTTATCAAACCAAAAATAGAGCACCATTCCTGGGTTTGTTTGGGATTTGTTCTAGTAACTTTATTGAATTTAGGTCGTAGCAGCAGAAAAATAATCGCCAAAGCCCCTTCATTCATGGACAAGTTAGCCAAGTGTGGAAATTGCTTGTCGAATGACGATACTCACATTTAGACGAAATGAAGAACAGTTTTGCGGTCCAAAGACGCGTCAATGGATTACATCCAAACCAGCTCCTCGAGTTTGCGTGGAATAGGTGCTGGTAAGTAACATAGACTTATCAACACAGAATGGCAGATCGACAAAGAAGAAACTTACCGAACGTATTATCCGACTCGAGGAGGACTATTGGGCTATCCAAGCCCACATACCAACCAGGAGTGTCTATTCTGTACGCTCCGGTCGTCAGCGTTGGAGCCGTACTAGGATCAATGGCCCAGGCAAATGATTTTGCCTCCGCTTCCTTCTTAGGAGGACCGTACAAAGCCAACCCATAATCGTCTCTGGCTTTGGAGGCATCACGAGGCGGCATTGATGATGGCGGCGGTGGAGGAGGAGGACAGGACGTCGACCGTTTGGCGTCAGCGTCAACTGGGGGGAAGAGATTCTCGCGAATCTGTTTCTCTGCGTCCATGGGTTCCGATACCGCGACGAATTGATGGTTTTGATTGGCGCTCATTGTGTCCCACAATAGGCCGATGTTGGAGGCTGGAACTAGGTGGTTTCGTTGAGCGTATTCGGAGATTTTCATGAAAAGAGTGTTGGGTGTCATTGTGAGTTCGAAGATGGGAAAGACACCCTGGATGTCTGCTGGGAAGGTCGATGTCATGGTCGCAATTGGGAAACAATGGAGAGAAGGATGATCACGCCGTTTAAGAATAACGTACTGATAATCAAACGATCAACATCTAGAAACGTGGAAAGTAGAAGGTGATGATAGGCTCGATTCTGGAGGTGGTCTTTTCTCCTTCGTGAGACAGGGCACAGAAGAGAATGGTTCAGTTACTCACGAATTCCTCTGAAGACAGGAGAATATTTTTAAAGGAACAATAATTGTTCCCTCGACTATTTTCCTCGGGGGGAACGCGTTTGATGTTCGCACATTCCACACGTTTTGTGATGTGCTTATAGAGAGGGGCAAGCGGAGTTGTTTCTCAAGATATTTGGCTTGTGTATGTCGGACCGTGACGAGGCCTCAACCGGCCATGTACCAGATATACGAGTCACCCTTGACGAAGAAATGGACGACATCTCGAGCTGAGAATGCATCGCATTAGACGCTGGTCCTTTCAGACGCCTCAAGGGCAACAGATTTTTATAGCTGCCGAGAGCCGCCTTCGGAAAGAACTTCATTTAACCGAGCGTTGCAACGAGGCAAACGCACCATATTCTCGGAGCCAAAAAGCTCTGTTCATCATTGTCAGATATAAAGCAGCACCAAAGTACCACAATGGCGTATCATGAGTCAGAATGCAGCCTTTGTTCACGAAGAAGAGTAGGTATGCCCTTGCCATCCTTCGCCTGAGTCGAATCCCCGGTAAATGACTGATTGAGATTTGTCGACGAGGTATAGATAGTGATATTTTCTTTCAGTCCAGTCATTGTTTTGACGCGTTACTGCAATGAATGACATGTATACAGTTGTGGACAATCAAAGACGACAATTTGCTTTCCGGCTAAACCAGATTTTCTGGGGCAAAAATAAGTTCAGAGTCAGAAAGCCAGAGGCCGAAAACGTCCAAAAAACACCCTCCGAAGTTTTTCCCATGACATTTTTGCGGTGCCAAAATTTTGGACCAAAAAATCGAATTGTGTGTACCCCTTTTGGCCTCGCTGGCAGACATCACTCAGTCATTCGACTCTATCGGCAATATCCATGGCTGGAAACCACACGGCGCTGATTCTGCTACCTTTCAGACATCCCTGTATGCTCATCAGCCAATGACAAATTGAATCTCCGAAGATCCCATTTACTCGGCAAGCATCTTCCGTGAGGCAGCGATATTAATTACACCAGCCCTGTGCCCGGGCCCTTCACTTGAACGCTGCTGAGTGTTACAGGTCACTCAGGTAGCACTTATATTGATGGATAACAGAAGATCTGGATTGCTTTGGAGTACATCTCTAGATAAATGCTATTAAGAGTTTGTGACTTCTGGTTGCTAAGTTCTTCCTCGCTCTTAGTCCCTCGGATCTGGGCCAGGCAAATACCTGGTCCTTCAATTCTCAGACATCAACTCGGCAGCATGATTTCCGAGCCCATTTATATTATGACCCACCTATTTTGAAGCTTTGAAGGCTTGCCCCTGCCTTCCATGACGGCCGGTTTGTGGGCAAACGGCTCGATAAAATTTAATGATCTTGACGCCATCGGATGTGGATTTTGAAAAGGAGTTGATTGCGCTATCTCCGAAGTTTTTCCCATGACTTTTTGGGGGTACGCCAAATTTTTGGGATAATTTTCGGTCAAAACTCACATTCTGCAAAATCGGCTCGTGCAAATATCTTTATTAAGTCTACATCTTCACTTTGATGCAAAAAAACCTGGCTGTTTACCTGACCAGGGTCCTTCTAAAAATGGGTCAGATTTTTTGTCGTCTTTGATTGTCCACAACTGTACGCCTGAAGAGATACGACCTCCGGTCGAAAAACCTTAATCTGAAATCTATGCCAAGAAGGAAGTTGCAAATTTGATACTGATAAGCGGCGTTCCCTACAGTGCGCTTTCGTGTGCTCCAATTAATCTACTAAGTTTCAATATCAGCACTGAACAGTGGATCTCAAAGCAGTTTTGCGAATAGTCACTACCCTCAGATTGTCCAGAAGCTCTCGAGAGTAATCACGTTTGTGTTACTTTCATGAAAGATGGAAGCATTCAATATCGGGAGAACAAAGAGAACGTGTAGGATGGCTAGTAGCTTGAAGTGGTGTTGATGGACAGAGTCAAAGACAAACCCGGAGCTTCACTCCCACGCCACTTACGCGTCAAGCTCACCACGTGAAATGCACCTCGGGCCGGTCCTTTTCCCGGACTGGGATTTTACATGGCAGCTCTCTGTCTTTCCATGATGCTGCACCATTTTCGCCTATAGCACGAGTCCCTTGCCCTTGTCAAGGAAGATATCACTCTCCTTTGGCTTTGAGGAGATCACCTTACCCTCGAAGTTGCTAGTGATATCGTTCAAGGAGCTGACAATTTCGCAGATCTCCCCAGTTCATTTCCTCTCATTTCATGTATCCTTGCAACCTCCATTGGCATTTATCACTCTGTAAAGCCATTGCAGCGTGACAGCCACATTTCTTGACCCTCGTTATCCCGTGTCGACATCATCTGCAGCTGATGTCAGCGAGGCGCAGCTGGTCTGCGACGAAGGATTACGGCAGTCGGAAGGATTCAGAGGGAATGCGCATATTCGCTGTCATTTCGGACTCATGCACTAGTAGATAATGTTGCTACGACTGTCATTACTTCTCACAACGAGCCATCGAGGTTGGTAGGAGTAGTTTACTTCTATTTACCTGAGCTGTATTAGCGGAGATGGCCAATCAATCCAGTTTTCCAGTTTTCGATTGGTGTCGTTCGTAAATACGGACATCCACTTTTGAAGCTTCAATGTTATATCGACTGCATAGTATCGATGATTCTTCGAGGGAAGCTCAGGCTGCCTGATTCCCAATATATTGTCCGCTGGCAGAACTTCAGGTAGCTCTCGCCGGAGTCAGGTCGAGAGACGTTGCTCAGCCTGTACATAGAACACCAAAATGTGTAGAGAGGTGAGCACCGGCAATTTGAATTACGGAAAGAGGTGTCAAACATTGAGCGTTGGAACGGCTCCGCTAAGACCCTATCATCGGAGAACGCATAGGAGCCACAAAAAAATCTGGATAGGAAAGTCAGCTTCTCCGATGCACGAGATCTAGTCTGTAACTCGTGCTCTTTCTCGATTTTTTTGAGTGACCCAACGCCACAAGAGTGAAGTCACTCTATAATGCGTTCATTGATACGATTGTCTGTCAACGCCGTCTCGACTCTTATATTAGTATCTACGCGCTTGGTTTGGAGATCTGAGCAGTATGTTCCTCGATTCCGCACCTTTGAGAGTTACATTTCCGAGGACCAGATTTCCCAGCGGTATGGAAACGAAGGTCTGCTGATATACATTACCTGTTCATCGGCAAATTATGAATCAGCTTCTATTGATTGTGACGCCACACGAAATATTCTTCTGGGATCGGTGAGGTATCCGTAAGTATCAGGTTTCCTTCATGCAAATTTTCGCTTCCATTATCACCGAATTGCCTCCCACGAAAACAGACCATATTTCCTTGTGGTAGCCACATCGACCCGTGTCCACCGCATCTACAGTTACTGCTATGTGATATTTCCGAGACTGCTGAATGTTTTGGAGGGCATGCCAGGCGGTCGCATAGAACTTTGGTGTCTATACTCCAAGGACATGCTCTTCTTCCCACAGAGCCCCTGATACCGTTTCAGCATGTCATTTTCAGAAAGGATGCAACACATCCACATACTTCCATAATAATTACAGTTCTCACGATGGATGGCTTGATAGATCAGGGCGTAGTGTTTATCCCGCGTCCAAAAAGCCAGCATTCTCAGAAGTCGTCTGGTCACGAGTTTCGCACTGGACTCATCCATAAGGTCTCGGCCTGTCAGTTAGTCGGCCACAGACCGTAGACGACCGTTGGGAGTTCTAATGGACGCACCCAAATTACCGCACGTTACCTCGTAGCACACGTTGTCGGTGATACAAAGAGAGAAGCGGAAGTCACTGTGTATACAGAAGGGTCACAAGAACAGGCGTTACCGTTGTCCCTCGGACAGTCTCGCTTCTTTTTCACAGTGTTGATTAGGCGGCACGACGGACTATCGTTGAATGTGTTTCGGGAATAGTACTGAGTTAAGCGGAATCTGACTGCAACTAATGGCAAAGATCCCTCCCTAGGTTATGTGAAGCTTTCCCCGGTTGCCGGGTTGCGTGCATACTGCATATATAATGATCAGAAGGTGTGCCGACAGTCAAACTTAGTACCGAGCTGAGGATACAGGTAGAACTATTGAAATGTGTCAGATTTTGCCATCATTTACCCGTTCACAATATGCATAGGACCTCTCCGTCGTGCCGAAAACGGCAAATGCATTTGACGCGACTGGACGCGACGTTAGTCACGTGCTGAAATTTGTGTGGACGAACCGGGCCGATTCACCTTTCCTCCCATTCTCAGTTCTGATCAACGCGACCACTGCTAGGCAACCGCGTACTGATGCGTTATTCGAAGACTTAAATACTGGCCAAAAGTATATTTCTTTCTCAGTTCTAAGTAATACTCATTTAATGCCAGAGACCAACCAGGGACATGCAAATTCCGCCCAATTCCTAAATCCTGACTCATGCGACCTGCAGCGGCAACATCCATTGCAACCAAGCAAACGTCACAGGTTGGAATTTTTACGATAAGTAAGTAAATTTCTGTGAGGTGGAAAATATATATAAGGCCTGTGAACCAACGTGCGTACTCTCAATCTATATATACACCGCTATTCTTAGGTCTTGTTTCCAGGCCGTTCGAGCGGTCTAAGAAGGTTCGTGAATACTACGATATTCTTCTTACACAGCGCTTTCCAGATTCGAAGCGGGATCGTTAACATTGAACGGTACTTGGAAGGCTGGAAGATTCGGGGAACTGCGCCACGTTCTTGCTGCGCCTTCACTGGGCGTCCATCAAATCCTTCTTCTGTTTAGATGCCCTCCTGTAGATAATTTCTCAAGCTTGTCGGGATACATTGGCTTAAGAGAAATCGTCTCTGATCAGATGACCCTTCTCTTAGATGCGAGCTCCCTTCCAGCTCCGATGTATGTCACTCAACAATCGCGTCATCCTGGCCGATGAGGGATTTTTGGTGCGCCGAGGACTGCATCTACCTAAGAAGGGTCACGAGGAATGCGAGGTGGATAGGCTTCGTGGGACACTTGCGTCTGAAGTACCCTTCTGGGTTTACCTTTGGAGCCATATATAAGGATGCCATGAGACACCCGTTCCGAGCCCATCATGTCCATTGACAGTTTGAGCGACTTTATCGTTGACTTTCCACGGAGTATAATGGACCAAATAGAATCCTGTAAGTTGTTTCATGCCACTTGTGCTCTGTCGGCTCATCCATACTTTCAGATCAAAACTCTCAGATTTTTGTAACGGACGACGGTCTTCCATCTGTAACCAACCTTTCTACCTCCTTGTATGAAAGAGAAATTGTATCAGTCGCAAGCAGGGACTTTCAACACTCGCAGCATACCACAGACCAGCAACGAAGACTTTCTGGAGGGTTCTACCAAGATGCCCTCCCCTCCCCTAGAACGTTTCCAGGCCCTGTTACTCCGACGGCAAAAATAAACGACCGAACGCCTCTCTTACGCCCAGCGGGATTTTCGCCTGACATCGACCACCAAGTTCCGCTTCCAAGATACTTTCTTTCTGGATCCTATGACACACCTACCGTGTCGTCTGATGCGTCGATCGCATCTCTCGATCTCGGAGGGAAAAGCAGTTTTGGGCAAACCGTAAATGCCTGGCTATGGAATTCGCTGCATGAGCTTATGCGCTTCTTTACAGCTATTTAATTCCATCGCAGTCTTGCTGGGAGTAGGAATGCTAGCCCAGCCTCTGGCGTTTGCTTATGCAGGATGGGTGGCGGGAACCATTCTCCTTGTTTCATTCGGTTTCATAAGTTGCTACACGTTCGTATTACCTCCCTCTCCTTACGCCGCATCGAGACTAACAATCACTTGACCTATCAAAGTGCCAAAATTCTGGCCCGCATCATTCGCTCTGAGCCCCATTTGAAGCTCTACACGGACATCGGACGAAGAGCGTTTGGTACACGTTCGACACTGGTTATTAGCATCGCATTCTTCCTTGAACTTTTTTTGTTAAGGTCAGCTGCCGCATTGTTTGTATCGTAAGTTTTATAACCTCCTGTGATGTTAGTGTGCTGTTGGTAACGCTTTACGCGGATTCCTTGGAGTCATTGATTCCGGCGTATTCTTCCGTTACCTACAAACTCTTGGCTCTAGTGATGTAAATCATTTCTACAGCGCCTCGAGTTGTCGGCTGACCAGTGTTAGATTAATACCCACTCTGTTCTTTCCGCTATCCGCCCTTTCGTATACATCAATACTGGGCATTGTTTCATTACTTTTGATCCTTGTGGTTGTATTCATCGATGGTGTTTCGAAGTCTGATGCACCTGGAAGCCTGTGGTCGCCGGCTGAGACGTTCCCAGGTATCGATGGCTGGAGTCATCTCGGAAAAGCATTTGGGTTATTCATGGCAGGGGTGGGGTGACTATATCGTTCAATGGCACTTTCTAACATGAGTGTTTAGTTTGCAGGACACGGGGTCCTACCCTCTCTCGTGCACGACATGGAGGACCCTTCTCAATTTGATACCATGGCGAACTGGGCATTTGTACGCATCTTTCGAAGCGGTCGTGCGAAGAGAGCTCACACGGTTACAGTTCTTTTCGACCTTCATTTACTTATTGATTGGTGGCGCCGGATATCTCATGTTTGGAACGTCCGTCAGCGAGGAGGTGAGTCGATTGAGTGACACAGTTATTTGAATTTAATAGAGGAAGATAGGTCAGTAGAGATCTTCTCTTGACTTCCGGCTATAATGCCGTATTAAACAAGATTTGCCTGTGGATGCTTGTGGTTAGCCCGCTGTGAGCATGATCCATTATATTCTTATTTAACCCTAACTGACCTTCAATTGCTCCCTCAGATCTAAATTCGCCTTGGTCGTACAGCCCGTGGGTCCATTAAACGTTAGGTATAGTACCGGGAACTAATCGATCCTTAGCTCAACGCGACAATTGAAAAGTTGTTCAAATCACAAAACAAACCAACATGTCAGAATCTACACCAGCGACTTTTGGACATCGCCCAACGTCTATCGATTACTCTCCTGACTGTTGCCGTCTCCATCATAGTGCCTGACTTTGGACGGGTCACTGAATTGATGGGATCCTTCTCTGCCTTCTTAATTGTTGTGATATGCCCCATTGGCGCAAAAATGGCCATTACACGCACATGTGGCTTCTTTGATATTTTCGTACTAGGCGTGTCGGTTCTGATGGGAACATGGGGGACAATCACTGCATTTCTGTGATATCTACCTACTCATTGCGTGCATTTTGGCCCGAGATTCTACTAGTTTGTGTTAAAAGTCCATTTCCGTTCCTTTATTACGGTTACTACGATGATAAAACTACCGCCCATCATTGAACTACTTTCCAAAATTTGTCGTTGTCGTTTATATCGAGTTCCATTCCTCCAAGAATTCCAGTCCGCCTTTTCTCAGGCTCCTCAGCCGTTGATGCGTTGCTGGTGCCAGATTGATGTGCCGCTCTAGCTTCCCGAGAGTAGCTCGCTGTAACGGAGTATCGCATCCTCTACGAGACTCAATCATATCCATCACAGTGGTTTCGTCTATATCCTGAGTCCAAACCAACTCAATGGACTTAAGACAGGGGAGAAACGGTAATCCGGATGGTGGCGCCGTAAGCTGGTATAAAAGGTGTTCGTCGATGGGACACAGTAAACGATGTGGTGGCGTGTCAGGTAGCTCAAAGTCATTGGGATTCGGGTCATGGATAATGAGAGACCCCAGCTGTGGAAGATCTTGCAGGATCCTGATGATATCCATTCCCGAGATTGGTATCGCGGCAAAGGTAATATGCTGTAGCCTGGATGCGGAATAACAGACAACGTCTAAGATTGGACCAATACCAATGACAGCATCGTTGTTGTCTTCTTCATCATCAAACTCTGGGTGATAGATCATGTGGAGAGTATCTAGGTTCTTGAAGCGAAGGCCCTGGAAAGGTTTTTCTATGAAGGAGCTACCAGACAGGTTCCATGTTAAGCGAGAAACAAGGTTCGACGTCGGCGCCATAATTTGGGGGGGATGGCCCACCCACAACACTGTCACTCTGGATAGGATCCTCAGACGCCCTAAGTTTCCACAGCGACGAGGTCTGTCTATGTAAACCATGAGATCACGGATATTAGGAAATGCAGTCATCGCAGTGAATAAGCATTCAATGCCAAGACATCGGTCGATGCGCAAAGCAGTTATCTGTGCGCGGAAATGCTGTGAATCTGCAACAGAGGGGAACTGTGTCTCTTTAGGATCATCAAAAGCAAGAGATGTGAGCTTCGGGGCGTTCAGGAAAGCAGGATAATTCCACAAGGGCATGCGGTCCAAGGAAGGAATCGTTAGGTTCTGTAACTCGCTGAAATTGGGTAGGGCGCCTTCCACTGGAGCAAACAGCATTTCAATGTCCTCGTTTTTACAGAGCATACGCGATAAGCGGATACGCTGCCACCGAGCTTCATGAGCACGAAGAATAGGGACAAAACTCTGTGCCCAGCTCCAATCGGGCTTGTCACTTTTCTTGGGTCGACGTTGAAGGTCAAGGGTGCTCCTCTTTCCGCGGAAAATAATGGTAAGAGGCTCACTTCGAGAGCGGTGGAGGTACAAACGGAGTACTTCCTCGCGTCCGTAGATAACTGAGTAACTTTGAGCTTGTGTTGTGATGGCGATGGTGGACCATAAACGTGGGTGCGAGAGTGCGTTCTCCCGCCATGACCTACAAACGCTCGCTATTCGTAGAGCCGTGGCAGGATATGTGCCAGGGGCGAAGGATACGCTCTCTTCAAATATGCAAGAGAGGAGTTCGGGGGGAAGGTCATAGATGGACGTGGATGAAGGATGTCGACGTGAAGAGTAAATTTGGATAAGCGATTTACAGTGGCGGAGTTTCTCAATGAATAAAATGTTATCATCGGAATACAATGAAGCCAGATGATCTTTTTCGTAATGCGAAACAACGTCGAGTGCTCGTGATAAGGCGTTGATAATATCGGATAAGGAAACCGAGGGCGAGGGATCTTGATTATATTCCGCTAGAGCATTTTGATGCAAAGGAAGATTTATATCCAGAGAGTGATGGCCGGAAGGATTCTCGTAGATAGTCTGTAGAGTGTGTCGGATCGCCTCTGCGGCGTCAGACAAAGAAACCATGGCTTCAAAAGCAATCTATACAAGACGAAGTCAAATATGAGCCCGATCAGACTTTATTGAAGATAATCAGAGGAAGTACCTTTACTTCGACGCGAAAAGATATCAGTGATTTCCACCGGGTGGCACGGACGCGTTTTCCAGCAGACGCGTCAGGCGGGTGAGGAGAACAGCAGCTTGCTACAACAGGTTTCGCAATAATTCCGAAGTTATTTGAACGTAGGATGTGGTTGAAGCTCTAACGATTAGTCACGGGTGGCCTGTGGTGGCGGTCAACATAGAACGGTGCCAGAGCTAAAAATAGAAACCTCCGCTTTTGTCCTAGTTCACGTGGGCGTGGTACCTTTTTCTGGGTTTTTCTCGTCTTTTGCTGTTGTCGTTGACATTCCTTACCATCTGCGTCATTTTCTCCTATTAGCTTCGTCTGGGGCTGAAGCAGAAATTCGCGGTCATCATTCTAATTGCTCTTCAAGTTGCATTTTCCTATCGCCAATGCGCCGAGACAGTGGCAGAATGGACACCCTTCTTAGTCTTTTCAGACTTTTCAATATTTTCTAACCCGCTGGCACATGTCTACTCTGTAACCGAAATCTCTCCGAGTACTAGTACAACCGTTCGTATTTCCGTCTTGGGCTTCATATCTAGGGTTCATTTTTCTGATACCGAAGGACGCACAGGCACGCTGACCATCTTTACTGGAGTCCTTTGGCTGTAATACCCATATCAGCCTCTTTGTCTCATGATGTGGCAATTTTCATCAGTGATCTCTTCTATCGGTTCATACAATTGATAATTCTGACGTCACGAGGGTATTAAGGCTAGGTGATATCAGCAGTCCGGACTTACACGCGGATCATCATGCCCTTGGGTATATATACCATGTACCTTCGCGGGGACACTCGTCTCTCCGTCAACCATCGATAGGCACAATTCCTTCACGCCCATCATGAACTTCACGTCCCTCTTACTTACTTACCTTTCCCTCTTCGCATTGGTACTCGCAGGCCCTGTCAACCTGGACGAGCGAGACGTCTTCGTCCCTCCTATCCTGTATCCACACTCTGGCACCGTGTGGACAATTAAGCAGCGTCACAATGTTACCTGGTTCGCATTTCTTTCTCTGAGGATTCGTTCAACCTCACTTATGAGCGTACAGGGACACCTCCAATGCTCCTGTGAATATCACAAACTCCAGAGGTTACATATTGCTGAGAAAGGCCAACAGAGCTACTCCTCGTGCGTTATCGGTTTATCCATCGATATGAGAATATCGGCTTAAGAAATGAAACGTATAGTGATCCTTGCGGAAGGGTTTGATATTCTACTCGGTCGAATCGAAGTAACGGTGCCTTGGGTTATTCAAGGAGATGACTATTCTCTAGTTCGTGCGTATAAATCAATATTCATTGTATGGCATGGGCATTTCATTGACCACCCTTGGCAGTGTTTGGCGATTCCGGAAATTGGAGCGATAACTTTACGATCACTGGGGCGCTCATCTAAGTAGTTGATTCGGGTGTGCCTTCGAAGTTTTGAGCAATCATGCGGAAACTGATTCGTAAAATTGAAGTATTGATTAAATTTGTTGTAATTTTAGTGTTATCAATGTACGGTGGCTTTTGCGTAATTAATTTTGTTTCCATCCTTGAGCCGAAGGCTGCGGATCATATATGGCGCTGTTTCTACCAACGAGAAGAATTTTGGACATATGAATAATCGTCGACTCTCGGTCAGAGTCTCGGAAGCACCATATATGGACCTCGAGTATCAGTTCCTGATTTTTTGATACACCCTCCAACTACCATTATTGAGCATCGATTTCGACACGGGGAAAGGAAAACCATCGCAATTTATAAGTACGTCCACAGACATAGAGATGAACATGTTAACTCACATCAATCCTAGCAGGCATGATATTAGATACTTAGGAATGTAATTGGACGACGACGCAAAATACGAAGTATAAGCCCCTTATTTCAAAAAGGGTTGAATTCGGGACCAAATGCTCTTCGGACCGGTTGATTCGGACCGGAAGAGAAGTTGTCTTTTTTTCTCCCACGACTTGTTTGTTTTACTTCCTCGTGCCCTGCTACAGCGACTACCTCTTCAATCAACTTTCCTTTGGAGAGACTCTACTTGACATTAATTCGTTCACTGAAATTGGTATGGACATTCCACGCTGATCGTTCTTTGAGTTTCGTCTCATCGTGTCGTGCGATTACCCTTGCGCCAGTGATACAGCTCATTACCTCTCTCTCAGTCCAACTTCCATTTTTTCCCTATTCTTCAAAGTAGGTACCTTCAAGGTGCCATTGAAACTGTTGGACGTGTTACAGGTAAGTAGGTCCCACTTTTCTCCGCCATTGTCCACGTCTGAATTACGGGAACATTCCAGTATCCACCTACCTCGTAGCCTTGAACCGTGACTATTACCAGCCATCTGGGATTCTCTCTACCAAATCGTGCGATACGGGGTTCGACGGTTCCGTCTTCGAGAACCTTAATCCCTGCGCCAACTTATTTTGGTTGATCTTTCCGAACAAAATACGCGTCGTTGGCTAGGTTGGTTTTTCGTTTTTATTGGTCTATCTTTTTGCTGATATTGAGGACGTGTAGATGGCACATGATGCGTGTTCACGACTTCCACAGGAGATTCTTGACGCAATCATTGATATCGTCGGGGTTACCTCACCGCGTAGCGAAGCATTCAAGGACCTCATTTCATGCTCCTTGGTATCACGGCGTTTTCTCCCTCGAACTCGGCACTTTTTGTTTGAGGCCATCTACCTTTCTACGCCTGAAGAGATTCTGTCCTACCACGACATGTGTCTCAAAAATCCCATTATACCAGCTTCGGCAAGAACCCTTATCCTCGACACCCGGAAGCTCATTTCCAACACCTTTAACGATTCACCGTTAATATCGATTCTGCAAGTCACGACCAATATCGAAACCATAGCCTTCCACAACGTATCATGGGAAGAGCTATCTCCAGGGCTCTTGTGCGCGTTGTCACGCTATCCTCTGAAAAATCTGCTTCTCAGAAATTTCACCATTTCGTCGGTGTCTTCATTCCACTCCTTCATCAGAAACAGTGCTACGCGCAGCCTTGGCCGGCTTGGTCTCTATGGGTCGCTCAAGGTTCTCGGTTCCGATGATGGTGATGGAGGTACCGAGGAGTTAGCACCAGCCCCTACAAGACCGGTTCTTGTCAAGTCTCTATCAGTTGCTTGTTCTCAAAAATTTCAAGATACGGCAAGCACCATCCTTTTCTCCCCATTATCGCCTTTCAACTTCGTTGGTCTTATCGACACTGAGGTAGCACTTTGTCAAGATGCAGACCACGATACACCACTTCCGGCCCAAGATGCTATCTGCGTCTTGCGGGACATAGTTTCAGCGTCGGATCCACTGGTGCTCGCGCACATCAATATATGGAGATCATTTCAGCGGGCGCCCCCGCCTTCTCTGTTATACCTTCCCTCTCTACGCACACTCGGATTTCTTCTAAACAATGCATCGGAAAGCCTTGGCTTCCAGCCCATTTCGGTTTTACAATGGTGGATTGATGTTATGATGCACTCTGAGTGCTACTCGCTGTCTACGCTTTCCATCACTGCAATCGCTGCAAGACAACGCTGGATTACGGATAAGGATGCCTTGACTCAATGGCGTCGCCTGGATAGAGAACTATCATCGTCTCGGTATGATGTGCAGTCAGTATGTATCATCTTCAGGGAGGTGGGGATTGAGAATGCAGATTCTAATGGAAGCGTGATTGACGTGCTGACGAGGTCCATGCCAGGATTATTTCAAAAGGGGGTGTTGCAGATACGGGACAATTGATAGTACCAAACCCGAGGCGACATTGTGTTTTCTCTGTAAACAATCGTCTAATTGAAGAACGTTTCTCAAGACGTACAGCTTAAGTATAGCTGGTACTCGTGATAGTCTGGTCGCTGTGATCTTAGAGCTAATATCGTCGACCCACGATACGTTGTCGATGTACGCTTTGGGGCCCGGGCAGTTGTCAAGAAGCAACAGGAAAAGCGCCCCTACATCGGTCTTCGGCCCGCCGGGTCGGATACGCCGTCACGCCACCAGGGAGGTCAACATACACAAGCAACCAACAAGCAACGCATCTTGCCTTCCACTGCGATTTTCATTAAAAAATAGCTAAAAAAGAGTCCAGTGAGTTTCTTTCCCTGACCCACACTGCGCTTTGTCTTGAATTGGTCCTGACGGCTATTTTCAAGTCAGAAAACTTCAGTGCCGCGTTCGTACCACATCAAAGAAAAGGCTCCTTAGGATCCATTTTATACACAACTCCGTGTCTCTTACGCTGAAAGATTCGGGACATATATAAACTCCGTAAATATGCAGGCCGGTACGATCCTTCCTCCAAGCCTATTCATAATTCTATTCTCTAAATGTAGCCCCTTTTCTCTCAGATAACTGTCCTACATGCGGAGTGCTCTGTCAACTGGACCTGAAATATGGAGATCAAAAGGCCCTGGATATCCTACGAATGGAACAGCCTCTCCTGCGATGCGACAATAATTGGGTACTCCAGAACGTTGCTGCCATAGATGACGACCTGCAGTCGCTGTGCCAGAGCCTCTCGCAATTAGAGTCTCGCACTGTTCTCATTCGATCCCAAATCGACATTGTGCTCGCCTCCAAGCAGAAGTTTGAATCAATTTCGGTCAGGACAAATGTCTATACTCAAGTCTCGACCCCAAGACATATCCTTGGATTCTAAGCCGTGTATGCCACTCGTGGAGAGAAATCGTTCAGTCAGCACCGAACTTGTGGTCGACCGTCATTCTACGTCCGCCAGAATATCGCCCCGCTTCGCTTGCTATTCTTGACGCACACCTCAAATACTCGGGAAATACACCGTTGAACGTGTCCCTGTTGATGTACTCTAATGGTAATATCCATGAAAAGAACGTCCTGGCTCGCATCACCAATCTCGCCCATCGGTGGTCAAAGCTGGAGATTCAGGGTCGACAGTACGAGAACTTTCCCCCCGCCTTCCCCGCGCTGCGCACATTGACTGCTTCATATATTTTTACGGGCGACGTTTACTTTTTTGACGCCCCTTTGCTGAGAACTGTACGGTTGGGTGACAGTGTGGCGCTTCATTCGTTTGTGCTTCCATCTCATATAACCCACCTCTCACTTTCCCGGTTATGTGTGGAGGACTTTCCATGCCTGAAATTATATCCGAGCCTCGTCGAGCTCCATTTCAAATCTGTACATTTCTACGATGGCGAAACCCCATTGACGATTACACATCCCACTATACGGTGTCTCTCCGTATCCGGAATATATCTCCTATCGTTCCTCATCTTGCCTGCATTAGAAGACCTCAGGATTCAACGCAGTGAATCCAACTTATACGTCGTCTCGGCCTTTCTGTCCCAGTCCGGCTGTTCTCTTAAGACCCTTGCAATTGACGTACCCTGCGACGATAGGCTATCAGGCCTCCTGGGCACTCAGCCATCACTTCAAGGACTTTCAATAATGAGTCATCCACATTATCGCAGCTTGGACCTGGTGTATCGCAGATTAGCTTGTCCAGATTTCCTATCTAATTTGGAGCGATTCCGGATCATCTATGCTGATGACTTATATCCTCAGGCAGTTCATATGATCAGAGCGCGATGGTATGCGCCTATCCGGCGTCTTCGAAACTTTGTTGTAGTCGCGGACTCAGTGAAAAGTAGTAGAACCCTTGAAGGTGATGATCAATGAGGGGCTGGATGTCAAGGTTCTGGGTCTTTCACACGTCAGACGACTGGAGAATGTTTGGTTGGATCCACACATGACGGAAAGTGAGGATATCTTGGAGTAACTTAGAGAATTATCATGTGTACAGTATGTAATAGTTATCATGGCCTCTTACAAGACATATTAACGTGAAAGCCAGTCATAAAGGAAGTCGACAGCGTCTCACCATCCACCGTTTATCCATTCATATAAGTACAATTAGACGAATACAACTAGGCGGGAGGGGGAGATCCAATGACAGGTTCAGTAAATAAAAGCGACTACGCCTTTGCAATGGAGCTCCAGTCCATCCTCTCAAAAGCCTGCTGCGTACTGACCAACTCTGCGTCCTCGATCCCAAGATCTTCCTTTGTCAAAATCTTCTCGCCACTCTTTGACCAGCCTTCCAAGTCCTGCTCGAAGAACTTCATATTCAGCGCTAGCTCCTTCCCAAAGACCGGACCAGCAAAGAACGAAGCGGCGTACTCCTCCGGATCTTTCTGAACAAACACCGTCTCGACGCCATTAACCTCTCCCCATAACTCCAGGACCTTTCCCATCGTCAACACTTCAACGGATCCGAGGACAATCTTCGCAGGAAGAGTAATCTCCGGCTTCGCCAGAATAGCACCGACAAAAACTCCAACGTTTGCGTCTGTCAGTCCCATCATAGGTGCCGTTGCCTTCGGTGTACACGGCAGAACCCACGCGTACTTCCCCGACTCCTGCTTCACCGGAGGTAGAAAGCTCGCCAAGTTTGTAGCGTAAAATCCAGCCCAGAAGAAAGTGGTCTTGTTCGCGAGATCGGGAAGGGCGGAACGGATGTATTCGTCGACGCGGGATTTACTATCGATATGAGGAACGGGAACTTTGCCATTGCTGGCGGTTGTCGCAGATGGTAAAGTACTCCAAACGTAGTGCTCAAGCGTAGGGGTGGCTGCTGCGGCATTAGCGAGATTCTTGCCCTGCTGGATCTCGCCTTCAAAGGCACCGTCCAATCCGACAATCGGTAGCAGTGTCCAGAAATCTGTCACGCCGAAGGCGACAGATGCGCCCTACGTAACGATTAGCATCAATTGCTACTTAGAGATGTAGTTAACGAACCTGGAATGCCTTGACGAGGCTCTCGTAGTCATTGAGATCTGCAGTAACTACTTCGGCGCCATTAGCAGCAAGCACTTTCGCCTTTTCACTATCGGGTTTTCGAGTGACGGCTCGAACAGTGTAATCCTTGTTCTTGAGAAATGATGCTACGACGGAGCTGCCCTGGTGTCCTGTAGCACCGAAAACGACGATGAGTTTACGAGACATAGTTTATGGAGTCAGATTCTTCGTAGCCACTGATATTTAAGGAGCCTATAAGATGCTGATTAATCGTAGTCAGCACAATTGTGAAACAATGACGCTCACTGGATCATCGTGCAGATGACTGCGTAGTACTAGTAGCGAATCTTCTCACAGTCATTTCATCTTACTTGACGGGATCAATGATCACTGGCATGAGGTCACTAGTAGCGTTCTTGGGCATAGATACTCTTCAAACCTTGTGCCGTAGAAAAAGCAATGATGTCTACGGTTCTTGGTCACTGGTCGAAACGAAATCCTCCTTTTTTCATTCAAGCATTTCTCGACGTCAGAGATAGACGTGTTTGTATGACAGTGAAGATCTAGAGCAACCCGAACATCGGCTTCCACGTAGAAAGTGCATCGGTGAACAAGGCCTTTGGGAACTGGAAGTCATGTTGCTACACAGAGAAAGGGACAACGCTGGTTTGCCGAGCAGTCGGGTTCTTCAACTTGCATCGGATGAATAGACAGGCGCCGGCTAAATACAAGCAAGGTAAGAGCTAGTAAGAGTCTTCTCCCCCGGGCCGCGGCGCGCGGCCTAAACTAAAGATTTTTTACGAGACAAGGCACAGCCGGAAGTAGATGCTGCGTAAGAGGCCCGGGCTGAGAATGTAAGTTCGAGCCTGTTCGAGTGTCGAGTCGTAGAGGGTCGTAGACATTCACTCTAGAGTCCCGACCGACACGTGGAACCTGCCCTCAAGACTCAACACCTCGTGACTAGGACGCGTCGTCGGCTGAGCGGACCGAGGCGTGTTTTCGTGCCGCGATCGCCCGATTTGCTCTCTCTTTGTTTTCTGTACTTATTTAAAAATCGGTAATACTTACCTTCTACTTTAACCTTCCTTCGAGTGGAGACTCATCATTGACCAGATCGTACAGCTGAGACGCCATCTTCCGTCGGATTTAGAGGTCATGTTCAGATTCAATTTCACTCAAACTGAATTTAACCAACATGTATTCGATCTTGCACCATGCCTATACGCAACCCGAACTTTGATTGAATTCTGAGGAGCAATGCATAATTAAATCATGTATTCGCTCACATACGACAAACGAGAGTCCAAGATAATCAGAATTCGAGCCAGTTATATACCGTATGGCATTACATAGACACTGACATCGAAGTCCACCTTCTAACAGAAAACGACGTCGATCCTAGTCATCTCCACTGAAATTGTGGCGCTCTGCTTCTCAACACAGTCCCTGGAAGAGGCTTATATTTGATCATAGTCAGCTCCATACCGCTCATGAATCAAAAATCAAATAGCACACCGGGGTAGAAGAAACAATATCATTGATTAAAGCCATAATATCCTTCGCAAAGTTCTCTGTGATAAAGCAAAAGACGGGGAGGATGCCGACCGATTTGAAATCGTTGTTGAGGCGAATGATACACTCGAAGGCCGAAACGAGCGAGATCAGGAAGCCTGTGAGAGCATCGCACACCTCCTGGCCGTTGTCATCGTATACGTGGTTGGACTGTATGAGTAATTGTCGACAAAGCTTTCAACTCAAAAGAACAAAACAACGTACAGGGACAAGTGGGATGGCTCCTTTGATTTGAGAATCTAAAGTCTGTACGGCACTTACAACAGCCTAGCACGCAAATCTAGTAAGAAGAGTAAGAGGAAATTCAGAGGTAGACTGACTTGGGCGGGACATCGACGTGTGCTGCAAAGGCATCGCACGCTGCCTCCATCGTACCAATAATCTTTCCCATGTTGCCGAAAGCACCTTTGAGCGCGGTGACATCATTGTGAGCAACAAGACGGTTGGCCACAGCCATGGCGATAAAGAGAAGGAGTACGAGAATGCGAGAGAACATACGAAGCATGATTAGTAATATAGCACTGAGCTGTTATGGATCTGCCGAAATCCGGATATGCGAGCACGAGGCGAGGAGTGGTGATCGAAGTGAGGTAAGATTAATTAGAAAGATGTATGTCGTTAGGGAATATAATAGATTCCGGCGAGGGTTCGTGAGGAGACTTGAACGGTCTGGTTTGCGAGATAAAGGATACTAGTAAGCGCGAAGCAATTACTGTAAGGGGGAGCCGGTAAGCGCGGAGCAATTACCAGGATAGGAAGCCTTTAAGCGCGAAGCTATTACGGGCCGTGGGTGAAGGCAAGCGCTAAGCGTAGCTGAGAGTTCACGCAGTGTGAGGATGCTAGTAGTATATTGGTCCCGAATCTTTAATACAATGTTATCTACAAGTTTATATACTAAGGAAAGGTTCAAGTCATTATTATTCTACAATGTTCTATAATATTCTAGTATCAGTACGACGAATAGAGAAAGTAACAGAAAGTACGAACGAGTCAGTATTAAGACCGAGAAGGCCAAGTACGGGCATGTGTTGACTCATGCACCGAATCAACAGATACCCGATATCCATAACATGAGCACAGTTGTTGGAGAATTGAAGCTGTCTCGCAAGGCATTTTATGCCATTAAGGAACGAAATCTACGATGAGAGCAGCCTTCCAAGATAACCCCGCATTCATGCGATTACGATTCTCAGGGGTGTCAAGACGGACGAGAAGGTAGTCAGGACGCCAGGAAATGATTAGGTGGATTTTTCTCCTCCGATTTCATCGCGTAATGGGGACAGTGAGAAGATTTCCTAGCAGACGGATTCCGTTCGATTGAGTTCACCGAGCGGCAGTGTGTAGCATGACCTCGTTACAATTGAAGGTACCAGGAACCATTGAAGGATTCATGTGCACGATCTACTGCTAGCATTCCAAACGTGATTCTCCATCATGCATCATGTGCTAGGCGTCGTTCGTTGAGATGTCTGACGGATTAGGCGGCCAAATCACAGGTTTATCAATTTTAATGCTAAAAGGTAAATATGAGATTTACCCGTTGTTCTTAATCAGAAGCCTTCGTAACGTATACAAAGAAATGAACCAAACATTGGTGCGTTCCAGGGGAGGAAAGACGCCAAAAGTGTTTCTATACGACAACCTCGTATTTCTCGAAACTCTCGACCAACTGACCCCATCGCCCACCATGCCAACTCGACAAATCCTTCCACTCAGGACTATCCTCCCCGAAAACAATTCGAAGAAACAGTATCCATGCACACATCGTCACATCCGCAAACGTAGGAGTCTCTCCCATAACGAACGTGTCTCCTGCCGTCATCCACTTATCCACTTTCCCAAGATCGTGCTTCAACAATGCCAATTGCTTCTCTCTACGTTCGCCAACTGGATTCATATCTTCTATCGACACTCCAGACGACTCTTCCCTCGTCTTCCTGAAGAAAGCTTCACTGCGCGGATTCAGCATCGCGTTGACAGCGGGGATTGAGAACGGCGCTATCGCCTTCATTTGGGATTCGAAGGCGGCTGTGAATGCAGCGTGTAGTGCTCTTGTTCCTCGAGGAATAAGTGTAGGAGTATCAGGATAGGTCGTCTCGAGGTACTCGACAATGGCGGCAGACTCAGATATGATGGCTCCGGTCGACGAGTCATGGAGCAGAGGGAGAGTATAGTAGGGAGTCACACCGTCTCGTTTGGTAGCACTGGCCGGAATGTTGAGTTTCGTGTATAGCTCTTCGATATCAGGATACTCGATCCATTCTGTACGATATGGAATACCCTTGAAGTTGAGAGCATATCTAGGAAAGGTTAAGAGTCGGTTAGAAATGAGGATGCGAAATGACGTTACCTGGCTTTCCATGTATTAGGAGACCATGCATTGACAGGCAACTTGGAGGGGATGTCGTAGAAAGTAATAGACGCCGACATGATTGTCGATTACCAAGAGCCACTGGAGAGATGAATAAGCTCCGTCTGAACGCCGGTTGCATCGGCCCGTATGATGAATATCCTAAGTTTTGATGTCCCTGACTGTGCAATTGCCCGAACCGTGATTAAGCATCTAGTGTATTCATAAGACCATGTTCATTCCTTGTGATAATCCATTGACACGCCTCGAGTTCTGTCTATAACTCAAAGGCAATCAGAGCCCCGAACCCTTGACACCGGGATAATGAGATCGATTCATTAGCCCATGGAATGGAAGGACAAAAACGAAATGCCCTTTCGGCACGTAGGACGGCAACCTCGGAAAGTCGGACACCTCTTACCTCCCCTTCAACAAGTTGTCTATGGTCGGCTCGCACTACCAAAATGGGAGCACAATGCTCGTCCATTCTCTCTGGCCTATACTCGAAATAATAAGATTAAAAACGATGTATTCATTTGTATAGAAGAAGCGTCAGTGTTTTGCCGTTCCAGAGTACCCCGTACCCGTTCGCATGCGCCTCTTATGGAAATAAGTCCTCGAACCCATCTTAAATAAGCCTCTACTCCTGACTACCGCAACTGTACGCTTTCAGGACAGCAGAGGAAATATTTCGAGAGATTCCTTGATATCTCTGAACACACGCCTTCCATGAATCCTACGTGCAGAGAGCATTACATCCCATACGCAAGCCATATACGAATCGAATCACTCACCGGAGTCGCATTCAAGAGCTTCCCCTCCAATAAGCTAGTATCCGCCATAGTTTCCTGAAAAATGAGGCAAGTGTCATTCACCAAGCCGACGGTCTGGAAATCATCCTTCCGGGCCATGAATGCATCTGCCACCTGATGATCCAGGCTCAAGCTACTCCTGTACCCATCACAGATCCACTCTCCGTCCAAGACATCCTGTGTTTGGAGCTAGTGAGATCGCTGAAATAACCAGGGGAGAAAGGTACGTTACCGGTACAACTTTGGACGCGTTTATGAGCAGCGAGTCCAGAGTTCCCATGAGGCTGAAAATGTCCTGGACGAAGCATCGGTAAGAGATAGGACTGTAATAAGACACGATATACCTCCGCGTGGGCATTATCGACGTTCGTAGCGAAAACGCTGCAAGCGTCACGTACGGCAGAGAACGTATTGGTTAAGCCAGTAAAAGCCTTTTGGAGTGCAGTGACTTCGCTACGACCAACAAGAGGGTTGGCGAGAGCAAGAGCGGCAAGGAGAATTACAGAGAGAGAGCGAAAGAGCATTGTGAGTTTTCGTCGGTGCGATGTAGCGGTGGAGCTGCGAGGCCGCTTTTATCTCACTCCACGAAGAGAAGCATTCCGGGTCAGGTGTTCATTTACATAAAGACTGCAGCCCTTGGGGTTCTAAATACGAAATTTTAGAGCGCGTTCATGAACGAGGTTCTGAATGACTAATAAGGTGAAGGGAGGAGATAGAAACCATGATCGTACCTCCGTACTGAGTCCTGACAGGGCCGCGATGGGTTCGAAGGCGAGAAATTCCCGACCCTCCAAGTTTATGTGGATTCTCCGAAGGAAGCTAGAAGAAAGCCAAATTTGTACCGAACGTTAGTGCTGTAAAGCAAACTAAGTGAGATTTTACAGACCTTGCTCCCGGGTAATATCTATCCTGTATCGTGGACTAAGTTGCGTCGCTTCCTACGTTCGAATCTGAAACCGATTCACACCCTTTCGTCTGGTAAGGTGCCATTGTCGGCTTATCGGGATTAGATCAGGAACAGAAAGGGAAATGCCATTAGAAAGAAAGCCGGTTCGTTACAGGATTTTGAACTTCGTAGTCCTATTATTGAACGAAACGAGAATTGAGATGATATGTATGGAACGAAGAAAGAATGAGCGTCTGAAAGAGCATCTCCAGATAAAGCGAGAGAAATTATTCACTGAAGAATGGCTGCGAAGCCTCTATAACGTCCGCGGCCCGGTCACAAAGGCAGGATGCCCTTTGACGATGAATCTAGAGGCGAACAAAATAACCCGCAGACTTTCGTGCAAAAGCGACGCAGGACTTTAGACTGTAGGACATACAGAGCATATATCGTAGCCACGACCACCATGACAAGATGATTCTCAAGGAAATGTAGCCTAGACTAATAAAGCACAATCAAATCACGTATTTATTCAGACAGGACAAAAGAAAATCGATGGCAACGGTATTTCGAGCCAGCTAAATGAAAAACATTTTAATTGACCCTGACATCCAAGTTCACCTTCTAACAGTATGCGGCCTGGACCTTCGCCGTCTCTGCCGAAACGGTATCGCTCAATTCCTGAGCACAATCCTTGTAAGCGGACTATATATAATCATCGTCAGTTGCATACAATTAGCGAAATAGTTATAGGATCACATACCGGGGTAGCAGCCATGAGATCACTAACAAAGACGGCGTTATCCTTCGCGAGTTCCTCAACGATCTGGCAAACGAAGGGAACGACATGGACGGCTACGAAATCGCTCTTGCAGCCAACGATCTTGTCAAAGGCATCAACGAGCGAGGGAAGGAAGTCTGTGAAAGCGGCGCAAATCGTCTCGCCGTCCGCATCGGATACGACGTGGGTCTGTATAAGATATCGTCAGATACAAAGAGCGCCCCTATAACAGAACGACGACGTACGGGAACAAGCGGAATGGCCTCCTTGATTTGGTTGTCTAATTTTTGTGAAGCACTGCCAACGGCCTAGTTGGTACCGTTAGAAAGAGGTGAAGACAAGAAATTTATGGGATGACTTACGAAAGCATGGGTGGAGTCGACATTGGACTCGAACGCGTCGACCGCTGTGCTGATGTCGCCGACGGTGCTGGCCATGCCGTCTAAAGCACTTTTGAGCGCGTCGACCTCGCTGCGAGCCACAAGAGGGTTGGCGACGGCGAGCGAGACGAGAGGAAGGAGTGCGAGAATGCGAGAGAACATATTGAGAATTGGTTAGTACGACTACGGTGGGTGCAGTTGCTGGAGGATCGAGGCCATTTCTTAACGCATTTTATACCATTCAAGAGGAAATTTCCGAGGAAAGAAGCTCTCAGGACAGTCGAACGTTCACGCGGTCAGAGTATTCGGATAGATCAATGTGCTAGACGAGAAGGTGGAAATGGTGGTCACGAACGTTCAATATTCAATGAGAAGCCTTCTTTTTAGACTCGACTGCATGGGATGATCGACGTTTCTCTCCGACTTGAGCGCGTAGTTGGGTCAATAGGCATCACAAGATCCCTCAGCAGACAAAATCTGGTGGATTCGGTTCACTGTGCGATGTCCCGCGTGACGCCCCGACCGTCGACGGTATAATTGAAGGTGCAAGGTGCCATTCAGATGTCCATGTGCACGAACGTGTTGCGATGACACGATTAGACATTGACGTTCCGAAAGTGATTCGCCATCATACACTTAACGTCGGATAGCTTTAGATTCCGACCAATGGCCAGGAGAAAGGACAAGTGACTGAACTCGTGAGCTATCGTCGCGCGCTTCGAATGTAGAAAGAAACAGACGGTGGATGAGGATATCTTGGTTTCGGAGGGGGGAATGGATAGTTGTCGGAATTATCCCAAAAGGAATGCTAATGGAAAAGAATATATATGGCTTACTGAAAGCGGATGAAGAAGGCGTATAGCTGGCCAAAGAATACAAAAAGTGTGGTCACCACCGAAGGTGACCGTTGACGTTGAGGATCGTATTAGTTCATGGTACTTGGGCGGTCACAGGGCCATACGCAAGTGCGATTACGACCTATGGCTAGATATCGAATTCAGTACTCGGTCCCGTGTCTTTGAGCAGAATTCAATTGTAGCTGTCAAGTTCGACATTAACACGACGAAGATGAGGCCCCGCGAAGCTCTCACCAAGGCGTATCGGGAAATTAGTATATTTGACGCCCGCAAATGACCAAAACCCTGTCCGTAGTTAGCATATTTGAAAGTATATACATTTTTAGGCCATAGATTGGCTGAATCTGGCAGAACGTGGGCCGGCTGGCATCCAGAAAGCAGTATAGTGCCTAAAATAACGCTAAAGCGAAACTTTTGGTCCGGCCAGCACTCCGACTCTCCCAGACCGTGAACAGCTTGTCCGAATTAGCATATTTGAGGCTTAAATCTTTGCGAATTTTAGGCCCCAAATCGATGATTTTTTCCGGACACACTTTGGCAGGAGCTTCCCGGGGTATCGAACATGCCGTTGGGAAAGTGGGAAAGTTGAAGTACTAAGAAAGGAGTGAAAAAAGACAGAGATTTCTGGTGTAATGGCATTGACACTGAACGGACGTTGGGAGCGTAGACGAGAGGAGACCAAGGCGGAGTCGGGCCGGTTCACGTGACGGTTTAGGGCAGGTAGACGTAGTTTTCCCGTTGTCGCAGCTAGTCTTTTCCCCCATCGATCCATTCCATCTCTCTGACTCTACGAGGGGTTCCAACGTCTTAGCAAGCCCGCGCAGCGCGACCCATGTCGCGACGGTGGAAAGGAAGCCGGTACGGAACTTACCGGAGGCGTTTAATTGCCGGTTCTCCGGGACGAGGCTTCGCAATGAACCATCATGCATCATGTTCAAGACTTGCAATCCGGTCTACTTGTTCCTCATCCGCAGCCATTCGCTAGCCGTTCATTAATATTGCCGACTAATCTCAGACTCTTGGCTGTCTGTAAGTATCAAAAACAAGCGCAAGCAATCTTTATTAACCGTTGCGCTGATAGTGATACTTCGTCATCCTCCCCTTCGACGACTCATCAGAGTACGAAGAACTGACTTTCTCTGGGCAGTTACTCCAGAGTGACACGATCTGTCAATATCAGCCAAGTATGCCTCGGCCCCGAGCCCCAGCCCAACGTTCCGCAGCAATCGGGCCGGGCTTTCTTTTTGGTTTTCTTGTTCCTCGACGGCCATGTACCCCAACATGCGATACAGTACGCTCTTGCTTGTCGGTAAAGCATGTAGTTATGGACTCTCTTTATTATAGAACTTATGTTTAGGTAAAGATTGAGGCTCGAGACAATGCGCAGCTCACTCTACTGAAGAGCGGTCCGAATTGAATGGCCCTGCTATCGACTGTAGTGGAACTCGGGAGGGAGATGCATATTTCCTGTAAGTCCTCCATACTTCTCCACATGAAACAGCTCCAACTTCGGGATAATAATAGTCTCAGCACAGGTATTGTAGCCAGCAATTTCTCCGAGCCGCCTAAGCAAAGGCATCTGCTCCCTGTTGCGTTTCAATTATCGTTCCCATCTCAATGCTATTTCGTTCATCCGATTCCCTCGCATACGTCACTCTACCTTTTCTAGCGGTGATAGTGAGTAGATGTCGGGGGATGCATTCATTCAGGCCCCTTGACGCGTTGAGAGCCCTGAGATCCTGTGGAGTCCGTATATCCGTCGTTCTTCCTTGCACACTGACCCTGATACAGGTCATCGCAGCTTATCCCTCCTAAAAGTATCCAACCCTGGTTCGAAGTCTCTTCAATCTCATGCTATCCGCATTCTGAGCGTCGCCTATCATCTCGGTCCGTGTAATGTAATGCAAGCTCGGTCGAATTCTAATTTCTGACTGTGAACTTTTATTCAATAGAGATCTTGGAGTCTAGCCTAGCGCTTCCTGCCACGGTATACGTTATGTCGGCAACTATCCTACCCTGCTACCATATGGCTTGCCGCCAAGCAGCCGCGTAATTTCTCAGTTCCCTGTGGTCGCCGTACCACCGAGCATATGTCACCCAGCTTCAATCGTGACCGCTCAGTTGAATCAACGTCGTCGGGATTGCACCTTGCTGCGCAGATATCTGCAGCACGAACTCTTTCTCGCTTACGATCGTTTACCTATGGTTCAGATCATTCCTGGCGGCCCGCCTTCAGTATCCACCTCCCTCCGCCTCAACGCCACCGTCACAACACGCGGTCGGTTGGCAAAAAATTTTTTGTAAGAGGGGCAGTGCTCTCGGAAAATAACTGCACCGTTGCATAAAAAGGGCTGTCCTTGCTTCCTCTGAATCCCGTCGCTTCCTCTTATCGACCTCTCCTCCACATCCAATAATGCGGCTTCTTGTTCACGTTCTCGCATTGGTCTCCGCTGTCTTTGCTGCGGATGCATGGTACCCGGGAGGAGGCGGAGGCGGAGGCTCCCAGCCGTCGTCTACACCGTGGACGGGTTATCTGTGCCCCGATACTGATAATTATGGGCATGGGAAAGCTCCCTGGGGGTGTGACTCCCCGCCGTATCCTAACTCGATGTTTGGCTGCACGTAAGTGTTCGACAGCACAGTCGTTGGATTCCTTTTTCTGAGGCCGATGTTCGTAGGTACCGCACGGGCTCTGGAGTAGGGACGTACCCATGCGAGTACTATGTCGTGAGTAGCATCAAGAGTGCTTTTGTTTGTGTGGACTTCTGTGCTGATGTTTCGTAGCACGACGGCCAAGGACCTTCAGGCCAGGACTCGCGTTGTCCTTCCAGTGCAGCGTACCATAATGGAAGGAAGAAGAGGTCGCCGCCGTCAGTGGCTGCTCCCGTTCCAGCGGATTCGTACGTTAACCGTAACATTATTCGCGGATCAGTGAGTTGTCCTCTTTACGTTCAGTCGAAGGGTCTAATTCATTGCACTAGCGAGAAGCTGCAAAGTTTGTGTAATAAACTCGCAGTATTTTCCGCTGTTAAGGTGGATCCGTATCGAGTCTTGGTTCCTATTTTGATGCTCGTAGATTTATTCGTCGTCGTTACATGCCTATCCATTCTCTGAACCCTTTAGAACTTTATAACTATTTAAATATCGATTTATATAGATAGTCTTTCGGAGGTGTGCGAATGTGCGAGTCGGAGTTGCAAGTAAGGCGGTGCCTGGGGGGCGCGCCTTCCAAAAACACGTATAGATTGGACGCGCCATTGGCACGTGGTGTTCTACCTCTTTAGGGCAGGTTCAAGTCGATCGTTTACCGAAATTTGCAAAATTTTGCATCCTGCGCAGTGGCCCAATTCTCATTCAATCTGAGGGGCATTGCAGTTCCCTTCTCAACTGTTCCCAGTTTATCGCCGTGAAAGAAGGTCGAATACAAGAGACCTTCCGTCACTTCCCAATCCCATGGGATCTGCCTGGAACCGATCTTTCCCTGTGGAAATGGTAGTTCGGCTCTCTCTTAGCTGCGCCTCTTGTTTAATTCATGGTGCTAGCATCAGCAGTCTCGTATACGGGTGATTCAGTGTGGCCTGAAATCACAAAGTATGAGCAGCTACATGCCGGTACACATTATCTAGTCGGATAGCTAGCTAACAGAAGCCCAAGGTAGGTCGGTGGATTGTCGTAAAGGACGAGCATGTGCTTATTCATTCCAGTCACCTGTCAGATTAAATCTTTGCTCGTTAGTCAGGGAAATCAAAGCCCAGGATATCCATTCGGACCGTCGGAACCGATGTCACGGCAGAGGCTGATTCATCGTTTTGCGCCTTAGAAATCGACAATCATGTCGACCACCATCACCTTCTACGATATTCCATCCAAGCTGCCCATCAATGCGTATTCTCCTAATACGTGGAAAGCCAGGTTAGTTAATATCCATTATATAGCTTGACGCCATCTCTCATCCTTGCCTGGCCAGATATGCCCTCAACTTCAAGGGTATTCCATATCATACGGAATGGGTCGAATTTCCTGATATCGAAGGCCTATACAAGAAATTCAACATCCAGGCCAGTTCTACCCAACAGGACGGTGTGACTCCCTACTATACTGTCCCTCTGCTCCATGACTCGTCGACTGGGGCCATCATATCCGAGTCCGCGGCCATCGTCGAGTACCTCGAGACGACCTATCCTGATACTCCGCGTCTCATTCCTCCCGGGACAAAAGCATTACATGCAGCATTCACTTCCGCTTTTGAACCCCAGATCATGGCAATAGTGCCATTCTCCATCCCTGCCGTCAACGCGATACTGAATCCGCGAAGTGAAGCTTTCTTCAGGAAGACAAGGGAAGAGTCGTTTGGAATGACTATTGAAGATATGGGTCCGCTTGGGGAGCTTAAGGAGAAGCAATTGGCGTTGTTGAAGCACGATCTTGGGAAAGTGGATAAGTGGATGACGGAAGGAGACGCGTTCGTTATGGGCGAGACTCCTACATTTGCGGATGTGACGATGTGCGCGTGGATGCTGTTTCTTCGAATTATTCTTGGGGAGGATAGTCCTGAATGGAAGGGTTTGTCGACTTGGCATGGCGGACGATGGGGTCGGTTGGTCAAGAGTTTTGAGAAATATGAAGTTATTGTGTAGAGTCAATCTTTTGAACTGAAAGATGTAACTATGACACCTGTTTTTAGGTCTCGGACCCTCAATAATATAATGTGCATCCAATGTGCTATGAAGTCTTTCATCCCTTGGAACGCGTCGAGGTCCGCTTCATTTCTTGGTACACGTTATTTCTGGATCCTCACATTGTCAGGTCAATTTCGTACTTACCCTTTAGGACAAGAATTGACGGGAGCGTCATTTGGACGCAAAATCCGCCAGGAATCTCAGCCATCAAAGCTTGACGCATGAATCACGTTCGAGATGCCAGCGGTATATCTTGCACATGAATTCTTAACTGGTTCCTCATTCCTTCAATTGTAAGAAGATCACGCTACAAACCGCTCAGTGAACACAATCAAACGGATTTTGTCTGCTGAGAGATCTTCTCACCTCGTGACGCACTGTCCCTATTGCGCGAGCAAATCGGAAGGCTCGGAGCAAATCTATCCAATCATTCTTTGGCATCCTGACTATCCTTTCTACCTTCTCGTCCATCCTGACACTTCCCAGAATCTTAACCTCATGATCGCTTGACTACGAGGCTATCCTGAAAGGTTCATTTGTCGTAGCCTTTGCTCTCTTAACGGCATAAGAATCCTTACGAGACGGCATCAATCCTCCAACAACTGGACACCGCAATAGCAGTAATCAAAGCTTAGTATGTTTTCTCAGATTCCTGTATTCCTTTCCCTTATCTTCCTCAGAGATTTCGGCGGAGATGGCAAAGATCGAAACCTCATTCTGCCAGAAGGCGAGCTCGAACGTCGGTGTCAATGTAGAGGTTCTCGGACATTTAGCCGAGGATTCGTCGTGGTCACAACGTACTGAAACTTGAGGGCAAGTTTCCACAACAATACCGTGAGGTAGGCACTCGGAAATAAAATTCTACACTCGACGTTAACTCACACCCCCAGTCGAAGCATCTTATACTGCCCATCATCTCGGTAATTGAGTCCCGGCTGCGCCTTGTCTCGTAAAAATCTTTAGTCCGGACCACGGGCGCCGGTGGCAATAGGTCGCTTTACATCGCTTGTACTTGGGCAGCACTCGTCTGCTGCTCGTCTGCTCATCCGAGCTATTGTCCCAAGTGGTCTCTGTGTCGACCTTGACCTGAATGTAAATTTCGTGAACATCCGTACTCAAAGATTGTCGAGGTGCATTTACTATGTGGCGATGTTCAGATTCCGCTGGATGTTGATGTTACCTCCACTGTCACACAAGCGCATCTATCTTCGACGCTGGGAGAACTAGAATAACAAGGAGGTTTCTTTCGACCGGAACTTTGGAATTGACTGCTTCTTTTTGTGATCCAAAACTGGAAGGGTAGCAACGGCCAAGAACGTTGCTAGTGGCCTCGTGCTGGTGCCCATTGATCCCTTCAAGTAAGATGACATGACAGTGTGAGAAGACTCACTAATGTTCAGTCACATACATGATGATTCAGTAGGCTTTATGCATTTCTGCTTACCACAATTAATCAGCATCTTATAGGCTCTTTAAATATCGGTAGCTACGATGGATGAGAACTCATAAACAATGTCTCCCAAAGTTATCGTCGTTTTTGGTGCTACAGGACAGCAGGGTGGCTCTGTCGCTGCTTCGTTTCTCAAGAACAAGGACTACACCGTCCGAGCTGTCACCCGAAACCCAGATAGCGACAAGGCGAAGGCGCTTGCTGCCAATGGCGCCCAAGTAGTCGCTGCAGATCTCGACGACTACAAGAGCCTCGTCAAGGCATTCCAGGTGTGTTAAGTACATTTTTTTGTAGTAATTGATGCTGATTTTTGCCTAGGGCGCGTCTGTCGCTTTTGGCGTAACAGATTTCTGGACACTGTTACCGATCGTCGGATTGGATGGTGCCTTTGAGGGCGAGATCCAGCAGGGCAAGAACCTCGCCAATGCCGCAGCAGCCACCCCCACGCTCGAGCACTACGTTTGGAGCAGTTTACCATCTGCAACAACCACTACCCAAGGCAAAGTCTTCGTTCCTCATGTTGATAGTAAAGCGCGCGTCGACGAATACATCCATTCCACCCTTCCTGATCTCGCGAAGAAGACCACTTTCTTCTGGGCCGGATTTTACGCTACAAACTTGGGGAGCTTTGTGCCTCCGGTAAAGCAGGAGTCGGGGAAGTACGCATGGGTTCTGCCGTGTACACCGAAGGCAACAGGTCCTATGATGGGACTGACGGACGCGAATGTGGGCGTTTTCGTCAGTGCGATCCTGGCGAAGCCCGAGATTACTCTTCCTGCGAAGATCGTCCTCGGGTCGGTTGAAGTGTTGACGATGGGCAAGGTTCTGGAGTTATGGGGAGAGGTGAATGGTGTCGAGACAGTCTTTGTGCAGAAAGATCCCGAGGAGTACGCCGCTTCGTTCTTTGCTGGTCCGGTCTTTGGGAAGGAGTTAGTGCTGAATATAGAATTCTTCGAGCAGGGCTTGGAAGGTTGGTCAAAGAGTGGCGAGAAGATTTTGACGAAGGAAGATCTTGGGATCCAGGATGCAGAGTTGGTCAGTACAAAGCAGGCGTTTGAGAGGATGGACTGGAGCAACGTTGTAAAGGCATAGTTGCGTACAAATTGTTTATTATGACTGTCGTTCAAAGTTTTTGTCACGGCTACTTGTGTTCGAGCATTATTTTATACGGCTGTCATTGATCATCTTTTGTGTCGTGTCTGCAGAAATGTGTGATTTTATTGTGTCTTGTTGGTCCAAATTAAAGGAGAACCACTTAAGAACCATTCTAATGCCATGGTACGGAATTTCAGTTTTCGATATGCTCGCACTCCGATTCCTCAATCTCCCTTGGGTATAAACATCCTGCCTTCCAGATAACACGATCTCACATGCGATCTTCCTACTTCTATTACTACGGGAAAATCCTGTAATGAGAGGGCTTCTGTTCAGATAGTATGTCCCGTTCGTAACCCTATCCAATGTCCGAAAGCCGGTAATGCCCTACCATATGGAAGGGTTGCGGATCCAATTCAGATTCGATCACAAGAGGTAATTCAGTCCACGAGACAAGCGATATATTACTCCCAGATAAGGCGTGTAAAATATCACCATGTTCTCGTTATGGAAATCACTGTTCGCCTCGAATTCAAGGTTCATGGCTGACTGGTTTCGGAGACTTGTAAAAGTCCCTCACCACTTGTCGAGCCTTTGTAGGCTACTAGTCTAAGTGTGGAGGTACGTCCATAGTTCCTATCTCCCCTTTCATCCCGTTAGGCATTCTGAATCTTGGCCACCAAGGCATTCGACAAGTTAGAAGTCAAACCTTACTATTTAAATGAACTTCTGACACAAGTCTGATAATGAATGCTTCTCTTCTCCAACTCGTTATAACGGCCTCGGAAATTCACCGCTATTGCCCCAACGAAGCTCGCGATGCTCCTTCGCCCTCTATCTCTAGTTCTCCCTGTCGCTCTTGCTATCGCCAACCCGTTTGTTGGTCGTAGCGAAGTTACTGCACTCCAAGAGGCTTGTAACAAAATCAACACCACTCTCTATGATGTAATTAAAGCTTGCAATGCGTTTTCTATCAACGTTGATAGTGCACATGCGGAGGTATGTTTTGTACCTGTGCTGTAGCGACCTGTTGTGGATACCTTTTTCAGGAGGTGTTCAATCTCTCAAAGACTCTACAGTCGCGGGTCAGAGATGCATCTGAGGTGGTTCCGGTAAGGTACCTTTCTTTTCATTTCAGCATTATCTCAATGACCACAAAATGTAGGATGCGTTGGATGGAAAGTGGCTGTGCGAATCGTACACAAATGTTTCAAGTCCAGGTCTTCAGTTATCGGAGGACTTCATTGCTCTCAAGAAAGATTTCCAGAGCGTCGACTTGCTCAACGACACTTGCCTCCTTCTCCAGAAATCTTCCAAGGGTAGTGCCTTATTGGACAGGAAGCTCTTGGATGCGACTCCGGTGAGTGTATTAGGTGATTGGTACATGGTTTGCGTATGGAAATGTAATGCGACACTTAGGATTCATGGAAGGCGTGTGTTCAGAGATATCAAGAAATCTCAGAGAATATGACGGCCAAAGTCCTGGAAGCATATTGTGGTCATTCCTAACAGAGACTGAGAGGGGGCGCTTGGAGCACTAAAGGTTCGAGTATTCCCGTGAGACTACGAGAGACGACCGAGAGGTTGGAGAGAGGCGGACGGGTACTTATCCGAGATTGACCGACGACTGACGCTTGTTCGAATAATTAAATCGTTTTGACTGCTTATCACGTTTTGAGATCCAACGGAATGGACGAGTATCGTGCCCGGGTACCTACCACGAGCTGATAGACAGCCATAGACGGGAGAAAGCGGCAACGGACCATTCTCCGAGTTTAGGTCCGATATCCGTTCAGTTGCCGTCTGCCGTGCCGAAAAGTCGGCGTCTTTCGGCAATTATGGTGTCCTTTTGCACCGACCTCGATGCCGACCCTTGCGCCATTCTCTCTCAGAATCACCTCAGCTTGGAATCTCAGCCTTCCCGAACACGTCCCAGAATTTTTAACCAACGCCGTGCTCATTTGTAGTCCTTTTATTCTTGGCGTTTGGTATAGAAGATCTCTGCAAGGCGATAATTCTAGGAATACGAAATAGTTCTTCGAAGGTCCCAAGCAAAGACCGCTAGGGTCGGAATGAAATTTTATGGACGAATCTTGATGACCTATTCTATGCTAAGCATTTCCCGATTGCTTACCCTATGGCCACTGGTGCCATCGACTCGCCGGACTCTTCTCTTCCATCTTGTTTACATGCCTTTTAATTGTGTGTAGCCCCGTTCTCCGTCCTTCGTTGCTGTTATATTAAGCGCATGATAGCGGGTCGCTTCTAGATACTCGGTACATTTCTATCTTTGGGAGCTTCTGGAAACTAGAACCACCGTGACCTTTCTGGGAAGCGCGGGGTCTCGTTCTCTGTAGGGAAATAAATATCTTCCAAGACGCCTGCTGCATCGTCGTATTGGGTTTCCCCAAAGCATAACATGGTCTTTCGGGTCGACACTCTCTTTGCACTGTCCACTCTTGCCATCGCTAACACTGCTGTGCGTCGCAGCGAAGTCACTGCGCTTCAGGCTACCTTCAACAAAATCAATGAAACATTATATGCAATCTAGGTAGCCTATGGTGAATTTGCCTGCTGAGGTCGATATTGGTCATGCTATGGTAAGTGTGATCCGTTAATATCTATATTTTTGTTTGATGATTTTGTTTAGATGGTGACCGACGGCTTACGGACTCTAGACTCGCAGATCCAAGATGCCTGTAATGCAGTCCCAGTATGTTAAATTAGTTCAGGTTCTTTGTCTAGCTTCCTGAAATATTCGGAACAGAATCATATCATGTCGGACGTCGATGGCAAGTGGGCCTGCGATATTTACATCATTGAGTTGACCGGAGACCTGAAATTTTGGGATGATATAATCTCCCTCAAACACGATTTCCAGACCGTCAACTTCACTTCTACCGTCTGCCACGCTTTCCAGAACCTCTTCACCCATAGTGCCCCATTCGAGAAGAAGTTCATGGCCGCTATTCCGGTGTCTGTTTTCTGGACATACGATTGAGGATATGGAACTGAAATATAACCATGCATAGAAAACATACAAAGCGTGCATCAAAGACTATGATGATATGGCTGGCGAAAAGAGGAAGAAGATTATAGAGGAATACTGTGAGAAAGAGTAGGTTCTCGGGAAACCGCTGGTATGTCGTCATGATAAATATAACATTGCGATTGAACTGTCATCTGTACACGGCAGTAAAATAAGTCCCTTCTTTGAATAGCTGTTCTGTTCCAGCTGTCGACGGGTCCAACCAGAACCCTTTTCGAAACTGATCCAAACCGTTCCTACCTTGAGACCGAGACCTTCCCTAACCATCTTTCATGCTGTATAACGCTTGTATCAAATCCCTCTTCAACATTCCCTAGAGATCTCTGGAGTCTGCAATTATGTCGTACTCTTTTGGTCGTCAGTGACACGCCGGGTCGACCGCATGCAGGACACTCTGAGAAAGGAAAGTCGCCGCATTGTTGAACGCCGTCGTCAGTCACGTGTACATATTGGACCAACTTTTTTGTTTGCATTACTCAATCTGTTTCCCTTGATTGCCAACGCAAGAACGTAGCATCTATGCGCTAGCTGCTGCGAGGGAGGACGCAGAATCTCGATGGGACGTGTCAGCCGAATCGTCAAGCCCTGATTTCAGATGAGCGAAATTGGACGGACGAACGGGACCCGCCAAGGATGCTAGGCTCCACGTTCATGATGTCCAGATGGGAGAATCAAGACCATCAGTCCTATCGATGCGGTGGCGTTGGCTAAAAAGAATCTCCTACAGTGACACGAGGAATGTCTTGGGTTTGTTTTGAGGTGTGGAAGGCTCAAATATTTGTTTCTTGAGAGAACGTTCTCAGACAAATGAAAGAGTTAAGATTCCATCGAGGCCACGCAGGGAAAGAGACATTAAAAGGGAAGGTAACGTTGTGTTTTCGGGTCTGAAAGCTTTCTTAGAGTACCGCTTCGGTAGCGAGATCCCATATGGCTGTAAGGAACCGCGGCTCTACTTACCCCCTCCTTCCGATACCCAGACCGTACTAAGGGATCCATTCTGGAGTATAAAAGGGGGCGAGAAATTCCATGAAAGCTATCGAAAAATCCAACTCGATACCAGTCAATTCCAAACCGATATGCAACTCGTACGTACCCCTCTTCACATCGGTCTCATTATCCTGATGCGTTTGACGTTCTGTAGACTGTTCAAACTCCCGTGTCCCAAGCCTGCGGTACCGCTGCTTGCAACTGTTCTTCGTAAGCCATAATCTAAATTACAATCGACGTTGGGGTGGGTGACTCACATGATATTTTTTAAATGTAGCTGCACCTGCCAGGGCGCCCAGTGTAACTGCACCCAGTGAAAGCATTAAGCATGGTCAATATGGAATTTCAGGCGCTAGGGTAGTAGGGCGGGTTTTCATGTGTATTCAACGTTTAAATTTGCTTGTGCTACTAGCGTTATCTATTGTTGATTTCCTACGACCTTTCTTTTTTCTTCCTGCCAGTGGCTCGTGCAGTGCATCTGGCTCGAAAGCGCCAGTCTCCTTTCTCGGCCGGGAACTAAGCAGTACGACACATGCTAGAATGGTCAGCAATTTCCGATTGCTTCGGTATATGTCAGCGTCTCACCCACCTTTTAAGAAACCGATTGTTTCCTTTCCTTCGCTCCTTCCAACCATGACTCTCACATTGACTTTAAACAATGGAATATCCATACCTATGATAGGTATGCCCAATTCTCTTATCATGTGTCGTATCTCAGTTTCACCTGGCTGGTAGGGCATGGCGCGGGGACCGACCGTTCGTAACCTGGCTTTGAACAGAAGGCTAGGAGATGGCTGGCGACTGTGATACAGGTATGTTCTGTACTTGAAACCACAATTTTCAAAGATTGATATGTACCTAATTTACCAGGCGGGATACAGGCATATTGATACCGCGGAAGTTTATAGTGCGCCTCGAGCCATCATACCGTGTTCACTTGATCTTAACCTGGTGTTCAGGGACGGAAAAGGCTGTAGGCGATGCCGTCAGGGAATCAGGAATATCCCGTACAGAGTTCTTTATTACTACAAAGCTCTCGTACGACTGTTCATGCTCCGTCCGTCTTTGGTTTTAACAAAGCGTTAGGATGTACCACAAAGATCGAGTCGCGGAATCATTTGCTAAGAGTTTAGATGATTTTGGGATGGACTATGTCGACTTGGTGAGTGAATATAACTGCGCCATCTATTCATGGTAGTGACAGTTCTATTAGTACCTCATGCACGCGCCACAAACGGTTCCGTATGAAGGTTCGTTTTCTCGCTTTTCTCTCTTGATTGCTATCTTACAATTGTGACCAGAGGGAAATCCATTCCCACTGAACCCAGACGGAACACTTAAAACATTGTCCTCGCCAACCTTTCAGGAGGCTTATACCGAAATGGAGAAGATACTCCTGTCAGGCAGGGCGAAAGCAATTGGTGTAAGCAATTTTTCTATCAAGACGTGAGCGTTATGCGATCGTGTTTAATATTCACCGCTGACGCTGTTCTACAGACTGGACGAGCTTTTGGCCACAGCTACTATTGTTCCTGCCGTCAATCAAGTAGAGTAAGTTATGTTTTTCATGTTCGTGTTCGTACTATCGCGTTAATGATGTGCAACAAGGATGCATCCGTTTCTTGCCCAAAATGATCTCCTTGAGTATCACAGAAAGAAGGGTATTGCAACCGAGGCATATTCTCCGGGAGGTAAGGTCCATCTCTCGCCTATGGAATTCATTTGCCCCAATTACCTCCAGGACATGGAATTCTCATACGTGAAGAACCATCGCTAAAATCTCTCGCCCTCAAATACGGCGTGTCAACGACGCAAATAATTCTTGCATGGCACATCTCCCGAGGCGTCATCGTTCTACCCAAGAGCGAGAATCCGCAGAGGCAGAAAGAGAATTTGAGCGTAAGGTTTATTTATGAGTCCCTTACGCTCTTGATACTGAGTGGTATACACTAGCTTCCGAATCTTGATAAAGAGGATATTGAGATTATTGATCAACTGGATCGCGGGGAGAGGCTGATTGCGAAGCTCGATGGGAAGGGTACATGGGCTGGATGGACAAAAGAGCAGTTGGGATGGTAGAAGACGGCAGATATATTTGAGGTGGGGATGAAGAAAATACTACGGATTCCAGCCGCGAAAAATCATCTGTGTCTACAACCCAAACAATATTTCCAAATTCAAACGACAGGCCGAAGTGTAGTGTCGTCGAGGTCGCCTGTAAGGATTGCCAGGATGTGTAAAAGTTCATAGTGCTTGACATCGACTCTGAGAATGCAGTACGATATCCTTCATATGTATTTGATATCTGCGTTCTTGGACTCACATTCATCGTTTCGTCCTCGACGTGAATATCTGAATGTTATCTGTGTCGACACTGAAGCATGGCATCGACTAGGGGCAGCTTCTGTATACGCCCGACTGGATTCTGTTGCAGGTACTGATGTCAACACAAATACTTACCGACTTTATCTTGATACTTAGAGCTATTGGCGGTATGGTGATCAAATTCCTTCCCGAAGGCATTGCCATTCTTCCATCGTCATTACACTACTCGAGCAAGTCAAAGGCGAACGTATAAGACTCTACGAAGTGTCCGTTGTGACAAAAGTCATAAGGCAGTTGGGCGCAGATCCCAAATATCTCTGGCTCCTGCGACGGAAGACCGATATCGTCGATTGCGACCAACACGTCTCCCTCCACTTCTGGCCCATAAAGGACCCTCCTACCAATTACTGCTTGAACCGTGTTTCCTACGTGCTGGGGTTTGCCGTTCATGTCCACGAAATCGAGTCTGTAAAAACGTGTTGAGACCAAGCCTGCTTGCGAGACTTTAGGGTCCCATACACGTATTTTCAGGTCTGGCGTGAAGGGGAAAAGCTTGTATAGTGAAGTTTCCGATGGTAATGGAGGTTTCTGCAATTGTTGTAAGTATCGTGTGTCGCTTAATGCCCAGGAGGAGACCACTGTACCCTAGCAAGGACTGAGAAGTAGTCCGTCGGACCTATATCTACGCCGGAGTACAGACGCGCAATGGCTGGAGCAAAACGTTGCGCCATCGCGGCGGGGTCATTGGGACGAAATGCGTGGTTAAGCAAACGATTTTGGGCGTCCCGATATTCCAGGATCACTCCTCCACCGGGATAGTCATTGGTCGAGGGCTGTTGAACCACACGAGGTGGCTTTCGACGAATGAAACGAAGGGGCACTCTGCATGAGGGCGAGGAGCGTTTCGGATGCGAAGTAGTTGGGTGTCCTTGCAGATTCATCGCGGCTGGGGTGATGTCCATTTCGTGCACTGGCCTGGTCCTTAAATACGGTAGTACCCCATGGTTACGTTACTTCTTATTCTCCGACTGATATACGATGCTTCTTTTGTTCGGTCATCACAGCCTTTATCTGCATGGCAGGAAATCTCATAAAACAAACAAACTTGCGAGATAGTCCAAAATGTTTGTCATTTTGCCGCGACCAACGGAGTATTGGAGCATGATTTTCTGTCGGCAATTGGTTTACATGTTTGAAAGATATTTTGCTGTGTACTTATAGGTACTTATTCGCGTGTCACTGTCAGCTAGAGAAATTGTCACCTGACCGTGACGGTAGCGCCTTGTTTGCTCTTGTTGATGTGCTCTGAATGCTCTTGCGTTCTTACCACCTCCACCCCACGCTTGGTCTGTCCGCCTTACTCTCGTGCTTTCTCCCCGCTCCTAATTACTTGAAGATTTATTTTCACGTTGTGGAAATGAACTTGTTGAAAGACGCCGTGACCTTGTTGACCATTGTTTTGGAGGTTTAGTCGCAGCAGGCGTTAGGGTCTCATCATCGAAGGAATTGTGATGTTTAGCGGAGGGAAAATCCTATATGTTAAAGTGAGTTCGAAGCTGTCGTACTATTATTACAAAGCATTGTTCAAGCCACTAACCTAATGCAGCAAGGCTCAGTCATAATGACATTGGTCCGACTTCACGGCGTACGCTGCCAAAATCATCATCATGCCTTGCTTTCGGCATGTATCAATACTCAAATCGGGGATCCGACGCTAGGCTGCGACTCCAAAAGTAGGCGTTATCACCATCAGAAATTCGGCCGAATTTGACATTTGTTGGCACAGGGTTCGATATATAACGTTATTTTGCGGTTCTATTTCCTTCCACGTCGACCAACAAGAATGAACTGGCGCATAGCTGCTCTGGTGCTTCTTCACTCCACAACTTGGAATGTGCCAGTGCTCGCAGTTCAAAAAGATGGCTTAACTATACCCAGTTCCGCAGCAGCATCTAGGGACGCGGTGAGGGATATCTTTGTCAAGAGTTATGATGCGTACAAGTACATGGCCCTCCATTTGCCTAGCCTTGTTTCTGACTCTTATCAGGCAATATGCTTGGGGCCACGATGATCTGATGCCGGAGAGTAAATCGTTCTATGATGGGAGAAATGGTTGGGGTTCATCTATTGTCGACGCCTTGGGAACTATGGTGAGGTGCCGCAGCACCCTTACGCGACGTTCCGCTAATGCAATTTGTTGGGATAGTATCTCATGGGACTAGAGGTACGGAGGTACCACGTACTACTGTCTCGTCCTTATACTACTCCAGGACCTCCTCGACGAGGCCATAGAATATATCGGCACAGTCGATTTCAGCGTGTCAAAGACATCATCACATGTTAGGTTCGTCTTATCTCCGTCCGACTTTAGCGCATTCAGCATCATCTTATAGAGCCGTACAGCGTGTTCGAGACCACGATTCGGTATCTAGGCGGATTGCTCAGTGTATACGAACTCCGAGGCAATAAGGATAATATTCTTCTCCAAAAGGCACAGGAGATCGCCGATAAACTTGCTTTTGCGTGGGTCGGGGTAAGCTTCCCTTTCCTATGTTCAGAGTCTTGTACTCATATGATTGCAGGATAATGATCTCCCGTTCGGATGGATAGACTTTTCGAATGACAAACCAGATATTGCCACAGTGAATCCACTAGCAGTTTCTCTCTGTTCTCGTTTAATCTGTTGATTTACAGTCAAACATTGCAGAGGCTGGGACGGTAGACTAACTCTGATCACATCGTTTTAACGATATTGATCATCCTTGCAGCTGATTATGGAATGGGCTACTCTTAGCAAACATACCGGGAACAGCACTTATCAAGAACTCGCGGAAAAAGCCTTCAGGCACATAGCAACCTTGGTAGGTTCCAATACACCTGTCTGAGTTCGCATGTTTTACTGTTGCTAGGGGTCTCCTCTACCGGGTAAGGAGTCCGTATATAGGACCCACATACGCGTTTTCACGAGTAACTTGCACAGGTCTTGCTGCTCAGAGCATTAATCCTTCAACTGGAAATTTTGTTGGTGGTTATGTTGTGAGTTCAGTTCCTGCGTTGGTCGTAGAAAATATCCTAACAAGTTACTAAAGGCATGGGGCGGCGGGTCGGACAGCTACTTCGAGTATCTGCTCAAGTATCCGGTGCTTGTCGGTCTCGATGATCCTTTGTATATCGATACGTGGAGGACGGCCGTTGATTCTTCGATCAAGTATCTTCTAAGGGTGCGCGGATTGTGAATCGTTATTATTTATCGTGTTGTTAATGACGTTCGTAGCATTCGACGGTTGGCGATTACCTCTACACGAGTGAATTTGATGCAAACTCGCCGGAAGGGAAACAGTACCGCTATATCAGCTCACATCTTACCTGTTTCCACGCTGGTAATTGGCTCTATGGTACATTTCCCCTTCCTTGCCTTGTTAGATCGCTAATGTTCGTCCCAAGGTGGCACTCTACTCGGTAATGACACCATTGTCGCCATGGCTCTGGGTCTGATGGAGGGATGTTGGAACAGTTATGCAGGAACTGCGTAGGTGTCCCGCCTCTATTTAACGACTGCAGTCTGACTCCTTTCCCTTAGTACAGGAATTGGTCCCGAATCCTTCGCGTATATGGCCTCGGATGGGAACTATACGGGTGCCACTACTCCTTCGGCGGACCAGCTTACATTCTATGAGGAGCATGGGTACTACATCACCTCATCGTACTATATCCTCCGACCAGAGGTCCTCGAGTCGAATTTTTATGCGTAGGCGCATCACAGGCGATACCTAAGTACCTTGATCGGGCGACAAGTGCAGTGAATAGCTTCAAAAAGTTCCTACCAGGTGCTGTTGTGTTCGATGGCATCTACGATGTAAACAATGTCACCTCCGCGAAGGTTGATGACATGGAGAGTTTCTGGTTCGCAGAGGTGTTGAAATATCTGTAGGCTTCTTAAAGCTTCCTGACCGCTTGGATAAGGACTGATCGGAGTTGCAGGTACCTGACTTTTGACGACCCGGAGAACATCAACATCGATGACTGTAAGTTAATAATACAAGCTCCAAGGCTCATCTTCTAACTCTCGGTCTGAAAAGATATCTTTAATACTGAGGCTCACCCTCTAAAAGCCTCAGAGCCGCTCGCGCAGTATGGAAGTGGTGCACTGGTGCCCAATAAACCTTTCAAGACTGAGAGCGGTCCCCCGGCGGCTGTCAGCCCGACCTCGTATGATCATTCAAGTAGTCGGGAAGAAATTTTGGTCGTACAAGAGTATTAATTTGTGTGGATTTGTTTCCCTTAATGCCCACTTTAAACCGATTGGAGATAGTTAATCTCGGCTACGCACCGGTTATCGAAGCCGTCGGATCGATGGCGTCCCTATCGATCTGACACGTTCGAGAAACACACTCTCCCAAACTGCCACGTCGTTGAGGTGCCATTAAGATTCCTCAAGAAACGCCAAATATACAGAAATAGCGCAGGTGAGCGGTCACTGTACTTCTCAAGAACGTATCGACTGACTTCTTCGCCAGCAACATGATCGCCAGCTCCGTCTCCTGGTCGCTCTCAATATCACGAAACGACCATGGTCCACTGCCAGAAATCTTTTGCCAATAGATGACTACATAATCGAGGAAGAATCAAGCAAGACGCAACTTATTCTTGAACTGGATCTCTCGATGCCTCATCCGTGATGCTGATGATTACAGTGACAGTGTGTCAGTGGCTGCCTCGCTCACAGCCGGATCCTGTACCCTCTACATCGCAACGAGTCGTGGCGTGGCCGACCAAGTAGACCATGAGTATTCGGAACGCTTCCTCAATGTTTGCCGTGAGGTATTAGCGGCTCAGAGCAGCATGTTGGCCCCGGGAAAACACGTCGAGGTCTATGAAGATGCGAAGAAGATCATGGAATGCGTAGTCGACCGTGTTCGGAGGCGTTTTCTGAAGAAAGTTGCCATACTCAGAAGAGAATTCCTCGCTGCGGGGGGGTTCGAGAAGTTAGATAGCCTTCTTCAGGCCTGGCTCGCTTGGCGCACAGCGATAAATAAGGGCGGAGAAAGATCTATTGACATGACCACTTTCGCTCGCGCCTATACCGAAGGGGACATCCATGCGATGTTCAGAAAGACCTTCGAGATTATCGTCGATGAAACCTTTGTTATGCAATCGCGAGAAGCGCGGCTAAAGTACTTCGTGGGCATGACCAGCCTCTGCCGCGCCTTTTTCAAATCCAGCTTTTTCAGAGACGGCTGCCGTCGTGACTTCCCTGAAGCCAAGGAGACCTTCTTTCGCGAGATCGCTCGGCGTCTTTGGAGGGTACAGATATATTACTCTGGAGCGCTCATCTTCGCTGATATGTAGATGAAGCATTGCCGGGCTACGTTCAAATCGAACTCGCCGTCGTTCTCTAGCGTATGGATAGGAAATACCATACCGAAAATGGTTACTTTTCCTGCTAGCATTCGGGTGACCATCGTTGACGTCTTGCGGCGGAGAGAGGCCTGAATTCTCAGAGAAGGACATTGATCTGTGGATAAAACGCCAGAAATCGTTGGCGTTTATTGACTCCGCTTGAACTGAAGGTAGACCTCGAATACTTCACCTACATCCCGAGGTCGATATGATAAATTTCCTTCACTGGTCTGGTATTCCAGTCGTTGAGAATGCGGTTGGATCGAGCAAGCGGATGTGTGACGTCTGCGTCTGCTACAAAAGAGTCTACGAAGAGATGTCGCAATGTCCAGTCAGTTTGGCGTTCACGCCTCGGTGTTCGAGAGCGGAGAAGGTTCACTTCGAAAACGATTGGATGCTTCCCGATCCTTCAGTAGGGCGCGTTTTCTCCAAAGACATAGTTGATGCTGTCGCAAACAGGGTCGTCGGCAAGTTTTCGGTGTTTGCTGAGGGTCGTTTCTCGAGACTCTTTTTTGATCTTCGTCATCCAGGCTTAATAGATGTGTAGTAGGTGGTGCTTATTCCCAACCCGTTTCTTTTGCCCTGCTCAAAGATGGACATTGGCTTTCTAGATAGTATTGTTATAATACATATCGTGAGAGGTTCACTACCTTGAATTCGAGCCGAAGAACTAACAAAAGGAGCGAGATGCAAGTACTACATAGAACCGAAAGGACGTAATAACGCCCCAGAACGCGCTCCCAGTTTTGAGCCTCGACTTACGATATCCCTTATATCTCGTCAAGTTCTACTTCAATTTCAGCTCGTATCTAGGGTCAATAACGATTGTAGCATCAAATAAATCAATTGCAGCCGTCGAAAACTATTCATACTCTCCCACGCCCTACAAGACGGACTAAGTCAGCCCGAACTCACTAAAATACTAAACTGGCACTCACTGGACCGAAATGCTCTCCGTCACCAAGAACAAGATACGGGCATGCATCGTTATCACAGCCCTCAAACGGCTTATTGTTTCCCGGCTGTTATCATCATCAGTACAAGGGCCAAACATAGGGAACATGCAAGGAATTACCCAGGATATGTTAACGTCGTACCATTGCACTGCGAAGAACTGGATGATCGCTGAAATTGCAATAGCACTGCAGGTTTTTAAGGTGTGAGCTTAGACCGATATTCAGAATAGCGACCGATCATACCAAGTAAATGCCGAGGCTAGGACGCTACACGCAAAGATTGAAGTCAGCTACAAGTCGACGACTCTCGGTTACGGGAGGACTTACTAGTTGTATTTGGACCACCAGCCGAGATACCTCTTCTTGATGAACACATTGAATATATACGCAATGGGAATTGCAGGCCAGATGTTAGTCAAATTATACGGGGCCCTAAATCAAGGTGAACTGAATCAGCGTCAGAACCAATTTCATGAATCCTACGTACCAAATGAGAGAACCAAGCAAGAACACGGGTAGGTGGAAGTACTTCAAGATCTTCATTCTGTCCCGGAAGCAAAAGACTATGACCGGTAACGCGAGTCCGATCAAGAAACACCAAAGCAACGGGCTGTATATTGCCCCTCGGCCAAACATCCTCGAAGGGCCCAACGTACCCCACAAAACCGAGGCAGTGAAGAATGTATTCTCGCCAGGGCAGGTGAACCTATCCTGCTGCTCCGGGGCGCAAACATTTGGGATTTGTGTCAACTGGAAGTTGAGCACACCCACGCAGACGAAGGTTGATACGAAGGTCGCAACAAGCTGTGCCCAGAATGTCACCCGTGGAGGAATATGCGTGTAATGAGCCAGTTTCAGATCCTGAGCGAAGTTTAGCGTTTGAGAAGTGGTGACAAAGCCATATGACTTGAAGAAGTTCAACGCGTTTGCGTTTCCTGGGAACCATAGTCCTCCGAAAAACTCAGCAAGGACGTTTAGGGTTATCTCTGCGTTGGTGATTGAGCGGATGATACCGACGGGGACGCAGAAAACGAGCTGGAGGAATTTGAGCAACGAGTTTTTGCATCGTATCGCAAGGAAGAGCTTACAGCAAGGAGGATACCGTATAACACCACTGCGGGTGTGGTAGATGTCGGATAAGCACCGACTCCAGCTGCCCCAAGAGCGATAGAGAAAACCAGCACACTATTGCACGACATTATCAGTCCTGCGTCGCCTATACAAGAAATGATGCTTACAGTGCGTACTGCCACTCTGGAACCTCTTGATAAGCGCTCATAAGCCTGCTATGCACATCGAACTTGTTATCTCCTATCGGTTTTCGCCCCATCAGATTCTTAAATCCCGAGGGCAATTTCCCGTCGGTGATACAACGCCGTATGCGAGATCGTTGCAGCATATGTAGCGACTGAAAAGATAGATATGAGTATACCGTTCAAATCTCTGGCACGGAACGCACAGAAGAATCCATAAAGCAGAATCATCGACGCGGAGAGGTATGCGGGAGAATAAGCCCTGTATGCCTCCGCGTCAAATAGCGCCTCAGCATTCACGGCCATCGAGACGTTATATCTCGCCCCCGTGTTATCAAACACGCCATTGGAGTTGATCGGTAGATCTACTTGAATGTCAGCACGAACATCTCCGATTTACATATGTAGCGCCTACATCCGGTGTACCACACATTATTGACCCAAAGAGCTGCTATCTGCACAAGTCAAGATCAGGACGATACATGAAGTGATGGCCGACGTACAACAGGCATGGTAATGAGGGCTCCCGCAATATAGTTGGCCATAGTAAAGAAGGGATTTATAAGAGGATCCCCGCCGACAGTGAGCACGTTGTAGTCGAAAGTGGAGATAGGGTTCAAACCGAGGCCAGTGATTCCACCTACATCGTCGTTAGACCAAAAGCTTATGATGACCAGCAACAAGGACTCACCCGTAATACCAGCAAGCAGGGCATTCTTCGGTGAAAACCATGTAATCCAGTTAAAGTAGGATAACGCTTGAAATATGAAGCTAGTGCGAGCATGTCAATTTTTTGAAATAGTCGGGACGGAGGGCGAGCGTACTTCGGAAACCCTAGCAATAGAGGATCGATTAGAGAACGGACACAATCATTTGCAGTTCGACTCACAAAAGTACACGAACATGCCGCCGAACGCGTATAGGAAGAACGTCATCTTCGGAAGGGCTTCAGTGAAAACGTGTATGAATTAAAGATGTTGTACTGACCCGGGTGATACGCCATCCATTCGCCACTGCGTTTCTCTCTGAATGAAATGCTCGCTACGATACCAAAGGCTCAGGCGTGATTGTGAAAAAGAGCGGTACAACTTACATTCAACGCAATGGTAGCCAGATTACTAGGCCATATCGCGTACGAGGGGTAGACAAGGAAACGTCGTGTTATCCCAGCCAAACCGTACCCTGCCGCAGTTGGTAATCACCTCAACAAGAAAAACAACTACTCACCAATGAAGTTAGTCGACAGCGAAACTAAGCACAATTGAGACATTCTCGCGATGGGTATTTAGATCAACGACTCACTGAGAATTTGGTATCCGAAGTTCTTGGCCCATGGCTGTGACAAAGCATTACACCTTTACCTCACGCAGCGTAAGAAGACGAACCAGATTGAAGAATCTCTCAATGGACTGAACCCATATGATGCCGGTAGTGTACCTATTCGACGGGCAATTAGCATTAACATTGCATGGTCTGCGGATTACTCACGGAAGGTTAAATCCCACATTCGCTATGATGGTGATCACCATGTGCTCCTTCATGTTGAACTTGCCCCTGGAAATAGGCAACATCAGCACTCCAAACCTTAATACATGGTCATGCTCACGGGTTCATAGTCCACTCATATCCGAACGTCCGAAACTTGTTTGTCGGAAGAACGCGCTCAAAGAGCTTCCCAGCCGGATACGCTCTAGAAGACGAACGAAACGGGTCAGAACAACCAAGCAATGCCTCGGAAGAGCATACGAACAAGAGCTGCGCCACATTAGCCTCGACACTTATGCCAGGCTGCCTGATCGAGAAGAATTGGTTTATGAACGCGCCGATAACCACGTAGACCAAGCCGATAAGCCCAGCACGGAAAGTCATCGAGGGGAGCATGGGATCATCGTGATTGTCGACGACCGCGCGGACCTCGGCGTAGGGTGAGTTCTGTGAGATGGGAGCCTGTAAAGAAGAGGAAACGAAGTGCAGCTCAATGTTACTCACGATTGTTATCATCGCGGCTTCAATCTTGACTTCTTCGTAAATCTGTCTATACGCTGTCGCATCGGTCTTGATCGCGTCGTCGTAGAGGTATTGCCTAGGATTTTGAGAGGACGTGAGGTCTAGCATAAGAGCGTTCGAATACATGACCGACCGGATAAGCATCAGGGCTCTGGCAGGGAAGTTCTGAAGCACCGTGAATAAGGGGTTCAAGAGACTCGTCAAAGGTTTACCGGATCCTTGTCGTGCTGCATGATTTGTTAGAAGGAGTGCTTTGCACATGGAGAAGGTCGTACTGTGTCAATAATGTGCAAGAGACATTCTTGAAGTTCCTCAGGAGACATGGCTTCTGCAACCGCTGCAGTTTCTTCGACGTCTGCCGGTAGAGCCAGGATATCCAGAGCGGTAGCATCCTAAAACGAATGCCCGATATCAATACAAGACATAAAAAGGTGTAAACGACGCACAGGATCGACGAAGGCATGTTTATCGTCCAAAAAGTTACGCTCAATCGCATCCTTGTCGTCGAGGTGCTTGTTCTCCGGGTCTGAGTCCATGGGAGGAGGAAGAAGCAAGGGAAGCTTGACTAGTCAGCGGAGACGAATGCCTATTTGTACGGTGAAAAGAATCCAGAGCTATCTATGGACCAAGCCATCAAAATCAGTTGTAGATGTCCTTTCATTAAGAACAGTGCTGACTCACTCGGGGACATGTATACAGGATGATGCGACGTCGTTACGCCACCCAGAATGATCCGCTGAATGTTGGCGGTCTAAACCGACGACGGGTTAGTCAATAGAAGAGGCGAATAGAAGACTAGTACGATTCACAGGCATGCTGTTGGTGCTAATAAGGAAGAAGAAAAAAAGTACACAAACGTACGGAATCCACATTACACCCGCAGCTACTCCGAAGATCGTAAAGCGCTGATCAAGTGAAGTCCGTCCTATGATGCTTCGTTTTCTTATCGATTGAGTGCACAACACCCGTGCAGAGATTCGCACCCCTTCTCTGTTCGGACTGAAAGAGGTGAAGAACAAGCGATGCTCTCCCGAACATTGTTTTGGACCTACAGCACCAAACAGTGCCCTGTCTGCCTCAATTCAGCAAGTGGTAGAGACCACGCCGCAAAGCACTTAAACACGAGCGTGACGGGTAAGGGACTAGTGGGTCCGGACAACGTTATGCATCTCCGGCCCCGCGTTTCTCCCGCACTTCACTTGGTGAGTATTTACACAAGTTGCACTCGTCCTGCAAACATAGTCAGTTTCGATTCCTGGAAGTGAGACGGATCTTCCACACCTGATCAGCAAACGCAAGCGCATGCCGTCTTCAAGCCCAGGCGAGAGAAGCTGACATCGTTGACTTGGCAAGATCGACATCCATCGCAACAAATGTGACGAGAGTGGCGGTTTCGAAAAATGATATGAAACAGGTCCCATTGTTGGATCAAACGAAGTCCACTGTTGATCACGCGAAGGCTGTCTTCAGTGATCCTAACGGAAGCGTCGACAGGTCATTGGATCTTCGGACGAGGGTCATTGGTACTGTCTGAATTTTATAAGCACAGTTACTGTTATAATTCCTCTAAGTAGTGAAGGCCTGCTGGATTACCTCATGGCATTGAAGTTATCTACACCGCTTGTAACGATGTAAGAGGATATAACAGTCGCATTGACATCCATTTATGCATCTATACATGAACATATACTACATGGAAATCAGCAGGGCACGGCGTCGTTTAGATGGCAATAACAGACCTTTATTTGGGATATCAGTGGGCCCTGTCCGTCGCAGGCTCTCTAGGGAAAAGAATAAGTAATGGTTGCGTAGACCGGATAGATCGCCTCACTTGTCATATACTTCTGGCAACCGCATATATGCGGCAGTGGTAGTCTTGTCCACAGATCTGACGACGATTACTGATGAAGCCCACAATCCGTCTTGGCATCGCGTCAAATACATATCACTCCACAAACTAGGAACGCAACAGCTCGTACCTGGGCAGAGTTCAGCGCGCTAGAGGCAGTGCAAATGATTCGCCTACACGTCCTTTCGTCGCTACCCTCGCTTCGGAATACTCGATAGATAACGACGATCCGTAGACAAAGTGAAGGCAAAGGTCTTCCTATAGTCCACAGGGGTTGGATGTATGCGTTAAATTACCCTCTCTGAATCCGTCCAAAGCAGATGCTACCCTCCAAATCAATGAACGATTCCGTGAGATGATTGTATATGTACTGCTCCCTTCCAAGACACCCCCTCAGTTGGACCCAATGCCTAAAACGACCACAAGGCATTCATTATCGTTTGCTGCGAGACTTTCAGAACGGCAATTGACAAGTGTTGATCTGGACAGGGCTGTATTCACCTCAGTTCCAGACCGCCAATGCAAATTCGACCGTCACAAGCAGCATGAGTCCTGCATAGCTCCGATATGGACGCGGAAAATAAAGCGGCAAAGAACATGATAGGTAAGAAGTCAAGGATGAAAATCACAGGTCGGCAGCCACCATTATCAATAGCTGTCAACAACGCGTCCGCGATGACGGCTTCTCGGCACGCTTGTCATTCGAGTCCAGGTCACGGAATTACTACTTTCCCTGTCGTTTCAGGTCGTCTCCCAGTTGCAAGATCTCTGGAGGATGCTAATGACCTTACCTGCAAGAATATACGACAATAAATTCCTACTACCGGAAGTACTCCTTGAGTACTCCATCATTGGGCTGTTCATCAATAAGGGCAAGATAAGGGTGCGTTGCACTAGTTACGGTCCAGTCTGTCCCATGTCTATCTAGAACCTCTTACTAACTTATTGTAACAATTTTTCATGGCTGAATATGGCCTTGCTGCTCTCTGTCGATGATAAAATGTTTTAAAATCATAGAGGCTATCAAGAATCCTCGTCTTAGGTTTTTAATCTTCTGTTTTCTTGTTTCTTGCTACCAGTTGGTTACTAGTTCTCCCACTAATATTTTATTCTACAATCTATGTCAGTAGAGTATGAATCTCTCCTGATTATTATACCTGATAGAAGGATTAGATAAAATTATTTCTTCCGTCCCTGAGCAAGAGCCATCGACCATTCTTGTCCATAGTTCAGTTCTTCGTCAAATGGCCAACATATGACTATGATGTTCCGTTGAAAATCGTCCCTTCAGCCCCATATCCAGGTTTTCTCAAATACCATTTCCCCTGTTGAGAAAACAAGTGCCCGGCCTGAGTGCCGGTGCCGAACAGGAATTTCCAGCTTCCACTTGCAATTGCTACCACCACCAGCAGTCTGCTAGCTTTTCTCGATTTATCGTCACCATGTGTGTTTACCTTTCGTAACGACAAGGTAGATGCTTCATTCCATTGTGGGGACTTCATCGAAGAATATTTGGATGCAATCTAAGCGACTTTGCGCTTTCAGTGCTCCATTGCTACTCGACCGCTCAGCGCTCATCAGGCATCTGTAAGGACTTTTATTACACTGTTTCTTTCGAATTTCCTTACATTGCCTTCGGCAGCCTCTCTCATCTCGACGAAAAGGGGGTCCTTATTGTTAAGCTGCCGCGCTCATAAAAATTTCGGCCCTTTCGATCCTTGTGCAACAGATCCTTGGTTCCCTGAGGTTTGAAGAGCGTATATTGCGCAGTCTTCGGTATCGAACTACCCTGGTGTTCTCCTTTGTAGGCGGTCGCTACCGACATTACCTACCGCCGTGCTCTGATTGGCTCCTCGGGAAATTTTGATGCTATTTCCCGGAGGCGAATTGTCTTGGCAGGTCTTGGCATACCCCGAACTAATTCGTCGTCCTCCTCGCAAATCTGATCGCAGTCAATCGCAGTTTATGACGCTGACAATGTGATTTTCAGAATGTTGATCACATTGACAGTGAGACTTTTGCACCGCACATCCCAGCAGGCTCTGACCTAGAAAGTTTTGTACAACATTTGTCATGTAAACACTGTCCTCTCATTGTCTCCTTAACTCTTCTCAAGCATAATTCCCGCAGAAGTTCTATGTCCACCTTCTTACTTCCAAAGTATTCCCGCGGATGATTCTCGCGATGGCTCGTTCAGACTTATCCGAATAAACGGACTTTTACTGCGGTCGCTCCCTAACGATCGCTCCCAATCAGCAACCGCGTAATATTCCGATGACGCCAATATCCAAAGCAGAAATTCCTGGTACAATCGCCTGAAATCAAGTCTCACTCATTGGTTCAGCGTTACCGCCTCACCGCATGCTTCACGTAAAAATGGGCGGAAGAAAAATCGTCACGGAACGCTGCGCTTACTACCACTGCGCATCGCTGGGGGTATATATACTAGCGTGTTTTTGTGAGTAGCTCCAGTACTATCTTTTTCTCTCATTTTCACTGCAACAACATGGTCCAGTTCTCCGCTATCACCTCCTTCGTTCTTCTCGCTGCGAGTCTGACGATCGCGCACCCTACCGGTCATATGAGCCAGGGTGAGCTCACCCGCCGTGCCGAGTTCCAAAAAGCTACGCGTCGTTCTCTCGGGCAATGCCAGGACCAGTTGAAGCGTCGCGGTCACCTCGAGAGGTCCGCTGCACGCCGCGCGACTCTCGCTAACGACCTCCGTAAGAAAAGAGGACTTGCAGCTCGTACGTTTCTCCCCTTCCCTCTCACTGCCCGTCTTGATATACTCTCGTCCCTAGGTACTCCTTACAAGCGCGCCCTTACTATGGATGAAGTCCTGGCTACGAGCCACGAATCGAACACGACTGGTCTTACCGTCGACTCTGATCCATTCGACGGAAACGCGTCTTGCATCCTTGCACCTGAGGTCACCCAGGGCCCTTACTACGTCGACGGTGAATATGTCCGATCTGATATCACCGATGACCAAGAGGGCGTCTACACCTACGTTGACGTGGAACTCATTGATGTATCAACCTGCGAGCCGGTCTCGGATGTTTACATCGATTTCTGGCACTGCAATGCGACAGGCGTCTACGCTGGTGTAGTCGCTTCCGGGAATGGTGATTCCTCCGATGCTACCAATGTGGTGAGTTTTCTCGAGTTCCTTAACTCCGTGATTTAATAAATAATAATGGATCCCCTTCAGAACAAGACTTTCCTTCGTGGCATCCAACCCACCAACGAGGAGGGTTATGCCCAATTCGAGACAATCTTCCCTGGTATGTCCTCTGCTGTTCCTGCCTTGCCTGCTCCTAACCATCATTCCTCAGGCCACTACACCTCGCGAGCTACCCACATCCACATCATTGCTCATGGCAACGGAACCGTCTTCGACAACGGCACTTTCAAGGCCGAATCCAGTGACCATCACGTTGGTAAGTCCGGTCTCTACGACATTACATACAACAAATTTAACGCCCGTTTCCAGGCCAATTCTTCTTCGACCAAGACCTCATCACCGTCGTCGAAGCTACCTCTCCCTACACCTCCAACACCCAGGAACTCACCACCAATGCTAACGATTCCATCATGGCCCAAGAAGTTGAGGATGAGACAGATGGCATCGATCCCGTTCTGGAGTATGTTTACCTCGGTGATGACGTTTCGGATGGCCTTCTCGCGTGAGTGTCTACTATTGTATAGCCGTGACTCCTTAGTTGATGTTTATCCTTCCAGTTGGGGTTCCATGGCCATTGATCTCTCCTCGAGCTACACGATTTCCTCTGCCGCCACTTTGACCGAGGATGGTGGTGTGATGTCTGAGAGCAGTGGAGGCATGGGTGGAGGTCCGGACAGCGGCAATGGAACCGCTCCTGGGAACGGCACTACCACGGCCTAAGTGGGCAGAGTTCTTAGAATATATACCTCGTAATTTTCTATGTTGATCCGGAAGTCATCAAAATTAATTATGTCCTTGCTTTGAGCTTTGAGTATAGGTGTAAATGCTGGTCAAGGAAGATGGTTCATTGCGAATCGTGTGAACCGGTGCCAGTAATGGAGGTGTGATCAACGAACTGTGATATATCGTGGAGATCCAGGTCCTTCAACTGATGAACCTTATGGTGCTACATTTTTAAAAACTTTCCATTGTTCCTGCATGCAGATTAACAGGCATGACGAAACGAGTGCGAATGTAAATGAGGATCGATCCTTGAATGTTATTAATGGGTACATAGACCGAAAAGAAGATCCAACTGGTAATGCAACATCATCAATACGCCATAGATCCCGACGCCGGCATTACCTGAAAGCCACTCATCAAACACGTCTTTCTTCGCTCTCCTCTTCTTGGCCAAGTTCCGTCCTTCCGTATCTTCTGTATCTCCGACCTGACCCACTCGTCACTGGTTTCAGATGAGGAATCGCACTGCACACGCAGCGCTATTTCGAGCCTATCTTGAGCACTGTCGAACTCGTTGACGGCCTTTTGCAGTTCCGAACCAACGGAATGACGAGAAATCGTCACTTTGACGAAAGCAGCTACGGAACTTCTGTTTAGCCCTCGCCGTCTATACAACGCGTGGAGACGTACCAACTTTCCCACGATTACCGAAGGACTTTTGGATCTTGTATAACAATCCTAGTACGGCGCCGTAGACGTCAGCTATGTGCTGGATAACAATTGATGTCAGTGGAATCGTGACGATATCTACAAGGGTAAAATACGAACGAATCCCATGTCCTGTGGTGTATGCGATGGATAGTCGTCGTAGAAGTAAAGTCGACGTAACATATGTTCAAGTGCACTGGATACAGGCGTAAACAATGAGGGCTCATGAATAATGTCCTATTTGTATTGTTATCGTGGAATAATATCTTTGCATCAAGAGGAATGACTTACCGTCAAGATATGCTTGATACAACCCCATATCATTGGAATCTCCGACAAAGCAGATGCCCTCCCGGTAGCTTCAATAACGCGTAAAAAGGACTCCATGGGATCGATTATAGTACTCGCCGCGTTGGTACCCTGAAAGTGTGAACGAATGTCTCCAGGATTCGAAGGAGACAACGTCGGTTTGTGCGTCCTAAAACGGAGAATATAATCTTCGAAAGCGGTATGGAGCGTCTGACTAGACATGGATAAATACGAAGAGCAGCTGCTAACAGCTTCGAGACCTATATAGTAGTAAGTAGGGGCGATGCTTAAAATTCTCACAAAGGTTAACAGACGCCTTCGGATCACCTCCCGACACTACATGAGCGTGCAACGATTGCCGCCCAGAGCATGATCCCGCGTTGAGCGTTACTTCAAAAAGTCTCTAAATATTGAATACCGGGAGGGTTATGACTCGTTCAGCGGTAAATCATAGACCGATGGGGCTATTCCGTACAATCAATGCATCGATACGGAACCCAAAAGAATTATACGTAGACATATGGCCCGCGTAATACCAACGTCAACAAGGTTATAAAACGTACTGGACTGTTCACGTTCACGGGTCAATTCTACACCGTGATTACTGTGTCCTGGCGCTTCGTTTCATATAAAACGCATCATAGGACTTCGAAAGATGGAGAACGGAAAGACTCTGGGACTTATCAGATGTAACAGCATGTGAGAATATATGTCTAGCTCGAGTTGGCTCTTTGGACCGACATTACCTCGGCGCTTAACGTATAATACGAGTCTTTGCTCCATTCCCGTGTGCGGCCCGAATTCCTTCAGCTTCCTGTCCATCTGATTTACCTATTTATCATCGCCATTCCAGGTGATGGAGTCAGATTTATTGCGCTTCAATGTTTGATCTCTGTATTGGAATATTCAGTAGCGGGCTATTCCTCGAGACTTCAAAGTAAACATACGCAATTATTTTGTGCCATGATTTATTTTGTAGGGATACAGAGGCATTACCATACGAAGCAGAATGCAGGACGCCTGCAAGCCCCGCGGTGATGGTTGTAGGTAGAGACGGAGCATCCGGTCCGCGAACGCTTTGTCATTCTCCTTCATTCCGCATTCGATCCGGCTTCTCCTACAACCGTCATCTTCTCCCCCGTGTTCATCTAGACAACATCTAGAGAAAGTTCAGTTTCGCTCACCGTGCATTCGATTACAAATTTAATTCGGCGTTTTCACTCATACGTAATGCTCTGAGCAGCCGCTTCCCTGATCTTCAATAAACAAACAAAACATGAAGCAACGTCGATGCTACTTGTTGGGGGATGCTACCAACGTATTAATTTTTTTGGTTGGCTTATCTCGTATGAAGTAAGAATCCACATATTTTAACGCAAAGAATATTTGTGACATGATATCAGATTTACGTGGTCGGCGGAAACAGCATCAGTAAATGATCTGGATCTGCTATGGGGTTGTGGCTGTCGCTCATGTTGATCATTTCATAGGAGGCATTGTCCACTTTCCAAAATGTTTCATTCGTCTATGTTGCCGTTGCACGTTTACACGACCAATCATCCATCCGTTTTTCATCATTCTTATCGGATCTTGCTGCAAGCGTGCTCTCAAAATTTCTAGGTGTTCCACATGAAAGTACTTGCTATCGGATCCCTTTGGAGTCCTTCAACATGGCTGTACACATGCAGAAATACAACTGGGTTCGGAGCCATAACTTCCACGTTGTCGCGATGCTTGTAGATACCTCGTGGGGTCTTATGGTTGATAGCAGGTAAGTGCAAACCGGCCCTGATAACAGTCGTGATTATTGCGTGCGTATTGTCTCTCTGTCTCCATTCTGCATGCTTTTCGCTGATGGTCCCTACAATTATCTCAGATTCTACCACGTGCCTTCGTCAAAACTGAGCGCTTGTTCAATTTCCACACGCTACCTGATTTCCTCGGTATCAGACCGTCTTAGTATCAAATACGGTCAATACCGCCCTCCGCAGCTAGCGTACTGTCTATGGTAACGCTGAAGTGTCAGGCTTCCACTTCTCCAAGACAGACAGTAAAATGCCAAGTCCCTTCTGAATTCGGAATCGCGTTTTCCCATCACTCTGGACCGTGTATATACACACACAATCTGTCAAAAGCAGTATACATGATGGGCAGTCGTGGGTTTTATTTTGATTAGGGTTTCGAATGCTGATGTGCCTCTGCTGTTTTCATAGGAAGAAGAGGCCGGCCCTTTTGCATGACATCGCTATTGCGTCTTTCTTTGCCAATCATCACGAAACGACTTGTGTACAAGTCAATATCCATCTGTCTTTCATTGACACCTTTCCAACTCTGAAGCGCGGTGCTGATCAAAAAATGACCTAGAAATGCGATAAGGCTACAAATTCATGCTTTGTTTTCGAACGGACATATTTTCACCGCATGACATGCCCTCCAAAAAGGAATTCCGCCTTTTTTTTCAATGTATTTTCGTGATCTCCAACCGTGACTACGGTACCGAGCTATGATGGGACGATTCCAGAGCATATTTGGCTACACTAACGGTGAGTCGAGGCACACGGTATACGGTACGTAACGAAATGTATAAAAGGTCTTGTTGAACCTCGCAAGATTCTTCAGTAGTGCTGCTCTCACTCGACATGTTCCTCAAAACCTCGTTGATCGCACTCTCCATCCTTCCAGGACTCGTCTTCTGCGCTCCTGCAGCTAGCGAAGCTCTCAGTGTCACTACTTCAACAACCTCCACCGCGGCCTCGTCGATGCCAACTGTACCCTACATCAACACCGACCCCAACGAGTCGCTGTGGACTGAAGACAGCGATCCTTCAGTTGTACAGCCTGAACGTGGAACCCTCGGAGCACCTTTCTTGCGCCCAGAGCCTGCAGAAAATATCGCGATTGATTTGCAGAATCCCGATCTCTTGGCGCCGCCGTCCACGGATTCCGGAGCGGTGTAAGAGTTGGTGTTTTCTTTTATTGACTTGGGACTCACGGGTTGGCTTTGAAGGATGAACGCTAAATGGCCTTTCTCTCTGAGCCACACGCGTTTACAGACTGGTGGTTGGGTTCGTGAGCAGAATGGTATGAACTTGTTCACGTATATTGTCAATTGATGTTACTCACATTCCGATAGTTGGAGTGATGCCAATTGCCACATGTAAAGATCCTATCATCATTTTACATAGAGAGGTTGTCCTGATACGAATTTCAAGCATTGGCTGGTGCGAACATGCGTCTTGAACCTGGATCGATTCGGTACGTATCTCTATACTTTCCGTAATACTCGCAGATGCTGATGAACGCTTAGAGAGCTCCATTGGCACTCGTGTTCCGAGGTAGATGATCTTTTATGCCGATATCCGACAGTCGCTGACGTATTCTGATAGTGGGCATATGTTCTAAAGGTCGGTTCCTCATGATCATATCAACGCGGTGTCTGATATCTCTGTTTCAGGGATCTACACAAATTACGGCGGTAGATGATGAAGGTCGCAACTACGTTGCTACGGTAGTAAGTATCATTTTTTTCTGACATACGTCTACGAAAGTAACCTACCTTCATCAGAATCCTGGCGACCTGTGGTATTTCGCCACAGGCGTTCCGCATTCGCTTTAGGCCACTGGTGACGACGAAGGTGGTTCTGAATTCCTCTTGGTATGATTTGAGCTTTTATTGCTGCTTGACGTCGTTGCCAACAATGTCATACAGATATTCGATGACGGATCGTTCGGTGAAGACACCACATTTTCGGTAGATCCCTCCTCTTACAAGTTCCTCCTTACCTAACATGACATCTTCAAGCTAATCGACTGGCTTGACCACGTCCCCGCGGAAGGTATGTAGACTCACCTATCATTCATTAACTACCTTAACGATTTCCTCAGTACTCCAAAAGAACTTCCAAGCTGACACTTCCGCGTTCGCGCATATCCCAGGCAAGGAATTGTATATCTTCCCTAGCAGTGCGTCTCATTATCTGCCTCTATCTTTCACAAGCTGACCGATACCTGAAGCGACACTTCCGGAGGAAGATTCACTTGTGCCCGAAAGTCCCCAAGGAACTGTTCCCCAACCCTTCTCGTTCGCATTATCCAAAGCAAATGGTACCCAGACTTCTGGCGGCAGCTATAAAGTCGTAGATTCATCAACTTTTGAAATATCGAAGACTATCGCAATGGTGGAGGTGACCGTTGAGCCGGGCGCGATGCGGTACGAATTTTGGTCTATACTAGGTTCTGAATGAAATTCTGATACTGTTTTCCTCCAGAGAACTCCACTGGCACCCGAGCCAAGATGAATGGAGCTATTTCATGTTAGTTTGTGTCTGCACAAGCTCGCATTAAACTAACTAACTTACATTGTCTTAGCGAAGGACAAGGACGCGTGACTCTCTTTGCGGCACGGGGAAGAGCAAGAACCTTCAATTACCAGGCTGGGGACATTGGTGTGTCGCCTCATTCTTTCATTCCATCACAAACTAATTGCCGCGCCCAGGCTACGTTCCCATTGGTATGGGTACGTTGTCTCAGTTCAAAAAATGACCCAACATTTATTAACATCGCGATGCAGGTCATTACGTCGAGAATACTGGGAACACTACGCTGAAGTTCATTGAAGTCTTCAAGTCTGGTAAGGGAGAACCGTGTTGTCATCGTATTAGATTTTCATTGACAATCTGCCAGACCGTTATCAAGACATAAGTCTGAACCAGGTAAGCCATTGCGAATTTATCTGGACCTTGGCGTGATATCTGATGATGATTTGTAGTGGCTGGCTCTCACGCCTCCTCACATAGTAAAGGATCATCTCAATGTTGATGATGAAACTATCGCGTTGATGTCCAAGACGAAACCATTTGTTATTGGGCCTTCTTGAAGCGGTGATATTTACTATCTTGGTATATTTACTATGATTTATTAGAACCCGTATATGAAAGAGTAAACCCCCCCCCCCCCCCCCCCCCCTCTCAAAAAAGAGAGCCGAGACCACAAGTCAGTGAACAGCGACCGTTATCGTTAACCCTTCAATATCGGCGCGCGTAATGGCTGACAGCCTTTGTTAAAAAATAAACTTCTGAAGCGGTGGCTTCTCATGAGATAGAAAAAAATGAACGCAAGTAATAAGTCTCGTATAGTCCAGGTCATAATAGTGTCAAAAAGTCCCAAGGAAACATGTGCGGTCCAATAGAGCGTTTAGTAGCCTCGCGTAAGGAGATGAGAGTAGCAATGCCACATGGCGATAAATCGGAGTTGTACTACGTTAAACGGACAATGTATGCAGCACCACGGCCGGACTACATACAAGTATAATAGACGATGTCCATTATCTAGTAACTAGGGCCGCCTTTGATGGTGAAAGTCTTGCTCCAATTACCCGAGTCGCCAAACACTACGCGTCATAATTATTAGCGAAATTATTCCACCGTTCCAAAAAGAAAAAGAATACTCACAAATGATGGCATAATCATCGCCCTCAGTAACCCAAGGAACTTCAACCTCGATTTTCCCAAGGAGGATATCGAACTCGTCCGCCAAAACAACTTCAGAAGGCCGTCACGTCTAAGCAAGAGACAGGGAATGCACGAACATACCAGGCAGCTGCCTACCACCTTTGATCAGCCTGATGCTGCTGTGGTTACGGCCGGTGATGAGATCAGGTGGGTTGGAGGTGTCCCAAGAGACGGTTTGGGTCGTCTTCACCGTCCACGTTGTCCCAATGGTGGGAGAGAGGATAGGTGGGTCAAAGATATCTCAGCGGACGGCAGCGGAGGCGGTGGCTCCTGCGAAGAGGGCAGTAAGGAAAGCAGTGGAAAACGCGACTTTCATGTTGAATTGTTGAATTGTTAGACACAGTAGAACCTAGGTTCTGTAGGCTTATATACTTTTGGAAGGCTAGAGCTAGGGAAGTTCATTCCCATGACGGAGACCTCAGCGAAATCATGACGAGGACGAGAAAAAGATTTGTTATGGAAGAACCTCGGTTTCCGCTACTTTCGCTTGAAGAGGCGTTCATGGGAGCGGTGAAAATCACCCGTTGATCGACAATATCCGTTGAACGTCCTACCGATAAAACGTATTTCACAGCGGATTAAGCGTCGTTGGACGTCACTATTTTTTTTTCCATGCTTTCGAGGTCGTCGAGCGAGGTTCACTGAACTGGTAATTCCTAGGGACACTGGACCAGCTCGCGGGGACGGGACAGCATCATTCGTTGTCAATGTCTAGGCAGAACGTCCACGTGGGTCCCGCCGGTACGCGTGCACGGAAGCGGACGTTGCCGAGATGCATCATCACACGCGACTGTTCTACTACTAGCATCATCCAGTGACTGATTATCACTGGCCTCTTGGTGCATTACGGCGCCAGCTTGAATCGCTCAACAAGACATGATGCGAACTTACAACAGACATCTTTTGTACTTGTCACGTATCCTCAACTCAGTTCCCTTGCTTGGTGCTTGCCGACCTTGACGTTCCCCAATCTGAAGCGGACCGCACCATTGACGTTTGCGGTGCTTGGCTCCCCGTGGCCCACCTGAATTTGCGGTCTTGTCATTCCGTTCGGTTCAACAAGACTTCATTCTTCTTTACTCGTCATCATTCTCGAATATCGCTAAAGACCCCGTTCATTACCATGCTCGGCTCCAACGGCGTAAATTTCCCATTTCCAAAACCCTATATAACTCGAAGTATCTCATCCTTCTATCCCATCGTTTCGATACGAACAATATGAAAGTCGCGTTTTCCACTGCTTTCCTTACTGCCCTCTTCGCAGGAGCCACCGCCTCCGCTGCCGTCCGCTGAGATATCTTTGACCCACCTATCCTCTCTCCCACCATTGGGACAACGTGGACGGTGAAGACGACCCAAACCGTCTCTTGGGACACCTCCAACCCACCTGATCTCATCACCGGCCGTAACCACAGCAGCATCAGGCTGATCAAAGGTGGTAGGCAGCTGCCTGGTATGTTCGTGCATTCCCTGTCTCTTGCTTAGACGTGACGGCCTTCTGAAGTTGTTTTGGCGGACGAGTTCGATATCCTCCTTGGGAAAATCGAGGTTGAAGTTCCTTGGGTTACTGAGGGCGATGATTATGCCATCATTTGTGAGTATTCTTTTTCTTTTTGGAACGGTGGAATAATTTCGCTAATAATTATGACGCGTAGTGTTTGGCGACTCGGGTAATTGGAGCAAGACTTTCACCATCAAAGGCGGCCCCAATTACTAGTCATTTTAGCTACGTAGTAGTATGGACTTGTTCAATTAATAACTTCACATCGATTGTTACGCAAATGGGTTGTTGGCATAGCATGCTTTGAAGTAAAACCGTAGCCTAAAACCAAAACTGTCTAGGTTCATTGCGAGTGACCGAAAATTGTACCCGTATGTACATGGTGTTAGTTTTCAACATTAGGAATACGGAGTCGATTCCTCACGGGCTCAAAGCGCATGCCTACTCAATTCCTCTGTTTTCCAAAGATACCAAGTACAAGCCGACGGGTCACTCTGTAACCTTATCTCCTAGTATCAATCTTTAGTACGTTAGATGAATATAGACCGTTGCAGTGCTCCTCAATAAGCTTTCCAAGCATCTTCCTGCATGACTCAGGACCCCGAATTACAACGTTGACGTCCTTCAGCGCCCACAACTCCCCCATGGCCGTATCGAAATTCTCCCATAGATTCACGTTGAGCAAGGGGTTGGCTCGAGATTGAATAAATATCTTCAAGGTAACAGATTTAAGTTCCAATCCGCTCTCAAAGGATCTCAACCACCAGCGGAGGATCAATTCCGGCGAGACGTAGTGCAGGCTTTCTCCATCGGCTTCTGAGTCATGAAGGATCAACGAAATGATTTCGACGCCGAAAAGGTCAAGAGGATCAGGAGCCCGCCATACAATGTCTAAAGACTACGCTGAGGACCAATACGGAAAGAGTCGTCAAAGAGGAAGAGACTTACCTTTTTGCATACTCCGGAAATGAAGCTCACGAAGGCGAGGTGCCACATTCATCAAAGCTGCCACTCCCACAAAATCCACCGCGAAGACTTCCATCATCGTAAACTTTTTCAATCGCTGGAGTGAAATAGGCGATGTGGTGGGGGTGAGGAACATCGGAAGGATAGCACTGCCGTACACGGTAAGGTGCTCCACTTCTGGTTTGGACTCCGTGCATACGTCAAGTTTCTTGCTGATGGAATTATGGGAACGGATGTCGAATAATATAAGAGAGATCAGAGAGGGGAACGACCAGATGAGATGACCAAAATGGTCGACATCCTCGAAGGCAATGGAGTAGAGTTCCAGCGAGGTGATGGTTGCGCGTGAAGATAATGCAGTGACCATTTCTTCCGAGAGTGATGACCAGTCAACGTATCCAAGAATGATTATAGTATGAAGACAATCAAGGTTGGAAATGGTTCTCGGCATGAGGTCGGTGTACAAATCATCATTGGATAGCCGGATAACCCTGACGTGGGAGGATATCGACTGTAAGGCGTCCATGGAGTCTGTTGACGACTCAAGCTTAATATAAATTCCGCGAATTGTATGGAATAGAAAGGGCCGGGTCGGAGGGCAGAAGGCCCGAGAGACGAGTGAACAAGATTTTAGGGCGTCGAAATTGGAAGAAAGGAGAGCGATTATAGACTCAATAGTCTCGCCAGATAGTCGAGCACCTGCCGACATTATTCTGGAATTCCTTCGTTGGCTTTTGCTTATGCTAGCTTATAAACGACGTTACAATCTGGAAGATGCTGCACTCACAAAACAAAGACTTGCTAGCGTTTGATTACAAGGAGTAGAGAACTCCAATGGTCAAGAAGTGAAGATGGGAACTGCTGTTGAACCCGACGTACTTAAGCGCCGCGATTACGAAACTGACTAGTCAAAGAACGGTACTTCCCGCTAAGGCAAAGATAGCTATCAAATCAATCGTGATGGAGTGCTATTAATAGTGAGTGTTTCAATGAGAGAAAGTAGATTCACCTTATTCAAAACATACAAGCAGGTGCTAGGCAACGGGAAGTCTGGAGAGGTTTGAAGTGGCGCCCATTTTTTTTCGTCACCAGTAGCAGTGGCAGACTTGACGGCCGGTCAAATCGCGTCGATCGCGCGATTCGGAGCCATGACACGTGGTCGTCCCGAGTTTTAAGCGTGACACATTGCTTGTCACCTCTTGACGACGACATGAATAACAAGATTTTCAGGCAATTACAGAAAAAGGCTTGTATCGAACTAGTGGACTTGCCTCTTGACCTTTAGTTGAAGGTGAGAGGAGGAGCGTGTCTTACTGGCGGCGATCGGCAACGTTCCTTATTTCTTTATTCTTTCGGCAGATATTTCCCGGATTTCTTCCGCAGACATGTTGGTCAGGACGAATTGGGACACTTATGAATTCATGAATGCACGGATGGCTTTACCTAATTTATCCGTCTCGCCTACATAACAAAGTTTTACAAATCAGGATTTCTTACCAAGATTACATATAAAGCATCAAACGCACGGAAGACAGGGAAAGATGCGTAGGTCACTGGTTTTTAGCGTACATCAGTAGTTGAAAGAGAATTTGTTACCGTTACTGTCAATCGCGTGGAATTTGAGTACGACAAGGACCACTTGTGGGCTGAGTACCCTGTCTCTTTCGATAAACACTGGTATTGCGCCTTTGGTTGAAACTGGTGAGCGAATAAGATTAGTCATCTTCTTCGACCTGCTATTCTTTTTATGGAGTCTTGTTAAACATCGTGTTGAAGCTGTATTTTTTGCAACGCGGATGATTTCGAAAAGCTTCATTTGGTCGAAGAGTATGCATTTCACTTGATTTTTTTATACAGCGCTTGTTCGCGTAGAGCTATAACGTTGAAAGTTGAAAAATTCAACCCAAGTAGTCGCGACTGATTTGTCTCATACAAAGATTCCGTTGCCACTTTATTTCAAAATCTTTCCTAAAGCTCGGTCCTTGCCTTCAAGATCAGAACGACTCCTGAGACGTCCAGCAATCATAATCAAGGCTTTCTATATCCACCGACTTTGGACTTTAAATGTGGGAACGAGCTTGAAGAGCAGATATATTGCATGGGAAGGGCTAGGAGGTCTTCGTAAATAAAGCACCCGACCCTGTTCGGTTAAACCGGTCCGCGGTCTGCAGTTCCCGGGTGCCTAGGCCCGGTACCAATAAATTTTCTTCTCAAATTCCGATATCGTTCTCTCACATCGCTTTGTCATGCTATGAAGGCCAAGCTGTATATTTCTGTCATACCTTCTTGTGCTGGTTGCTCCAAGAATGTAGCTCCTCGCTCCCATAACGCCAAGATTGCCTGCCCTCTCCGACTCGGAACGTGGCCCGCCGCTCTAAATACACACAGGATTCTAGGAGGCCCATAGGAAACAAGGAGTGTAGAGATGACTCATTGCACCAGCCACGAGAACAAGTGCCTGAGACACGCAATACTTCGTTGCTTCGCCAGTGACTCCTAGCTATCTAGATGCCTCACAGTCCGGTGACTGGAAGCTCTGAGCAATCAGAGAAGACTTGAACTCCGAGCTTGTCGATGCAAATGATTTGAACAGCCAGTAAGTATCATAATCAATCATGTCCAAGAGTCGTGGCTGAATCGGTCCAGTCAAGTTTTCTGAAGAATCTCGTAGCGAGCTGTTGGAAACACGAGATAGGTTGAAGCCAAATCATTCTCGCTGCACACCTAAACACGACAAATTGTTCCTAATTTCCCTCGAGGATGGTCCTCGCAGGTACATCGGAAATCTTGATGTCCTTTAGTAGGCCTTGCAGCGCAGGTAAGTGTCACATTGTTATTTCCTGCCGTCCGCGCTAACGTTAATGTACAGAGTGTCTCTGTTACACTGTCATAGTTCCTTTCTCAAGATAACGTGTATATGCAGTTCCCGGAAAGTCGCGGTTTGTGATAAAAGTCATCGCAATGTTCTTCATCAGTCATCTTGAGCAGCATATCACACCGATGAATCAACATGTTCGTGGAATAAGTACACTGTTATTCTGCGTGAAAATTTGGACCGAGTCGGAACACGAGGCGCACAATCCCATCCCGAAATCTCCATGAGCATACATAGAACGAGATAATTCTTGGCTCTGTTCACGACATGCTTCTCGTGAGATGGAAAACAGGGATATTCGTACGGATAGGTGTCTTGACGCTTCGTTTCCTTCTTTGGCTGACGAACGCTTATCGTTGTTGTCGCGTGAGTAATGCGAACGACAGACTGCTTTCATTTTCATGCTCTCAAAGAACATGTGAAATCTTTGCTTTCTGCGCTTCCACTGGATAAGGGCGTTCAGAGTAAAATTATGGTGGCTATTTTTATCTTTCCGACCTTGATGACATTCTGAACGCTTCATAGAATGTATAACATATTTCTTTCAACGGGAACCGTATATCTGGGCAACCTCATGTTCGGCTTACTATTCGACTCGAGCTTATACAATACTTGAATGCACAGTCGTTGGCGTTTCCTGTGCGCAATGTATCTTTTGAAAATCCTTTTCGCTTGTTGATTATGCGGCCAGGCGCTCTAACACCAGAAAATGAAACAGACTGCGGTGACCTTTACCAAAACGCGTTAGCACTGGCACAGCATCTCTTTTTTTATTTTCACCGACTTTACCCCACCACAGCAGCATATGGACATGCCGGCTTCGTTACGTAGCCAAGGACCGAACGGCTTTTTCAGTATGCACCAGGTCATTATAGTCTTGATGACCCTCTAGTTCATCTGATGTACATTGTTCGAGACCGTGATGTGCCCCAAACTTGACGATCATTTGCTCGGATTCGGGTCGAATGAACCGTAGCTTTTCGGTGCTGCAAAGACAACAGCAAGACGCCGTGTTCTTCGTGGTTTGCTCAGTAAGCGGCGCCATAAATCCGAATACGTTTTAACCCTCGTGTCGCCGGCAGACGACCCTGTGCCGGATATAATAGAGCCTTACCAGCTATTGGGCAGCATATTTCTGTTCTGAGATGCATGCGCGTAGGCACAAGGTCCCAGGGTCCTGTGATGCTACTTTCCCCGACTCAGTACAAAACCCCCTTGTATTTCGACTTGACTCTCGCTTTCTTCTTTCCTGACCGCTATGTCTGCATTCCACCCCATCCCTAAGCCCCCCGCCACAAAACTCGGTCACTACCGTGTACTTTCGCCCCTCGCTGGTGTTCGCGTGTCACCCCTGCAGCTAGGAGCCATGAGCATAGGAGATAAATGGGACAAGTTCGGAATGGGGTCGATGGACAAAGAATCGAGTTTTAAGCTCCTTGACGCGTACTACGACATGGGAGGAAACTTTATCGACACTGCCAACAGCTAGTAAGTAATTCTGAGAACGACTACCGCGGCACGTATTTTACTCACTGTGGATAGTCAGGACGAGTCTTCTGAAGAATTTATTGGTGAATGGATGCAATCCAGGGGGATCCGTGATCAGATCGTCCTTGCAACCAAGGTTTGGTTCCACGTGTCTCTTTCCCATCATTGATTTTGATTTTCCCTGTGCTTCTGTTTATAGTACACGGCGAACTACAAGCACAGGAAGCCTATAAAACAACAGGTGAACTACGCCGGCAATCATGCGAAGTCGCTCAATGTCTCCGTCGCCGAGAGTCTCCGGAAGCTCCGTACAAACTACATAGATATTCTCTACGTTCATTGCTACGACTTTGAGACATCTGTTCAAGAGATCATGAATAGCTTGCACACGCTGGTGCTTCAAGGAAAGGTGCTCTACCTCGTAAGTCGTATTAACTTGCCCTTTGACAAGTTGCACTGATCTTTAATCAGGGAATCTCGGACTCCCCAGCATGGTTCGTCGCTCAAGCAAATACGTACGCTTTGCACCAAGGGAAATCCCCGTTCGTTATCTATCAGGGCCGGTGGAACCTTCTCGAGCGTTCGTTTGAAAGAGAAATCATCCCCATGGCACGAACTCTCGGTACGAGCTGATCTCGAAGTGCCTCCTCTCTTACTGATGGTATGTCCTCAACAGGACTCGCACTGGCCCCATGGGACGCTCTCGGGGGCGGAAGACTACGGACCGACGAAGAAGAAGAAGATCGTCGCCGATCTGGGGAGAAAGGGAGAACCCTCGTCAGTGATTGTTGGGAAAGAACGGAGGACGAGAAGAAGATATCCAAGGCACTTGAAAACGTCGCTCGGGACCTGGGGGTGAAGAATATTCGGGCTAGTGAGCTTCCCCCTTCTCTTTTAAAAGGAAATTCTCATTCTGTTGGAAAGTTGCAATCGCATACCTGATGCAAAAGACACCATACGTCTTTCCCCTGATCGGTGGTCGGAAAGTAGAGCACCTCGCTTCGAACCTGGAAGCATTGGACATCGACCTTTCCCCAGAACAAATGAAATATCTCGAAAGTATCCTACCGTTCGAGTTGGGTTTCCCAGGGAACTTCGTTGTACGTGTCTGGCTTTATCTGCAGGTACTTATTCTTTCTCATTCTTCTATTAACAAGGGAACTGGAGAGGAGAACGGACTCTGGCTGACTTCGACAGCTTGTGTGGTAAAACAGCCGCTGCTACAACCAATCAAACCTATTCCCAAACTATGAGTACAATCACACGGATTCTATATGTATCGTTTATGCTAACTTCTTATGCATATTATTCAATCCTCTTTTCCGTTACTGTAGCCAACGTTTGTTACAAATAGACTAAATTACTACCCCGGACGCATATCTCGAATTATTCCAGATCTGCCAGGTTTTGCCATGTGATCAAAGGGTTCCTTCGTTATCTTTTCACTATAAACTCGATGATACCCAAGGTATGAACGTCTCAGCCAGGAGTCTTGATTGTGGGAATAGAATCCCAAGATACCACAGGAATAACAGTTGATGAAAGCCATTGCGTCACGGCAGAGTACATTCATTCTTATGCTATCGATCAAGAATATCTCATTGCCCCTACAGTACAAGATGTGATAATGCAAGAGGTGATAATGCATAAGGTGTGGTAATGCATACGATGGGGTGACTCCCGACCTCGTTCGCAGGGAATTATGCACAAGATGTAATATTTCATAATGCATACCGTTGCCGAAAAAGTTTGGCAGAGATATGCATTATCACATGAAATGATACCGGATTTGGAGCATAGTGATGCACATGCACCTGCTAAAATACCATATGCATTGGTACGAAACTCACTAAAATTGATCCTGTTAGGACCAAAATGCAAATACGTAGGAAATAGAGCAGAAGACGCGAGAAAATACCCGAATTGGGTGCGGCACATCCCATTGTCATAGGAATGTCACGTTGTGTGACAACGTGTTCGTGCATATGATGTGATAGTGCATAAACTGAGGCAGCTCCCGACCGTATGCATTATCACATCTTGTACTGTACTAAGAATGTCCAGAAATTGCCAGGGGCTTATACTCCTCTTCCAAGAACTTGACGTCCTCCGTCGTCAGTTCAATCTTGGTCGCCTCTGAGAAAGGGGTTATGAGGGTGAGATCCGGTGTTCAAAGCGCGAATCTTACCAATGAGCTCCTTCAAATTGTCGAGCGACGTCGTCCCCACAATCGGGGCGGTGACACCTGAATACCATACAGACTCGGAAAATGGAGAAAAAGTCTGCCGTCTCACCTTCTTTACTGAGCATCCACGCAATAGAGAGCTGAGCCATCGTTATACCCTTCTTCTGTGCGAGCTCTTCGACCCTATGAAATCGATGAATGGTGCATTCTCTCAATGCCAGAAAAGCAGTACCTATTAACGATGACCTTGACGGACTCGATTCCACTATATCGTTCGAGGAGTCTGTACCGTGAATGTTAACAAAGATCAACGAAGGTGAAAATGCTGGCTCAACCGATCCGCTTCGCCACGTATCGTGTCGCCTTCTTTGTCGAAAGGCCTCGCTAATTTTCCTCGAGCAAGAGGGGACCATGGGATGGAGCCTACGCCGAACATCTAAGCAGCTTTGAGGAGAGATCAATTGAGTCGATATTTCGATTGAGTACCTTCAAGGTGGGGAACATTTCCCGTTCTTCCTCTCGGTAGATGAGATTGTAGTGGTTCTGCATCGAGATGAAGGGCGTCAGATTGTTTTGGATCGCGTAGTCTTAGCCGTGTATTGGTTAGTGATGGAATAAGCGCTTGAAGATGACCTTACTTTGCATGGCGTGGACTAGAGGCGAGTTAGTTAGCCATTTAGATAATAGGAGGAGTGCGTACATTGATAGGCATAGCAGGACGACATTCCGATATAACGAACATAGCCCGCCTGAACGACATCATGCAAGGCTTTCATCTAGAATGCGTGTTAACATTTCTATTCACCCCTGAATAAGGGAAAAAATGTCACCGTCTCAGCGATGGGAGTATCGTAGTCAAATCTATGACCTGAAAACACGATTAGTGAACGAACATGAAAATTGCATTCAGCGCACACTGAAGGACGTCGATATAGTCGAGCTGGAGTCTTTCCATGCTATGCTTCACAGAATCGAAGATGTGCTAGTGATACATGCCGGAGTGAGCAGAGTAACGGTGAAGAGAATAACTATCTGACTTTTCTACTAAGTCCGTGCTGGTTAACATACTCAGGGTCGGATTTTGGGTTCCTAATCCCCGGTTCTTTGCCTACGGCTCCATGTACCTGAAGTATTAAGCGATGAATACCGTTTCAGAGTGCAGATTTCATGACACGTACCTTGGTTAAGACGACAATCTTATCACGAGGGAGGTCATGTTTCTTGATAGCCTCTCCCAATATAATTTCGGACAAGCCGTTGGAGTACACCTGCAATGTGGGTCAACCGGTTCTAGGATAGAGGAGAGCAGACTCACGTTCGCAGTATCAAAGGCGTTGATTCCAGCATCGTACCTAAACTATATCAGAGGAGGCTCGCCTATACGGAGGAACAACTTACGCAGCCTTGATATGTTCAATCCCTTCCTCCTTACCAAGAACCCACTTTTGCCATTCAGGACTGCCGTAGGTCATGCATCCCAAGATGATCTTGGACACCTTCAAGCCAGACTGTCCGAGGCGCACTATACACAAAGTGAGACGTGTCCTACAGGACGGGGCGAGGCGGGGCTCACCGTATTGCATACTAGTAGGAGAAGACATGGTGGTGGTCGATAGAAGTGAAGTGAACACCTTACTTATACATTCACGATGAATACGATTTATCATCCGATCACGGCCCTATTGTATTGCGAGAGGCAGTGGGAAGATGTAAACTAACAAGGATCATTGTTACGGCAACGATAGGAAGGAAATGCAAGAAAGGTCACCTTGCGCTTCCAGGAATAGTACACCAATCACTGGTTCCCGCGATTAAGTTGTACAGTGAATACAGAATACGGCGGGAGAAGCTGAGTGCTAGATGTGCTCAGTCAGCTCAACATAAAATTGAACGCTGACTTATCTGTTATACCTTCTGAACATTAGATGAGACTTAGTCAGGAAAACTCAATTCGCCACAATTATTAATCACACATCATGCGCGGGCGTTGTAGACTCAACGTTTATGTTCTCCAAGTCTTCCGTAACTTCTGCGTAGAGCTCTCTGGTTCTTTCAGTGATGCTGGCGCCTGAGGGCTGACAAATAATCTTCGCGGTCGTATGATGGATGTGATAGTGGACCAAAATGAAGGGTCGAGATCGAAAGACGACTCCGATTTGAAGGATTTTGAATGTCTTGGTGTTGAATACAACTACGGTGGTAACTAGTAAATTGTGAAAGATCAAAATGTGATGCAATTCAATCGTCCCTTCGATCACCGCAAGACTACCGCCACCTCCTCGTTTCGTATTTCTATTGCCGGCCACACGCGAAGACTTTTGGACGCGTCTTGTGAGTGAAATTATTAGTACGCATAACCACGCTCATGACGAGAAACATGGCTCTTGAGGCCATCTTTTAGTCATACCATTGAAGTGGCGTTTTCGGTTACGCATCCGATCATCTTGCGCTCGCTGACATTCATGAGTCATCACCACTATCTTTGTCCAGCGCGCGGGCAGTATAGATGGACATCGAATGTATTCAGTATTATAGCTACATAAGTTCTACGTGATGGTGTATCATATACAGTTCATAATACAGTGTACGGAGAGGGCGATGAGAAGGTTTCCAGAGAATTTGGGCTGGTAAAATCGTGTCAAGAGTGCTCGAACGAACTGTAAGAACACAGAATAATGTAAACCGGCCCAACTAACTGGTTATTACCACACAATGCATGGAGTTACGGTGGTAGCACCAAAGGAAACGGAACACTATGGACGCGAATCAAAACGTTTCTGTAGCATTGACTAGACGGTGAAATAAATGTTCGAAATTCCGGGAGCTGAATTGAATAAGCCATGGCTGTTACAAGGAACAATGTGTTTTCTTTTTGGTGGTGTAAATCTGGGGTCGGAGAGGCACGCGAAATGAGAAAGACCAAGATGCACCAACCACAAGACACGCATACATGAAACGTCAAAAGTGATAACAGGAGTGGTATTCAATTTACCATTTCGGTTGCACCAAAAAGTGATACAGACCAAACCGATGTCGCTTGTAAGGAATCGAACCCCACACGCAGCACAAATAATGACATTGAACGGTGGAGGCGGTTAGACCATAACTGCATACGCAAACACGACATTTTTCTGGCATTGATCAAGATATCGTTACAGCGATGTGCTCCCACTCCGAGAGAGCGTTTGCCTAAACCCCCTACGAATGTCCCGAAATCACCACCGGCCTATATTCCTCTTCCAAAAACTTGACATCCTCCGGCGTAAGCTCAACCTTCGTCGCCTCTGATAAGAAACCGTTCATTACTTTGCCATCCTCGTCAAGGGAGAGAATCTCACCGATCAGCTCCTTCAAATTATCGATCGAAGTTGTCCCAACAATAGGTGCAGTGACACCTAAAAAAGATGCGGTCCACGGAGTGCGATGAAGAACACGGCACGAACTCACCTTCCTTGCTGAGGATCCACGCGATCGACAGCTGGGCCATGGTCAGTCCTTTCTTCTTTGCGAGCTCTTCCACCCTACGACAGTCAATGAACTGAGTATTCTCTCACACCGAAATAAGCTGTACCTAGTAATGATGGCTTCAGCAGCCTCGTTTCCTTTGTATCGTGACATGGCCCTACACGCTGTAGGTGAGTAAGAGTCTACGCAGATAAAAAATACAGTCTCAACGGATCAGTCTCGCCACGTTTTGTGTCGCCTTCCTTGGCGAACGGCCTTGCTAATTTTCCTCGGCCGAGAGGCGACCATGGGATGGAACCGACGCCGAATATCTGAAATGCGTTGGGGGAAAAGTCAACGAGATTAATGAATCAGTACCTTCAAGGTGGGGAACATTTCCCGTTCCTCCTCTCGGTAGATGAGATTGTAGTGGTTTTGCATCGAGATGAAGGGCGTCAGATTGTTTTGAATTGCGTAGTCTTAACGGTGTATTGATCAGTTAGGGAATAAGCGCTTGAAGATGATCTTACTTTGCATTGCGTGGACTAGACGGGAGTCAGTCAACTATGTAGATTACAGGAGGAATAGGAATACGTACATTGATAGGCGTAGCAGGACGACATTCCGATGTAACGAACATAGCCTGCCTGAACGACATCATGCAAGGCTTTCATCTAGAAGGGGAATTTAATTTAATATTCACGATTGAGACAGCAAGAGGATATTACTGTTTCTGAAATGGGAGTATCGTAATCAAATCTATGACCTACAAAGACAATGAATGAATAAACATGGAAACTGCATTTGAACATACACTGAAGGACGTCGATATAGTCGAGCTGGAGTCTTTCCAGGCTATGTTTCACAGAATCGAAGATGTGCTAGTGATATATGTCGTGGTAAGAAGGAGAGTAGCGGTAAAGAAGAGTGATAACGAACCTTACGGCTAAGCCCGTGCTGATTAACATAACCTACGGAATCGGATTTGGGATCCCCAAAGAGCTGACTGGAAGGTTCATTGCCAACGACTCCGTACACCTGAAGGCAGTGATGAATGTCGCGTGGTGGCGTGGAATTCAGGGATACATACCTTGGTCAAGACGACAATTTTGTCGCGAGGAAGGTTATGTTTCTTGATAGCCTCTCCCAGGATAATTTCAGATAACCCATTCGAGTACACCTGCATCACCTGTCAGCTCGTCCTAGGACAGAGACGGCGGACCCACATTGGCGGTATCGAAAGCGTTGATTCCGGCATCGTACCTAAGCCATATAAGAGAACCAACGCACATAAACAGGCAGACTACATACGCAGCGTTGATATGCGCGATCCCCTCCTCCTTACCAAGAACCCACTTCAGCCATTCTGGACTGCCGTAGGTCATGCATCCTAAGATGATCTTGGACACCTTCAAGCCAGACTGTCCGAGGCGCACTGCACGCGATGTGAGACGCGTGTAGCAGGTACAGATCGAGACGAGGCTCACCGTATTGCATACTAGTGGGAGAGGACATGGTGATGGTGTCGAGAGTGGCACTTTTCCGAACAGATATAAAACACGGAGACCCAGGCTTATACAGGAGCTGAAAGATGGGAGAGATTAGTAAGCGCGGTATCAGTGTGGCAAGACGCGGCAGGCAACGCGTTTCATCTCGGCAAGTGGACGCGCAAGCCTCGGAAGAAGCTCAGAATCGCGTAAGCCATATAATTTAAAAATAGTGCGGCCGCGAAGTGCAGGAATAGTTTTTCCTTAGTTTTTCCACCGCGTCAGTCTATTCTGGGAACGCGAGTGAAGGCGAACTTCTCATCGTTTCGTAAGCCAACGAGTACTTAAGAATAAATCAAGACGACCTTTGGAAACTTTCGCCAGATACCGCCGAAGACCGCCCTGTCGAGGCCAGCCGGTTCTCCAGTGCACTCCCTTTCATACAGGGAAATAAGTCATTGCTGTTTAGAGAATCTTTGAGGGCTGGTTTCCTTTCCTGTCAGTCAAATTTACGTTCTCTATTACAGCAGTGACGTGAACACATCACCGATTGATATTACAAGCCCTTCTCGCCTTCATTCATGTGCGCTGCTGCTCTTTTGCCAGTTGGAATACGCGAAATCGACCCAGTCCGTCCTTCTTCTCCAATCCATACTGCAAAATCGCGTCATCCATCTCGTCTTTATCAGCTCCAGCTCCGAAAACGCAATCCAAATCCTCGTTCCTAGTCGCCCTGGCGATCGCCGTGAAGCTTAAATCCCCAATCTCTTTATTCTTCACCATACACGCCAACCCTGCTACACCACAAGCAGCCGTGCATACCAGTGCGACGGCGTAAACGATCCACAGCCTCTGCCAGTGATACACCCACACGAGCTGATTTTGCGCCACTGACGCTTCCGCCATCATCGTGTCCTCCCTGGAACTTATCAGTGCAATCGTCGCGTTTACCAGGATTTCCTCCAGCGCGCGTGCCATATTCGGAACGTTTGGACTGAATGTCTGTGCCGTCTCGTTCATCGAGAACAAGTTACTCGTCAACACCTTCGACTCAGAGGACCATTGCTTATCACCGACGTTCAGGAATAATATTTCGCCGTCTAGCTGGTCACAGAGCCAGTCCATCATGACGATGTAGCTCGCTCCAGCGAAGAGTCGACTGGTAGGAGGGGTAGCACTGTTCTCACTTGCTTCGCAATCTATAATTTGATGGCTGGAAGAGAAAGGCTCGTCGTAGGAAATAACGCTCGGAGAGATTGTCGCTGTGTTGTTTATAAAGGACACTATTGCTTGTTGGGTAGTGTTATAGAGAGAACAGCTAACACCCTCAACAATGCCACCCTTAGAATCATGATACGTCCGCCATGCAATGGTGAGATTCCACCCATTAACGTCAATCTGGGACGAGGCGTTGTACACTGGGGTATCCGTGGTGTTGTATTTACTCTGAAGGACTGCAGAAGGGTTAGACGGGCCCGAAGACCCATCACCGTCGTCAAGGATCTCGTCTTGACTAATATCCGAGCATTGTAGAGCCGGAGCAACGTACTCGATCGTATAGTTGCACGCGCTCCCACACCCTCCAGGCGCATTCCATCCGATGAGCGTGTCTGACTGGAACGAGCGCGAAAGGACTCGTTCCCAGGCTATTGTGACTGTATACGTACAGGTAGTCATCGAATCTGTTGTTCAGCCATCCCCATTGTCGAAGGATATAGTCGGAACGGAGATGATGTCGTTTCGCGGAGAAGCTGAGCCGACTTCGAGAGCGTTGGGTGCCAGGATGGATACGAGGGTTAGGGCTTGTGTGAGGATGGCTGTGATGATTATGGGGAATATCCGCCAGGATGAGACGAGACGGAGGGTCTTGATAGGATCTGGCAATCCGAATAAATGGTTCAACTGTTTGACGCTAAAGGGTCTACGGCACAGGAACAGCCAAATCTATCATAATCGTGAGTTCATTAGCTCATTTGAAGGCTAATGTGCTTACGAACTGTGTGAGCGATATGGAAACCGAGGCTGCACAGAGCCATTGTACGATGGTACTAAGTGCGTTGGAGGAGTTCTTGATCCAAAACTGCTCCTGTGCGTTGCGTCCTTGTATAAAGAGAAGAAAGAAGTGATGTATCCCGGCCGTTAACCCTGCAGCAAATAGCAGTCCGACCATTCCAATGGGTGTGCCGCTGAACAGTATACTCTTTGCCATAGGCGGGGAAGCGGGTGTAACGGTAGATGGCTTGTCCAGCTCCGATTTCGATAACGATGACCTGTTTCTCAATCGCGAATGGGTGAGCAACTCCATCGTCTCTTCTTCCTCGTCGGTCGGTTTACTTCCGTGTGAGCGCATGTTGAGGGAATTGGTGGTGGCAGCACCGTCCTGGCGGGTTGGGAGGAATTGTATCGTTAAGGCGAGCGCCCATTTATGCGAATTATGATAGTGGATGGGAACGAAACAAGGTCCTGCATATCGATGCTAGGGTGAACGACCCTTAGCCATACATGCCTATCATTGTATCATGTGAGCCTTTGGCCAACGGAAGTAAATTTGACATACAGTCGTCATCGTATATTACGGAGATTCAAGGCGTCCAGTCGACGTCCAGGGCATCGAACAAGCAGAAAATGAGATACTTGTAATCACTTCGACAGATGCATGAGATGCGAACCGCGATGAGTCGTGCCCGTGATACCCGAGATCCGCGTTCGAGAGCATTTTCTCGCTAAAGAGTGCCTGTGGCTAATCGCCAGGTCCCGGGTAGTTCGAAGACTTTCTAGTATTGAATTGAATATTCTTGATTAACTTGTGATAGATCACCGCGACATTGTTCTTCGGGAGCAATAGAGTGCGAGTTTAGGGAAAGATGCAACATCGCCGAGCGCGAAAATGAATCGGACGAAACAAAGCTTCCACGTGGTGCGCTCGGAGGGACCTTGCTGGACGGTTTAGTTATCAGGACTATCCAGATATGTGTATCTATGAAGTACTGACCTTACCAGAAGATGTTTCATCGTGGTAGTCGATGTTGATGAAACGTGAAACGTCGGACGAAGGTAGTTCTGATACTTCGTGAGTGAGGCCTAGAAATAATGAAGAATAGCTCTCTTGCACACAGTAATACTAATGTTCTTCGTAAGCCCTTAGCACCAACACTCCGTATTTGTTGCTCGATCTTGGCTTCAATTGTAGAAGGCTGGTTTATCGGAGCGCATATAGAATGCTGTACAGACTGGATGTCGAAAATTTAGCGGTAGAATTCAGAGCAGGGAAGAGACTGAAATCCTGAAGAAGGGCACAAAAGGAAAAGGCACAAGCGGCAACTTTCGGCAAAATCCGAGCCCTTTTTTTATCTCCGGTTGATCTCCGCCACAGACGCGTTGCGGCGTTATTCACGTGGCTTCTGTCCCTCATCGCGCTGCCTGCTTCTTGCGATGGCTGGCCAACACCTTTCTAATTCTCGGGAGCGATACTGGTCCATATAGGTGGTTTGCCTCCTTCTCCCCCCACTTTCGAAGTTCATCTGGAACCATCCATGGCAGTTCTAAGCGAATACATTGCAGCCGCATATATTAATGATCTATTCCCGATTCTGTGAAAGAGGACTATCGGCCGCAATTTCAGGTCATGACTGTTTGAGTGTTCTTTTTGGTTTCCTGGTGCGGATTCTAGAATTGATGTCTGCCTCATCTCGGTGCGAGACAAGCACACCTTACAGTTCAGTTCCATCACAATGTCACGATAATTCCCTGGAAATGGAACGTCTCACTGACAAAAGATCTTTCCCTACGTGAGCAGTGGAAGGAGCTCAAGTTCTTGAGCTTTTCGGGTCAACCGATCATTATTTGAGACATTTTCAGTGCCTAATCTAAACCAAAATTTGAAGCCTTTGATATCAGAAGGCATTCGCTCATTTCGTTAAACACATACTGAGATTTCAAGCCAGGAATAACCTCGGGAATCGAACGTTGAACGAACGAGTATAAAAATACTTGAGAATGCTCACATTATGCAGGAATCGATAGCGACTGAGCTATAAAGACCTTGAATAGATCGCCGGCTACATGTGGATTATTTACTTGAATTGTTGTAATCATCTCAAGAACTTTTTCATAATAAATCTTTGCATTAAATTTTCTTCACTGATCGATGCTGCCAATTGTAGGCGGTTTATAGATAACAATCTCAGTATTGATATAGCTGTGATCCCGCCATCGAAAGCTTCATCGTCATCACGGTTCTTCTTTTCTTTCTTTGCTTACGATAGACACAAAATAGACATTTACTTCATTTTAATTAGAATTGCGTATATTACGAATATGCGGGTGGACTTACTTAGAATTGATGTCCCGCTAAGACAGATAGGGAAATCAAGGTGCACGCTCTGTCTATCATGCCACGTCGATCGCACCGTCTGGAAAGACCTCTCTCAGACGACTTCTTCATATGGATATGGACTTTACAACGCGATCACGTCAATAACCTAAATTCTACTCCCTCTCCACGTCGTGCGCAAAGTAACCTAACGTGATGTATTGAAGTTAAATGGAGATAAGAACGAGATAAGGGTTATTATAAATTGCCTCGGTGAGAAACCTTTCTAGCAATGGTATAAAGCGCCTATGAGTCGTTCTCACAGTACGCCTCCACAGCTGTCTGAAGCATTTTCTCAGTCGTCTCGTAACGGTTTTTCATGCACTCCTTGTATGTGACCTATATGCACTCGGACTAAGTTCCATATCGTCGGCCTGATACTAGCGAGGTACATACCGGAACTGAAGCCATGAACTTCATGTTGAATGGGTAACGATCCCTCTCAATACCTTTGAGAAGATGACACACGTCGGAACTATATCCTACAGTATGGAAATCCTCTTTGCGGGAAACGACACTCTCTAGGAAACCTTGGAAAAGGGGCACAGAATCCACGGCTGCGTCACACGCCCACTTTCCGTAGGTGTCGGACATGACATAGTCCTGTATTGGAATTCAGAAGCAGAAATTTAACGGAATAAAGAGGACCATACGGGGACGATCTTGACAACGTCTTGAACCTAGGATTCTAGAACCAATAGGTCCCTTTTCACAGCCTGGAAAAGGCCATTGAAGAGTAGGGTAGAGACGTTAATGTTACATAACTTACCTTGGCATGAGAAATATCAATGTTGCTGGCAAAGGCATTACAAGCTCCCTCGATGGACGCAAACGTATCATGCCACTCGTCGAAAGCATGTCGAAGCGCCGTGATTACGCTCAGATCTCCACGAGAGTGGGAGATACAAAGAACGAAAAGCGGGGGGAGAGTCAGAAGGCGAAGTAACATTTTGCTCGTAGAGTAGTACTGATACGTCGGCGCTGTCGTTGTAGGATAAAAGTCGTCTTTGAACGTTGGAAGGTGTTCATTATTGTTATCAATGAAATCCCCGAGAAGAGAAGCATTGGAGAAAAGCCACGAGTCTGACGTTCGTTTACGTGCAGTGATTCGAGGAATTGATGATCAGCACAACAATGCAGAGGTACCGAGTATCCAAAAGTGATTCGCCATTATGAACTCCATTTCATGTCAAATGGATGAAATTCGTGACGACGGAAGGCTCCAAAAAGTCAATTGCTTCCGGCAAGAAGAATTCTGCGTGGTAGCCTGCGTGGCTGCGTGGTGCATGGCTGCGTGGTCGTCAGCGTGGTTGACAAATTGCGGGGCTCCCATCAAATAGTTGATCAAGTCCATCAAACGCGACTTGAGAGTCGACGTGCTCCGTTCTTTTCTGTCAATCCTTGCGTAGAATCAGCTTGATGTCAATACCTGTAAGATTTAAATATGATAGCTTTGGTGGGATATCGAAATGCTTCAAAATATGGTCAATATCATGAAAATTTCAAACTGGATTGCGAAGTTTAAGAACATCAAAAGTATTGTAGCTGAAGTAAATAATTTTACAAGTATCCTAACAGTATAAAAAGGCCTTAGAGGTGGTCTGCTAAGCTATAAGTAATAAGGTACACAATGTGGGGTTCCCAGTGAAGAGGACAACATGAGAAGGAATATGGATTTCTATATTTGATGTGAATGACACCGAAGAAACAAGCCAATTAAGAGGCAATTATACGAAGGATGCACTTTCTGAGGGTAACCTTATATGGGCTGGCGTGGTCTCTATGTGAAGCCTGCGTGGTGCCTGCGTGGTTGCGTGGTTAGTCAGCGTGGCTGTGCGTGGTCAGCCTGCGTGGTGTGGCTGCGTGGCTGCATGGCTGCGTGGTTGCGTGGTACGCAAGCGTGGTTGGTTGCGTGGTCCAAGGTATATATGTACATATGGAAGGGTTGTTCTTGGGGAAATCAAACGACCAATATTGCGTGGTATCGGTGTAATCAAGGAGCAATTGACGTGAAGTCGACGTCAAATTGATGTTTACAGCGTCGGAAAATCTTTGGATTAACAACTTGAAGCTCAAAAAATGAGAGAGTACCTAAATTTCGATATTTATCCTTCTCATAATTATAGATACACACATAGAAGATCCAATGGAGCCTAGGAATCCGAGATTTGAGGGCATAAAAGCTTTAATTGATAGAAAGTGAGCTTTGAAACATTTTTGAACAAAGGTCCTTTGTTGCAGACAGTTTACAGAAGAATAAGAAATAGATACAAGGAAATGTTTAACGAAGCATTCCTATCATAGCGCAGTATATATATATTATATACAGTCAAGGCAAGTTCAACTCAAGTTCAACTACTGAGGACTTGCGTGGCCTGCGTGGCCACGCGCCACGCACGCAGTGGTACCACGCAGGTGACCACGCTGAATTTCTAGTGCCCAATTGCTTCAATATCGACGATAGTTCCCCGTGAAACTGTTCGTGTACGGACATGATACGTTATTGAAATTCTGTTAAAGGTTTTCCGGCTCTTTGGAAAAGACGCGCTGTGGATGTGCGAACCCATTTATGTGTCATCACAACTCGCTGTGTTCCCTCAACTCAAATGTCGAACATGGAGAAGTCTGAATGTGGCATGGGGAAATTATGGATATAGGAATAAAGATTCTTCATTTCTAAAGAAGAACGGCTGTGCCAATGATCTATTCCTTTTGACAAAACGTCCCTAAAACCGCATCCACTTTTAGCCCAGAATCATGGTCATACTGGTCCATGTACCCCTTTGCCGAAGCCTATACATGCACTTGCATCACATCCCACTTTATGAAAGCGATACAAAGAAACCACACACCGGAATAGCAGGGACGAATTTCCTATCGAATCGGTCGCTATCATTCACGAGGGACTTCAGAGTGCGACAAATGGCGGCAGTCAATCTGACGGTCGTGAAATCATCCTTGAGGTCAACATACCGTCCAAAAGCTATCGACAGCGGGATAAGCTTTGTTTATCGCGTCGCACACCCTCTGGCCATCAAGTTGATCCTGCGTAAGTATCGTCAGAACAATGCATGTCTAAGTGGCACGGAATCGTACCGGGATGAGTGCTACAGCGTCTATCATTTACGAGTCCAGGGTCTTTATGTGATCTTCTACAGCATTGGTTGGACCGATGAGGGTGGCGGCATCGGTGAACATTCGTTGAACCTACCGTAGCATGGGAAATGTCGACGTGCTTGAAAAATGCGCCGAGAGCTCCATGTATGCTTTCGAACGTATCACCCGTGGCGTTAAAGGCACGCTGAAGCGCAGTTCCATCATGGAGACCCATACGAGAGTTTGTGATAGCAAGAACATCGAGTGGAAAGAGAGGAAGTCCGCGAAAAAACATTATACTGCATAGCTTGTATCGATCAGATGGCGCAGTCTTTGTATTGTCAAAGCCATCAAAGAAGAGATTTAAGACTACTCAGTGAACGAAATCTCCGAGGACAGAAGCATTAGAGAGAAGTGAGTCCGTTGTTCATTTACGTGCACGGGTTCGAAGCGCTTGGTGAATGACCAATGAGATAGGGAGCATCCTAAAGTGATCCGACAGATTTAGACATCTTTCCATAATTACCAGTGCTGCAGGCGACTCCAACTTATCAGAAGATGCGCTGTGCAGAGCTCGTCTACGGAACAGATAACGGCAAAGAGCATCATAGTAGGTCCCCGCCGCAAACTCGAAGATACGAACTCTACTGATCAGTATAATGGTAATCCATTAAGACACCCTCTCAGAAGTATTCTATATTCATGTTGAATTCCTGAAGCTAGGTCAGAAAAGGCAATCAGTTCAAGCAAAAGTGCAGGAATACTTACGAGAGGACATTTTGTGCTTCGATTGATGCGGATATGGTAATACAGGACTGATTGCGTCCCTTAATGCACTTCTTGGGACGTTCGTCGAACAACCCGAAAACCGAGAAGGTTTGTGGTGTAGCCACGCGGTGCAGCATTCGTGTAAGTGAAAGAGCGCTCTTCCCATGGAATGGGTAAGATCGGCGGTTTTGCTCCTGTTCGAGTGAGTAGTAGGGATAATACGTCACGAGCCAGAAAATCCGGGGGAGATAAGGTCTGTTACAGTCTCTTCACTGGGAGGTGAGTGCTAAATATTGACGCCAGGAGTCCACAAAAAGATCAGTATGCAAAGATGTGGGTCGGAGGGGAGATCTTGACATTCCGAAGATGATTCGCATCATGCATATGCATTATATGTCCATTAGAGTAGTAAGGTATCAACTAACTCCGACCCTCATTATACGTGAACTGTCATGGGAGAACTATAGCTGTTCGTAGTCACTGTGGCTAGATATCTCCTCCATAGCTACAGCGTGAACGTCGTAGGACTTGAGAGGGGTGAGATGCCCGGCATTCGGATGTGCTGACCCTGGAAAATTGGTATTCGGATATGACGCCTAGGATTAGTCGGTGAGAGGTGGAGAAGCCAAGTTGCTGAGGAGTAAAGGATTGCGGTGCTGGCTGTATAGCTCTTCGCCATGATGGTAGTCTTCCATGCAACATGGGAACTTTGAGGGAATCTCTAGCAAGGAGAAGAGACGGTCAAACGGATATTTGAAACGTCTCACCTGGCTTGGAATCCTACGACATTCATAGAGACCTCTCCGGCAGACTATTCAAACTCTTGGGATGGCGACATGTCAAAGATGTGAGGAAGCTACGACAGGAATTATTCATACAAGGGGATGAAAAGAAATAAACGATATACAGACATCAGACGTACCGGTTGTTAAAGATATCAAAATTGAGCGTTCTTCTCTCGGCGTACACATCGACGAGGCATTGTAGAAGTTACAGGGAGGAACAAACACGGCGGGTAATGGATAGAAGAGTGTTTTTATACATCATTCAACATGTAAAGACAGCAACAGCGATATTACTGAGTAAGCGCATCATCGACATCGCGGACGGAAAAAAAGAGGTTGTGTTGCCGCTTTCGGTATGGTAACGGAATTCGGACCTTCGGGCCGGATGATTCATGACTTGGCAGGCCAATCGCGGGCCGCAGGTTTCTCTCGTATGGGCGTAATAGCGTGCAAAAATTCACATAGGCACAAGTCATGTTTTTCCGGCCGCAAGTTGGTTATTAGCCCCCAAGTTCGCGTGTATTGTTTCGCAAGTTAGTAATTTTTTTCGCAAGTTTGCTATTAGCTATAGATTTAGAATAAGTAAGGCGGCAGGCCTAGGCTGTGATATACAAATCTCTGTCCAGCCGTCCGGATACCTGACATTGGTTATGAACCATATGAACACTAGCATTCTGGGAAGGAATAGGTACCTATGCTGTTCAGCAGGCCATGTGGTGAACCCTTGAACTCTCTGACATGACATTTTCAGTGCGCCCAATTGACCTCGATCCATCGCTGTCTTGCATTACTCCGAGCATTCAGATCTATAAAGGAGTCAGTGGACTGGAGAAGTAGGTAAAGATCATTAAGACGCTGGAGGAATTCGGGCCATTATGGCAATGACAGAATGACTAGTGTCAAGCACCGAAATAATGTCGACCGTCACTTTGTCCCGCTCCGAACCCGCACCCCAGATCTTATTCAGAGACCTATGATAACAACTGATGCCGGTGTGTATATCACTATATGAAAACACTTAACTTGCGGTGCGGATACGAACTTGGGCACTTAAAAGTAACTTGTGACTGGGAAAAACCTAACTTACGTTCATCGGATTTTTTGCACGCTATTACGCCCATACTCTCGTATCGTTTGACCTCCAAACAACAAACGATGAAAAAAAAACAGATTCACGAAACATTATGTTTCCAAGATCTGTAATTCGCTTTGTACAAATTGTCACCCAGAGCACAAATGGTTGTTAAACATGCAGCATTACTGAAGCATTAAGTTATGGCGTAGTCGAGTTTTGTCCATGACAATCCTTGGACAGTTCACTCGAACTACTACAGACAAATATAAAATGCCTGACTACTGCTCTGAAGGTTGATCTAAAGGATTATACCTTCTATGAGTAGAAAATTTTGAAATGAAGCATTATTTGCATTATATCATCCTCAATGCTGATGAAACCGAGGTACATCCAAACACTGTGCGTTTATTGAGATACGGAAAACGATCACTGAGAGGTCCATTTGGCTCTGCTGAAATTCTACATGAGAAACCTTCGCGTTGAGTGCATCCAAGTTCTCCTTCCAACTAGCCACAGTACGTGTCTTTGACCTTCATCATCTTTTCTAAAACCGTGGCACATATCTCTTGAACGGTGGCCTTGTCCTCATCCTGGGTATGACCGTCAAGAGCTCTATACCAATCATGGAAAAATAATCGGAACACATACCGCAGTGCAAGTATCGACCTTATCCCTCAAAGCGGTGACGCTCGTAACGACAGGATTGACGAAGGAACAAACCCGGGTTACAAATCCGACTTTAATGAAACCGTCCTTCACATCGATAAGGTCCTGGGCGGCAATCAAGATCCAAGGCACCATATCGTAAAATTTTTGCACCATGACTGCGCTGTTGGCTTCCGATAGGACGTCGCTCTGGATCAGGATTCATCAGACCAAAGATACATCCTACCAGCAGGGAGAGTAACGCACCGGGGCAGCCGCGCTGCAAGAATCTATTTCGGACTTGAGTTTCCAGGCTGTAACGGCAATAACCTGAGTAATACTGTCAGAAACCGTGGAAGAGATTCAAGCTTTACAGAAAAACGTACTGCGGCATGGGCACTGTCGGTCATGTTTTTGAAGGTGTCGCAATCGATTTTCATCTGGCCGACCGTTGTAGTGACGGTATCGAGACAAGCAGAGAAGGTCCCGAAATCTCTGCCACCCAAGAGAGGGTTAGCGATAGCAAGAGAGACGAGGGGGAGGAGTGCGAGAATGCGAAAGAACACTTTGAACTTTGGCTAATACAACTACGTTGGGTGCAGTTGCTGAGGGAATGAAACCATCTGTGGAGGCATTTTATACCATTCAGCTGTTGAATGCTCCGGGAAAAGAATGCATGCAGAGTAGCTACGCAGTATGCTGGAATGAATGGGCAACCATTTAGACTGTCAGAAGTGTCAGAGCAACATTGATATGCTAGGCCAAAACACTTCCTTACTAGGGCTTCGCACCGTACCGTATACGGTATGCGACCGTCAGCTCCAATCCGTCGATGGCGTACCGGCCGTATGAGTATGTCCGTCACGGCCGTGTGTACGGCCGTATGTAAGGAGCTGGGCTTGGTAGGTCAGACTAGCATAAGACTATACCATGTGGTCATTGAAACATACCTAGCTTGTTTTCTGATACACCTCAACATCGTCACCCTCGTTGGAGAACCGGTTCTCACTATAAAGAAATACCCCTAACAGGTGTACAGTTGCATCATCAGTCCCAAGTACACAAGAACACCTCTAAATTAGTCTGCAATGGCCTGGAAATAAATGGTAATGAAAGGTATTACTTCGTACTTAGCTTCTGAGCCCCGAGGGATAGCTAAATTTTACTCCCCAGCGATTCAGGGCTACATACCGTACACACGGCCGTCAACGGCCGTCAATACGGGTGCTTCTCAAGCCCTCGATGGTACGGTTACGGTACCCGTACGACGGCACCCGTACAACCGTATTATACGGTGACGGTGCGAAGCCCTATTCCTTACAGGCTTAATTTAATTGTAAGATTGATATTTCCGATTAAAGGGCGCATATTCTACTACGTTCAGCGAGTAGTGGACTCCAGACCATCGATACTAGTAATTGAATGAGAGAGGAGCTAGCAAATTAACTACATGCTGATACGCACGGATGTGTCGCTTTCGCTGCTAGCTCTGATTTTCTGAAACCGATTCTCCATCACATGTGAGCCATGATTCTGAACCATTGGCCGTACTAGCGGACAATCATGTATGATCTTGAGTTGCCATTCCACGGCGTGAAGGTGAAAAAAGGAATAGCCTTACCAAAAAAACCTTCTTGCGGGTGGAATTATCTGGCTTGGTCCTGTAGAGTCTAGTATAGACAGAGGAGCAGGATAGGTGTAATGTATTAGAAGGAGGCTAATACCGCAGCAGTTGATCGAATCTATCCAAGAAGACGTCTTTGTTCGTGTTAGGATACCGATCGTGCAAGTGTCTAGTCGTTGGATGAACGAGAGGGGTTCGTTCTCGGCCGTTGGATCCATGTATGTCAGTCAGTCATGGCAAACGCTGGTAAGAGATGGTAAAAGCACATAAGACTCGGTCATACAGATTTTCCTAAACAGATGTGCAAATCCCTTGTGATGAAAGTGCAACTGAGCTCTACCAGATTAATCATTTAGAAAAAGTCAATCGCGGCAGTGGTATCGATAGAAATGCCGTGGCAGAAAAGGGAGAGTCCATTTCTCTACCAGGGAAGCGAAAATTTGCCATATTGCGGTAAGTAATAAAGGACGTCCGTTGTTAAAGCGCTGTCAAGTGAGCTAGGCGAGCTAGTAGTCGATCTTGATTTGAAAAGCCGACTCCTGATTATAGCCCAGTACTAAAGGCCCGGATGAGACGGAGACATGGTTATATGTCAGAGGCGGATTCAATTAGCAGGAAGGTGGGGAAGGCAGTAGGATCGAACAGTCCCGAAGATCAATTTTTGGAAAGCCGGGTCCGGCAGTTGCTGACTCCGGTCTTCTGATGCTATGGCTGGTATTCCACGCCGGTTTTCTAGGGCTGCGCGCCGTCACCGTATTGTATGGTTTTCGGCAACCGTTATACGGAATACGGACCGAAGCCGAACGCACCCTAATGGCCATTTGTACGGTACGGTGTACGGTTGTTCCGTCGCCGTCAGGAGCTCCAACAGACGGCCGTACAACGTCGTAATATGGCTTATTTTTTTTATCTTACTTTTGACTCAGCTAAGAGTCTTTTTAGGGCAAATTTATGACACAAAATAGTCATCATTCAATTCCGTGGCGTTACTAACTTCACTCTTTTAGCTGTCTTATCAAAATTTCGTACACATTCAAGACAATGGGTGTGACTTTCCTTTAGGTCGTGGATACCTCTAGTCCTTCTCAACGCAGCATAGTTGATTACAAGACTAGGTCAAACTTAGGTACATTCTACAGTTTTTTTGGCAGTCTTAAAGGCATCTGACTGACTTCTTTATGAACAAATTAATTTCATACTCAGGTGCATGGTCGTCAATGGCCATAGACGGCCGTAAGGTACCCGTACCGACGCCGACAAGGCAGTGAAACTGACCATACGGCATGGTATACGGATAGTTCCGTGACCGTCTGGGACAATGACTTTATGGCCATATACCATATACGGTACGGTGCGCAGCCCTACGGTTTTCGACTGGATGCTTCGATGTGTCCTGACAAAGACATCCCGTCAAGTGGACAGGGACTTTCTACGAGATACTTGTCATCTAATTTCGCTCTTCGGTGCCGATTTCTCTACATCAAAATGACTGCAATCATGCGAACAAGCCTTTAACAAGCCACGAAGGCCCTTCGAGCCTGGGTGCATAGCTTTCAATTGAGCGCCGAGTCGAGTTTGGCTCGGATGAGGAACGATTCCATGTTTTGTTGCCCCGGGTTCTTCTGCTGATGGTGCTTTCTTTAGTCAGGTGTTATGGCAATCGATCTCGACTGCTGGCATCGTAACATTGACGATTATACAAGTATTACAAGGATATCTATTATAAGTAATACAGTTGCGATCTCACCGAAGACCATGTATATATTTTCTAGAGGTACAGCGTAACCCGCAGGAAAATTCTCCTTAATCCGAATGCTACAAGCTATAGCCTATAGCTACGGCTGATACTAAAGTGAGCATAGTGATTCTGTGGAGAATATAGCCTGATAACATGAGCCCCGTTCCTCCAGCTCTCAACGTTCTTTGAGCACAGTAACATGGAAAGTTTGATCTGGATATGTGATTGGATTCTCTCTCAGTGCATGGCCGAAATCGTGACGGATCTCTTTAGCACTTCAAAGAACAATCTGTTCGATTATTTTCACTCCCGTTTCATTCATATATTTTTATGGCCATCAAACATTGCCGCACACCACTCAGAACTCACGAATGCCAAGACTAGTACCCAGGTGTCGGTGTTGGTGTTGGTACCGGCACAAGGTCCCAATCAGGAACGGCCGGGTCCATGGCCCTGACATGGCAAGCCATGCGCCGTGGCCATGAAGGCTCGTACCGTTTTGATCACACGGTTGCGTACGTCTCGCGGAGTAGAGGCTCTTCATGGGTACAACAAAGGACAGGAGTAAAGTGTAATGATTCCTAAAGCACAAACAATCCCAAAAGCATTACACATAGTAAGTTAAGATTCGAAACGGAGATGTAGTAATACAGGCAGGTATAGAAAGATGTGGAATACATCGTAAACATATTTTGCAAAAGAGCACGAAACATCTTCGTCACCTATTTGCAGCAAATGACGAATAACATCTGTTGGAAAACGGGGTATCAGTTCATTCCCAGTGTCACATGCATGGTAGCAAGCCAATAGTATTGCGCTTGGCTGAGCTCTGCAAACGCATGAGGATCTATGCTACAGTACCTACTTCATCAGCAATTTCGCATCCATATAGAGGGTATAGGTGGTATAGACAGTATAGGGAATTTTGCGAGTATCCTGAGTCTACGTCATCTATATCACCTATACCACTATACACCTATAGACAAGTCCTATCAAATCTATATAAAGATATCAGTGTAGCCCTTCAATTAATAAATACCTAGGACTATAGTTTTAAGGATGTGCATACTGACAGACAAAATGCGAAAAAGTGTGAAAAAGACCGGTGTCAAGCCTAGCGTCCCCAAAATGGAAGTGGTCTGTGCACAATCGCGTCATATGGTCACGTGTATGTTGAACTTCGCTGATTTTGCTTCCTCTCTTTTCTCCCACTTACTCGTACTATCTCCCTTTCGTGTCTGCGCGATACCGGGCACTTGGTAAGTTTACTTTATTACATATCCTCCTTGCTACAAGATACTCATCTATAGGATCTCATTCGCAACCCCACCCACATCGGATGTCATCCAAACTGTCGAAGATATAATACAAGACCGCCCGGATAAATACGCGTCAGACGCCAGTGGGGATGAAGCGGAGGTATACCTCAGCTCGACGAACGATGTGGTGATATGAGGTGTGTTATTTCTTGATTGTGTGTGACAATCTGATTCTCAGCCTTTTCTTAGCATCAGTGGTGCAGTGTCCTTTATCGTTAGTCCTCTTCCAGGCTTAGGACGTACTATCATCGTGAGTGGCCCCCCCTTCTGTTATGAATATTTTCAACTGACAGCTTTTCTATTAGTCATTGCCGTTTCATCTGTTGTATTTAGTGAAGGATCGGGATTGATGATGGTGGATAGAGGCTGGTGGTATCATAGATGTAACCTGACGTACCTAGTATCTCACTGTACCTGTCGCATTGCTAATAGATATCTAATTCTTTATATTCCTGAGAAATTGAAGTGATATAGCATTCAGAATCAATTGCGTTGCCGGTACAGTCTGGCAAATGATGCTGTATAGGGACGGTATAGCCCTATGAATGGGGTTTATAGGAAACATGCATGTCCCTTATAGCCCTATACCGTGTTATAGGGTATAGGGTGCTATAGGAGGCATGTCTCTATACGTCCTATACCAATTGTGAGATTGCTGATGTTTTATACTAAATGTACTTTTACTAGAATGTTCCACACTTTTCCTACTACTTCTACCTTAATAAGCAGACTCGGCATGATGCCGGATTGCCAAATCCCAACAACATCCAAGCCCGACGGTCCAGACTGCAAAAAGGAGGCAAATAGAGTGAGGGGATACAATGAACTTTGTTGAAGAGTTGCGATCGCAAAGTGTCCTCTAATCTATCATAATAGGTGGCATGGACTTCATCCTCAACTTCCGAGTGATAATAACGACATAAACGCTGATCGCCAGGTCGTCAGCATTCGGACCACCAAAGCACCTCTAGGGCCAAGGAGTGACAAGTCTACAAGCACACCAATACCCTTCGATGTGCAGGAACTGGTACAAAAAGGTACGAACGGAAGGCAGATACTATTAATTCGGATGGGTGGTCCCAGCCAGTAGCCACTATGGGGAAGAAGCGCATGAAGGGCAATAACATAGCCTTCGGAGAAGAGGACATGAAGTCGTCGATATCTATCAAACAAGACTTCTCGAATTATCCACTTCTGAACACCCCGAAATTTATGGGAGACATCGAGAGATACGGGCACCATAATCCATTAACAAGAAAGTTCTAAGCATGGGAAGATGCATTGGGGAAGGCAGACCTTATGTCATATCTGCAAGAGATAGTGAGACATACACACGGACCACAAAGAAATGGACAGAGTGAATCATGACAATACCACAAACTCCGAGTAACAAGATATGAGCAAGGGAAGGGGAAGGGGAAGGGTAAGAGGAAGATAACATTCGGGAAGGAAACGCAGGCATCAGGCGAACATGACAGACGAAGCACACCATTTTACCGAACAGTGCGCCTGTACAGCAGAGCTCAAGCCTTAGCCTATGGAAACCAACGAACGCAGGTGTCAAGCAACCACACACAACCAAGCCTACCATTTGCATGGCAAATAGCGTGCCTGTAGCAATGCTCGAGCCTATAACAGCGACACAATGCAGGCGTTGGGCAATGGTGAGGAAACAAGCACACCATTATGACTAGAACGTGTGCCTGTACCAGCGCCCGAGCCTATGAAAACCACGAAACGCAGTATCAGGAAACCGCAAATAATCAAGCCCACCATTTGAAAGACAAACAGTGTACTTGTAGCGATGCCCGACCTATGACTGCAACACGATGCAAGCAATCTGGCAACCGCGAGGAGCGAAGGACACCATTTTGACAGGAAACAGCGAGCCTGTAGCAGCGCCAGAACCTATGAAACCAGAAACATGGTGGCGGTATATGGTGGAAGCAAAGGGAATGATGGACAATAACAAGGGACGTTAGGACGGGAACAGGATAGGGCTTCGCACCGTACCGTATACGGTATACAGCCTTATAGCCACGGTACAGTGACGGGTGATGGCTGGTCCGTAACCGTACCGTCAAGGCTCTTAGAACTAGGTTGACGGTACGGTACGGGTATATAGATGGCCATGCCGGTCGTCAATACGGCCGTTGAATAATACATACCTGATATTTGGGGCTTCGGAGCAGCTTCAGGTCTTGCCATGGGCACGTCGTCATCTGCATCGTGATAAAATTGATTTTCGAGGGGGATTTCAAGTTTCCGTTGGCATCGAGGGCACACTTATCTGTCATGATGCTCAGAATGCGGTAGTAAGTCTGCGAAAAAAAAGGACTCTTTCGTGAACTCCTCTGGCTTAAAACTCAGCAGTATTTGACAGATGCACAGGCCAGCGGGGGCCAAATTATTGTGCAATATGTGCGGGTAGTCAAACTCAAAGGATGAAACAGTAGTAGAATAGAGGCAGCAGAAGCAGGAAATAGAAAGTATTCTATGCTGGTAAGGATTAGAGCTTGAGTAGAGCGAGTGAAAGAAGATCGGGTGGTAGCGCTGAAGAGCTTGCGGTGCCAGCACATCGTGGTACAATGTTAAGTATATAGCAAACACGCGTACAGCATGATCTGATGATGGTTATTTTTAGATACATACACGGCCGTTGATTACCGTATGACGGCCGTGTTTATACGGTTGCTAACGGGATACGGGATGTCCATATACCGTCCGTCTCTGGGCAAGTTATTTTGTCAGACGGAACGGGTACGGTACCTGTATGACGGCACCCGTATAACCGTACTATACGGTGACTGTTATGGATCTGCCGAAATCCGGAGATGCGAGCATGAGGCGAGGAGTAGTGATCGAAGTGAGGTAAGATTAATCAGGAATGATGTACGTCGTTAGGGAATATATTGGATTCCGGCGAGGGTTCGTGAGGAGACCTGAGTGGTCCAGTTTGCGAAATAAAGGAAATCAGCAAACGCGAAGCAATTACTGAGAGAAGCAGCCGGTAAGCGCGGAGCAATTACCAATATAGAAAGCCTGTAAGGGCGAAGCTATTACGGGCCATGGGTGAAGGCAAGCGCTAAGCGTAACCTTCGGGTTGGTATTGGAAAGCGCTAGGCGTATCCAACGAGTTGTTCAGCAAGCGCTAGGCGTAGCTGAGGGTTCACGCGGTGAAGGTGTCCTGAAAGTAGTAGATTGATCAAGTGCCCTAATACAATGTTATCTACAAGTTTATATACTAAGGAAAGGTTCGAGTCATTATTATTCTACAATGTTCTATAATATTCTAGTATCAGTACGAAGAATAGAGAAAGTAACAGAAAGTACAAGCGAGTCAGTATTAAGACCGAGAAGGCCGAGTACGGGCATATGTTGACTCATGCACCGAATCAACGGATACCCAATATCCATAACAGTGACGGTGCGAAGCCCTAGAACAGGATATGGGATGTGGAATATGGGGAAAGGATCACAAAATGGACAAGAGCAATGGACAATAGCAAGGGACAGGAACTGGAAGGTGGTGAACCAGTGGTGGTGAGTGGTTCTGTTGGTGCGAGTGGGGGAAGGGGAGCGGAAGCACAAGTCTAGGAGCAGTGATGGAAGGAAATTGGCGCAATCAGTCTCGGCGTCCGGCCCGGAACCCAAATCAAGCTTCACGTCAAACAGCCACCATCGATAGCCACTCTTTCCAAAGCCACTGGTGCGTTCTTTAATTCAAGTGGTCTCTCTCACACTAATACGACTCAGAGTAGTCATGGACCCATCATCCATTCTTCCAGTGGATATTAGAGTTACTGTGGCTGTACGAGCCGTCGGAATTAACCGGCTCCGAACCCGTTACTTACCGTACCCGTAGTATTCTTTTCTTTACCGTTCATGTCGACATACTAGGTATAAACGAGTTGCTCATTTTCGTTCCCTCCCGTGCTCGAATCTCAACAGTGGAAGTACTCTCCAAGATCTTTCGGCATTACCTCCTTGATCGCGAGTTCAAGGTTCAGTCATTCGATTTCTCCGATGGACTCTGGGTCCTTGGAAAGATCAACCGTGCATGGAGAAGCACGGTCATATCTTCCAAATCTCTTTGGGCGACAATAACCATCACCCGCGAATTTCCCTGTCGCAAGTATCGAAAGGACAGATCACTACTCTCACACACGGGGTCAGCATCTGACGAGGATGCTAGCGAGACCAGGAAACAGATCCTCACCGAGTTACCTCGCCGCTCTGGAGATGTTCCTCTCACCATATCCATATCTTTCCCGCTCAGAACGAAATATTGTGAGAAGATCCCTACTTCCGATTATGGAACACTTTTCGCTATGCTTGTCGCACAAAGCCACCGTTGGGAATCGATGGAATTGAATGGGCATTTTTCCATGCCTATTTGGGAGGATTTCATACAAATACCATCTACTCGTCTTCAATCACTGCGAAGACTGCATGCGATAGTACCAGACAAGTCCGTCCTGGCTCAGGTCGCACACATCTGCTCGGACGTTGTGAACTTGGTCATAAGCGCCTCTGGAGGCATTCATACTCTCGATAGAGTCAGTATGCCTTCACTCGAGCACGTCGAAGTCATAGGAGATACACGTGCGCTATATTGCATCTCTGCCCCTTTCTCAGCTCGTTGAAAATCGAGAGTAACCCTTTTGCCGATGTACTTGGCCACCATAGAGGGCCTCCTGTCTTACATTTTCTCCATCATTCAAAATGGTGGATCCGTGCATTGGATATCACTTGGTATGGGAATATTGATGACCTATTCGCTATTTTATCGCATATACCTTCACTCGAATCCCTCAAATGCTCTATCGAGTTCAACCTGGCTTTTCTTCAGGAGATGAAGTCCCCGCTGTCGTTGGCTCCGAATTTGCATACCTTTGCTCTGCGATACCACAACGTCGTTCGTTTCCCGCATGTCAGACTCAGCCTTGACATGATCGAGTCGAGGCTCGCAGGTGGAATTCTGAAGCGCGCAAGCATTCACCCCGTAGGAAAGACCTCCATCAAAATGTTCGATGAGCGTCTGGCCGCCATCAATGCTACGCCGGATGTTAAAGTCTGGCTTGAGGACGACAGTGGATCATACGCAGAGCTTGTGATGCCCCCTATTGCTGGGGAGGATTATGATGGCGATATCTATATGCTGCAAGTTAATAGCGGTCTGGTGACAGAGGATGATCTTCTATGAGAGCATCGTTGATGTTCTTTTTCTGGGTAAGAGATTGGTGTATTCTGGAATCAGGATCTCACTCACGCGTATGCATATCGGCTTTCTAGACGCGTTTATTTTCTCAAAGAATGATGTATATATAATCTACTATAAACCAATGTTGATGCGTTACTTATGAGTCCGACATGACTGATAGAAGCTAACTCGATGTTATATCAACCAAATAGTTGCCTGCGCATTTCTTATATACATGACGATAAACGACATTATCGGAGGGAGATAAAAAAGGAAAACAGCGTGTTCTGCTACGCCTTCAATAAAAGATAAGCACCAAAAAAGGGAGCATAAATTGGGGCGCTTCTCAGGAATGACGCATCGATTAGCACTTACTAATGTCATCGACCGTATTCAAGGCCATACTGCTTCATTTTTTGCGCCGTTGAGTTACGAGTTTCACTAGAAGGTGATGCCTGATACAAGCGGGTAAGCCAATACGCGACAGGAGAATTGGCTCTGGAATCATTCGAATTGATATGGAGGATGCATGAAGATCATCAGGAACTGGAGATGGCTCGAAGCGCATGGCTGTGATCTGAGAAATGGGAAATGAGCTGTGGGAATGAAAGAATCAAGAAGATATTAAGTTTGAGGGATGCGGTAATAGGTAATTCATAGTTCCCATGCCCTTCCGTCCCCCACGACACGTAAGGAGATGGTCAAGATGCGAAATAATAAAAATATTTGCAATAGGCTATGCGTCAGAGACTCGTAGAACATAATGACACGTGCTTAGTATTAATCACCTTTGTTCTATCGAACGTGCAGCATCGTCGTGCATCCGAGTCGGTTGTCGTAGGTATGTAGTTCTACAACGTTTGACAAGCACGGTTAGCTTTCGAATCAGGTCCTGAAATCTGGGTAGGTGAGAACTTAAACAACGTCCAGAGAAGAGCAGAATCAATGCTTCTCGAGCCAAGGCTTTCCAGTCCCCGTTTTTACCCCCTTCGACGCAAATCAAGCACGTCTTTTCGCCTAGCCAGTCGATCCTCATGACATCACCATCCCATCATGCACTAAACTTCGCACATCGTGTTTCCTAGGCTTTCACAGCTTTTATTTGGCGTGCGCTCCGTGCCCTATGGCAGGTGTTTCATGTGCGAAACTATTGGGAGATGAAAACGACTGTCGATATAGTATGGAACCATGAGACGAATAAATGTCTTGTTATTGAGGAAGAGCTTCCGGCAAACAGACCGTGAAGGCAGGATGCCACTGTACGGGTGTACCCTCGTGCTGTTTAAATACGAAATTCAGCCTAGGCCGATATCATGGCTAAGACGGTCGGTTCCACGAAATAAATAAGACACTTGCTTCCCGGTAGCATGCCAACTTGAACAGAGAGAATGTGCATCATTTTCTTGGCACCCTTTATAATCATTAGAAATTATGTGTCGGGACTCAGGATCAAATAGATAGACAAGAACTGGGACGTACTTACCACCTAAGACCCATAGGGCCAGAATGAAGACAGGGAGCAGGGCAGGACAGCTTCCGGATCGACATCCGGCAGGCCGGATAAAACAGTACGATGGCTATGAGGTTCGCATTGTCAGAATGCTCGTGAACCTCGGGAAAATGGCGAAGCTGTGCCTTGAACAGCCATAGGCTCGAGAGTTTGCCTATGACGTGAATCCAGTTGCGCATTTCCATACGAGCCGGGTGTGAATAACAAGGTAGGAGCTAGGCGCCTCATTTTAAGGGTATTCATTATGTCGTCGTGTCGTCGTGTTCGCGTTTTCAAACGGCCTATCAACATTTTAACAAGCCGTCTAGGATATGAGAAAAGAAGCTTCCGCGGATAAGAAGAGCAAGCATCGTGGATCGTCCCTCAGATCCGTAAATAAAGGCTCCTCGTGATAGAAAGAGAGCTTTAGCTCGAGGGTATCCCAGTATCCGACGCCGTATGAAAGCACTCATTGACCTAATCTGTCTATGACCGTCAATGTCTGATGCTGATCAATAAATTGTGACTGATGAGGATTTTGCCAATTTGGATCGCAGACTATGCTGGCTACGAACCTACCAAGTATGTGCGTAGTCCGAGCATCTGGTCCACAGGCATGCATTATTTCAGTCTATGGCTTCCTTTCTACATGGTCGCAAAAGAACATACTCGACTTCCATGCTAGATTCAAACCGTCAATAGAAGAAAAGAGCAATCCCTTGGCAGTCCCACCAGGAAAGCTTCAAAAGCAGACACTTTGCACTGGATACTTGGTGTAAAGTCCCGGTGCCGTAGAGGAGAGGAGAGGAGAGAGCACATCTCAGATCTCAAGATTTCATGCACAAAGCAGAGTGAGACGAGCGAAGAAAAGATGATGGCCGATGACAAAGTCGTCCCTGTCCAATTTCCGCCATAAGCTGGATCAATGCAAGGTCAATAGCAACCGCCACCCAAGTCGTTAACTTTAATGTTCAATGGAGTTGGTTAGTAAGTCCATCGGCGGTCCAAAAAAATACATCTCGCCAATCTTGACAGAGACACCGACGACCATAGGGAATCGAACAACTCTGTATGAGAAACGGTAATCATTTCACCATTTTGTAGGATGGAATTAGTGTTTCCCTGGGAAAGGACTTGCTCTCGAGCGAGAATTACACATGGCGACCATGAGGTGGCCAGAGAACTCAGGAAGTGGAAAACTGAGACCCGGATCGATGGCTAGGGGTGGAAATCATCGAAGGTACGGGTGAGCTTGTAGGAAATGAGAGCGTTGAGAGAAATGATCCTGAATCGAGGTCACTGCGTGGCGCAAAAAGTCTTGTAATAGTGCCCGTCTATGCACCGAGTGGGATTCGAACCCTTTTCACTTAACTGATATGTGAACCATATAGTCATTGGTGCGACGTGGGTGTAACATGTTAGAGTTAATTCCATCGGGTGGATTCTGTGTATATGTGTCTGGTTTGTTTTGAAAACTGCTTTTCAAGATATCGCGTCCAGGTGGGAGAGGGGATTCATTCACCTGGAATGCGTAAAGGATTGATTGAAAGTCTGTTCGGAATCCTTCCCATGTATGGCGAGAATCTTCACAGATCGGATACTAAGAGAAGGAAGAGCAACGTTGAAGAATGACTGGATTATATTCACTGTAAAGAGTCTAAAGCCCATTTGTGGCACGTTTCAGAACACAGCATAGGTAGAGAACTGTACAGTAAGTCATTTTGTTCACAGCCAAACGATCAATACTAGCAGATCCTGCCTGAAATTCGGTCTTCGCAAGAGTATACATGAAAGTATGCAGCAAGGAATTGACCATGTGAGAGGGTAATCCTGGAACCGCACCTGAAGGAAGGTTTTGCAGATATCAGTGAATCGTATAATTATTCTGAGTTCCGGAAAAAGGAAAACATGAACAAATTCTTCAGAAGAGGTCCCAACATACGCCGAAGGGGAGTCGAACCCCTACCGCTTGCTCAAATGACTAAAAATATCTTGCAGATGGAAGGCAAGCATGATAACCGTTTCACCATCGGCGTTGTCCATTGCGGGGCGTAGACACCATCCACTCGCGTTTGTATATTCCTCAGAGAGAGCTACGAAGGCAGAATTTCAATAGGTCTACCCCCCGATAATTTCACTCTAAACAGAATCATGCTTCTGAAAGCCCCACTCCTACCCACCTGGACACCGGCGAAGCACATCTTCTCTAGATCCTCCACCCCAACCCCACCGAGCTTCGTACACCGCACTCTGCAGGCTCTCAGTACTTCAACTGAGCGCGTGTTCCGTTCGCTAAAGCGTCGCATGTCTACAGGGTAGCATAGCAAGTCGGTTTTCGTTATTGAGAGTCTATATCGCAGAGCAGAGCAAACGTCGTCAAATTCCCTGGATTGGTCGCAGTGTGAGCGTAGGTATATGTGTCCATGTCCGATGATAGTGCGAACGTCACTTTGTAGGATGTTCAGTGTGAGAGTATGCATGTTCAGCAGCTCCGGAGATGCATACGATACATGGTCTAAAAATGTATGTGGGAGAGTGTTAGTTTGGTTATGTGGATGCGTAAGACGGGCGTATGTTAGGTCCCTGGAAGCTTCTTTATAATGCTCAAAGGCAGACTTGTGAGATAGATAGGGTAGTGCGCCATGCTGTGAGTAAGCGAATTAGCTTTCAGTATGATGTGTAGGGAAACTATCACATGTGACAATCGTACTCGTAACTGACGAGATGGTGTTCTCCCGAGTCGTGACCAGATGATGAAATGATGGCATCTGTGGAACTGCTTAGTGGACGACGAAAGAGACTGTCAGTGTGGCATGGAATCGTGCGATGAATGGATTGCCTGGCTATGGAGGAAGAGCTGCCGGTAAAGAGACCGCGAAGGCAGGATGTTATTGTATGTGTATACCCTCCTCACACCAGTTAAATACTGTATTCAACACGGAAATGTATCAAGCCGAATTTTTTGCCCGGTGGCAAACGTCAGAATGACCTGAAGAGAGGGACAGGGCATGTCCATTGATGCAAGCATCTCAACGCGGTTTCAAGGTAAATAGCTAACTGACATGTCGGAACTTCCAGGCTCGCCTCGAGTCCCAATCCACGAGAAGAGATGGCTATAGGCATCCATTGATACAAAGAAACAGGAGGAATGCGCTGTCCATCTCGAACGTACACTGTTATGGCGAGAAAGTGGGGGATGGAGACAATCCGCACCAGAACGAGCAACAGGTAAGCTTGATATCGTCGCACTTCCGGAAGCCCTGGAAGGAACTAGAAATTGAGTGTCAGTACCGAACACGTAGATACCGACTAGGGTGTACTTACCGCCTGCCAAAATGGGATAACTACTACAAAACGTAGAGCAGGAGGCCGCAGGAAACCAGGCGAACGAGGATAAAGACAGTGGTGCCTCAATGTTCGCAAACCTCCGGACTAATGGTGAAGCCGTGCCGCGAATAGAGATGAGCTCGAGAGCGTGCTTTGGCAATCCTATCGTCAGACGACGGTCGTGAAATGGCGGCGTAGATTCTGCAGCATAGTTGGCTCCATCGAGTAATGGAGAGCTCCTAGTTTTCATCTCACAAAGTTCCTCTTATTTCCTAGCTGCCATAGTACCAATTCCCCAGTATACCAGACCTAGGAACAGGCGTAATATCAGGTGAAGGGCATAGACGTACGCGGAATTGTTGGTCCTCTGAAGTCTGAGGATGTCAGTGGAAAATGGATTCCTCCCTGACCTGAATTTAGAACGTCGGTGTGTTACTCAAAGATCGTCGACAGATATGTAAGACCTACAAGCAATTGGGAGGCGAGGGCTCCACAGATTTGAAGAAGCGTGTATTGACATGCATGAAGAGCATGGAGTACCACATAAGCGAACGGAATAATGGTGCGGTGGCAGCAAGGATATCCTTCTTGCTCAGACCGGGGCCGAGTACAGCAGAGCAGAGGGGAGAGGAAGAATGGTGCACCGAGCGGGACGGCAGGAGATTCAATAATTAATTCGTACTGCGTCTCTGTCCCATCGTAGTAAATAGGGCTGCTGAATACCTGCCAAGTCTGAATAGATTGATCGAGATTTTCTTATAAGATAAAGGAAGAAAGAAAGCGACGAATACTACTAATCCATCAGAGCGCGGACTTCAAGCATTGATATAACTCACCTGCGCGCGCTATTTCCTGATGACGAATATCATAATGATCCCCAGGGATATACGCACTTTCGTCAAGGATCAATGTCGCAGGTTCCGAGAGTACAGGTCTACGGAAGATGGTGGCTATATGCGCACCAGTGTTAGCTGGATTGTCGTGGAAGGGTTGAGGTTACCGAAAAGGGACGTCAGGCCGTGAGAACGCTGGTATTGTCATATCGTCAGTCATGGTTGTGGAGTTGCATGGCATATGACATGATGCCATGAGCGAGGGATGGATGATGTTGTCGGAGATCAGGTGTACTTGTTGCCTTCGATACGTTCCGGTTTTGCGGCATCCTCTCAACAGCACAGCTTATGAGACGAAAGCCTTTCGAAGAAAGGAAGAGTACGCACATAAGACTGACCCGCGGAACACGCCAAAGTGTCCCGAAATCGGACGCCGTTCCAATTATAGCACGCGGACATTCTTCCGCCACGAGTCGCTAGTATTTGTCCGGATTCAGGTAGTACTGTACTATTACGACCGGAAGTTCAGCCGGTGTTAGGTGTTAGGACAGTAGTTCATCGGAATGTTAGTTCATTTTCCTTTTTGGGTGTGTTCTTGGAGAAAATAATGATTGATAAGCCCTATATATGGTAATTTCGTAGTTCAGAGACCCCCGTTAGGCGTTAGGATATATGAAATAAGTTCAGTTCGAGGGGGTCTGTTAGGCGTTAGGTGAACTTCCGGTCGTAATAGTACAGTATACGCGTGAAAGTATCATGATATAACCACTAGCTCTGCGAAACCAATGCATGGTTCAATTTAGAACTCCAGCTATGGCTGTATGTACACGTACCAGAAACATGCCCTATTCCTCTGAGCTGTCTCGCCAGCACTCGCATGTTACACAAATATCGGCCGTGTCCTTCATCGTCGGGAATTAATCAAAGTTTGAGTTAGACATAGTCTAAGCATCGTCACGGTACAGTCTTGAGGTCAATGTCGCCACGCTAGAACAGCACGATGATGGAGGAGAATACCAACAGTCTTAGCAGGTGTCGGTGAAGCTTGGACAACGCTTAGCATCGTGTATGAATGTTTGTACGTCGTAAATGTCCGGAGACCCAGAAGGAGGAGGAAGGACTGAAGTGGTGAAGGACGGGGCTAACAAAGTCCGATTTGTGTCGGCAGATCAATACACGTGATATCCGGTTGCCCAGGGCCACGTTGTCCAAACGTCGTCAACGTCGAACGTCGAACTGGTCTAAGTACGTTCTCGGAATACTTAACGCTAGTTGATCGCGCGCCTGGCATACATTTCTCCCATCCTGTCGCGCGATCTCTATATATCCTTGGGATATAATCAGGACGAAGAGACACGACTATTTCATCAGTGTCAATATAATCTCCAATAAAATTCTCGATGACTTGAATGAGACCAACTTCTTGTGTCTGTTTTTTTGAATGAACCTATTCTTCTCGCAATTTTCAGCCTCTTTTTCTCTCCGTACACAGCCATTATCTCACCAAGTCGAGCACGGAATCGATGAATCCTCAAGTTAGCAGATGTGCCATCTGCGTCCCAAAACGACATATAAAGGAAATAAACACACACGCTGCAGGGGATCGAACCCACCTCATGTGTAGGAATGGTAACCGTTGCACAATTTTACCCTGTCCTGAAGCGAATTGGTCGATGACAAACCACAGAAATCTTTGGAGTACGAGGGATACCATACGGAGGCCAGTATTTGAAAATTGAAAGAGGGTTATCTCTGGGGAAAAGGGGGGAATTTCCAGATCTCGTGTGACGAGCTCCGGTACAAAAGAGGCCAATCGAGGAATTCATCAATGTACTGAAAGGGATTCGAACCCTTCCTCGATTCCACGATACTTAATCAGTTCTACCATCCGTACCTGATGTACTGACCTTGGAATCTCGATATTACACGGTACACTGAGGTCTTCAAGGCTATCATTATGTCATAGCTAAGCTGGGCTTAGAGGCCCTCCATCTCGTAGTCATGGAAGAAGGTATTGATAACAATGCATAAAATATGAGCAAAGGAGCTCGAATAAGGGTCACTGTGTAGCGAAAAAGTAAAACTTCAACAGGCATTACCAATGCACTGGAAGGGAATCGAACCCTTCTACTTGTGCATCGTGTTGTCCAGAAGTGTGCGATATCCCCGCTAGGCTCGTCTTACCAGTAGACCAATTGTACAAGTGCTCTTTCACAGATATGACATGTTGTTTGTTCAAATCAATTTAGGCGTTCGGGTTGTGAAGGGGCCTCTCAGCTTTTAAAGAACTTACACAGGATACGAGAAGATAGCTTTTGTGCATAGGAAGAGTGCGCACTGTCGACTATCCTACATATCTGGAGGGGTTTCTCGTGATACAAAGAGTGTTTTGGGGGGAAAGATATCCGTGCGAAGGAAACTCAATGATTTCTCAACGTCGATTTCAATGTTCAACTGAGGTTGTAGGCCTTCCGGGGGTCCACAATAGATATATCCTGCCAATGTACATCGGGACACACCATAAGGAACGGAACCGTTCGGTACGTATTGAAATTATAAATAGTGACCATTTCACCATTTTGTACAACATAATTAGAGTTTTCACAGGAGATACCCGGATAAGAGTGTATCCCAACTGTGTCAGGTGCCCCGCCAAATAGCTCCCGGAGCCATTGAACTTGTAATAGTGCGCTGGTACCGATAGGAATTAATTTACTCATCAGTCTCTTACTGTGAAGGGATGATTGTAGAAAGAGAAACTCACTGGGCATCCTCTCAGCAAGCTCTTTCTGCGTTGCAGCCATGAAACCGCAGCTTGTAATTAAACATGTGACGTTCTCCTCTTTCATCAGTCTTGTTCCCTCTTTAACAAACGCGTCTACCAACGCCATTTGTCCTTCCCTTCCACCCAGCACTACCGTCTCCCGGATGGCTACTTCGACGATGGATATGACTACTGGATAAGTGTACGATTTCGGATTACCGAAATCGCCAGGCAGCCTGTAGAACTGGGTATTCAGCTGCAGTACACCAAGTTTTCTATTTGACGCTATGTCGGATTGAGAAGGTGCAAGAGTTAATCGTTCATCATGACTATAAAAAAACAAGTACCTTATCTCGGCCGATCCTGCGGATCCCCCGGATACACATCTCAAGATTAGCGATATTATATTTATCTTTCATCATTTTGCGCTTTTTTGATGTGCTATATTCGCTGATACACTTAGAAACTCAGCAGAAGGGCATGATCCTTCCTATCTCCTTCCATCTATCCCTTATCTGGTTGGGATATGTCTACCTTGGATCTTCCCGACGACTGCTTTTACCGCTCAGTACTCTGAACTTCTTCTGATCATAGTACGGACCTCAAGTTTCCTCTTAGAACCTAGCAAAATGACGAATACTCACTATTACACTACGGCTGGGTAGTTTATCCTGCTTCCTAAACTTTTCCGGTCCTATCTTAGACGTACCTATCGCATTGCCTGCCTTGATTATGGAATTATCGTCCACAATAGAGTGGCCAAGGATCTTCTCCTCCTTTTCAGCGCCTTTCACATAAGAAGGAGCGCTTTTTCTATCCAGACACTTGGAACTGACAATGGCACCGTCCTTGGACTCAAAGCCTGACCGCAAAGACGATGTCGAGTCAAACGTCCCCGACGTTGCTTATGGTCCCAATGGAGAACCCAGTCATAACATCGAGGGTTATTACAGATTCGACCCCAAGGTGGAGCAGAGGGTCGTTCGGAAGCTCGATGCGAGGCTTATGCCGCTTATTTTCTGCCTGTACATCTTCAATGCCATCGACCGGTCAAATTTGGGTGAGTAGTTGTTGGGTACACGATGTGTCAATTCGCTGGTGTGTAACGTCTACCAGGCAATGCAAAGACGGAGGGACTGGAGACCGACCTTCACTTCCATGGGAATGACTATTCGATAATGCTTTCAGTGTTCTGTGCGTGACTCTTTTTAGGCTATACGTTAATCTATCGTCTGACTGAACTTTTTTTAGACATACCATTCTGTACCCTCACCGTTCCGGCGATCGCACTCTCAAAGAAAATCGGGGCTAAAGTGGCGCTCCCACTCTACATGTTTACTTTTGGCGGACTGTGTATGATTAATGCTGCGTACGTCACCTCGGACAACTTTGGTTTACGTCTCTCATTCATCGTTTAGGGTCAAGAACTTTGTTGGCTGTCTGGTCGTGCAGCTATTCCTTGGTGCAGCAGAAGCCGGATTTGCTGTGACCATCATCTGGTATCTGACTACTTTTTACACGTTTGTTTCTCTTTTCGTCTCTCTCGTGCATATCTAATACATTACTAGGCGTGGTGAGCTTGGAAAGCGTGTCGCTGTGTTCTTCTCAGCGCTTGCTTTTGCGGGCGGATTCTCTGGGCTGATCGCATACGGGGTGTTTCAGCCGGATATCCGTCTTCAAGGTTGGCAGGTACATGAATATATTTTCCTGATTCGCAAACCCCTCACCTATCTTTCTTAATAGCTACTCTTCCTCGTCGAAGGCGCTGCAACTGTCTTCTTCTCGATCTTGGCAATGTACGCTACTCCTCCATTTTCCTGGTGCATTCGTGACATTTTCACAGATTCATCCTGCCCGTAAATATCGACTCGGCGCCCTTTTTCTCGTCAGAAGAAAAGCATGTCGCATGGACACGTATTCTCCGTGACTGGTCTGCAGTCATGAACGAAAAGCTCACCTCTCAAGCTTTCTTCGCTCCCCTCAAAGACTGGAAGCTCTACGTTTGGGCGTTAATCGCCATCTGTTATGGAGTAGCTTCTTCGTCGACTGGGACTTTCCTCCCTCAGATTATTGGACGAATGGGAAAGAGCAACTTGACGACGAATCTGCTCACGGCACGAACTATCGTTGTCATTTTTATAATTTTGGATGTGCTGAGCGAGTGTCACATATATAGGTCGCACCCAACTTTGTCGGTGGTTTTGCTGTGCTACTCACAGCAGCCTCGTCAGATTATTTCCGAGAGCGGTCGTTGCATATTGCTGGTACGATGACTGTAACGATGATCGGCTTCATCGTTCGTGCGTCCATCTTCCTTTCTCATATCATACGCCTATTTATTGGGGCTTAGTTGATACCGTTGACGTATCGAAGACTGGTATTCAGTACTTCGGTTCCTTCCTATTGTGTCTTGGGGCATTCACGCCTTCGACCGTTTTCCATGTGTGGCATAATTGCAAGTAAGTAAAGGTTATTTGGGATGTGGATGTCAACTGATCAAGCTACCTCTACAGCGATGCATCAGAAGTCGGACGTGGTTTCCGTACGGCGCTTATGACATTCTTTGCAAACTGTGCGTCTCTTTGTTTACAACATAACTCTTCCTCAACGCCTAATCCGTGTACTTAGCTTCTGGTCTTATTGCTTCCAACATCTTCATGGAGAAAGAACAGCCCTAATACAACACCGCCCTCGTAGTCAACTTTAGCTTCCTCGCTGTGGGCATAAGCCTCGTCCTCAGCTTGCGTACGTATATGATGCTTGACAATAGGCGGAGGAACAGGGCTCAGGGTGTGAACTGGTCGAGCAAAGACGTGCCGACGGCAGCGCTCGCTGTCGGCGTGGCGAGCCCAGAGTTTAGGCATTTCCTTTAACAAAGGATGTTCGTTGTCTTTAGTGATACCAACCATTGACTGTACTATGCAACTCGCAACAGTGTCCAAAAATCTGAGGCCATTCCAATTATAGCATGCCGACATCGTTCCCTTGTGTGATGAGCGGCCTCCTAGTGTAGACATCCGTCACAACCTGCTGCCCAGTACATGCACGCTCTATGGATATTGAATACATTATTCAGCATGCCGTCCCTCTGAGGTAAATAGACACTTCAACCACGCGAGACACGACGAAGGAAAATAATCTCAGCACGCGGCGTTGACTCCTTACCATGATCGGTAGGGTGGAATACAGGTTTATCCTCGTTTCAAAGGGAGACAGCGAACAGAGAGGAAGATAATCCACAAATACCTTTGCAGCACGGAACTTGGAGAGAGACATATACGGAGGCTCCAGAACCGCTAGAAGAGGACACGTGTGATCATGAAAAATGAATGTCAAGAGGTTCGTATGACAATCACCACTGCAAAAGAGACATCCCACTAAGAATCCGGATATGGGATTTGAACCCCCCCTTGATTCCCTAATAATCAGTTTCGCCGTTAACTGACCTTGAAATCTCGATGCTACGAGGTGCTTCAAGACTGTTGTTTAAACTCAGAATAGCTGTTTGACCAACCGTAGCCGGTTTCATTGGCGAGATTGTTTATCACAACTTCCGATTATCGCTCTCTCCAATCATTGGAGCTCTCATATGCTGCCTTTTCAACACCGGAAGTACGGTCCAAAAAGCCATAATCTTTCTCCATTTGGCACACCATCTGGAATCGAACCAGTATGGAACTGTGAATTGTAACCGTTTCACGGTTCCAGGGCACAAATTTAGGGTTTGGAAACGTTCTTGCACAAGGATCCGACAAAGATTTATGAAATCAGAAAGCTGAGGACGTAGATACCCTTAACATCATAGATAAAAGAGGTACGAGTGATCCATCCGTAAAATAAACGTTTCACGCAAGACTGAGAGACTCTGATTACACCATTATTCCACCGAAAGGGAATCAAACCCTTTCTAAGAGACTGATACATCATAATCGTATGGCAGTCAGTGCATTGTGACTTTCCCTGGTGAAGCGGACTCAAGGTTAACTCAGCCTGCAGCATTTCACGTCAACAGGGAATCCATGGTTCGTTGGCTTGTAAAATTAAGTATTATTTATTGCGATGTCGTGCTGAGACAGGAAATCATCCCTTCTAGAATGTGGTAAAGGATCGAGTAGTAATTCGAAACGCGCGGTGAGAACATGTGAACAGAAGGCCGGAGAAAGATTGGATCATGATTGTAATTAATCCATCGAAATTTCTGTGAATCACAAGGATTATTGTGCGAATAAGGTCATGCAACAGCTTGGAAACTCACCGGTCAGAACTTGTCTTACGACAATAATATACCACAGCCCTGAATGAGGTTGGTTCATGAATGATGTGCCTGGAGGAACATTAGCATCACCACTCAGGAATTCAAAAAAAAAAGAAAAACCTCACTGAAGCTAGATATGTACGCTGAAGGGAGTCGAACCCTGCCGCATGTGATAATACTTCATCTATCTTCGTACTAGAAATCCTGGCTTGTGTCTGTAAATCAAGCACTTTGACCAGGGAATGAGAGCGTAAAATACATTTAGAGGCCATTCCATCATCCAGAAGAGAATGCGTTGAGCAACCTCGCAGTCAAAGACAATATGAAAACTGTATGAGTGCTTGAATAACGATCAGTGCGTGGTACCATATGGCAGAATAGATCCAAGATGACTCCGTCATATTGCACCGAAAGGGATTTGAACGCTTGCATATAACGATATGCAGTTTCTCCGTTAGTACTTGATATACTTCTAAATCCCAACACAACAAGGTGAGGAGATATCTTCTTCAATAAATACTATGGTTTCGAAAAGTCGGGCCGTCCCAAACTATCAGGTGACTTTCTCTCCGGGAAGCTAAACTCATGAGAATACCATCAAAATCTCACAACAAAAATCGAGGATCTTCTTCTAGAACTCTGAGTAGGAGTCGAACCTACATTGTATACGACCTAGGAGCATATAGCAACCGGTAGGCTATCAGAGCCTTATGAATAAAGCATACTCCTAGAAGAAATTCGACTTAGATGGGGGCTTAGCAAGGTGAATCACGAAAGCTGGGATGCAGAAGGAAGCTGGTGCCCTGCTGCAAAGGAATAAGGGCGCCGAAGAGATAAATAGAAAAGTAGGCAACCGTAATGTTACACATGTACGAAATGTTGAAGGCTTCAGGCCTTTATGGCACGCTTGAGTATTATTCGTATATATCTGTTTAGGAAGATCTGGTATGCTGTCGGAAATTCAACAATGTACACGAGGGGCGAAGGAGCTCATAGATATAATAGGAAACTCCTGTCCTTCAAAAAGTGGGTTAGTACGAATTATCAACGACGGTACCGGTACCCCGAAGTACTTGCCTATCATAGCTATTCAAGACAGCAAAAAAAAAGAGTATAAAAAAAATTTATTCACTTGCAGTCGTGCTTAGTCACAACGGAAAGAAGGATCCAAAGACTGGAAGAAGCCGCATAGAATATCTTCAGCATAGTGATCCCCGAAAGTCTGGTTAGGAGGAAGGTCTTGAATCCGCCGTCGTAGACCACTCACGGGAACGACAGGATGGAATCAAAAGTATCAGAGTCCGGACTAAGAGCTTGCTTCCAAAGGAGTATACGTCGCCTGAAACCCGGAACAAACGCGAAGAAGTTCTCACGTAAATGAGATCAGAGTGTACGTTTAACCGGACGAGGTGCCCCTGATGGTGACTCGCTTCGAAATTTTATTGAGTAAGCTTCTAACAGCTTCTTTGGTCCTGAGTATGACCATATTTGTCTCTCAAAATAAGTTGCCATACTGACAACAAGATCAGACGCCTCGTTCTTATCCTCCGTGACATGTCTTGCAAGGAGATATCACCCAGAATTCAAGGAAAAATCAGTACAAAAAGGATGAACCGCAACGTTTCCTTGTACTAATCCATCCGACATACAGTGCTTACACAGACACTCCCACCCACCCATTCAGTAGTATTGAAGCCAATATCATGTTAACCTCAAATATGACATGACGTAGCTCTGCTATCACTGGCGCTGTGTGGGGAGTCGACGTATTTGTATGTCGATGAGGTGCAGTGCTCGTTTGAACTGCAGTCTCGCAATGCATTCCTGTTCTGGTCTGGCGAGCGGAGAGGATTTTCGAGTTCGATTCCCGTTAGGAAGAAATCCATTTCCGGCATATATCTATCAAAAAACGGGTTTCTCAGCTGGAGGAATTGATATCTAGACTGAAATTAGTTAAGGAGCCTCGATGCGGAGCCCATACCTGCCCAACCAGGGAGGATGTCTTTATGCCCGAGGGAAGCATCTAAAACGAATCCAGTATGAATACCTTGATCTTAGCAGGGTGATCTAACACACCATCCAGTGAGCTCACAGCCGAGGTGAATAGAAGAGGATCATTCACGTTGACGTCTCGCGTAATCATGAGAAAGACTTACTTCGGCCCTTATCGATATGGACAAGCCCTTCTTTCAAAAGAACGCGTATGATGCAGGGTCATGCGATCGGGGCGCAATGATATAGCTGTATGTCTTGCACGCAATGTCACTCGTGGAATCAATGACAGTCAGCCAAAGCGCATGATAGCTTCAAAATTTGACATATAGGCTTGAATCGATGATGCCAGTTATGTACCACGGGCCTGCTCGTGGGTGCACGAAATATACCACAGTCTTTAGGGCTATGACATCGATAAAAAGTCACAAACAACCTTGACTTGATGTCGAGGGCAAGACACAGAGTAGCAAAGTTGAATGATATCTCAATAAAGAAATCACGCATTCGTATTCAGCAGGGTTAATTACATGAATGTATGCCATAATCAGACTTAGCAAGCCGTCACACTGCGTAGATGAAATTGGCAGACCTACGACTAAACAGTTAGACTCCTCGTCTGCCAGAAACCGCCCGCTGAGGAAATCCCATCCATACTAGCATCTGCTCTCGGACTTCCCGACATCCCACTGACACGCATAAACTGTAGTGCTTTCCCCCTATCTCAACTAGCAGGCTGCAAAAGGGTTCGTCCCGGCTTGATAGTGATTCTTGACACTAATGTTCGAGGTAGAGAATCCTCGAGCACATCGTGGGCCTCGACGGAGGTAAAATTTCGACGGAAAGATGATACAGGGCAAGCCACCCGTTCGCTTCTAGGATGCGAAATCCAGTATGCCAGAAGAAGTGTGAATGAGAGAATGGCCGAGTAAGATGCAAGATACGAGGCTACCAGTACTACCATTATAACCGCGTGGAAGTGTGTCTCGATCGCGTTATTCTCTGTCTGATAAAGTGGCGGGAACTTGTTGGCATCGAATTAGGGAGAGTAGACGGCGAAAACTGGCAATAGCATGGTGTCCAGTGGCAGAACGCGCCACCAGGATACCGGGAGATCGAAAAGTGTTGAAAAGAGCAGGCTCGCACGGGAGAGGGCTATCATCTAGTTCATGAGCGGAGACGCAACTAGATTGACGTCTGCGGGGTTCGGCTTAGCGCGGAGGAGCCAAGGATCAATGTCATAGGTCCAGAGAGCACATGTCTACAGCTGATGCGGGCTATATGCGCATCAGTGTTGGCCGAATTTTTGTGGAAGGCAGAAGAGGACCGTCGGACAGTGAGGACGCTGTTCTTTTCATCCCGCGTCTATCACGTTTGTGGAGTTTCATGTTATACGATACGATTCCATGAGCGAAGGATAATGACGCTGTCGGAGATAAGCCCCGCTCTCATCGCATTCGGGTTTTGCAGCATCCTCTCAACCGCACAGCTATGAGACGATGAGAAGAAAGCCTTTCACAGATAGGAAGGGTACGCACATATACTGTCCCACACAACATGCCAAATCGTCCCGAAATCGGATGCCGTTCCAATTATAGCATGCGGACATCCTTCTACTGTGACTCG